AAAAAAAAAGGCTTTGCTCGCCTTTCAAGCAACGAGCGCAAGTGGTTTTCACGATAGCTATATCCAAGACTGAGCACGTTCCTCTACATGAACCTTTAGCACGCCTTCCAGATATATCGTTAGGACTTGTCTGATTACGCAAACCTCTGAAGTAAACCCATGGACCTTTTGGGTCACCAAGATTGGGAATGCAGAACTTGCTCATAGAAGATTGCTTGCGATAATACGCCTTAACAAACAAATCATCTAGAAGTATCAGACAAACAGAGCTGCGGCCGAACAGTCTGACGATGCGTAGTATGCAAAGCAACACCTGGGCTGTTGCTGAATGCGACCTCAAGCCCGTCTGGCCACTTGCAGATATGCGCAAGTCTATCAGTCCGAAGTTAGGGTAGACGACGGCTGATGAGCATATATAGGAGGCTTGGTGAAATCTCAATATACTGGAAAAGTCAACCACCTCCTCTAGCTGAGAGTCAATGAGCTCGCGGTTCAATTTAATTGGACTTTAAATCAGCTCGAACCCCTGAGCGTTCAGGGTCGAGTGTGTTCACGGGGTCGGTAGTTCAGGAAGGATTCTTGAGCATGACAATGCCCTATTTTGTATTGCCACCCGGAACGGGGCGTGTCTTTGCGACTACATTTTTCAGATCAGATTGCGCCTCCGCCATTGCGAGGCCATGTATGGCAGGAGCACAGTCTCCATGCCACCCGTAAAGCGTTGCGAGACAGCTTGGTAGGTACAAGTATATTTCAACGACATATACCGTTGCGCATCTAGCAACAACTTCTTGGTTCCATCCTTTAGCCCTGGACAAGTCTATATGTCCGTATCTACGCCAGTATGGCCACCTTTGGCAACTGGAGAAACCTCTCGAGGGCAGTTGTAATCGCTGTATATGGCGGAGGGGATCCGTTGAATTCCCGGTCCCGGCGTTGAGGGAGGCGCTTAAGAGCTGAACGGATCATCGGCGAAGCTAATAAGAACAGTCAACAACAGTCCATCGCACAAGGGGCAGCAGAGTGGGGAGAGTAACGTACAAGGTGTTTCCGAAGCCATCATCGCAGACCAACCTCCCTTGCACTGGGCTGCAGTTGGCACCGCCCGCCGTCACACGGCCACCACTGACACTTGATGCGGGTACAGAGTTCTGGTTTTTCGCCGGTGCGGCCATGGCAATGGGCAAGGCGGCCACGATTGCGGTGAAAAGGGCGAAGAACTGCATTTTGGCGTGAGGTTTAAGTAGAGAAGAGTTATTATGATATAAACAGGCTCCAAACCAGGGAGAATAGAAGTGAATCGTTTAAAGGTGCTGCGTGCTGAGCCAGAAGAAAAAGATCGTCGAACTTCCCCGACTTCATATATAACATTTCAGCATACCACCCGGGAGGCGCAATCAATCGCAGGTTTTGCCAAAGGGGGACTGGCTTGGTCTGGTCTTGGGGTTCTTGCTGGGACGGCACCAGGTCGTCGATGTCTCGAAAAGCCTAAGCGACCCTTGAAAACCCATGGAACCAGTCGAGAAGCACGTCGCTAAGCGCTTGGCGGGGTCTTCATACTGCTAGTGCACAGTTTCGGCTTCCCAGGTGAGACGGTGCCTGTAAGATTCACTGCAGGGTTTCAGCTGGGGCACCCCACTTCCCCTGTAAAAGAATCGGACGACCCCATGAGTTTATTCACCAACTACCGTGCCTACGTTCGTTCCATTTGTGCCATGCTTGCGAACGGCCTTACCATACCTAGCCGTCTGAATGGAAATCAGATTTTATCCGATCGGGAGTCGGCACACTTTCCATCATGATTGGTGGATCTGACAGGGTGACACCAACGTGCTATCCCCGTCGAGGAGCCCTGTGTGCGCTTCCGGCCCCTTCGGATCCGAGTCTGTTTTGTTTTGTCAAGGGCGGTGTTAGCATTGTGAGCGAGATCAACAACGCCTAATCTTAGCTCCTAGTAGCTCTTTGAATCTTCTGCGCCCAGTGAGGCTGGGATCTTGGCCGGCCACCTGGGTTTGATTCAAATTGAAGAGGAAAAGACCTGAACCCGGGGAGGATCACGATGTTGGCCTTGGTTGTTCGAGGTTGTAGCAAGGAGGTAACGGGAAAACGACATCTACGCTCCAAATGTATTGAAAATGCATGTACTGGCACTGTTCCGGCTTTGGGCTCAGCGTCGGCTAGGGTCGAAACATATGCAATGTTATAGCTGGTGAAGATGACATCAAATTGTCACCGGTCTCTACAAAAGCAAGGGGTCACTCATGTAAATACGTAGGTAGTCTGGTCCATTGCAGTGCTACGGCTTGCTAAGCAATATAATCCAGAAATCCAGCAGGCGTTCGCCAACAGCTACCAGGAGTCCTTCTTAATAACGATGTAGATCTTGGCCATTCGCGTTAGGCGGCATTTGTGCAATGCAACTCGTGATTGCCGAGGCGTCGCGGCGTGGTATGAATATGCGTAGTGGTTCCCTCGGGTATGGTGAACGGGGTTCCCTCAAGTACTTGGCATTTCGCCGTCCTCCCCTTCAGTCTGGGCCATTCTCTCTCCATACCTGATTTAGGCGCCTCCCTCCCGCTTTGCGTACTCATCTTCCATTCTTTCCTTGTACCTGTGATCGGCGTCTTCACTGCTCACATCCTCGATGCGTCTGCTCGCGCCACCGGTGTTGTCCCCGATGAGTTCACGGCCTTGTGAGTCGAACTGCTGCGTGTGCGTGACGGGGCGCTCTCCGAGGTTCTGTGACGTGGTGCGGACAGTTGTGCCCTCGGGTGTCGTTTGAGAGGTCTCCTTGTATGAGTGCCCTGTTTGGCGGCCGTTGATGTTGCTGGAGAAGGAGGAGGAGGAACTAGTGTAGGAGTAGCTAGGCATTGTGATGATGATTGGCTGGTGCTCAAATAAAGGGTTTCCAGTTCTGTTTGGGGTGATTGATGAGAGATGGAGAATGAGGCTTCTTACGAGGTTGTCTAGAATCTACATATTTGGCCACCACTGGGGCATTGAAGGGGTTATGATGCAAGTGACGTCATACCTTCTTTGGACGCGACACATGACGTCTGAACGCGGCAACAAGCAAGAGCAACAGCGTTGACGAGTTCGGGCATGGCTATTGCAGCTTCCTATACTTCATGGAACCAAAATATTCAGTTGCTCCCTCTGCAAACGACATGGGCCTAGTCCTGACAGGATCCGATGCTGCATCTGATTGGTGGGGGGCAAGTGTATAGCGTAACCGCGCTGGCGATGACGCGATATGAATCTCCACCCCCTGTTGGCACCCTATCCAATGATTTGGATTCCTAGTAGAATGGACGAGATAAAACATCGTATACTGGCACGGACTGCTATGCCATAACCCAATATTCTGCTGTACAAGTAATATCTAATATCATTGAGTTGGCGTTTCATTCGCGAATTGCGCCACATGGTTTCAACTTGGTCTAATCTAATCATTTATTAAGAGGACTAGGAGTTAGTAATTTTTCTTAGCGACCCGGAGGAGAACCTAATAAGTTGGTTACCATCTCCCACGCCCAGTTTGTGTTCTTATCTCCATCCAGTTTCAATACCTTAGGGAATGGTGTGTGGCAGCTGCGCGCGCGGCTGTACGCATGCCTCGATTAAGGCTGCTGGTGGTTGAGTGGAACCTGACTAGGGCGAAAAGCGAATTTGTGTACGACCCCCTTGGAGGGAAGCTCCCTAGGTTCTCTCGCGCCAGCAGGGCTAGGTGCCGCTTGCGAGCAGAACGACCATGACGGCGGGGCGCGATGAAATGTTGAACACTGGTACAGAACGCTGTGCCATAGTGTGATTATCTTTGGTACAAGGAAGATCCAATTAGGTTACGGGCGTCGCATGATATACGATGTATACCAGAAGATCGTGTGCCAAGGTTGGAATATCGCCGTTCGTCGTTTTTAACGAGCTACGGAGACATCATGAATACTTCCCACCTACTTTGCGTAAAACTAGTACCCTTCTCGGTGTAGGTGTCTGTCCGGTTTATAAGCAATTACCTAAGCTGTGCTTGCAACCCCGGATTCCACAACAAGAATCTGACTAAAACCCCAGGTTTGCGCGGCTTAGCAGCCAACTCCGCAACAGGTTGGATCAATCCAGCCCGGAGCCTTTTTAATGTAATACCATTGGGTGATACTTAGGCTACAGGAGCTCGCATCGCAGAGATTCGGTCCAACTCACCCGTCTCCTGGAGCAGTTTGATTTGTCATGCCGCTTTTGGAAATCACTTGCATAGACGCGGTAACCGAAACTATTGATAACTGTTGTTTCGTTGACAATGACTACCGGTTTTTGATATATAGCGGGTGTTGTCTCATTGGAAGCAATGTCTTGGCTTGTGAGGCTGCCTGATCTTGTTTTGAGTACTGTATCCAATTATTAGATAGTTTATCTGGGGCCTCCAATTAAAATATAAGTGAGTTGTTCCTTTGCACAGACATTTCAAGCAAGCACATTCGACCACGAAGGCTAACGTAGAATAGCTCTCAACTCTTCACTATGTTGATTCTCGTTGCTGGCGTGACTAGATATCTGGGGAAGCTTCTCGCCGAGTCCGGACTTGAGAAGGGACATCAAATCCGTGGTTTTGGTCGCTCGTCATCCAAGCTACCTGCCAGTATCCTGGACAAACTAGAGTCGTTCGTGCAGTGCGAGTACTACGATGACAAAGCAGCCTTAGACAAGGCAGTGTCGGGTGTTGACGCAGTAGTATGTGCCTATGCGCCGACTATGACTGCCGTCATGGAAAGTCAGATCTGTCTCCTCCGAACTGTGGAGCGGGCTGGGGTAAAGGTCTACCACGCACACTCTTGGAACTGTGACTGGTCGAAGCTCAGCCTGGGATACTTCGAGTTCTACGACTGTTACATCATGTTCCGTCGATACATTGAGCTGACGTCGTCTATCAAACCTGTGTACGTCTTCACGGGGGCTTTTGGTGAGATGGTGCTCGGCGAGCATGTGGGGATTGGATATATAAAGGACACACCGGATGGGAAGGTGTTCAACCACTGGGGAGCTGGAGACGCCAAGTATAACTTCACCTACATGCCGGACGCTGCCCGCTTCAGTATCGACCTGATCACGACGGATAGTTCAGTCCTGGCCGGCAACGGTGGGCTCTTCAGCATTCAATCGGGAGAGGCAAGTGCCAAAGACATCTCAAAGGTCTATGAGAAGATAAAGGGGGAGAAGGTTAGACTTAGATCGCTCGGAGGGCTTGAAGACCTCAAGGTCAAGTTGAAGGAGGCAAGGGCGACACTTCCCCCGTCAAAGTGGTTCGCCTACACGAACCATATCTCTCAGATTGCGGCGATTGAGAAGGCATGGACTCTGGATGACCCGAAGGTGGTAGGCGCTGTGGATGCAGTTGGACGTTTGTTCGATACCCAGATTGATCGAACGGCAGAGTTCTTGGAGTAGAGACCGAACGCCTATATTGAACGTTTTCGCTGTCGGCCATGATTTACTGGCCCGTTCCTCATTTACCAAGTACACAAATGCTACACTGCAGCCATCGCTTTCTTTGCCAATCACCTTTTGCAGCGTACATACGTATCGGGGGCAAAGCTGTAGAACAATGCCGATATTAGCTTTACGGACGTGCGGAGTCGGGGCGTTTCAACGTTCCAAGCCTTGGGTGGATTACATGGCGTCACAGGTGGTAGGTTCGGAGCCTCCCGCTGCTTGGGTATCTCCCGGCTCTTGCCTTAGCGTACCCCGCCGGTCCGTAGTGCGACGCTGCCTTGACTGTGTTATCTATCGCAACAGGTCTCCAGGCTGTCTCGCTCTTCCACATACACACATACATCCCCACAACCCGAGCTGCGATCGCATAGGTCATTGACGGCGTTGATCTTACACGAGGTGCAGTGTTCAGAACGGAGTGATGGCTATCAGCAATGGTAACAAAAGGACCCATCCACTGCAGCCGCTCTCGGATGTAGAGATCTCGAGAGCCAGAGAGATACTGCTGCAGGAGCATGGTGATGATGCGCAGCTCTTCTTTCGCTCGACCCACCTCGAGGAGCCCGCGCGAGCTGATCTCGTGAGATTCCTGGTTGCAGAGCATGGCGACCATGAGACTGCCGAGGCGGCACTCGAGGCTAGTCTGCCTCGTCTCGTTCGATGCTCATACGACGTGATCAGGGCAACAAAAGACCACCAGCTTACGGATGCTGTCGTCGATTTACACTCTGGGACTGTTGTCCGTAAAACAGAACACCCGGCCGCCTCTCAGAGCGGTTATACGATGTATATGCTCCGTCCTACCAGATAGTTTGCAGACAAGACTGATGAGTTCAAGGCCTGAGTTTGCTGCTTTTCAGGATGTCTGCGTTTCCTCCAATATGTTCAAGGAGGCCCTCGAGGAGTTTGACATCCCGCCAAATTTCACGATCTCGATAGACCCTTGGCCCTATGGCGGTCTTGACCCAGATGAAGATGTACCCCGCTACATGCAAGGCCTGGTCTTCGCTCGTGATGCATCCAAAGAGAACCTGGACTCAAACCACTACGCCTACCCCCTTCCAATAATCCCGGTCATGGATTTTGTTCATAAGAAAATGATTCGGATTGACCGACTTGCGACGGGAGGCAGTGGTGATCCCCTGACGCCGCCCGACAGGGGAACTACGCCAAAGAAATTGTTCTCCAAATCCAAGGCAGCGGAATACGTCCCAGAGCTCCTAGACCGGCCGTTACGGACTGATATGAAGCCCATCAACATTGTGCAGCCCGAAGGTGCCTCGTTTACGGTCCAAGACGAACATCTCGTTGAGTGGCAAAAGTGGCGATTTCGGCTTGGTTTCACTCCCCGAGAAGGCGCAGTCCTGCATGACCTGTGTTATGATGGGCGGCCCATTTTTCTTCGACTCTCTTTCTCTGAAATGACGGTCCCATATGGTGATCCACGGCCTCCCTTCCATCGTAAGCAGGCTTTCGACTTTGGCGATGGAGGGTGCGGGCGTGCGGCGAATAACCTCAGCTTGGGATGCGACTGTCTAGGCGCAATCCACTACTTTGACGCGTGGGTAGCGAACTCGGAAGGAAAGCCCACTCTGGCAAAGAACGTGGTCTGCTTGCATGAACAGGACAACGGTATTGGTTGGAAGCATACAAATTTCCGCACGGATCGGGCTGTGGTGACACGGTTGAGAGAACTTGTGGTGCAATTTATTGTGACACTAGCAAATTACGAGTATGTATTTGCATACAAGCTCGACACGGCTGGAGGCATCACCCTAGAGACCAGAGCTACAGGCATTGTCAGCGTGGTGGCCATTGACGACGGCAAGACCAGTGCATATGGCAATGTCGTCGCCCCAGGAGTACTCGCACAGAACCACCAGCACATATTTGCAGTGCGCATGGATCCTGCCATGGACAGCTACGAGGCCGGGGTGACCAACGTGGTGCTCGAGGAATCGCACCCCTTGCCAAAGGACCCGAAGACAAACCCGTACGGGAACGGCTATGGAATCCGCCGGAATCCCGTGACAAGAGCCACATACACCGATGCCGAACCTAAACTCAACAGGACCGTCAAGTTGGAGAATCGGGAGAAGAAGAACGAGATTAGCGGCAAGAACGTGGGTTACAAGTTTATACCTAGCGCAACACAATTGATGCTTGCAGATCCCGACAGTATCCAAGCTGCACGTGCACCCTTCGCTAGACATCATCTCTGGGTCACGGGTCATCGCGATGGCGAACTATGGGCTGCTGGCGAGTTCACTAATCAGAGCCGAAAGGAAGTGGGAGGAGTGCAGTCTATGGTGAAGAGGGGCGACTGGTTCGTTCAAGAAGGGATTGAGAACTTCGGAGCCGACTGGAAGAATGGGCCCACCAACGGAGATGATACATCCGATAAGGGACGTCTCAGTAGCCCAGTAGTGTGGAATGTCTTTGGACTGACGCATAATCCCCGAGTTGAAGACTGGCCTGTCATGTGAGTATTAACCTCGATCCCTCCCTACCTATACAGATAACTGAAGTTGCAACAGGCCCGTGGAGATCCATCAGATCCACATTCGACCCGCCGACTTCTTCACCAGCAATCCAGCACTAGATGTGCCGTCCGCCAAGAATGACACAAGCGTGCTTGTCTCCTGTTGTGGAAAGGAAGAGCCTAAAAAGGAAGAACCCCGACCAAGTACACCACCCAAAGAAACCAAGGAGAGCAGTACTGAGGAGAGCACCCAAGCAACACCGGTCTCACATCTGCAGGGTGCTGGACCGGACATTAGCCCAAAGAACGTAGGCTCTCCCAATGGGACCACCAGGGAGAAGAAGAGACTATCCACCACCTTGACTGGTCTCTTCGGTCGCAAGAAAGGTTGAAGCGGATTAAGTGATGCTTAAATCCTGTGCCCAGGGACTGATAAGCTTCGAAGGGCCATGCAATAAGACTAGAGTTACAATGCGGCGGATTGCAAGTTTAAAAATTACACGGCTTTCTCAAATGCTGCCACTTTTCCGTTCCATTCCATTCCATTCCGCTTCTCACCAAGACTACGGGTTGATCTTCAATGAAAAGTCCACGTAGCCGGTGCCTTGATGTATCGAACTGGTCGAGATAATGTCGATGTCGTTGCAGACGTACGGTCCGACATTGTCCTCCTTCAACCCACCACTGACCTCTAGCAAGAAGGACTTCTTCCCTTGCCACCTATCGCGAAGACTCCTTGCAGCAACCTTGACGCCGTCACCCGTGAAGTTGTCGAGCATGATGATATCGGCACCAGCCGCGATGGCCTCGTCAGCCTCCTCTTCGTTCTGAACCTCGACTTCGATCTTGAGTGCAAACCCTCCGACCGCTCTCGCCGCCTTGACAGCGTCAGTGATGCTCCCTCGGCTCCATACGTGGTTGTCCTTCAGCATAATCATGGAGCTCAGGTCCATGCGGTGCTGGTCCGCGCCGCCCACCAGCATGCCGTACTTTTCGACCAGTCGGAAGCCGGGCGTGGTCTTGCGCGTGCCGGCCAGGATGCCCGTGTAGCCGGCGTCGCGGACCAGGCGGACCATCTTGCGCGTCTTGGTCGCGATGCCCGAGCAGCGCGCCAGCATGTTGAGCCCCACGCGCTCGCCCAGCAGCAAGTGCCGCGTCGGGCCCGAGACGGTCGCCACCTTGACCTTGCCCGAGCCGTCCTTATCGTGTGCCACCTCGGCGCCTTCTTCCAGGTGCCACTCGACCGTGCAGCCGCACTGGGCGAATATCTCGTCAAAGAACGGCACCCCGGCCAACACGCCGGCGCTCTTTCCCCACAGCGTCGCGGTCCGTGGGGCCTCGCCGACCACGAAGCCGCCGTAGTCAAACGAGGGCGTGTCCTCGGCGAGCCAGGTCGTGATCTGGGCTTTCCAGGAGGGCGGGAGGAGGTGGGCGAGGGTGCCCGCGCTGGTCGGTTTGTCGGTCATGGCGGAGGCCTGGGTTTTCGAGCGGCAGTTCGCTAGAGGCGGGCTGCTATGGCTGAGGTGTTGGTTTCTTCGGCTGTGAATACAGAGACTTCCAGGCGATTTGAAACGAAGTTGAAGCAGCCTTTCGCCGCCCGGGTTTCTTCTGAGTCTTCCGTAGAATGCCGATTGAACCCGCTAGGTTTTGGAGGGGCATTGCCGAATACCGGAGTCGGGTAAGGGTCCTGCGGGGGCGGGGCCCTTAGACTCTATGGGAGCCCTTAGACACTACCTAATGACCCGCAAACCCCAGAAGCACTCCAGCTACCCTCTGCCGACTGAACATGCCCGGAGATCTCTCAGAGACAAATATAAAAAGATTGGAAGAGTGCCACTTGCGGGCTTCTTTAGTCGTGTAGATTGTATCGACCGCGGGAGAAATGATAAGAGATGTGTTAGTCCATTACTTCTCAACTACAAAGGACATAGGGCTTGAGCGTGGGCTAATGCCTGGAGGCGTTCTCTTCACATATCACTCAAGGAACAAAGAATGGACCATTGTTCAGAACATCATGCTACTTTGAATGGACACAGCTCAAGGTCATGTACCAGGCAAAGACCGTTAACGGTACATTCTGCGATACTCATGACGTACAAGCATTAAATGTATGAACATGCCTTGAGCAAATGATGATATAAGTCACCTTCACCTCCTCAAGGTTCACGTGATGATAGGTACCAACCGCTTGTAAGCCCAGGAAAGCCATGTCCGAGATCCGTTTCTCCCCTGTCAAGGTTTCACCACTTCCACCAAACGTGAGAGAGCAATGGAAGGAAGCCAGAGCGCAGCTGATCAGTGTCGTTCAGAAGCTGAAAGCCGCCACAGCGGAAGGGTTTATACGGAGATTCGCCGAGGCTGCGATACGAGATGGTTGTAGCGAGTTACAACTTGACCAAGCTTACGAAATCTGCAGGAACTCTGGCTTAGGTGACGTATTTGTGCTTGCCCGGAGCGACGCAGAGATTACCGAAGGTGCTCACTCCCAGGAGCTTGTATTCCCTTTCTCATCCTAGAGTGTCAGTAACGATGAGCACGGCCACTGTATGCACTAGTAGAGGTAAGTCAACATGTTCAATCTGACAAGCATGATAATTACACAGTGCTAGGATGTCTGGTCTACGAGCCTACATGGGGGAAATGAGTACGGCGAGCAACCCTGCTCCTCCGTCTATTAGTACAAACACGTAAGAACAGTCCCCTTGAAGTATCGATAGTTCACATCAATGATGACTGAAATTTGGGCTGGAGACATCCATACCTCTTTGTTACAGTATCAAGTGCGAGAATAGATGTTGCTATGACTTGAGGGCTCTCGCCAATGGGTGGGCTGTTAAGTGTCACCGTTGAGCACGGTTTCCAGTCTTCTGGTACCTTTGACGTGCAAATTCTATCTGAGACTCGTTAAAAGTTGAGTAATATGTTCTACAATTGCCATCGGAGCTTCGATAGGAATCATATGTCCCGAATTTTTCACGACCACCAGTGCTGCATTTTGGAAACGTGGTAATACTTCCTTCTGGATCCTCTCCACTGGTTCGATAACATCCTCATCCGCTGCAATGACTGTGCATGGCACGTGTGATCTTTTCGATGGAGCACATACATCTTCGGCCATGGCATAAGCTGGCCATGCTGCGCGTGCCCATTCATTGCCCCGAAGCATGTCTTGAACCAAGGCTTGAACTGCGCTCTCTCCAATATCAGATGCGGTGAGCACGTTCTTCGCCACGAACTCAGCGCTTTCGGCATGCTCGTACGCGTGAATCTGTTGCTCTCGCATGCCTTCGGGGAGCGTAAAGGGTGAAGGTGGCGCAGGAGCAATCAGTGCCATCCCACGAATACCCTCGGTCAACTTTGAGCTTGCACCTCCGGCGATTGCCTGGGCAACTTTTGCACCCATCGAGTGACCCACGAGGACGAAGTCACTCAAACCGAGATGGCCGATCACTGCCGTAACGTCTTTCGCGAGACATTTGATCGAATAGGCCTGTGGATCTGAAGGGCCAACAGAAGAACCCCAGCCACGAAAGTCAATCGCAACAGTAGGATACTGTGAGGATAACGGGCCAATCACCTGTGACCAAGTCCGTGAGGAACCGCCCCAGAAGTGTAGGAATACTAGAGTTGGCTGCTCTTGGCGGCTTGCCACTGGGGTGGTGGTAGCGACATTGATGATTGTTTCCGAATCAATCGTGATCGACTGGATTTTTGTCGCTGCTGCCATTTCAAATGGTGTTGTAGCGGCGCTTCTCGACCTCAGTATACGTGAACGCCCAGGAGGTTTATCGACGTCTGACTGGAATATTACTGTGATTCTGGATACAGTTGCGGTATTACAATGGATTCCACGGGTAAAGCTACCAGAACTACGTGACTGGGGTTGATATATTTTCGCCAATCCTGGAAAACATGCTGATCTATTAATCATATTAAGCAGCCAAACGCCGAGGTGGACCGGAGCTTCCAAAGGCTCAAGCTCCGGGCGCCGTCGGCGCTTCGCAATTTGAGTTGGCCAATAGACTTAGCCCCGACTTACTTTTTTCATGAGTTCACGCGAATTCTCAGCGTGATTAAAGATTCTGGCCCCAGTGCTCAAGCGAATGGGGGCCAAAAAGATAATTTCGAATATTTCAGAATGATAATCTAGTATTCTGATCTACTCAGGCCCCACGAAAGTGGCATTGGGGAGTTCTATGGCCGAGAGTAATATGCTCAAGGCATCCACCTGGTGGGCCAAATGTACATTGAGTGATGGATATAATGATAGATATCCTAGGGGTATCATGTTGATTATCCTGAACAAACCAGTAATGACGTTTACCACATATTTCCCGTCAGTAGCCGATGTCGGATGTGGTAACATCTTCGATAAAATGTTTCTCTCTGTAGCCCCTTGTGAACCACAGATACCAAGGCACGACGTAGGTCTTGATTTTGTGGCCAAACCAACCGGCATCTGACACGGTTCTTATTACGTTTTGGGATTCCTCGAAAGCGTCTGCGATTCGCGGTTTCCTCAGCTTCTCATATACTTCGAATGCTTCCTTGGGATCACCTCCAGGCTTTCCTTTCTCAATCCATCGAGTAAGACAGCGAGAAAGTATTACCGTATCCTCAAAGACGATCCCGGTGCTCTCGCCCTGTGGCGGCATTGCGTGCTATGGAGTATCAGTACTTGACGATATCGATGGAGTGTGGTATAGCAACTCACCGCCGCGTCTCCGAGTAGCATGCATCTCCGCGTTGACCAATTCCCGTCTTTGGACAGGGTGAAGACAGGCCAGAGGTAGAAATCTTGGGCTTGTTCAATCAGTGGCTTGATGCAAGGAATACTGGAATCGCCGAATCGGCTCAAGAGCTCGGCTCTGGTTTTCTCAGCATCACCGCCAACTTGCTTCCACCCGTCCCTGGAGCCGATGTCCGTGACTTCCATGAGAGCACCGACATAGACGGAGTCCATTTCTGGATTATGGTAACTTGTGAGGAGCATTCCTCGTCGGGCAAAGTTCATGGCAGTACAATCGAAATGAACTGGGAAGTTCTGTCCAACAGGTGCAAATCCGAAAGCATTGCAAATGCCGGTATAGGTTTCTTTGCGCTGCGGATCTACATGTTGCAGTCGCGTGATGGAATGTATTCCGTCACAGCCCAACAGGATATCTCCACGATATATTTCTCCGTCTTCAAATGTTATTATCACGTCGTCCGAAGTCTCCTCGATACCGACTGTCTTTTTCCCACAGGTCAGGGTAATATTGTCCTGACGGTGTAACACCTCCAGCACGGCCTTCAAAGCATCGCCCCTTGTGATGCGCAAAGCTTTGTATGGAGGACTGCCGATGCCTTTGCCATCAATCCCTCGGAAGCTTGATACGGCGAGCTTGGTGGAGTAGTTGTCGAACACTTCCAACTCATCGATATGCTTCCCGAAGTTGTTGGCTTTCATGACCTCGTAGGCTTCAAGATGGTCGAGCATTCGTAACGCATTTGGTGTCAAGTTGACTGCACCACCTACTGTGGCAGGCTCAGGTCTGATCTCGAATATTTGGATCCTGGGAACCTGGTCTCTGGGGGCAAATTTGGTCAAGGCAAGGGCGGTTGTGAGACCTGCAATGCCGCCACCTAGAATTATTATGTCAAGCCCATTCTTTTTGGAACGCATCGTCTCGGAGATGTGCTGTAGAGAACACGGCAGCACAGAGAAGAGGTTGAAGGGTGAGGCCAAGAAAACGTGTCTGGGTGAGACTATGATACTTATGGCCCTTCAGAGATTCACGTCTGCAACCTCGAGTGACCACAAGATCCGGGATGATAAACGGATGAGGCTATTGACAGTTAATAGTGTCGGTAGTAACAGCAACGCTGGCAGAGAAGAATGATCAAGCACAACGGAATTGCGTGTCTATCTAATCCTTCGGCTGGTGCGCCCATTGGCCGTGAATAAGTGAAGCCTAGCGAAGACCCCCTTGCTACAAAGCTATTAAGATGCGCTACCGAACCGAGTTTGGCAGAAATGGGATCTAGAACTCTTCCACGCTATCCGTTTCTCGGCATCGTGCAGTTCCGACGCTGCGGACGTGCCCACATTTACTGGCCGGACTGCATGGGAAGCAGAACCGGCCGACACTTTTTGTGGAAGCTCCGATGCGACAATGGCTGTAGAAGATTGATGTCCTGAGATCCCTTACCCAGAATATGCAGGGTTGCGCTGGCAGCCTAGCGTCCCCCACTGGTCTTGTGTCCTCCGGGACCGTCCCACGGGACCGAGCTGATCCTACTAAGACCGCACTGATCCTAGCAGCATCAGCTCGCTAGGCTATCATATCATAGCACAGGCGCACTAATACACTGGAGGGCAACAGTTGAATGCCACAATTCTGTTCCGGAGAAGAAAATGCTGAGAACTAGATCGCGTTTATATACCCTAGCTCGATGGTGCAAGCAGAGCATACAAGCTGATATAGGGGATAAACACATTTTGGTATCGGCGCCCCATCTATGAGGTCGAACCGCTGACCGTGCGAAGTTGCTTTCGGCGATGGAGCGAGAGATCGATGCCAAGTGCATCCTTCTCTCGGTAAGGCACGCACCACGAGCTGTCATTGGAGGCTTTCCGAGATATCCTAGTTTATACCACAGAAGAGAAACTGTACGGAACACCAGAACGCGATTCCTTGGCGCCCCGCTTGGCTTGAACGGCAATACGTTATTGGCTATATTAGCGAGACTCGCCGACGACACATGGCATGCGGAGAGAGGAAGTAATATGTCGGGAAAGGACGAGGGTGTGGCATGTAAGGTTCGTCATATCGTCAAGCTCTTTCTTACTGGGTTCTTATAATGAGGAACACAGGTCATGGTCGGTCTGTTGAACCACTTATGGATAGAAGAAGGTAACCTGATGATCGTGTTCCATATTCTTTCCATACTTCACACCTTTACAAAGATCTACGGGGTATAAGGGCTCTGCGCAGTCTAGATCTCTGACATATGTTTAGTCTACTGATCTCGGGAACAATGTTCATCAATCTACGTAGAGCAGATCAGGTACTTAAAGGGCAATGTCTTGCGAGTAATCATTAATCATGGGTTACCAAGGTCGGTGACGACTCTAAACCCGAGTGCTTCGGTCCGATGGTGTAGTTGGTTATCACGTGAGTCTAACACACTCAAGGTCGGCGGATCGAGCCCGCCTCGGATCAAGAAACGTTTTTGCAATCCCCGGAAACTGTGCTTTTTGTTTCCGATACTGGGTTATACTGCTTTTAGACGTTGCAGTTGTGACAAGAACACGTACAGACATACGTGCGGCTCCATATCTGCCCGAAAATTTTGGCCCCTCTAGGAGAATTAGAGGTGGGGCTCGAAAGATCCAACGTCTGGTACTACCTTTTTGCCCCCGACAATGAAGGTGTATGGTACGGGGTCCAGCATACATGCATGTGTAACTAGGAAGAGAGGCGCAAAAAGGAACTAGAACATTGGGTCCTTCAACAATGGTGAATATCAACTGCACGGAACGCAAAAAGGTCAATCAGGGATTCGAACCCCAGTCCCCGGAAGACCCTGACGATTAATCAGAATCCGATGTGATAACCAACTACACTAATCGACCGTTGTAATGATGACGTTAAAGTAGCAATATGTACAAGGAAACCCAATTTCTCGCTCGTGAAAAGTTTTCGTGAGTTTGACCATGCCGTTGCCAAGTATGGCAACTCGTGGTGCACTTGTGGGCAGGGTCCGCATCTAAACCCTCCCGAAGTGGATCCAGTGTGTCAGGTTTTCAGCTTTGAACTTGGGACTATATGTTGAATCCCGACAGTGCACTATCGAGGCGCGCAGGCTCTGGCCAATGGTTCACGAGTCTCTCCTTGGCTGGGGCAGACATTGCTCAAATGCCCTTAATGATGTCGGCAGCCTATAGTACTGTTAGCTCTGAAGTTACTTGCAACAATGGTTGGGTTTACCTTTTCGGCCACGGCGTATACCGTGGTCATTGTGTGCGAGGCCGGTAGCAGGGGCATCATGCTGGCGTCGACAACGCGAAGGCCGTTGATACCGTACACCTTGAGCTCAGAATCGACAACACCGCCTTCCTCTCTAGCTCCCAACATGCAGCTTCCAGCTGGGTGGAACAGAGTGCTTGCGGACTGCCGGATAAAGTTGCCCAAGTCCTCGTCGCTTGTGACGTTGGCGCCTGGCAGAACCTCAAAGGGCTGGAAGGTTGCAAGCGCGTTGGTCTTCATCAGGGTGCGCATGTACTTCACTCCCTCCACCAAGATGGCAAGGTCGAGCGGGTTGGTGAGGAAGCCAGCGTCAGCAATAGGCGCATCGAATGTGCTGGCAGACGCAGCCTTGACGGATCCTCGTGAGTAAGGGTGTTCAAGACCAACAACAACAGCACCATCAGCCCAGATGTATTCCAAGACGGCCGACTCGGGCGTGATAATCTTGGCGTTCAGGAGGTCATGCTGTGCTTGGTATCCCTTGAGCGACTCAGCTGGGGTGTCGCTCGGCAAGAACGCGGCGGGGTCCTGGCTAACTGCTTGCTCGTGGATCGTTGCAGCTTCTGTGGTAAAGTTGTTAAGGGGGAGGAAGACCAGGAAAGCTGCGGTCGGGTCCGTGTAAGGGCCGGCCTGCTGACTCTTGAAGAGCTCTAGGGATTCCGCGGCGAATGTTGCGTTCGACGTGAGGTTGCTTTGCACGAGTGGCGCATTGACTGGACTGAGTTAGCTTTCAGTGCGGACAGGTCTCCGGTACGGTTCTTACTCGAATTGACCGTAGTCAAAAGGACATGGTCATGGAAGTTGTGGCCTACAGCAGGCAGATCGACCACAGTACTAACGTTGATACTTGACAGGTGGGCTGGGTCTCCGATTCCAGACACTTGCAAGATCTGAGGAGTGAAAATAGCACCAGCAGCCAGGATTGCTTCCTTGTTAACCTTGACACTCGATGTTGGCTGGTCCTTGGCAGGAGCGTACTGGAAATTGGTTCAAATCAGCATACTAGTCAAAGCATTGGCAGTTGAAATGCCTCTTACCTCAACACCGGTCACGCAGACTGCATTGTTTTTCGCGCTAGTTAACACACGGGTAACCTGCTGGCCGGTAATGAGGTGCAAGTTGGTTCGGGTCTCGACGGTGTTCCAGTAAGCCTCGCGGGCCGAGGATCGTGTCTCTGTGGTGGGATCCTGGTTGTGAGGGCAGTAGAAGCCACCTAGTGCGTTCCCGTTTGCCTGGTCCTCCGAGATTGAAATCCCTACTTCCTTGACGGCATCGATGAAGGTTTCTATGAAAAGGTAAGCAAATTTGACAATCACTACGTTGGTGGCATTGGCTTACTTGTGGTTGGCCATACGAAGGGCGCATAGCTCACATGCATGTAGCCGTCGGACCCGTGAGCTGAAGCGTCGAACGTAGCATTGTACTCCGATACCATGTACTCGTTCGGAGGTGTATACTTCTCATTCTTTAAGTCGAGCAGAGTCAGAATGCTATCGGGCGCAGCTTGCAAAGAGTGGAGTCACTGCCTACCTTCTTGAAGTAAGGAAGCAAGGAATCCCAGCCCCAGCCGGTGTTACCGAGTGTCTCCCAGCGGTCGTAGTCAGATCGGGACCCTCGGTCGAACACCATGCGATTCAACTTGGTGGAGCCGCCGACAACTCGTCCCTGAGGTATCGAGATAGCTCGGTTGGCTACAGATTCGGTAGCAGCGTACGTCGTATTCCAGTCGTACACCGTGCCAACGGCACCGCCTGCAAGGCCGGGGATTGTCACGTAATCCTCATTCTTGTCGCTGTTCTGAAGTTAGTGTCGCGCAACTGCTATAGGGGCGCGTCGCCAGAAGACTTACAATACACCGGCTTCGATGACGAGGACGGTCGTGGCTGCATCTTCTGAGAGTCTGTTCGCTACTGTGAGGCCAGCCGCACCAGCACCAACAACGACATAGTCATAGCTGGGGAGTAGGTCGCTGTTCTTCTCGAGGAAGACACCCTTGAACGGGGGTCGTGCGCTGACTAGGGGCGCCAACAAGGCGAGGCTGGAAATGTACCGCATTGTGGCTGGAACGAGTGTATGCAGATCTGCGGGTAGCGTCTGTGCCAACACTAGCATCTAGAGATGCGGCTCCAGGACATACAAATACATTATCGCGATCGCGGCCATGCACGCCATGCTCCCAACGTCACACCAGATTTGACCTCGGGAAACCGATCGGCTTGCGTGACGGCAGTTCAGGAACGGCCTGTATAGGGGCGATCGCCCTGCGCATGGTAGTATTCGTCTAGCCTGGGTAAACTCTAAATCCCGGGGTCTTGCCAAAGGAGAACAGTGATCAGGGATGCCAAATGACGTCTGCTAACTGCTATACCATTTACGGTGGCTGTGCCAGCCCCATAACGGCCCAGAGAAGGAGCAGATATTCAAGGACCAAGGAGCCAGGGCGGGCCAGGGGGGCCAAAGGGGGGCCAACGGAGGGCCAACGGAGGGCCAACGGGGAGGCCCTACCAGTTCCCGCAAACCTAAAATCTGACGCTAATTACGATCTTGTGTCATTTTAATGCTGGGCTCCACGTGTGCCTTGGTCAATCAAAGTTACTTTTGCAAATCTCAGCTCGGTCATGCCAGGAACATGCTTTAATGCACCGCATCCCCGAGCTGACAAAGCCGGCATAATCGCCTTGGCTTTTCCAGATTCCACGCGTTCGGTGCATGTTCGCTGCAGCCCGGTGTTTGCAGCTGCGCCGCCTACGTCGCACGTACAGCCGCGTGGCAACGCCTGCAGGTGGGCGGCGGCTGCACCACCCGCGGGCCGTGGTGGAGTTTACTCGTCGGATCCAATAAGTTACGAGCCTTGTTGAAACATTGTGTCCGGCTCGACTCATCCAGCCAGGAACGTGGGGCCGCTCGCTGCATATCATCCCATAATTAACTCACTTAACTATGGTTATTTCACAGATGGGCTGATATGCATGTGAAACCTGAGGCCTCTCATTAAACCCTCAAGGTGCCCTAAGCAGCCCCTCGGACCTGACTACCCAGCTCCCATCGTTTGGAAACCCAGGAGCGTCTCCCCTTGAACCTTGCCAACCGGCGACCATATATGCAACTGTGAGCAGTTAGTAAGTTTCAGAGCGGGCTTACTGTCTGCCGAATACCTACCTGCGTATAGGAATCCTGCATTCCCAGGCATGAACGGTGGAGGTGTGCCGCCATCGCCACCACGAATCGCAAAGCCTGGACACGGATTCAATTAGCGGATCTTGGCAAGGCAGCGGGGTCGACATACCGGCATCGTCAAACTTCCAATAATCATATGCCGTCAGGTGGTATATCGCTCTCTCTGGGTTTCCGATCCTCGCTGAGTTGATTGCAAGTACTGGTCTGCCCCAGCCTCGAATATTTGTGTCTCCCCAAACTTCCCATACCTTATCCGCAGTCCTCATTGCGACGTCCGGGTCGACAGCTGCTGTATCTGGGAGGATGCCTTGCATCATGATCAGACTGCGAGGGTCGCCGTTGAGTGACGGATCACTCCACCACGACGCGTTCAATCCCTCGTACACCGCGTAGAGACCGCCGACTTGTGGCGGCAGTGCCATGTTCTCTGCAACTGCAGTCCACTTCTCGGGGACAGTTTGGCCAAGCCGCTTCTTCCAGTCTCGCGCGATGTCGAGACCATAGCGCCAATATGCAACCTGGATATTGTCTATGAGTTATCGAACTGACTGTCTCACAGCATGATGGCCGTCTCACCTCATATGCGAGATTGAGTGATCTAGTTGGAGGCGTGTTCTCCGTGACTCCGTGGGCCCTCAGAACTCGTCAGCACTGCACCTACGAACTGGAATGTCTCAACTTACGGTGGTCCCAAGTCATACCTGCCAGAAGTCTCATTATGCCACGCGTACGATGCCATATAGTCTGCGGTTGCAGTGATGACCTTGTCCCAACGGATCAACGTCTCTTCTGTTGGGGAGGCTTGATACGCAAGTGTGGCCAGATACATGACGTGGGGCTACACGACCCAGCTGTCAGTATGTCACAGCCAAGAACCATCGTTGTTCCGACTGACCTGTTGCCACATGAGCAGTCCGTTGATTCCACCCGGTGCGCTGGTGCCGGTCTCTGTCTGCGTCATCTTGGGCCACCTGTTGTCGTTGGGTCAGTTGCAGTCCAATCGTTCTCGGAGGCTCGCGGAATACCTGGCACCGTCCCATCCCATAGCTTTTGCTCTTGCCCGAGAGGTGGGTAGGAGACTTTCGTATAGCTCGGGAAAGATATTGTCGAAGTGCTTCTGGCGGCCCCAAGTCGACCAATGCGCGTTGTGCCACACGACCATCTCCATGTGGAACTTCCCATACCATCCGTTGTTCATTAAGCCGCTCTCCTGTGGGGACTGCCCCTTGGCCGCACTGTTGACACGGACATGATATTGCGAAAGTATAATACGTCGCTGCAGTTCAGTCGCGTTGGGATTAGAAGACGACGTCAAGTCAACAAAGCCTCCGTCACTCCAGTACTCATGCCAGCCGCGAGTGTTCCGCTCATTGATAACTGATGGCGACTCTCCCGGGTTCTTTTCCGGCGAAAAACGCGCGGTCAGCATTATTTTTGCTGCAGCATTTTCTTGGCCTTGTGCACTCAGAGTATAGCGGTGTGCTGCGATGCTGTTGGATCCTTCGGGTTCATTGCGGGAGACGGAGACTGGCAACTCTGCCGGCCATTGTAAATTAACAAAATAGCTAGTCTCTTGGAGTTCATGGTAGATGTAAGCCTCATTTGTCTTACAATCATCGGCGATGAGGGTTGTAGTATGGTTCAGGGGAAAATCATATATTCCAGCAAAAACTTCGTATTTGTATGCTGTGTTGTGAATTGGCGGGTACGGGAAGTCGATTTCAATCTCCAGGTCGCCCGTTGAAACCAATTCAGATTCGATATCGAATGTCACTGTATCTGTTTCAAAGTCTCCTTGAGTCACGACCTTGACTTCCACTCCTTGGATTTTGAATATCGAAGTAATTGTTCCGCTCCAAAGATCTAGCTCCTGTTGCGGCTCAGATATCAGGGAGGCTGCTAGTGTGGAGCCTTTGTATTTCAGACCGATGCGCCCCAAATTTATTCGATTAGGGTTTGCAATCAGCCATTGTGAAACCGCTGGAAGGTCAGGATCTGGGATGTCGTACGAGACGTTTCTGCCATGGGTTAACATAGGCACACCGGTATAGTCACTTAAAGTTTCTCTACTCAAAATCTGTTAGTATACCTAGGCATAAGTAGGCCACGGCTGACAGTGTTACCCGTTAGTAGGCAAGGAATCATTATGCCATGCCCAGCTTGACAATGTGTTGAAGGGTAGGAATGTCTGGTCGTATGGGTTCAGTTAAGCGCCATCGGTTCTAGAATAATCTTCATACCTGCATTCCTGTGTTGTCAACATTGAAAGCGAAGTTCCCATTCCCAACTTGTAGCGGTGTCGTTTCATTATCGATCAAACGCGTTCGGACAACATTGTACTTCGAGACAATGCTCTGGCGATCTATGAATGCCCACGCAAGGGCCTGTGTGAGTAACAAATAGAGGCCGATGTTTCTAGCCATTGCAATTGATGTCCAAACCTGATGGGATGGCAGGTCACCATCTAATGATATGGCTCACGTCTATATTCTGCCTGATCTCCACTTAGGAGACCAACTCCACAATCAATCAGGCCAAGTACGGGGAAGCTGGGGCGCCGATCCGGGGAAATTGGAGCCGAACATCCCCAATTGCCCCTGGCTTCTCGCTCTGACATGAGTCCAGTCAAGCGCAAAAAACCAACTTGTTTCGCTCTGAATTTTTCCGTCCATCATCCTTGTTTGTGTATCAAAACGCTTGCAGCCAACTTTTTCTACCACATCACATCACTTTGCTACATTACCTCATTGAAGGCGGTATAATCAAATGACTATTGGAACCGTTTCGAAAGAAAACATGATCATTTCTGATACTTTCTATAAATGTAGCGCAAAATCGGAATCGGATGGCTTCTGTCAGTTGAATGCACTGTTTGAACCGGCTACCATGATGAAGGTCCTTCCTGCTTTGACCGAGACTTGCGAGATCCATCAGCATGCGCCGGAGATTATACCTGTATCACCCCCTCTATTCGAAATCATACTGTGAACTCTTTTATTCAAAGGTAGTATCGTTTGGGCTTAGTAGGCGAAGTGCAGCCCTCCCTCCCTTGTACTTGACGCATTAGTTCTGATCAACCAGAACCTGAGTACCCACGCCGATGCAATTGTCAAGGACGCAAATGCGCAATTGCTGGACATGGCGATTAGATAGCGCGGTCCATCGCTCTTTGGATACAGATACGCTGTGTAAATGTATGAAACAGTGGCGAACACATTAACAACGGACAGTGAGACGGCTTTCTTCTCTGGCGTCTGACCTAATGTTGCTGAAACCCAGCCAAGGATAAGAGAATTAACGGCGTATGCTCCAGTTGCAAACAGGAAGCAAGCGATATATCGAGCGGCAACATTCATCGTAATGCATGATATGATGAAACCGACAAGGGCAGCACCCATACTGACAGTAATGTGCCATGTGCGCTCGTTGTAGCGGCCAGACGTATATCCGACCAAGTAGCCAACGAATCCCGATACCAGATACTAAAGGCATGGTTAGTTCCATCCTGGTTGTATGAGGGGTCCTCCTTAAACTTACAGGCGGGCAAGTAAGAATAAGCGTGATTGTGGTATCGAAACCCAAGCTGCCAACCACAGTCGGGAAAAAATTGTTAAATGAACAAGCGGAAATGTGCATGTTCTGCATAAAGGCCAACAGATATAGCTTTGGATCCTTGAGCGCTTGCAAAAAGCCAGCTCGGGCGCCCTTGCTCCCCTCGCTGCCCACAGTGTCACGTATCATGCGGTCATGCGCCATCTGTCGTTCTTCAGGCGTCAACCAAGTGGTTGTCAACGGCGAATCAGGAAGCATGAATATGGCGATACCCGCCACACCAAGGGTTACAATGCCTTCGATAATGAATAACCATTTCCATCCTGCGAGACCATGGACGCCGTCCAGCGTCCGAAATGTCGCCGCTGCGATCAGACCAGCAAATGCGGTCGCGAAGATATTACCAGAGTACAGGATCGAGAGTCTAGTCGCGATCTCCTTTCGGGTATAGAAGATAGAGAGTGTGTATAGTGCACCGGGATAAAAGGGAGCTTCAGTGACACCTAAGAAGAATCGCACGGCAACAAGACCTACATAGTGGAGTTAGTGGGTACAGGGGCAAGTGGGCTCTCGATATGTTGGGACCAACCTGAGTAGTTATGGACGACCGCGGTCAAGCCCGATACCAGGGCCCAGGCTGCCATGCATATACACATATACCAAGATGGACGGATCTTGCCAGACGACATCAGCATGTTCGATGGGATCTGCATTAGCAGGTAACTGGTATATAGCGTCAATGATGTTGTACAAGCAACGTTTGCGCAGGTACCTACCCAACGAAAAGAACCGATATGCAGGTGTTGTATTGGGAGCCCACCAGGCCTAAGTCTTCCTCGAGATTGTTCAAGCGGGCATTGGCAATCGCATTTCGGTCCAACTGCAGAACTGTCAGTTAAAGCAGTGATTCGCGCTGTCAAGCAGTCAAGCACAAAGCAATGTGACAGCTTACATAGTTCATAAAGTACATAGCCCACAAACTAGGCATGATTCTGTAGTCCAGTTTCTTTACCAGAGCGATTTCCTTTGGGTCAGTCTTTTTCTTGGCTCCAGAATAATCAGCATTGACTACAGCCTCGCGTTCCTCTTTCTCATAAATAGATTCAATTTGCTGACTTGTCGGCTCCATAGTTCCCATGGCCTTCTCAGGCACAACTGATCGAACCTCAACCATGCTGGATAGGTAGTCTACACAGATTGAAAATGGAAGATGGTTAGGATGTGTGCATTAGGATTTCAACTCAATTGCAAGTGAGCTTAGATACTCAACCTCTGAATATGCACAGGTGAGCCTTTTAATACATCTGCTTACCGCTGTTTCCAAGACGAGATACAACCTTCTAGGAATCATACTACCCCATGCCAACGACCACGAACCCGTGCACAGGATCAACGGATAAGATCATCCCACGACAACTCTTAGCTGGGGGTGAATACAGGGAATACATGCATCGCAACCAACAAAGCCTGGGAAGTATTGAGATAAACATGCGACAATGGAGTCGTTTGTTCAAGCTAGAACGAATGAGAAATTTGGGAACCAATGGGTAAGAGTCCAAGAGAGTCCAAGACCTGGGCGTTGGCGGGGAAGACTTGGCCCCGGGACCATTGTCGGCACGCCGGTTCACGCCAAGAGAGCTTTTAGGCAAACAGAGCTCTTAGCAGGTACTCACAAGACTCTTTTTTCAGTAGCGTTATTGGAAATTTTGTGGCCGTTAGCTGATTACGGATTATGTGCCGAGGTTTAGGGAGTTTTACGACGTGACATAGGGCCGTAGCTTGAATTCTATTGGGTTACTAAGCACAACTTCTTGATCAAAACACGTTGGAACAAATTACTTTCTTGAGTTGAGACTCACATCAATGATCCTCTTGCCTCCCATGTTGATGCCCTATAAATCTCAGTCATGCACATGCTGGCGTTGCTACCCGATATTGCAGGTGATACATGAGGCTCACGATGTTGCACCTCTCAAGGATAAACATGCGCGAGAGGTGGCATAGAGAGGCTGCCCCAGGTGAGCTCTAGAAAGGAGCTTGACATGGACTTTTCGTTTCTTCATTGTGAGGTGGTTGGGCTGTTAGCCACAGGCATATCACGTAGGCAAATTCAGTTATCTCAGCCCAAACTGGCAACGCGATCCGTATCTTCCTACTAGCGCATTGCGAGCCTCAGCGTGTATCATTGACAGTTTTGCAAGGCATTCCACGTGTTACTTCTATGGTCTTGTGTCTATGCTCTGGTTAGCAGCTCTGTCCACTCAACGATGCTCCGAATTTCGAATACATACCATATAACGCAGAGCCAGTATCCAAATTTTCTTGGCTGCGAGAGTCCTCGAACAGCAGATTCTACAGATAGACGCAAGTATTGAGGAGGTTTGGCCAGGTCCTGTAGTGTCTTGCCAGTTTCTCCCAATTCGCTTTCCTCGATTCTGGGCTTAGGAAAACTTAAATCATCTGAAGAAGTGGTATTCATGAACTCTGAGGTTCAACCCGAATCTGACAACCTTATAAGTCAGTCGCCATCATCCTATCTTTGGTATGAGGAAGCTTTGCGTTCTTGTCGTGACGGAATATCACGTGCTCTCGACTGAGATCCTTAAGCAACACAAACGCACGCTGAAATTTCAATGGGCCAGTGGGAGATGAGTTACTTGACTGGGCCAGGACTTGCTAGTCCTCCCTTTGGAGTGGCGGCAAAGCCTGTGGCATTCAAGACGCTGTATGGGTAACTGTGTCACAGCCTTGGCCACTCGGACAATTTATGTCCAGCTCGACGAAGTGGTGGGGATTACTCTTATGGGGCGGACTTTGTCAAGTCCGACTCGCCCCGATTTTCCGAAGAAACCCCTCGATGACCGTGAGAAGTTGGTCGTCGAACAATCGAGAACGATAAATAAGTGGTGCTCAATGATTTCCATTGATGAAGGTTGTACGTGTTGACAAAGAGATACCCTTGCAATCACTCCATCTCCTATTTGAGTAGCTACTGCCAAATCACCATGTCCCCCTCAGCTATCTCTATTGCCAAATCTTATAGCATTGCTTCAATTCCAGCGGATGGGATTGGCCCAGAGGTTGTGAAGGCCGCAATTGCAGTCCTGAAAGCTCTCTCGGAAACTCTAGGGACCTTTGACATTGAGTTCAAACATTATGACTGGAGTTCAGAAACATATAAGAAGACCGGGAAGTACATTCCCGATGGCGGGCTTGAAAGCCTGAGGAAGCATGATGCCATCCTATTCGGCGCCGTTGGCGCTCCTGGTGAGGCCCCAACGACTCAAAACCCGAGAAGTCTGTACTAATCAAACAAAGACGTCCCCGATCATATCTCGCTGTGGGGTTTGAGACTAGCAATCTGCCAACCTTTTCAGCAGTACGCAAATGTTCGGCCCACCAAGGTGTTCCGTGGGACACAATCGCCACTACGCAATTGCAAGACGGGAGACCTTGACTGGGTAATTGTTCGAGAGAACAGCGAAGGCGAGTACGCAGGTCAGGGCGGCCGGTCCCACCGTGGCCAGGCATGGGAGACGGCAACTGAGGTGGCGATGTTCACACGCCACGCTGTTGAGCGGATCATGCGCTTTGCATTCCAGACTGCCCAAAGCCGCCCACGCAAGCTTTTGACCGTTGTCACCAAGAGTAATGCCCAGCGGAACGGCATGGTGCTGTGGGACGAAGTTGCTGCTGAGGTGGCCGAAGAGTTTCCAGACGTCACCACTGATAAGATGCTCGTCGACGCCATGACCTGCCGCATGGTGCTAAAACCCGAATCGCTCGACACAATTGTGGCTACGAATCTCCAGGCCGATATCCTCAGTGATCTCGCAGCGGCGCTGGCCGGATCTATTGGCATTGCTCCCACCTCCAATTTGGATCCAAGTAGACAGAACCCCAGCATGTTCGAACCGATCCACGGATCCGCATTTGACATTACTGGGAAAGGTGTGGCGAACCCAGTAGCAACCTTCTGGACGAGCTCAGAAATGCTTGCATGGCTTGGTGAAGAGGATGCAAGCAAAAAACTCCTGGATGCTGTTGAACGCGTATGTGAAAAGGGTATCGTTACCGCGGATTTGGGTGGTGTAGCTAAGACGGAGGATGTGACTAATGCTGTCATCGAAGAGATTAAGGAGTCTTATGGCAATACGAGCAAGTAGGCATGAACGGCTCCATATTAAAACCAGTTCTAAACCACATTAGCAATAAACAATTTTGAAAATGGATTTGAAGTTCTTATTTACTGATATCTTTTTGGGCGTAGACAATCGCTCTATGCCAGAGCTTGCTTCTATTAGTAAGTGTAATCAAGTGAACCGGGTGGTAAATCATTTAGTAGCTGAACCCAAAAGAGGATTCGGTGCTCCCAAATTGAGCGAAGTTTGAGAAGTCTAGAGCTCCTAAAGGGTCGAACCACTCTTGACCATAAACATCCATTGACGCAGTCTCTCCGGGAATGTATCCCTGGTTCTGACCCGGAGTCCATTGAGCCGAATCCAATGAAGGGTATCCTCGATTCTGATCATTGAGGACCATGGAAGGAAATCTGTTTTCATTATTTAGTTGATAGTGACCAGATAGGCAAGTGTAATTTGTCCGAACTCACCCAGCTGGATTGGGTGATTGGCGCCTCGGGGTTGATTCAAGGGCGCAAGGTCGAAGATGACCAGAGCGACCTCCAGGTTGGGAGTCGCTACCGTATTGACCCTTTTGCCAATCATTTAATTCGCCCGTTCCTGAAGGCACGTGTCGTTCATTTGAGCTTGTTGATGACGCCGCTCTCTCTGAGCTGTGATCACCAGAGTTTTCTTGATGACTCTGAAGCGCGGATACTAGATATTCCACGCCAGATGCACAGGAATCTGGCCAAGATGTTCCCCTTGAAGCAAGCTGTCTGAGTATGTATAATGCTTTCTTTGCGTATCTGTATATATCAAGTCAGATCCTCTTTGATAAAATTTGCTTCGGAGAGATTACGCACTTCTGCGCTGAGGGGATAGTCGTCTCTCCTTGAAGAGCGGCATAAGTCAGAATGAAGCAACTCATCCAAACTGACCATGTCAGAAGTGGCCAAACCATGATATTATGAAACGAGGATCCGTTGTGACGGGGATCATTTTGAATGATAGTATCCAATATAGACCTTGAAGCGCTAATGCATGCTTGCAGTGCAGCCTGAGATGCTGGAGAGTTGACTTCCGAGGCAAGGAGAGGTCGGTTTAGTGTGATAACCGATTCATGTTGCATCAAAGACAGCAAAGTTCGCTGCGATGGAGGAACTGGAGAAACAGAATGCTGGGATCCGGGATCCTCGAAGTCTACGCGATCTTCTGTCTGCTCATGAACGTCATTCACCCACTTCGAGAGCTCGGATTGAACCAACATGGCCCGTTCCACTGTGTCATGGCGAATCGCAATGGACTTGTGGCGCAGTTCCAAGATCAGGCCGCGTAGTCGTGCATGTTTGGCATTCAAGATGAGGAAGAGCAGTGGGTCAACTTTGGCGAATTAGTTAATAAATGATAAGCCGTGATGGCCGGAGATTCCTTACCATCTGTTGTTTCTCCTGGAAGAATGCGGGTTCCGACATTCCCATGGATCTCATGCGAAGGCAAACATACATCTCCATCGTCATCTACAATATCAAGTGGATGCCCTAGTGCCTGGCAAACCATTCTCTCAAGGCAATATATCGACCACCATACTCTCTTTCGCATGGCAGCTTCGTGAGAGCTGAAGTTTGAATATCGGGCTGGGCAACGGTAAAGACCCAGATGGAATGACATGCGAACAACTACTCCGCCAAGTCTGGATGCCATATTGAACCGCAACATTGATACCAGGAACAGTTGAACACATACGGCCGCCTGGATGTTCTTCAGCGTGGCAGGGCACCCAAGGGCAAATACCAGACTTGACGCTATATGCTCCTGGTTGAGAAATACCAAGCTGGTAGGCATTGCTGCTTGATGAACACCTGTCTGACGAGAGTCCGCCAAAGATATAGAGACGAGAGCTCGGATGATAGTTGCATCTGCCTGCCCAATGTTCAACATGCCAGTTACAGCAGCCTTTTCGAACAATTCCAATACCTCGGGACCGTGGAGGAACGGGAATGCAGGGTGCCAATTCTCAAAATAACTTTTGGTCCACCTAGTAAGATTATCAAAGCTGATAAGTGGTGCTCCAGGAGCGGTGTCGTCGACAACCTCCGCATGACGCCAAAAAGGGACGCGCGAGTTGGTGCCAGGAGTTGAGACCGTATCCGAAGCGGAATCCATGAGTTGATCATCTTCACCAGGAACTAGGTCGCCTCTCACTCGGTTTCTGACAATTTTGCTATTCCCGGCCGCGCTGCGAGAAAGGACATCGTAGACAGACCGAATGAAGTGAATGCCGCTGCCGCTGCCAATGAATCGAGGTAGGCCAGATTTTCCACCGTTCCTCATAAGCCCGATCTCCTGTGTTGAGTTGGCGTGAGACGCAGTTCGCCTCCTTTTTGATGGGCGTTGGCATTGGACTGGCGACCTTGATTCGGTCTGGCTAGACCATCCGTCCAGCCCGGGGCTGCTGGCGTCGCTCATGGCTGCTGCTTCGAGGCTCACAGCGCTACGCGGAGAGCAGGCGAAGAAAGGCGTCTGATATCTCCCTATCCGCTCAATGCAGACGCCTCTGGATCTCTTTTGTCATTGCCATAATAGGAAGTGCCTGGGTCTATCACGAGAATGCTCAAGAACGGGGAGCAGGAGCGCTCATTGAGTCGTAATACCACTGAAAGGTTGGGCTGGTGTCGGCTGCCCCGCGAAAAGTCGATTCTTAGCGTCATTTAAGGGGTGCACAGATCGGCGGTACCTTCGCCAGCAGTCTGGTGTGCTTCGAACGGTCACGAGAGATAAATGTCCCATTAAGAGAGACAAACATATATCCAAATTTGGAATTAGGATTCAAAATATATATCAAAAGTACGTGCGTTTGTTTTCTTGTGCATAAATACTAGCTATTCCTTGTATTGGGTCGTCTTGGTGTTGCTGCACTGACCGCGGTCTGGCCTCAGTAGCCGGGGAGCCTCCATTTGTACCAGACGGTTGACGGTTTGCAGGCGGACTCGCCATAGCCATCTGCTCCTCAAAACCTGATGCCTGCCACGATACAGCCGAATTTGTTATCTGCAGGTCGACGTGACGACTTGAAAGCGAGTTAGGATATCCTGCCGGCAGAGGCAACGAGCTCGCCGGCCATGAGTGCGCTTCTGGAGGCGCGTAATTCGCAGAGCCAGCAGCTTCGTTTGGGTGATCTTCTCTATTCGATGTCGGTTGCAATCCGTGCTGGCGACTCTGGAACCAGGCAAGTGAATTCTTACGATCATCTAAAGGAAACTGTGCCCATGTGCCAACTAATTCGTTCTTGTTTTGTGATGAAGGCTTCATCACTCGGAGCCCGGCATCTGAGTAATCACCCTCCTCGGCGGTATCTCTGTGTATCTCTGCCAGCGCGAAGAATAGGGCGCGCTCTGTTTCCGCGAGACGTTTCTCTAGGGAGTTGACATACCCTGCTGGAAGACCTCTAAGACAATGTAAGTCAGAAAGAAAGGCTGTGGAGCGCCGGGGTATCAAACCTCCTGTTTTGTTCGGGGTAGTGGCACCTTTCCGGAGTTGTGCTACATTGCGAACATACTGGCCTAGACAGAATCAGCAAGACTTACCACGACGAGCTAAAGGTAGTATTAGGTACGTTTTCCGATCGCACTATCGTATGGAATGTAAGTCTTAGATGGTCAATTACTATGGACAAGATACTAACTTTTTGTTTCTTCGTCCTGCACAATTCGCATGCAATCGAGGACATTTGTGCTAGCAAGTATCAGCCGCCATCAGCAGACGCTCGGGGCCAGCTGGCTTACCTAGTCTCACATCGCCCATGACTACTTGGAATGCTCAGGAGTGCTGGGGAGGCCTTAGAGCTATTGAAAGTAATAGGCCTTGACACCGCTTGTGGTAACGCAATTGCATCTGGAAAAATTATTCGCAGCCAGACATTTCACGGAGTGGTGGCAACGCTACGATTAGTAAGTACGTAGTAACTAAATGGTAACTGGCGGTCTCGTTATCGTTTCAACTAGCTCCTCAGCGCCGGAGTTTTCTATGTCCGGCGTGGAATTGACCCTATGGCGCCACTTGCTAAAGCTACAGCCGGCTCCAGCGTGCAGTTAATAATTCAGGCCCAGGAAGCCAATTGTTTTTCCATTTTCCGGGGATGCGATTTCAGTTACACCGAATTTACCTTCAGAGACATGATCACTTAGAAGAACAACGAGCATGTTGATTCATTACGAAAAGCTACGATTTCTCTCGCTGCATGTAGACGCTTCCCATCGCCACGCCGTCATTCGTTGCTCAGCTTGAAGTACCCGCCATGTTGTAGGCATCGATACACTTTGCATGGCCTGTATCATTATTTACTCGGATTTCCGTAATCATAACTCAACTTGTAGTGTTTCCAGGACCAAACTCTCAATGCATGCTAGCTGGCTAAAGCTAGAGCAGCTGTCAGCCGTTGGAACTAACCGTATTGTTAGTATCCACAGAGCTCAGGGTGGACGAAGGCAGTTATGGCTTGGCTGGGTTTCGAGACTTGGACCAGAAATACATTCGCACCTCCTTTTTGTTCAGAGCGTATCGTGTCAGCATCGAAGTCGCTCCGCGAATTTAGTCACAGACCGCCGCCAAGATGAGCGTAGTGCAAACGGGATTGGCTGCACGAAGAAGAATATTGTCATACTCATCTCCGTACTAAGGCAAGTAGTATTTCATTTGTTGAGTGCAATCACTGCGCTATTGTCAGATATTTACAAACTGCGTACCCGCCTACCGAGTCACAGGGAACCTGGGATCAACACGTCATGTACTTTCGCGGATCAACTCAATTAAGAATATCTTGAGTCTTGCGTATCTCGAAGGCGGAATAACATTTCTATCAAAAACTAGTTGCAGTGACTTGTTTAGTGTATGAGAAAGATTGTGAGGAATGCAATACATTATGTGGCTTGCAACGTCAGCCTGCCGTGGTGGCCGATGAATGGGGATGTCCGAGAAACTTTCAATCACAGCCACGTGTGCTTTGATAGATCATGCACTTAGGAAATCAAACCTTTGTCAAATTACTTGACGCACTGGCCGTCTGTGAATTAAACTAGCTTTGAAATTGCGACTGCGCATAACAGACTTGCCAACTTGTCAGGCATATTCCTCTCGTTAGCCCAGGGATTGAGCTATAGAATCTCGGGCCGTCCGGCAATCCGGCAACACATGCTGGACATTGCAAAGACCTTCCTATCAATTCACGACAATCTTTTTATTCCGTCGTGAGAAGATATCCTGGAAATTGGTAAACTCAAGAAGCCGAAAGCCGTCATCGTGACCTCGTCCCAAGTATAAGACAAGGCGTTCTTGGCATTCAATCCATTCAAGCCAAGACAGAACTGCTCACAGCTGCTACAGTACAACATATACACGTTTGAACACCGCAAAGTGCCTTTAAAATGGTTTCCAAGAGTCTGATCACCGCACTCATTGCCGCTCCCCTTGTGTTGGCGGGACCTATCGTTCGGGATGGTCTTGATACAACACCGAGCCAAGTAACCCCCCAAGTGAGTGTCTCCAGAAGGACATGGCGCCGAATGAAGGTTCGATTACTGACGGTCATAGTACGGCGAGTACAACAGCCTGGCGGATCACTCGGCGTCTGCTGCTCGAGCATTGGCCCGGATCGCCGATTTCGATGTCAAGCGAAGTGCTGAGAAGCTTGCTGAGGAGGGGCGCCAAAAGGGGAAGAAGACTGGTAAACGCTTGCTCTGCGATCTTTGAACAACTTGCATCCATCTAATATAATCGACAGATGGCAAGAAGCACGACGGGGGCGGCCACAAAAAGGAAGACAAGAAGAAGGCCGGCGCCAGAGCGGAAGAAAAGCACGACGATGTAGGTTCCATGCTGGGCTCAAACGCCCACCATTTACTCACGGAACGGATAACTGATGTTGCGAGTCAGTCCAAGAAAAAAGATGGAGAGGATAAAAACAAGCAAGGGGAGGAGAAGAAAGGCGACGGTAGCGCCGATCACAAGACTACCGACACAGGCAAGGATGGCCAGCACGGAAACGACAAGCATAGTCATGCTGGTAAGTTAAAACAAAGCACGGTTTGTGAATACAGCGTGGATCGAATCATCACGACTAACTTATTTCTAGAGTAAGAAGCAGGGCCGGAGGAACATGGCTAGAAAGCTCAAGAGGCACTATGATTGAGGTCGACCATCAAAGCCACTGATCATAATTATAATCCAAACTATGTTCCTTAAACCTGCAAAATGCCCGCGTTGAGATGAGGAGCAGATCAATTCATCGATTAGAGAACGTTCACACCCGCTCTCTAAATCGTTAGATGTATTATACTGTCGTGCTGGATGCTTCGTACCCCCAAAAATGGCTCAATGTTCAGTATGTTCTTGAGAAATGAAGTGTTGATGATGGTCTAATCGCTATGGAAATGCGGACACAGACCCCACAAGAGCGCTAACTAACACCACGCAATGCTGATGACTTAATGGTAAATAAATACGGGCCCTGACATCATGCCTCAATAGGATTTAACGATGTCAAGTCAAGGCTTTCGGTCAAGTCTAGGGATTTGAACCCGTCCTCAACTACCCAGCTACGGCCCTTCTCGCTCTTCCATAACGCTTCGCAAGCGCTGCCAACGACCAATAGGCCAGGCGGCCGACTCCCCTCCTGCTCAATCGCCTCAACGACTCTATCGAGTGTCGTCCTAATCACCCTCTGGTCAGGGCAGCTTGCGCGCTCGATGACGGCGCAAGGAGTGCGCGGGGGCCAGAGCGCCCTTCGTGGGACGCTCTGCTGCGCATTCATGTCAAGCACGCCTTGCTTGCGCTCCTCTTCTAGAACCATTGTTTCGTTCTCGGTGTACTCCGTAAGTTCCTGCACCAGACCAGAGATACGGTGAAGCCCCATCAGGAACACCACCGTCCTACTAGCAACGTACTCTGGTGGGTTAGGGGGTTTCCCCTTTTTACCCGTGCCGGTACAGATGAGGACCTGATCAGCCACGTCTCGCTGCGTTGGTGGAATGCCAGCAAACAAGGGTGCTGACAAGGAGCTCGTGATGCCGGGCAACACAACGACGCGATCGCCAAGACCATGTTGTCTAAAATAGGCCACCTCCTCACCACCGCGGCCATAAATGAACGGATCTCCTTGCTTAAGGCGCAAAACAGTCTTGCCCTCCCGCACGCCAGCTAAAGCCAACTCCAACAGCTCCTCTTGTGCAGCGTCGGCATTGCCCGGAAACTTTCTTGCGATCTGAACTGGAGTTCGCCGCGGAATCAGGTCAAGCACGCCTGAAGGTACAAGCTTGTCTGCAAGGATGAGGTCGGCATTCTGAATGGCCTTGTGCGTTGCTTGTGTGAGCAGGTCTGGGTGTCCGGGCCCCGAGCCCGCAAGGATGACCCGGCCTTTCAACACTGAACCCTGAGGGGACGTGGGCTTCCCGATGGGGTTGGCGGCATCGGTGCCAGCATATAATTTCAATATGGCGGCGACATCCTCGTCGCTGATGGCAGCGAGGCGCTTCAGAGGCCAGTATTCGCAGATCTGGCTCAACCACCGCATGCGCCTATGCTTCACCGCGTCCAAGTCCGCCTCAATGACCAGTTTATTGAACGTAGCGGATTGATCCAGCGAATCATCCAAATCCTCACCATCTGCAAGCGCGTGGTGCAACAGCTGGTCCTCTTCTTGTATTCCACGCCGAACGTCGCCCAGTCGTACGCATGCTGTACCCAGGTTTGGGGGAAGGGAGGCTGCTATCTCGCGACGTATCCTCGAAGCCAGCTTGCACCCACGGCCATTGGTCGTAACACCGATCTGCAGCGGGCCGTCCGTATGCGACGAGAGCAGGCTGAAGCTCGAGAGCTGTGGAGAATCGACAACGTTGACAGGTATCCGGTGCCGCTTGCACAGGGTCGCGACATGTGCGCTCAGGGGCTCCCGCGGCCCCGAAGTGACAAAGACTGCATCCACCACCCCGTCGACCTCTTCCCGTCCCAGGGAGAGGACGTCGTCGTCCTCGAATGCCTTCTTAATCCACTTTACATCCCCGTCATCGACGCGTTTCTGCAATGCGTAATGGAGCTCGGCGGTTTCGGGCGCAAGTAGTACCGGTAATGCGCCGACGTTTAGGGATTGGCTGCAGCGGGCGGCGGCAAGAGGATTCGACCCGATGATGAGGTGGATGTGGAACCTGGCATCAGTCGCCGTGAGGAGAGAGATAGGGTCGGCCATCGTCGACTTCGATGCGGCAGTGAATCAGCCTCGTGGCCGGGCGCGAATGGCAAGCCCTGCGTGCAGCACCTCGATGTACGTGTACGGACGGAACGGGGGCATCCGCAGGCGGCAACGGGGCGCGAGGAAGAAGGCCTGGGGATATAACAAGAAACGACGGTGGAACAGTCGATCGATGTCTCCCACCTTGGGCCTTGCCGTTACCAATGCCAATGCCAATGCCAATAATCGTTGGAAAACAGCGACGCCATCGCACCGTGGTTTTGCGAGTCAAGAGCATCTCCGGCCTCGCTGCGGCCAGCAACTTTTCTGCCCCGCCGACAAAAAGTTGCGATTGCGCAATTGTCGCTAGAGACAGCTCGGCCGACCAATCAGAGCCGGGATATTGTGGTAAGCCGCGTCGACTCCAGCGACCCCGCGGATTCTGCTCGGAGATGTGATTTCTCCTCCCGCATAACTTATCTCACTTACAGCGATAAGGAGGCCAGTACGGCCAGGCCTGTCGCGATCCAGGAACGCATCCTTCCTCCACGTGACTGGCGCAACATCTCCCGGGAACCTTGGAGGGGATCTGCAATAACAGTTCAATCGATATTTGGAATAGAGAGTTAGAATGTTCTTGGGAAGGACTGCATCGCGCGACCAAGGCAGGCAGGGCCAAGGGACCCTGATCAGCCACTAGGTCTCAACGCATAGACCTCGGATCCCCGCGAAACTCTATCCATAAGGCTGTGTTTCGACCCTCTTGCACAGGCTGGCAGGCTGCTGCGATCACATGGACACGATGCAGAGACTGTTCTACGAAATAAACTCGGCCAAACCAAGATGCAATGTCGTCTGGCACCAACGTCCCAGCTAAACTTAATTGTTAAATTGCACGGATGCCTTTCCGCTACCGCAGTACACTTAGCCCTTGCTTAGAATGCGCAACTAAAGGTGGCTAACTTGGAAGACTCGGCCCATCGGCTACCTCGGCCAAGCCAGTGTCTATGAACGACCATAGTAAGCGGGGCCCGCCTCCAGCCTCCAGCGTTTCCTCGGTGGCTGTAGACACGAAGACCGAGGAAACGCGTACACCATGCAAAACCCAGGGGAAGGAACTTGGTGTGCGGGCTCACCTACGTTGGAGATGCTACACATCTCTCCCGGCAGTCCGCTGGAGTTCCAAGTCTTTGGCCCCTTGGCTGGCTTGGGCCCTTTTGGCCACAGCACGATGCCTGCAACAGGGTGCACGAGCCGAACTCCCTACTGGGCAGTGGGTCCTGCAGCCATCAGACGAAGTGCAATCCAACAGTGTAGTAGTGATCATGCGTCTCACCGGATCAGGTCCCAGGTGTCACGGCTCGCCTGCGCCCGAAACGACACTTGACCGAGTGGAGGGAGCCCACTCTGTGTGAGACATTACACGGCCCTATGAGACCTCACAGGCTGTCAGACCTGATAGACAGGCCAGGGGAGGGGTCTGAGCGTATACCCTAGAAACCAAAAATGGCCAAGTTTCTCTTTTAGCAGGTGGAGCACAAACGGTCTGGCCTTTGGTTCAAGTCCCTGTACATTCCATTTGACTTCCTAGTTGGGCCTGTCCGCCACATGGCACGCTGCACAGCTTGTCTTGGTAAACTTGGATATGCTTTCTGCTCAAACGTGTCAAGGTGATTTAGCCAGGTATGGCTTGCTCGCGCCCTACTTTGGCCTAGCATATCCGACTTCTGGCGGGTTCAAAGTGGTACGCGCAGCTCGAAATGGCTAAAGCGTTATAGAGCCCCTTAGTGGTGTGGCGGACCAGAGTTTAACGGCAGCGCGCTATAGAATTCAGGGCACCGAACGACATGCCGAGTGACACCCACCGTGGCATCGCCGCCCTTGACAGAATGCAGGAGCAAGCATTGCAGGGTTAGCCGACGTCAATGTCGGATTGGCCCGAAACCCTCGTCCTGTCCCAGAAGGGTGGTTCAAGTAGGGAGGGTTCTCCAGAATAGATTGCTGATCGCTCCCCTTTGACGTTCGAACCGGGTCTGCGACCGCAATCATCGTGAGTCTGCTATGCTAGAAACATTGCAAATTCAGTAGCTGGCATCATGAAGACCCTCTTTCGAATAACTATAGGGCTGCTGCTAGCGGTGTTGCCCGGTGGACTAGCCCAAGACTCAGCAACATCGTCCGCAGTGGCGCTGATAGCCACATTACCATCGTGTGCTGTAAGCTATATCCAATCCCTTCGCTCAGTCACTGTTCGGATCTGACATATGATCTCCCAGCGCGACTGCCTGTTCACGCGAGTTTCGGAGTCGTCTTGTGCCATTACGAACACGACATGCGTTTGCACAAACGCTCCGCTCCAGCAGAACCTGACCCTCTGTGTCCTTGAGAACTGCACGCTCAAGGAAGCTTTGTGTATGATGCCACCTTCTCAGTCCTCATTTCGCGCAGCTCGACGGCGACTAACTTGAGTTCAAGTCGCCAAGAATGTCACGCAAACGATATGCCACGCCCCGGTCCGGAGCGAGCAGCGTGTGTCCTACGTCTTGACGGTAACTTTCGGCGTGGTTTCTGCGGCCGCGATTCTTGCCCGCTTTGGCTTCAAGATATTTGTAACAAAGGTCTCGCCGAGTCTCGATGACTGGTTCATCCTCATCACTCTACTCTCCGGCATTCCAAGCACAGTTATCAACACCGAGAAGGTCATACCCAGCGGACTGGGAAAAGATATCTGGACCCTCACCCCCGCCCAGATTACCGATTTTGGAATGTACTTCTATGTTATGATGGCCCTCTACTTCTTACAGGTCACACTGCTGAAGATGTCGCTGCTGTTCTTCTATGTCAGGATCTTCCCCGACAGGATGATTAAGCGGCTCATTTGGGGAACTGTGGCATTCAACGCATGCTTCGGTCTCTTCTTTGTCCTCATCTCCATCTTTCAGTGCCAGCCCATCAGCTTCTACTGGACGAAATGGGATGGTGAACACGAGGGGAAGTGCCTTAGCATCAATGGCATCGCTTGGTCAAACGCCGCCGTCAGCATTGCGCTAGATATCTGGATGCTTGGAATTCCGCTTTCACAGCTCCGGACGCTCCACATGCATTGGAAGAAGAAGATCGGTGTTGCCCTCATGTTCATCGTCGGGGCCTTGTAAGTCTCGATATTCTCATGTCCAGTCTAGTTGACGCTGCTCGCTAACACGCCTCTTTTCCAGCGTTACGGTCGTCAGTATTCTCCGGCTACAGTCCCTGGTCATCTTTGCCGACACGCAAAATCCCACGTGGGACTACTTCGGCGTCAACAACTGGTCGGTCGTCGAGATCAACGTCGGCATTATCTGCACCTGCATGCCCGCCCTGCGACTCATCCTCGTACGCATCTTTCCTGCTCTTGGTGGCACGACAAACGCGAGCAACCGATATTACCAGTCGGGCAGCATTACTGCGACCAAGTCCAAGGGGCGACGAAGTCGAGCGGGAACAGGGGGCCAGATGCCACCCACTGACTTCCACCGAGGAGAGCCTAAGAAAGGAGGCATCTACCAGCAGAAGACATACAAGGTCCAGTACGACGATAACGACGAGCAGAGTCTTGTTCACATGCAAGACCTTGACTTCAAGAGGGGCAAATCAATCAGCACAAGTGAGGTCTCTGTGTAAGGCTATAGTCGGCCCTGCGCTTGTGCGCCAAGGGATTACGGAGTTGGTTACCGGGCTATTTTCGTTCGCCATCCGGTTACATATCTAAGTACAAAGGCGGATTCTACCTTTTTTTTTTGTTTTCTTTGTCTCACATAGCGCATGTATATATGTCGTGCTTGTCAAATAGCATTCGCCATCGAGCGGGCTGGGGCCGCGCCAAAGGCATGATACCAGAACTGTTAATAGAGGACTTCATATTACCAGAGGCCGTTCGCATCCTCGCGACAACAGCCGAAGGCCAACTGCCGGCTCGCTTGACTCGCTTCACGCACTCGCCTCCTGAATACGGCAGCATATTTTCCTGCACTTGCAGATGGTGGGATGCACTGTTCGCTTAAGTTATGCAGCATCCCACCTGGCGTGAGGCGTTCTGCAGCCACCTTAGGGCTTACATTGGCGCGAACTCTCCGGGTGGCTCGGCTATCATTGTCCGGGGATAGCGGCGGTTGGCGTGCCCCAACACGAGTCCGGCCTGAAGAGTCGGCCAATCAATTTGAGGGTCAAATCTCGGCATATCTTGATGAGGCCGAGGTTTGTCATATTAAATAGGGTAGTGAAACGATGTGTGTTTAGCTGCATGTTCCGCTCCGCATGGCGTGACATCGCCATCCACGAAAAATGGCAGTGCTCTCAGGTTCAGCGTGAATTCGGCAAGTGCAGTGCTGAGACTGCCATTGTATGACTAAAAGGGAGGAAATGAGATGAAATTTGATGTTGCCCCTTTCAAATACGGGTACCGGTGAACCAAGATCGAAAACAGTTGGTACGACTTGTATGATTAAGACCGGGTATGAATGATTCAAATGGTGGATGCGCGTTCTCGAAGGTATATGCTCCACTAATGTATATACAACGCCGAGAGATAACATTTACGACTTAAGCCGTTCTTATGCTTAAGCTCGGCACATCCTCCCATCAGCAGCCACAGTCCAAGCATCGCTACCAATGCCTTTCAAAATATAGAAAACTCCCGTGGGATCCCACTTGTTCTTGATAGCCAATAACCGGTTGTAGTTTGGCCCGAAGAAGTCTTCCTTCCAATTGGGCTGGTTGAAGTCGGCCTCATTGATATACGTTCCACTCCCCGGGGTGATCGCCATCACCTGGGGCACAAACTCGTTTGTCATCTGCTTTTGCGCAGCCAGATTTTTGCTCCACGCGTCGGGAGAATTGTCCCAGAGGGTTATTATCTGCAACCTGTAGAAGGAAATTCTTCATCAACATGTGCCCACTTGACGAACGGTGTTATACCAAAGAGATCGCGAAACTTACTGCATGATAGAAGACCGCCAAGCTGGGTGCACAGAGTTTGACGCCTGCTGCACGTTGGCATAGCTGGCAGCTGTGACACCGGCGATGACACCATGCGCCGTCAGGTTCTGAACCACGGCATTGAAACCCTCATTGTTGGTCTCAACCACGCTGCGGGGGATCAGGCGGGAACCAAACTGGTACGAATTGACCGCGAGATGGCCGTTAGGAAGGGGTCCCATATATTTCTCGTAATGGTCGTTGTAAGAGAGCGAAGTGAAGCTGCTGGATGAGGGCACACCAAGCTCGGCCAACTTGGCAATGAAAGGCGCAAGAACGGTGTTCTTGACATAGTCGCCAGTGGAGTTATAAACGGTCACCGGGTTGAGCTGCAGGACTTGGTTCGTGAGTAGATATGCAACACTAGCTCCAAGGTCTGTCATGTTGGGCAGCATGGCGTGGAAGGCTGTGACAGCCTCGTTGAAAAGGTCTTGAGTGGTGTACGCCGCAGATAGGGCGAGCGTTGCTCCGCCAATGGTCGTCTCAGGAAACGCCCGAACCGTTAAAGACGTGACAACGCCGAAGGTGCCAGGGCCGCCACCAGACAGAGCCCAGTAGAGATCAGAGTTCACCTTGCGGGAAGCGGTTACAACTGTGCCGGCGGCGGTGACCACCTCAAATTCAAGGGTCTGGTCGGCAGCAAGTCCAAACTCGGTCGACAAGACGGAATGGCCACCGCCCTGGGTGAAGCCACCAGCAATACCAACAGTAGGACACTCTCCCCCCACGACAACGAGACCTGCCTCATGGGCAGCTTGGGTAGCCTTGTAGCCAAGTACACCAGCACCGAATTTCATGGCCGCACCAGAGTAGGCAGAATCAGACCAAGAAGTCACCTCGACAGAGTCGAGGTTGTGTGTCCAGACAGCCAAGGAACCAGCACCAGTGGAACGGCCGAAGAAGCTATCGAGAGTTAGCATCAAATGTTGGTTTGACGTGGCAGGAGATCGACATACTCATGACCAGTGTTGCGAATCACAAGACGGATGTTGTTCTTCTTGGCGAAGTTGACCGTAGCAGCCACATCGGCAGTGGACGCGACGTCGACTGCGTAGCTGACATAGTTGCCAAGCACGCAAGGCTTGTCCTGAGCGGTAAAGGGGTCGCAACTCTGGTTGGCAAAGTATGTCTGCATCAACGAAGAGGAGGATTCAAGACTAGATAATAGGTGTTAGTGCGACATTATCTACACGCATAATACACACAAGACAGAACCTACTGTGGCGTTGGAAGCGTCCATTCTTCCTGCAAAGCCGCACAAGCGGCGGCGTCATAGTTAGGGTCATGGCAGGGTGAGCCTATGGGGACGGTCGCGATGAGGCGCCCGCCTACAGTAGAGTTGAATTGCGACCAAGTTGTGGAAGATGGCCAGCAGGTGTCGCCAGGCATACAGTAGCATGTGCTCGGTTTGGCACCCATTGCGGTTAGCGGAGCCGCTGCCAAGGCGAACGCCACAAGTCTCATGCTTTGATAGGGTAGGGGGACAATGAGATAGGCGAGCGGATAGAAACGAGAGGCACAGGCGCGGCCAAAAGAGTGAAGACCGTTGACTGTGGTGAACTCGTAGCTCGAGCCGGACCATGAGGTGCAACAGTCATCAATATATTCGAAAACCATCGGTTATCATCAGTCTCGGCCCGGGTGGGCACACGAGGCACCCATGAGGGGCGGAAATGAGAGGGCATAACGGAGAGGGGCGAGGTTACGAAGGCTGCGAGGGACGACGAGGCCCCGGAGATGGGGTGCTTTAGTCGATGTCGTTCTTGGCATCATGGCCGAAAAATGCAATCAACGTTGTATTGGAGGTGGACGGTTTCTTTAGCGTACAGTAGGCTACCTAAATTATAGTCTACCACATCACATGGAGAACGAGTGACGAGAATCTGGCGTACCAATCACTGGCTAGGTAGACCCCAAATAAGGGCAACAGCACCGGTCTCAATAAGCCGCTATTACCACACATTAAACGCGGATTCATTGCCAGGTATCGATGACAGGTCACCTCTCACCGATTATTGGAGAATCGCGTGTGGTTGCAACTGTAGTTTACAGTACGGTAGACGGTCTGCCAGGTCCCATCGCGGTCGATAGACGAGGATCACATGGAATCAGGGGTCAAGCATGGTCTGATATGTCAAGGGTCGTGCAAGGATACAGGTCTCCAGCATGGGCCAGGGGGTGGCGATGACTACCTGTCACCTGCATGCTGGGCAGTCCGAGCGTTGGTCTAGATGAGCCCCGAGTGAACGGAGTTGGGAGGTCTCCGCAATGTTCGCTTACCCCTGCTCGAAGCGCGCGACCCGGGAGAATCCAGTAGCCTTGGTGGATGATTGATGTGATACCTTGTCACCGTCACTATGTGCTAACTAGACAGGTTACAGTATTCCCTTCGTCGGCTCTACATAGGCGCACTGAGGAATCTGTCAAGAGAAAAGCAAACGAATATTCTTGTTCCATCACAATCACTTCATGAGAAACGTGCATTGCACCACAAGAGTATGTCACTGCGCACGAGAGGACTAAGAAATCGTCCCAAATTCAAAGACAGGGGCGATACAATGAATTGACCTGGAGAAACTCGCTATCACCGAACCGGCTTGTCTGGTCTCGAGAATGCAAGAATTAGTAAGCTTATTCATCAAAATACCTGTGCAATTGAGAGTCTACCGGCGGCGTACTCCGAAGCATGCGAACTTGAGATCCCACAAGATTACCACGATTACAAACTAAGGCGACAATTGAGTTGACATGCCATGCCTCATGCTCGGAAAGGTGTGCTTTGCCTCACCTGAGAATGCGACCACTTCAGGTAACAATTATAGTGGAGATATGTCCTTGCAACCTGCCGAGAGTACAATGCTGCAAACTACGTGTTCAGAGTTGCACGCCAGAATGAAAAGAACATTACTCCTAATCAGCCACCATGTTGATTAGTCATGGTCATATCATCGAACTGGTGTGAAAAAGTTATTCAATGCGCCTTCTTTCTGTAAAGAGACTTTGCCAATCAAGAACAAGGGCATCGTGGGCGGATGCAAGCTCTAGTGCTGAGCCCAAGTCCCCAGTTGCAAGTCAAAGCCATCAAGTGGAACAGCCTCGCCCGTAGAAAGTTACACTCGTGCACAACATCGACGAACTGTGAAGATCATTTGCGTGACATTTGACCTTGGAAAAAAACAAAGGATCTATCAAATGAAGAAAGGAGAAGTGAAAACAAGGACAACGTAATTATAACTCTCGTCCAGAACCCAGTTTGACAAACCCTTCATTTTGCTGCTTTTGCCAATCCATTCACAGCCTGTTTACCGAGCTCCTCCAAGGTACCGAGGCCTAGGAGCTGGAGCACGCTAATATCGAACCCGAATGTCTGTCTCCACCAATTTCGCAACTCTATGCCAACAAGCGAGTCGAGACCTAGTTGTTGCACAGGAAGAGTTATGTCAAGACCATCGTCAGGCCGCAAAAGCAAGTTCATCAGCTGTTTCCCGATTTCCAAGGCGATATAGCCGACTGTCTCTGGCTTGCTGAGGATCTCAAGATCGCTCTTGGCCCTGGCCAAGAACGCTTTAAAGCCATCACCTCCAGCACCTGCATTGCCAATATCGCCATCGCTGATGTTGTGCCAGATAGCCATTCGTACGTCTTTCTTCCAGTGCAGACGGCTGTCTGGATGGCTGAGGGACTTGTCTGAGCCAAAGCCCGTAGCGAAGGTGTTCCTGTGGGCGAACGGTACGCTGTTCGCATCGATATGTAGCTTGGGAATGGGATAAGAACATGCTGCCCGGAATGCTTCGATCATTTCCGACTCTGTGACGCCTGAATAACCATTCTTCAGGAGTCTTTGCAGCAGCTTTTGGTCACGAGCAGCGTAGCCCATGTCAGCGACGGCGCCAATGTCTATGGATGATGCGGGCAGCCCATTGCTGTTTCGCCACAGTGCGAAGGCGTCTAAGAAAGTATTGGCACCGGCATAATTGGCCTGACCAGGCTGCCCTGTGATACCCGACATCGAAGACAAAAACACAAAGAAGTCGAGCTCGATACCGGCCTCCACGGTAGCCTCGTGTAAATACCAGGCTCCCTTCACCTTGGGTCCGGTTGCCTTGATCCATTGCTCTAACCTCATGTTTCTGAAAGCCTCGTCCTGAAGAAGCATGGGCGAATGAAGAATGCCCTTCAGGTTTGGCGCTTGCTGGACGGCGCGGAAGACATCATCCCTATTCACCATGTCGCCCTTGACAAGAACCACCTCACATCCCATACTTTGTAGCTCTCCAATAGTATTGGCATCCTCTTTGCGTGACCCAGGGTTTCTCGAAAGGCAGACAATGCGACGAGCACCGTTCTCGACGAGGTGTCTGGCGATAACAGTTCCAATACCACCCAGGCCTCCGGCGAGCAGGTACGAGGCTGCACTATCGACCTTGAAGATATCATCGGCAACTTTGACGAGACTTGTGCCGATCTTGAGTGTGCCATCAGTATCCCTGACCTGGAGAATGACTTTATTCATGTCTTTGCTTTCTTGCACATGCCTGATGGCACTCTCGACGTCAAAGGCATCATATACGATTCGAGGTGAGATCGGGACAATATTACCCTCTTTCAATAGTTTCACTGTTGACTGGAGAAGTCTATAAATCATCTTATGTCAGTTATCAGAGCGACAGCAACAGGATAGTTCAAAATCTGCTTACCCTTTAACGACAGACCGCTTCTTGACTACTAGAGCCTCTAGATTGACGCCAGTGTAACTTCTGCCGCCAAGGAAGGAGTTTAGCTCCAATCTACCAGCACCCACTAGATCTGATGTGCCGATTTCAATCATCTTGCCGAATTCAGCGACGGACTTCCAAGTAGCATGGAGGAGGTCGCCAGACAGTGAGTTCAGAGCCAGATCAACACCCTTTCCACCGGTCGCGTCCAATATCGCTTTCAAGAAGATGTTATCCGCGGACCAGAAGATGGAGGACCTAGGAAGTTTATGACTCTCGACGAGAAATGTAGCTTGTGCCTCAGTGCTGACAGTTGCGTATACATCAGCCTCCAGCGCCTTGGCAAGCTGTATGGCAGCCAGGCCCACATCCCCAGCGGCATTATGGATCAGAACAGACTGCGCGAAAGGTTAGACTATCTTCTCCACTGTAGTAGTTATACTGTAGCCGATATATGTTTAAGGATATATGGGCTACTTACCTGTCCGGTTTGCAGGTCTCCGGCATTGTACAAAGCTGCGAGGGCCGTTCCATATGCAGCAGGCAACGTCGCTGCGTCTTCGAATGAAACATTGTCTGGAATCTTCTCAACTAGCGCCTCACAAGTTCGTAGATGTGAAGAAAAGCTGCCGGCTCCAAGACTGATCACACGGTCGCCCACTGTGAAGTCTAGGACATCAGGCCCGATGGCAGACACTCTGCCACTAGCGCTTCCACCAAGGCCTCCGGCTGGGTACGGGCTGGTGCCCATGACCTCTGCGACATCCTGTGTCAAAATCACGTCAGTTCCAACAATCTTCCAGATAGGGTGCAGACCGTTGTCACGTACTTTGGAGCTGAGCCCAGCATAGAAGACCTCTACCTCGACCTGGTCGCCAACCAGAGGCCCAGGTCGACGCGACTCCCAACTCAGCGAGGTCAGGCGGCCAGGTTTCTCGACTACAAGAGATACTCTCTCCTCTGTAGCTCGTCTAGAGGCTCGCTCGTCACCAAAGGTGAAGGGATAAATGCGAGGGACATTGATGGTGCCGTCGACGATTGCGTACTCATAATTGGGTCTGAAAAACTCGTCCTCATGTCTCTTCTGGAAGTGGACGAATGCGTCAAGTACACGGTCAAGTGATGTAATAACCTCATCAACCTCACAAGTAGCAAAGTCGATGCTGTCTTCGTGGCGGATAGAACGGATCGCGCCGACGACAGTTGCGTATCGCGGGTCCTTGGATTGCATCTGCGATGGGCGGGTGACCCAGAACAGACCTGACTCGCCAATATTGGCGAGCAGTGCCTGCAAAGTCTGAAAGCGGTGCTCGTCAATTTCCTCGAAGAACGGGCTATCCTCATCAAGCAGACTGATTATATCCAGAGATCCTCGCGGCAGCTCGTCGCCGAAGCGACACTTGTTGACCGTGTATCCTCGGTTTTCGAGCTTCTGGCTTACCACATCGACTTTCCTATCGTCAAGTTTGTGGGCCAGAACAGTCACAGCCTTACTGACCGTTGGATTGACATCTTCTTCGGGCCTAGCGATCATGACGGCGCTAAGCTGGTGTGGTGCCGCAGAGTCAAGGACCACGTCCGGCGGAGCAAAGCCAGCGCGCCTCAGCTCGATCTCCCAACGCTCAGGAGATACGTATGGCTCATCGGGACGCCCATCGTTCTCTCCAACCCACCAATCATCCAGGAAGCCCAGGATGCAGTTGATCCACTTGGAGTCGGTATTGAGCTCTTGCAAAAGGAGTCGGCCGCCGGGTGCTAGGAGTTTACGCACGTTGGCCAAGGAACCTGAAAGGCTCGGAGTTGCGTGAACGAAGTTTGTAGCGACAATCAGGTCGTACTTGTCATCTGCTTTGAATCCCTGTTCTGATGGGTCCTTGCTAACGTCTAACACGCGGAATTCAATGTTGTCCAAGTCTTGGAAGCGCTTCTTTGCGTCGGCAAATGAAGCCGACGAGGCATCCGTAAAGGTGTATTTGAAATAGAGGGCCCCACCGCCAGGCAGAATCAAATCTTCCATCAAAGCGGAAGTCAATTGTCCGGTGCTGCCACCGAGCTCCAGTATGCGAAGGCTAGGCCTTGCGTGCGCCAGGCTTTTGAGAAAGGCGGTTCGATTGACAGTGTTGGCCGCCGCAAAAAGTTTGGTAAGAAGATCGTTCTGTGAAAGAACATCAATGACGTCCCTTTCGCCACTGAGTAGCTCGACGATATACTGGCCAATCTCGAGGATGCAGTCCGCGCAGGCAGCCAGTGGTGACTCAGCCATCATCTTTCCGATGTCATGAGCTCTGTCTACAATTTGCGGTATATCAAGGGCATGCCCAGGGTGTTTCTTGTCGAGTGCGTTGAATTGCCGACCAATCCAAGCTGCGAACCGCTGGATTGAGGGATTCTCTGAAAGTTTCACATCTTCAATGCATCTCTGGAAGAAGATAAAGCATAGCTCGCCAAGCTCGTTCAGAAGCGGCGTCCACTTCTTGCCATCGAACTCAGATTCGATGAGAGAAGCTGCATCGATGAAGTCGATGTGAGGCTTCCAGCTGACACGCGCACTGATGGGGAGTTTGTGCACAATTTCTTTGTCACCTTGTTCAATGGGCGTGAAGGCGGCCTCTGGCATGTTCAATACAATATTGCCATCAGCAATAACCTGGAATTGGCCCCTGATTTCGCCGCTGCCAGGCTTAACCTCTGTGGACGCTGTGACGGTCATATCTGACTCCGGGCTGCTGCTGAAAATGGTCATCTCCTCAATCAGGGTAGGCATTGCCGCACAGTTGCTAGCATCAAGCCTACCGGATCTTGCAGCAACAAGGCCCATTTGAAGAGCTGCATCAATAATCGTAGGGTGCAGGTGGTATTTACTCTCGTCTCCATTTAGGTTGCGGGTTAGACTGCTCATTGCCCTGGTCTCCAGGGTTCCTGCACTGATCTTATCCAAACGCTGGAAGGCTGGTCCATACTCCATCCCTGAGTTTGCCAGAGTATTGAAGATCTTAAAGGTATCCAACTTTCGGGGAAGCGACTCAGCCTCTTCAGCCTGGGCTGGCTTGGTTGTTGCCGAGGCTGAGACCTGGCCCACACAATGCTTCACCCAAGAATGACCGCTATAGGAGGCGATGGAGAACTCCCACCACTGGCTATCTTCTAAATCGGTGAGTCGATGAGGGCGCAGGTTTGTGACGACCTCGGTGTCGGCACCCTCCTGCAATATCAGCGCCTGGCTGAGCACAACGTGGCGGAGACTATATGACTTCTCGGTTCCGCTGAGTTGTCGAATTGCTTCGCCAGCCATTGCAAAATAGCCTGCAGCAGGGAAAATAATGGTGCCCTGAATCTGATGGTCTCGAAGCCAGGGGGCGTCCTCAATGTTGGTCAAGTTCCTCCAACTGGGCTCTAAACTAGTGCTCTCCAGTTGTCGACGTCCGAGCAGTGGATGACGCGGAAATTTCGGGTGCCTCCACTCGATGGACATACGAGACTCAGCCCAGAATTCTCCCTCGTAATTCCAAGGGTAACGCGGCAGATCTGCCAGCGCCTGTCCGGCGGGGGCAACGGCCATATAGTCTAGAGGGACGTTGAGCTCGAACAACTTGCCAATGGCGGCCAGATACGACTGCACGCAATCCTCATTACGTGTCATCACCGACAGGTATGGAGGAGAGGCAGACGCCTTGGCGAAGATCTGTCGCGCAGGGCCAGCTAGGGCTCCGTGAGGCCCAATTTCGATGAATGCTGGATTTTTGAAGTGCTTCAATACACCAGCTACGGCGGGGCTGAAGAGCACGGGCGATTGCAAGTTCTGCTGCCAGTATTTGCCGTCGAGTTTCCGCTCTTCTGGCCGGCCAATGCCTGTTACACTGGAGAAGAAGGGCTTGGCCGCCTGCCTACCCTCCAGATATGGTTCAATCATCGCATGGTAGTCGTTTCCAATCTCTTGCATATGGTACGAGTGGTATGCCTTTTCGACCTTGAGCATTCTAGCCGTGATATCGGGATGCGCTTCCTTGATACGATTGACAGCAGCCTGCACCTCTTCAGCGTCACCTGAGAGTGTAACACTCTTCGGAGAGTTCTCGCAGGCCACGACCACATGGGGCCGGTTCAAGAACGGCTCAACTTCATCCCAGCTCAGTCCGACGGCAGCCATAGCACCCTTCCTGTTCTGGAGCTTGGCAGCTTGTCCGCGCTGGTAAGCTCCGATGATGGCTTCTTTGGCGGTAAGAGCGCCAGATGCGTATGCAGCAGCCAGCTCACCACTGCTATGACCCACAACCGCCGCAGGCTCAATACCGATGGCTGCCAAGAGGTCCACCAAGCCAATCTGAACGGCAGTGCACAGCGGCTGTGAGAGCTCGGCCTTCTGAACACGCGATGTTTTGGCTGACTTTTGCAGCTCTGCCTCAATCGTCCACTGTGGTGGCTCAGGAATGGCCTCGAGGTGCCTGTCCAGCGTTCGGATAGTTTCCTGGAAGATGAGATCATCGCGTAAGAGAAGCTCACGGCCCATGCGGGGCCATTGTGCACCTTGTCCAGTGAACACCATGACCAGACTCATGGACTGACCCGGAATCTTCCTTCCCTGAGAGGGTGGGATATCGGTGGTACCCACAACCTTGAACGACCGGTGGGGAAGGTGCTCGCGTCTGTTCGCAAGCGTGTAGGCTAGATCATGCAACCTATCGGACATATCTGGATTCCTTATGATCCAACTTTCGTAATCACTTACCATGTTCTTCAGTGATGGAGCAGAGCCAGCTGAGAATAGGAGTAACTGGGGGTCGGTATCTCGGTCCCTTTCTCGAACCGCAGGCATGGGAAGGTCGAAACTTCTTGCTGAGTCGACGATGACATGCGCGTTTGAGCCACCTAGACCGAAGCTGTTGACGCTGACTCTCTCACAACGATCTTTGGGGAACGGCGTTGGCTCAGTCGGGACAGTGAGTTTCCTGTCTTTGAAGGGGATCTTGGGGTTCGGAGTATTGAACTTGATGTTTGGAGGGATAGTGCGATGCTCTAACGACATGACGGCTTTGATCAAAGACACCAGACCTGAGGCACCTTCGGTGTGACCAACATTGGGCTTCACAGAGGTGATATGGATGCCATCGTCCCCAAATACGTTGGCTACTGCTCCAGTCTCAATAGGGTCCCCAACTGCAGTGCCAGTTCCATGACACTCAAAGTATGCCGTCTTTGAGAAATCCTACAAAACATTAAGCGTAAGCCTTGTATCCAGATCTAGCATGCACGCAGCAGACGAGTTAATCTCACGCATGATTTATGGAAACTTACTGTGATACCAGCCTGTTTATAGGCCAGACGTATCATCGCCTCATGAGCCGCGCCATTCGGCTGAGTAATACCTTGTGTCTTGCCATCCGAGTTTGACACAGCGGCTCTTATGACTGCCCGGATCGGATTACCATCACGAATAGCAGCATCCAGAGGCTTCAGGAATATAGCTGTGAACGCTTCGCCTCGTGCATATCCGTCAGCATCTGCAGAAAACGTTTTACACGATCCTTCAGGTGACAGGATCCCTTTTTCAGTCATTTGTTGTGTTGTCCCTGGGGCTAGGATCAAGTTGCCACCAGCTACAATTGCGCCTTCGCAGATGCCTCTTTGAATAGCCGAACAAGCCTCATTGACACCAACAAGAGCCGATGAACAAGCAGTACGGATAGTCATGCTTCTTGACGTTAGCCGTCCATGTAGCATTCCAAACAAGGGGCATGTGTAACAAACCTTGGTCCAGTTAGACCAAATTCGTAAGATATGCGATTGGCTAGCATCCAGTCCTGATAGCCATCAATCTTGTTTGCACCGTGCCACAGAGGGTCTCTGTTCATCATCTCGCCCCAATCTTCGTTCATGTTTCCAAAGTAACATCCAACTTTCTTGCCCTAAACTCACTGTTAGCGTTTTCAGAAGAAGGGCTAAAGAGAAAACGGCAATATTCACTCTGAAATCTGCCTCTCCGGCGTCCTCAAAGGCCTCCATGACAACTTCCAGCAAACGACGTTGCTGAGGGTCCGCATATTCAACATCGGCACGGCTCATTGAGAACCGAGTTGTATCCAAAGCACCGAGCTTCACGTCTTCGTCCAGGAAGTAGCCATACTCGGTAGCAACAGTTGTCGGTCGTTTTGAGGTTTCGTGATAAGCTGATACGTTATAGCGCGATTTGGGGACTCGACCTCTTGCATCACCCTTATTCACAAGGAATTCCCAGAATTCTTGAGGGGTCGATGATCCTCCTGGGAGGCGAAGGCCCATACCGCAGATTGCTACAGGAACAGGTTTCTCGTTGATGCCACTTGCGTGTGAGCCACCATTGATAACTTGAGTACCGTTGCGTTGGAGGCTCTCGGAGGCTCCCCGATTTCCGTTGATGCCGTTGGCATGTGAGACGCCATTGGTACCGTTGGCACCATTGGCACCGTTGCTGCCGTCGGAATGTAATGTGGCATTCGTACCGTTGATGCCATTGAGGCCGTTCGATGTTGTCATTTTTACGGCTTGGTAAAAGATTGTGTCACAATCCAGGTGTCTTGGTCTCAAGGTGAAGGGGCCCTTGGTATAATATATGAAGCCAGCAAAACGATTCTCCCGCACTATAAAACTAACATCGGTTTACGATCAAACACGCAAAAGCTAGGGTAGCAAGTATTTGCGCTTCGCTACTTCTGAGCTTCGGAATTGAGAGCTCACGCGAGATGCTGCAGGCATTCGAAGAATCCAGTCCCGCCGTGGTATGCAGGCATGCGGCTCTCTCAGGTTTCTTGCCGAGAGGCTCATTCTGCAGCTCTAGCTAAGAATCAGGGTCCGAAATCCACTCCGACGTAATCTGCCAAGATACCGAAGGAATGGACATCTTGGCCCGTCTTACGTTTTGCAACTTAACATGCTTACAGTGCGTCGGGGCGTTAAAATTCACGAGTAGCGTGAATTCAAGCTTTACGGGATGAATGAAAGATTCATATTATTTGTCTTGGACGTCCACAACGGGCAGGTGTATACTCGGTGAATTGTCAATTGCGCCATTCAACCCATGCACAGCCTTGTGGAGCCTTGGCAACATTCTCTCGCATTCCGTGCTGTGCCGTCAGATTTGACAAACAGAGTAAGGATATCCGTAGTCTGCTTTACCTGCAGCCTGAAATCGGGTAGTGGATGTACCGCACAGGAGTGCTGACGTTGTTTACTATCGTTGTCCAGTGTTTACTGTCACAGAATATTTTATATATATATATTGGGACGACCATCCTTGAGATAACCCAATTGTTAAAGAACTCAATGTCAAATATCTTCGAAACAGTATCACGTTCAGTCAAATATTCCTCCAGCCAACCTTGCTTCGAAACCTATAGTCCGCTCATCTTCTTGTCCCCCGCACCATTCCAATAACAAAGATGGCAGAGGTCAAGAAAGACTTAGGCGCCCAGTGGAGAGAAGACTGGGCTGTTGCTCAGAAAATCAAGGGACCAAATTTGAAGAACAGCTCCGTCTTTTACCGAAATATCGAAGAGGAGCTGGATCTTTCCCGACAAATTGGCCTTGGTTTTCCAATCCACACCCCCAGCCATGTCACAGACTTTTCCTCTTGTGATGTTCTAGGGATGGGAGCCACTGGGCTTCTAAGGGAGGAGTTCTTGAAAGAACTTGAGGCCAACCCCGGCTTTAATATGGGTGCAGGTGGATCACGCCTCTTGGATGGGACTTCAAGATACCAGGACATGTTCGAGAGGGAACTGGCAGAGCTAATGGGTGTCGAGTCAGCACTTGTGGTACACTCCGGATGGACTGCAAACCAGGCCATCTTTTCGACCGTGCCTCGCTCTGGGGATGTACTAGTGTACGACGAGCTCATGCACGCCACAGCACTCTCTGGCATGAAAGTTAGCCTCGCACTTGATCAGAGGCCCTTTCGTCACAACGATGTGGACCACTTCATCGAAGTCATGGAATCGGTCAAAGAATCGACCCCCCTCGTCAAAGCGGGCAAGCGTTGCGTCATCATTGGTGTTGAGAGTTATTATAGTATGGATGGTGATATTTGCCCCCTGAGAGAGCTCATCGAGGCTGCAAAGGAGATCTTCCCACAGGGCAACGCCCAGTTTGTTGTCGATGAGGCCCATAGTTTCGGGGTCTGTGGCCCGGAGGGCTTGGGTTTCGTTAGGCAGCAAGGCCTCGATGACGAGGTGGCCATAAAGATGGTTACTTTCGGCAAAGCTTTGTCTGGTTCTGGTGGTAGGTGACCAGCAAGACTCTCATCAAGTGTACGGTACTGACATTGTGCGAAGCTTGTATCTTGTCCAACAACACGATTCGCTCTCTCCTCATAAACCAGGCCAAAGTCTTCATTTGCTCCGTTGCACCCCCATTCACACTTTTAGCTGCGAGCCGTGCCGGAGTTCGCCTCATGCAGACTCAGAGGGTCCAAGAGGTACGACGCCAGTTATTATTGCTATGAAAGTCTCAAGCTAACCTACCACAGAGTCATGACTATCTGCATGAGCTTACGCTTTTCTACCTGGACACCCTTACCTCTCACCCTGTATACAAGAAAGCCCACAAGAAGGGGATACTTGACATCCCAATCCACGAGGATGGGAGCTGGCACGAGACACCAATCACCCATATCGTGCCTCTCTGGACACGACGCCAGAAACATGCCCTGTACCTTTCTTTTCACCTCACCAGGGATGGTATAAATGGATGCTACATTGTGTTTCCCATTGTAGGCAAGGGGGAGGATCGAGTACGACTGTTGCTGCATGCTCATAATACCAAGGACGACGTGAGGAAGCTGATCGACTCCATCACTACCTGGACCCAGGAAATGCTGGAAATAGAAGCAAGCGGTGACAAGAACAGACTTCCGAGTGCGGCCCGGTTGGCATTCGATCTTATCAAAAGAGATAGACAGATCGCAAATGGTATCAATACCATTAATGGTGACAACGCTGTTGACGGTGCCAACCTACTCAATGCCATCAATGGCAGCAACGGGATCAACATTGCACCTTTGGTTAGCGGCATCAGTCGCATGAATAACCCGGATGGGATCACTGTCTAGAAATAGCTTTTCAATTCAATAGATCTGAGCTTTGTTTCGTTACTTGAGTAATACAAATTCAATGCAAATGGGTATATTCTTCCCGACCGTGCCTTTCACGAATCATGCTAGCCCACCATTTCATCGTGTCGCTCTGGTCAGTAATCTAGCTATTTCTTTTAAATTTTTTGTACGCTCTGCCCTACCCCCTTTATCTATGCCAAAGTCTAGCCACATTTGTGATAGTCGAAGTTGATCGTAAAATAGTCTATCTGTTACTCTAAAGGAAAACCTTTCCCCTACGACCGCAGTCTTTAGAAGACAATACAATCCAATTGCTCTTCCAACATCATGCAGAGAAGCATCTGTTTGAGCATGGGTGTTATTGCGCCCATGACTGCTTCAACTCATTAATCAATCGTAGAGATATGGCGCTCAGACGCCTCTGTAGTTCATCGTGTAGCTGGTTTAGAACTGCTGCTGAAAACGGAAATGACGGGATAGCAAGGTCGTGACCCGAAGGGGTGATATCGCTACCCAAAAGCCAGTCCCGTTTTGAGCAGACGAATATAATCTTAGCACCTAGGTTATTCATTGATGTTCTCACTTGATAGAGGTCGTCTAGCAACTGCTGAGCAACTTTGGGATCTCTTCCATTGATCGTCGGTGACGCACTGGAGGCAGACTCTGTTCCAGGAGCTGACCAAAGGGATAGGACGGATGATGCTGATGAGCCTAGATTTCTCTGTGCGTCTCTTTCACGAGCACTCAGGGCTTGGGTTGCCTTGGCGTAAGCGTTCAGCACCTTGGAGATGACTAAACAGACGACTACCAGAAAATAACCGTCTTCGGAGCCGGGACACTGTAGCATTTCATTGACGGTTTCTACTACCGCTTTGCTTTCGTCCACAAGTGCATTCGCTTGAGACTCAAGCTCTGAAGAAGAGACATCAGGGTACGAAGGGTTTTCCTCTTGACAACAGAGCTGTCCCATCAACTGCAGCGCCATCTTGATGCCTTCTGGCTGCTGAGACAAGGTCTGACTCTGGTAATTTCCGAGTTCTTGGAATAGCTGCTTATGCGGTAGGGGTAATCCAGCCGCACTAGAAACGTTTGACGTGGCTATGTCGTTTGTTCCCAGATCTTGGGTAGAAAGAGAAGTTGTATCTGACCGGAAGTGTTGATCGGACTGGTTGGTGACACAAGTATCTGCAGCCAAGCTCCTGCGAGGCCCTCTCAATGGGAACTCTGGGAAGAATTCGGAGGAACATGTAGTATTTGCATATGACTGAATCGGCGAGGCAAAATTTAGATCCACCGGAACCGTTGAGAAGTAGTCATGAGCACTCGAATCTAGCATTGTCGTGTCAAATGCGCCAAATTGCGAATCCGACAGTGGGAATTCGGGCGTTGACGCCCTATCCAGTGAGGACAATGTTGCAGATGATAAAGGCGATAATGTGTTACTGGGTGTTGGCCGTTGCGCTGCGCCCTGTTTTGAGTTGTTTCGAGGACGGGCCTTTCTGCCAGTCCTCTGTGTGACTAGGTATTGGCAATCCGTACCTCTTTCTGCGCATCTGTTGCATTGCGGTTTATCTTTAGAGCACTTGATCTTGGAGCTTGCACAAGCTTGGCAGCTCTCACGTAGCCGAATGCCCGATGGAGCGGGCATCACTACGATTGAACCAACAACCAACAGCGGATAAGTATACAGCTTCGTGTTGGGTGCGGACTGCGATGCCAGTGGAGCCGTGTGGGTGTCTTAAGGCGTTGTTAATCAATAATCGATTGAGACTGAGTGGCTTCGGCAGTAGGGCTGTCGCCATCCCATTTGTCGCGGAGGTATACGAATAAATGGACACTCCGCACTTCTCGGTCTTAACAAGGTACGGTATACGCCATTGCTTACGGAATTTTCAGCATGCTGAAAATTCCAGCCAGCCTCAACGATCTGTAATCACTAAGGCGCGTAGAACAGACGATTGTGGGGACATCGAGACCATTGACAGGCACGAAATAAGGCTACCATGTCAAAGGATCATGTTGTCGTTATTCTCCACAGTTGCTTGCGAACTCCACGTCGAGTTTCGCGCCTTGGCACCAAATTCTGTGCCGTCGAAGGATTAATTATGCAGGAGTACAGCCTCATCCATGGCCGATGCAAATCGGTGGCGTTCCGGTCCTGCGGCACATCTCAACCAGGAATCTCCGGACTCATTAACCATACTAGTACTAAGGGCTCGCGGCAAACGCACCAGGGTCTCTGTTGCGACCAATCTTAGTGCACATCTCCCACCAAGAGATCCGTTATTGCAGTCTTCAGTCAAGGCAAGCGCCGTCCTGCTCGCAACGAACATCTGAAAAGATTTGCACTCAGCGCGATACTTGGATTACGCCAGCTCGAAGTAGATCGCCAACCTGACGAGTGATTCTGGTGCATAATGTCAGCCACCTGCATTAGTCTACCGATCAGGGGTCCGGAGTGGTTAGCCAAGCAATTATGGCCCCCGAAAATGTCAGCCGAGTGCAGTTATAAAACGGGAGGCGGCTCCGCACTGTTCCGCGCTGATTCCCACAGACAACCTTACTTGCCCTTGCAATATCAGATCATGGCTTCCCTTCACAATGCCGCCCGCGTCCACCGTGTCGAGCTACAACGCATGCCGCACGAAGTCCACATGCGCCACCGCGGAGAAGATTGGGCAGGTATAACAAACCAGAGAGAGCGGAAGAAGCTGCAGAATAGGTTGAATAAACGAATGTGTGAGTTCAGATGGCGCAGCTCGCCCGATAACGCTGAAACCAGTTAATGCTCAACGGGCATCAGCAAGGCAGAGGAAAAGAAGGAACACATACGACGATGCTTCTTCCGATGTCGCTTCCACTCCCAGTTCTCCGCAGTACACTGCAACAGCCTCTCCCCTGGACAACCTTCTCACTACATTTAGCAATTGCACAGAGGAAAACGTTACACAGAAGCGAGCTATTCTCAAACGATTCGCCGAGCAGGCTCTAGCGAGTTACATGACGGCTGACCCGTGTGCTGACCACCGCCTGAAGATTATACAACTCAACACCATCAATGGCTTCACTAGAAACGCCGTCGCTCTGGGCTTCAATTTTGACTGGCTTATTTGCGAGACCATCTCTCCATTCGGTCGTGACGGGCAAAATCTCAAGCGGGGTACCGCACCGGCAGTCTCCGCGCCAAGAAGCCTTATGCCCACACACATGCAATTGCGAACAAAGCACCACCCGTGGCTTGACCTGTTTCCATTGCCCAAGATGCGGGACAACTTGTTAATGGCAGCAAGTGTACTCAAGGCGGAGGATGAGCAACGATTATTCGACGACGTCATGGAGTCGGGTGGAAGCGGCAACGAATGGGCTGGGCTCGTGGTTTGGGGAGAACCATGGAATCCTCAGAGTTGGGAGATAAGTGGTCCTTTCCTACGAAACTGGGGTTGGCTAGTGAGGGGTTGCCCAGAGATTATAGTATCTACCAACTATTGGCGGAGTCAGAGAGGCGAGAAACCAATCGCGAACCCCAGCTATGTCCAAGAGCGGCAATAGTATAAATTAAGAACATGAGAAAGATCAATTGTCTACAGACAGCAACGGGTGATCGTTGTCATCTCTCATCCTATAGACTAATGGAAGGAAATTTCGCACCAGCGAACAACCAGCACAACTCAGATCTCTCCTTTTAATACTGCACTCCAATCTTCTCCTCGAAAGAATTCTTCCAAAGAGGTCGTCTCGATGCCTAACTCCTCTGGAGTCTTAACTCTGGGGTTTCCACCGGCGTATCCATACTCGGCGAAGAACTTGAGATCGTCTACTATGGTGGCTTCCATTCCCTCTGGGATGTACTTTACGTATTCCTCTTCCGAGACATCTCGCACTGTCGTCTTGACCCCCAGTGTGCGCCCCCAGAGCGATGCGTAATCCGGCTTGGTGATGATCTCACTGGCGCCTAGGACGTCTGTTCCGACTGGATGGTGAAGCACCAGCGCCTCAACAAATGCGCCAGTGTCTCGGGTCGCTACCACCTCGGGGTTCGCTTCATGGGAGCCTGGCACTTTGAGACGCACGTACTCGAATGTGCCGTCTGATAGCTTGTGCGGCCTGAACGCGGAAATGTCCCTCCAAGTCTCCTGGAAGATGCCCAGGGTGACGGTGCTCAGCCGAGCGCCCAGCTCTGGCAGTTCTTCCCGGATGTAACTCTCAGCGCCAGCCTTGGAGTCAAATTCGTAAGCATGCTTGTACTTTCCGCCGCTGATTCTCTGCACCGCAGCCAGTGTGGAGAATACAAAATTTTTCAGTGTGGATAGGACGTATGGGTCAGATGCTGCCTTTGCCACATTGATGCCTTGGGCTTTTTCCAAGTCGCCAGCGTATTCCTCGATTGACCTCCCGGCCGCCTTTGCCTCTTCCTGCAGGATCTTGTCCTCATGGACCCGGAAGTAATTGGCAGCCCAATCAGTGACGGCAAAGATGGCATGTGCGCCTTTAAAGGCAGACTTCAGTGATTCTACATCGTCGTGGTCACCTTTGACGATCTCCACCCCTCTACTGACCCACGCTTTCGCCTTGGGCGAATCGGGGTTTCTCGTAAGGCCTCGCACCTGCCAGTCGGCGTGCGTGAGGAACCGCTTAGCGACGGAGCCTCCCTAGGAAAAGGTTATCGTCTGACATGATATGACATGATATGATGGCTGATTTCTGAGATACCTGCGTTCCCGTAATTCCAAGGATGATAATGAGCTTTTTCGTCATTGTGGCTTTTTCTTGTTAGCGCTGGCGACTGCCTGATCAGCTGGGATTCGAAAAGTCAGCGTTTAGAAAGAACCAAATACCCTGATCTTATTGCTTCTCGGAGTGATTCATATCATTCAGCTGCTTACTTGGCACACGTAAGAGCAGACTCTGTGTCCTAGATCGAGCGAATCGTAATCAACCCGGCGCGCATTCATGCTCGGCACTGGGTGGGACTTCTCGAAGGCCGACAACTTCTGTGCGCTGCATAATCATGCTATCAATGCCTTTCCAGGTAGGCTTGCATTGCTTGGGCGCATGGAGTAATTTCAGATGGGATCTTGGCGGTGATGACTGAAAGTCTCAGTCATTAAGCGGATCAGCCAACCGGATGTGTACGTGGTTCTGGATACACAGGCCTGCTGCTTACCGGATCGTCCCGAGTGATACCGTACCCGCGTAGTGCAAGGATACTCTGCATAGTACTATGTAAATTGCCGGGCGATTCGCTGGGTGAGTGACCCCTGTTTGTTTGCTCAGATTGCGTGATCTCGATGCTGCAGCTGGCTGACACTGTAGAAGAGCACCTTAGAGGCACAGTACGCCCAAGTCGTCGTTCGGATTGCGTGATGGCGCCAAAGATGCGTGCGGCTGACACGGCAAGTCTCGGCGAGGTGGCACTGTGCCTCCATCGTTCATGTGCCAATCACACACAGCTGCGGGAAGTAGGGCCCACCAAAGGGAGTACGGAAGTGAGCCTCGGAATTACTGGACAACGGGGACTGACGGGACTTTAGATCCGGCCTGGGATCTGAACTCTAACTTAACAACGGCCGAATTGAGATGTGAGCTCCGAAGCGAAGGATTCTGCCAAGGTGGTGACCATCTTGCACATTTTGAATTCATCCATCGTGCTTCTCCATGGCGCAGAACAGAGGTGAGAGACTGAAGAGCCTGTATGACTCCCCAAGAACCGCCTAGGTACTCCGTCTTGTTAAATCTAGGTAACTCTATCACTCATTGCGCGCAATCCGGAAATCAAACGCAGCAATGCCAATTCACCCTAGGTCGGAAGGGATTCATCAAGGGTGGAGAAACTGAGAATTTGGATCTCTGGAACGCATAATTCTACTCTGGTTTGTATTCAAATACCAGGTCCCTTTTTTCAAAAAGGAAAAGAAAAAAATCTAATTGTTTTCAAGTATCAAATTCATTCTTGCGAAAGCTAGTTATCCATGTGAACAGCGCGTTACGCTCCTGGATTAATTATGCATATATGACTAGCACCTTAGCTTACAGTTGATGAGCACCATCAGATAGGCTTGCGCAAGAGGCAGAGGGCCTTGTGATCCTGGCAGCTGTGGCCTATTTCACAGGAGTCCAGGCATCAGCGTCTGCCCATCGATCCAAAACCAGGCCAGCACTTCCAGGGTTGCGGTACCCGGCTTCCACCTGCTTCTCGTAACTGACACGGCGTAGTCTTTCCGACTCCCTAGGGGTCAGCCAAAGATACGTTTCCACTCCAACCACATGGAGGAATAAACAGATCCATAGCTGATTTCGTCAAGTTAGAAATGCAAGTCTTGGGGGGTTCTGCAAAGTCAAAGGCTTACCATTGTTCCAAAAGCAATCACGTAACTTGAGCCCAGTTGCTCCAGATTGTTCGGATTTTCCACTGCACTGACAGCAACCCGCTTCCAGCGATCTAGGGATCCATCTGGCAATAAGCAATCCGGATAGTCGGACTTGGGGAATTCCATGTCGTAATTGGTGTAAAGAAAACTAATTTCGTCGCACATCCATACAGACCAGTAGTTACCGATCCGGGTGATGATAGGAGTTGCCGCCAGGTTGAGGAGTCGAGCAGTGATCGTCACCCCCATGTAGAACATCGTACGTAGCATCCAGGCCCGATGCTGGTCGATCTGCTTCCGGCGGATATTCCACCAAGCCATTACGATGCCAACGGTAGTGATGATACCCATGAGCGTTTCTACAGCGTGACTCGTTGCCCGGTGTCCACCCTGCTTGTGCCGAATTATGACAAATGCAGCCGCATTACTAACCAGGCAGAGCAGCATGACTACGTAGCCATTGATGCGGTGGAACATGAGAAACTTGTGGCGGATAATCGGTGTAAACTGAAACACCATCAAGATCCCGGCAGGCAATATACATGCGAGATGAATAAGCATTCCGTAGCGGTAGTGACCCTCATGAAAGTAGTACCAGTATCCTGGCACCAACGCGAAATGCTCCTTGAAGTGGCCATCATAATCCAAGTCTTCGAGGCGGGAAAGCGAAAAGCCTAGCATACCACCAGCGAAGATCACCCCTCCAGGACATCCGGTAAGCATTACGACAATAAAGTGGATACAGGGCGTGACTTACATAGAGGAAAGTTGTATCCACGCGTGAATCCGAAGAAACTATAGACCTTGGCGTACCGAGCCGCATGACCGCTTAGGCTCTCGTTTCTCTCGGAGGCCGGGCTTGCGGGACTGATGCCGTGACTTTCCTCTAGCTTTGACATAGTGGAAAGGGAAACAAAGTGTTATGCTTTGAGGTGCAAGAAAAACTTCTTCGTAGCAATTCAAGAAAGTTTGGAGAGATACCTGAATTGTTTTGAAACGAACGAGCCGAAGAACTATGGGCCGCTGAAACAATGCTAGTTTTGATATATATCAGGAAAGCTGCAATCACGTGAGTCTTTGTAGTCCAGGATCTATGCCGAAGAAGATCGGTATAGGTCCCGTGGCACCCTGGTAAGCCCCAGGTGTTGGGAGCTGAGCATCCTTGCCGACCTAGGCACCAAGCAGGTTCCTTGCATATCTATTACGCCGGCTTATACCGAGACCTTTACCGACACCATGGATCACTATGTCCACCAAGTTTTTCAAGCCGTGCCAAGTTCCGAAAGTGCCCGATTGACCAATCGAAACTTTCCGATTGAAGCGCGACGGAGGCGGCTTGAAGACGTTTCCCCATCGAAACCTGACTAACAGTTGATATTTAAATACAATCGAACCATCATCGGTATTGAATCAGGTACTGAATCACAAGGGCAAACTTACCAATATCCATAACGATTGATAATACCAGACCAGTTGATTTCTAATCCATAGCAATCGCAGTGGAAACCGTGATCCTTATGTTTCCCATCTTGCCACAATGAAGAACTAGAAGCAATTCAAGGAGTATATTTTTGAAGTCTATCTCAACCTTTCGAGGGTGACTGCTTCGGCGGAATCGAATTGCCACTTAACGGTTTAGAGTTCATAAGTTCAAATTGGTATGTGAAAGAGCTGAGGTAGAATTAAACTTAGAAAGAACGCGCATAATCGCAACCCCTTTCATATATTTCACTCTCAGATACAACCAAAATAAATAAAAAACCACCAGACATTTCGTAAAGCTTGCTATTTGGATGAAGCAGACATGATTTACTCTTCCAGGTATAGTGTCAAAGCCAAAGTAATGACCCACGCGGTATTACTAGTTGCAAGGGCATTTCTCCCAATTTCGAAAGTCCATGGTATACTACAAATAACTCCTTGATGCTACATGTTTAAAAAAAGCTGTACCAACCATCTGGTCTAAGACGCCTCCTTGATATTTTGTATTAAGAAAGAGCGAAGATCATATCAACAAAGAAAGAAGAACAGAGTGAAAAGAAGTCCCTGCATGGCATTCCAATTGCTAATTGTGAGTGTCAAAAATATTTGCCTCAAACTAAGCGCCAACCTTGCGAAACTGCGTTCTGGTTAGCACAGCAAGAACTAACATGGGAGAAGATGAAGTACATACCCCGAGGAAGGGCGATAGAACTGCTGTGATGCCGCAGGCGACAATGGTCATGGTGTAAATGTTGCTCATAGCATCGACGATGGCGTTAGCAAGCCGGATCCTGACATCTTCGGAAAAGCTTTGCCATTCGACGCTACTCGCGCCTGCAAGAATGACCCGTGGGTTGCCAGTGAAGTCTGATGGGATAATTGAAGAGATATACCTAGCACCCAGGTTCTGGAATATGCTGCCACTGAGAGAGGGGAAGAATGTTATGCCAACGCACTGGACAAGGCTGATGACACCAATAGCGTTGAAAATATCCTTGGGTTCGACAATATCCGAGACGCATCCAAAAGCGGTAATCATGAAGCAACCGCCCCCAATACCTAGTAGCACGCTGTAACCGTAGATTGCCGAAGTACTCGTATCAATCGAAACCGTGTACATGAGGGCACCTCCAGCAACGGCCAAAAGTGCGCCAAAAAAGAACCAAGGCATGTAGTAACCCCATCTCGACATGAAGATGCCGTTAAGGATGGCAATCGTAGAGATCATGAAGACGAAGGGCAGTAATTTAACGGCGGCTTCCACAGGTGACTCTCCTCGGGCGAATTGAAAGTAGAGCGGGATGTAATAGATAGGAATGTATACGGCTGACGCGGCGGCGAAAGTGGCGAACTGCAAAATCCCCAGTTTGAAATTTCTGAGCATGTGGCTGGGGTACAGTCGGTTGTCCTTCTCAATGAAGGGGTGAAGCTTATGCGTCAAGACGAATCCGACCGTGAGAACGCCCACGAAAACCCAAAGAATGATCATGCTGTAGGACTGCCACTCGAATAGAGTTCCACCATATGTAATGGCCATGAAGAAGGAGACGCACCAGCCGGTCCAAACGGCCAATCCGAGCCAATCAATCTTGTTCATTCTCTGTTGGGTAGTTTGACCCTTGGCGAAATCGATCGAAGGCAGGATGAAAACCAAGATGGGTGCAGCAATCGCGAATATCAGAAGGTTAATGTAGAAACCCCACCGCCAACCGACGCTACTCTCTGCGAAACCTCCGCCGACCTGTATATATGAAGTCAGTCACACATATGCAACGCATTGAAACTAGCAGAGAAAACTTACGATTGGACCCAAGACCGTGCCAATTCCCCATGTGGGAGAGATTAGAGCAATGTAGATGGGACGCTCCTTGGGAGTAGTGACAACACTGAAGAAGGTCAACGAGCCAACGTATATGCCACAACCGCCAATTCCCGCAATCATGCGCCCAACAATCAAAGCGTCCATAGTAGGAGCAGCGCCAGAAATCGCGCTGCCGATTTCGAAGCAAACCACATAACCAAAGTAGAGCCATTTGATGTCGAACAGTCCATACAGTTTTGATTGAATGAGCACTAGCGCAGTGGAAGGCAGGGCGTAGGCCGTAGCAAGCCACGGGAACTTTGGAAAGTCGCCGAGGGAGGCGATGATGTCTGGCTGGATATCTGCGACCACTGTAGTGTCGAGGGCATACAGAAAGACGCAGGAAAGAACGGCGCCAACGGTCAAAGCCCATTTAACTCCATGAATCTCGCGCTTGAACTCAGGCCCTGAGTCATCTGTCCCATCTGGCGACTTCTCCCCATCGGCAATTGGGCTCTCGGTGCGCGTCGGTGTGTCGGCTTCGCTCGCAGGGAGGCCGTCGGCATGCCCCGTTGTCCTCTCCTTCTCGCTCATTTTGACAGCTGGGGGACGATGAAAGCCCTGGTAAGAATGAACCAGACTAGGAAACGAGAACAATTATTATGAAGCAATCGGCCAGATAAGATAGGAGGAATGGGAGTTGTAGATGAACGAAAAATTGCGCTCAATTCTCCTTGAAAATCGAATTCCGGGTCACATTGTCGAGGCGACTCCTGACCCTTATGTCTGAGACTCGTAAATATGGGATGTGTTGGCTTGCGGAGCTCAAGTAACTAAGACATTGATATTGTAATCCAATCTAAGGTATCAGTAACCACGTTGGATAAGCTTGGATGAGCCTCGCTTGCCGTCTCGAAAGTCAGCCACTTGCATCTCGAGAGTCTGCCACCCCCAATCGAAATGATTGGTGGACGTGCCTTTGTCCAAACCTCCTTCTCATCTAAGAGTGGGTCTGGAAATTCCATGTGCACTAAGTTTCTGGCAATCGAGGGCCTAAGATGACCTCCGTCAGTAAACAGGGATGGAAATACTCCGACGGCTTGGCACACTAATGCAACCGGCTGACCATCCCTGTCATTCTCAGGGTCCCCGGTTCTGCACAGACACATAACCGTCCTGTAGGCTGGCATCTGTGTGCTTGTTTGTTTCCTTACCGTCTGGGAACCTTAACGGCTGACTTTGCTTGGCAGCATAGCCGACGTTATCTCACAGCGGGATCTTGGCGTTATTTTCAAGATCGACCCGGGCCCCGAAGTTTCCAAGGGTCCGGCGCCGGTGACCTTTCCATGCACCTTTTTGGTCCCCGTCTCCGGGTAGAATCAAGATCTAATATGCCGAAAATGTGGTGCAGTCATACATACTGAGGATCACTATAAAGAAAGTAGTACTGTGAATGCGGACATTCAACTCCATTACGCGATAATAATTCTGTTTAAACTAAATCTTGAGCAATCGTTGCATCCAGCAGAGACTGGGATATACTGGTCATTCTTTGATTAGTGCTCACGATAAGTTGAACAAGCCACATTATGTCCACCGCAAATCCTCTTTCAGCGGTCTCTCTGTTCACCGTCGAAAAGTGGGTGGTTGTTGGTGAGTGACAACGAAATTTGGCTGTGCAATGAACGTATCACTGACTAAATTATGAAATTAGTAACTGGTGGAGGCACCGGAATTGGTCTTAGTAAGTCTTCGTCATTTGAATAACTCCATTTGGGTAACTCCGTTGTTCTGGGGGCCATCTACGTGGATGTGCATCCTGCTTGCAACAATAGGCCCACTGACGTATTTCTGAAGTGTATGCCCAGGCCTTGGCTGCCAATGGAGCTAAGGTTTACATAACTGGCAGACGCCAAGATGTACTGGAAACCAGTGCCAGCATACATGGAGCCGTAGACAAGATTGGCTCCTCAGGGGGCAAAATCGTCCCCCTTGTTCTAGATGTGACGGACAAGGATAGCATCAAGAGTGCTGTTAATTACATCACGAACACTGACGGTTATATCAACGTGTAAGCATCCCACACCAGCCAGTTCACTCTTTCAGCCGAGAGACTGTTGTACTTAGAGTCTGGCTGATCACATGAACAGTCTTGTGAATAATGCCGGTGTATGGACGACGAAACCCGAGGCAGGACCTGAGGATGGGCCAGAGAAATTTGGTAGCTTCATGTTTGACCAGTCCATCGACCTCTGGCAGCAAGGTAACTGTCCTCAGGGCTCTATATATGCGATGCATTTTTAACGCTGACATTCTTACCCAAAGCTTTCCTCGTCAACGCTACATCTATCTACTTTGTAACTGCAGCTTTCTTGCCACTGCTAGCCAAGTCGGTCTCTAGCCACACCGGCAAAATCGGTAGCGTGATCAATACCACCTCCAACAGTGGTCAGCTCAGGATGTAGGTATTACATGAACTTGGGCACAAACACCAAGAGCAATCTAACGACTTGAAGGTCTGAGGGCTCTCAGCTAGCCTACAACGTAAGTTGACGTTGTTTATCAGTCCTCCGTGTCCTACATCAGAGTTAACACCAAGATAAGGTTAGCAAGGCTGCATCGGTTCAGATGACTCGTCAACTGGCTTTTGATTTCAGCCACCAGAACATTAAGATTCGTGTCAATGGCATTGCGCCAGGTATGTAGAGAAGCCACGTACTTCCTAGGATCTCTTCCTTTGCAAGTCTGCGACAATACATAATATCTGATGATGAAACTGCAAGGATGGTACCCGTCCGAAATGACCACTGGTGGCTCAAACGACATGAACGAGAGCACAGCCCAGGAAGAGGCGGCATTCCAACAAGAGATGCTCAGTATGGGTGCTCGTGTCCCGCCAGGGCGTATGGGCAGAACCGAGGATCTTGCAAGCGTAAGTATTGGAACGATTGCAAAGAAAACTTTACTAACGGGCTGACTGGTAGGGCCTCCTTACGCTCGCCACCAACGACTACATCTGGGGTATGAATCTTGTTATCGATGGTGGTATACTACAGAGCGTGGCTGGAAACATTTAATTCCTTAGTAGTGGCTACGATGAGAGCTTGAAAGGAAGCTGAGGTAGCGGATGGTACCTAGTTACCGCAATAAAACGAACTTTAGTTAGCTTCTTTGCACACTTCAGCGCTAACGACACCAGTCCTCTTTCTAATATTCTCACTCGTAGTATACATTGAATAACGTTCAATGTCTCGTTATTGTACGCGTAATGTATCGACTGTGCTTAAAATTACTTTGACACAAAAGGAGATTCCGTCAGTACCTATGTAGGTAGCATATTGTTGAGCATCAGCCAGATTGCCTTAAGCAGTAGGTTGCAGGGAATCTGGAAGTAATTAGATACAGCGACAGAGTATAAGTTTAAAGAGGTTGTGGGATCAAGTAAATTTATAGCAGGGAGGTCCGCATCTGTCGACTAACGTTATCGTTAGAAGATAAATCCACAAGCTGTAAAGCAGGTCAAAGGTCGTAATATAACAACCTTTAAAGAGTTCGGCTCTTTGCGGAAATATATTCTTAAAAGAACGAGCTGCATCGGTGTGTCACAGCACATAGGTCTCGGTAACGGTAGCAAAAGGTCTCTAGAGTACCACCAAACATGTAGCATATATCATTATTAATAGCTTGGTCATGCTATATCCCCTTGCTGGCATTGCTGCTCGAAGGATTTGTGCCCACAACAAAACATTGAGTATTTGAAGGACATGCAGGCTGATGCTAAGTGTTGCTAGACTGGTTGTATTGAAGCATCCAAGGACGTGTAGCTCTTGCTTCTATATGGTCGTCCACTCCGTTGTTTGTGGCTGAGTTTGTCAAAGTTCTGCTTCCTGGAACTTGATTACAGCGATTTTGGCAGGCTCCGGTTCTGCACCCTCGATCTGGTCAAATGTAGTACCGCTGGTAGAGAAATAAAGTAATTTCTCATCGTGCTCCGATTTACCGAACTCGCAAGCTGTGACACCAGCGAGATCAACTGAGTCAAACCATCCCGCTACCCGTCGCACCCATCCAGGTAGCTTGTATTGAAGGATCTGATTTGACTTGCCTGTCGCGATGTATATCGTGCCGTCGTGGTCAATCGTGAAGTCATCCAGGCGAAACCCACTCAATGCTAGCTGCGCCGGCCCTTTCGGCTTCAGATTGGTGTCGACTGGAGTGCGATAAAACAATCGGCGATCAGTATTTGTGAAGTAAACGAACATGTCGTGCACTTTGATTCCGTTAATTCCCAGACCTCTGTCGAGCGGCTTCATCGGCACGTCTTCGGAAAAGGCGACCTCGTATTTAGCAGTCCGAAGGTCTACCTTATAGATTCGACCGCCAATGGAATCGACCGTAAGGATTGTGTTATCGTCCCATTTGGCCATTCCGTTCAATAAACCAGCTTCGGGGACAGACACTAACTTGGAAGCTCGAGGCTGACTGGCTGCCAAGTCAATCTTCCAAATTTCCCAGGAGCCTTCTCCTGAGTCGTGGCTCTGCACCGAGTACTTGCCGCTGTTTACATAGAAGACGTCAATCGAGACCTGCACAATCCCCATAACTGCAAAAGCACCAGGTATGGTCAATATTTTGTGTCCCGTCTTGGTGGAGGGGTCAATAGACCAAATCTCAGGCACATCAGCTCTGGTGGCAAGGATTTCGCCCGATTCTCGCAGGGCCAAGTTTTCAAAGACTGTTCCGGTTTCGCCCAACTGGAACACGGTCTCGACAGTGACTCCTCGAGCTGAGTTATTGGTAAATAGGCCGACGATAAACAATAACATAAGTATAGAGGCTGCAGCGATGATAGAAAAGAGAAAAGTACTGCAACAGTTGATCCGTGTGCACAACAAGGCCCATGTCTTGGAATAGGGCGAGCAATGGTTTGTTCCAAGAACGTTCGCCTTTTGGTATCGAATGTTGGAGTGGGACATGTTTTCTTTCGATGATGTTTAATTGCCGAAAGGTTAAGAACTAAGCTTTGTTCTTTCCTTTTTTTTTTTTTTTTCTCGGAGGGGCAGAGCTCCCTATTATATAACCACTCTAATCCTGATACGTGGATCATAGGGTCATAAAAGTGATGTGTAGAAAGCTGCCCTTACCAATTTTGCGGGGGAGCAGAATTGGCCTTAAGTGGCTTATCTCTATTCTTATCTACAATAAGCTATTCTAGTCCACCCTTGTATGCACGTATCAATTCCTCACCGTACACGTGATTTTTTCACTATCTGCCGAATAGAGTGAGCTTATCGTAAATCTACTTGGTGGGCTGGTAATAAAAAATTCAGTTTAAATGACACCAAGATTGGTGAGATAGGTGACAAAGCCACACCCATGATAGCTCCTATGTCCGGTCATTTGGGTATGGCTAGTAGAAAATTAATGATGTTACCCACCCAAAAGTTCGATCCTATTGCAACGATTGACATCTATATAGTCTAGAAAGCTGGTTAAACGAGTGTGATATTGTGTTTTATGCTATGTGCGAGCTGATCGCGTCTTCATACGGGTTTCTCCGCTGACCCCAATTCACCTAAAAGTACCTTCACGCCTGAAAATATCATTGAAAAAGAAAAGTGAGCGGAACGTTGACACAGGCTAATTCCTCCGATAGATCAAAAGGCCCTTCTCGTGAGGGAACGATTTGTCTAGCATACATATATTGACGTTTGTCGCGAACTGGTAAGCTGATGACAAACTGGGTGAATACCATCGGAGGCCCGGCAAATACCCAAAATGTAGCTTGACGCTATGCGTGCGTCATTTGATATGGCATCTTCAAACTGTCTTCCCAGCATGGAAAGAAGGATGGCAATCCAGACTTCTTTATCTGCTTTAGCAGAGTCGGCGGCAAAGGCCGAGTCCGATGTTCGTGCCTAAGATGCCCGAGGTACCTTCTTCCTTGACGGGGGCGACAGCAGCGTCAGAGACATCGTTTGCGTTCTCTGATCATGTTTCAGTCGGTTCGGTCTTCATGAGCTTTATTGGTGCGTCTTACCAGTGGGAAGTGCCAACGCCATAGTGGCCAGAATGGAAAGAAGGATAGCGCTGATCTTCATTGTGACTGTTCGAGATTGATGTGTAAAATTGGATAAAGTCTTCTTTTCAGGCTGATGGTGAAACGAGATACTAATTATCAAAGACTTCTCGGATGTCCAAAGGGCTGAAAATGCTAGCTGAGATATTGCAATACGGATTTCAAATACTATGATCTTACTCCCTACTTATAGTCTAGGCGGCGGTATGAGACATTCCACCAAGCCCCCTGGTGGCCACGACTGATTTGATCCAGGAGGAGCTCCATCCGACCTTCTCCATGCTCTCATTGACACACGAACCGCCCATGACAAAGCCCTGGAAGTACTTCTGCTGGACGCTTCGGTAACTCGGACCAGATACGGGGACTTAGTATCAATCCTCGTCACAAAGTATTTCCATTCGTTGTGCTAAACAAATCCAACCCTTTACATGCACCTCGTTTCTGCACTCTTCACACCAGACCAATTGGAAATGTCCCTCCAGCCGAGCGGAAAGAAATCGCCAACGTGGTGTAACGGACCATCAATTTACGGAGACGCATTGTAAGCTTCATTACACCATGTCCAAGTGTCACACAACCGATACCAATCCTGCTGATGATCAGTGGGTCCAGTCCGAATCGCTATCTCAGGGTTCTCGATCCCTTTGACTGTGATTCGTGGCTGCAATGTCCACGCAATATATGACTGAACCCCATCCGGCAGGTATTCAATCATATAATGTATATCATGTTATGTATATCCGTGCACCATACATGTGCCAATCGTATATGTAGCAATCGTATAAGCGTGAACTTTTGGACTAGTGTAAAATCAGGGGTCGATGCGCGACCCACCCCAAGACCATGCTAGAGCTAAACTAATTACCTCCACTATGTCAAGCATGTACCTACACATGTAGATACATCCATCCATCGACGAGTACTCCGGCGCATCTTGGGTTCCGCTTATGGCACTAGTTGTCCCATGTTGACAAGCGTCGGTTGTATCGATTGATAATCATTGCCCATCGACTAGAACACGCAGGATCTAATACAGCTTTGCTGGGGCTGTCAAGGAAGTCACGAGATGCTGAGGAGGTGTGAATAATTGCATGCGGCCCATGTGCATCGCCTCGAAATGAGTTCGACGACCGATATTAGGATATGCAAGTGGAAGGTACGTTCAGCCTGTTTGTCCAGTCTGCCTGACTCTGTGAGGGTTGAAGGAATCGCATGTTCAGATTCATAGTAGCAGTCTATCACTTTCTCGGGCCAATAGACACACTATCAAGAGACTAAACCACTACTTCATGCAAAGGGAATTTCTATAGTACATGCTCAACGAACTAGCCATTCCAACGAGACAAACGAAGGCACTCAGCAGGATGTATGTTGCAGACATCCACACGGACTGCTCACCACGCTCGGTTCGGTTCATAGACCTCCTTGAGGACCAGGTTACGCAAGGGATTGCACATCGCCGCAGACTGCTCGGAGTCGTTAGTGCAGTCGATCTGGCTGTTGACCGTATCTCGCAAGATCACTCAAGCAACTCGGATAGGAAAAAATATCAGCATGCATTATCAAAAGGTCGCAAGACTGCCTCCAGGGTTCGAGATTTTCTGAGTGGGGCAAAACATCTTCATGAAGGGCCGTTTGTCGAACTCTCAGAAGACGCCATCATTAGCGGCTCACCTTATCCCGGCGTGACGAGGGATCGAGAAGGAGTCACCTCCTTCCACAAAATGATCTTCCACTTCCCTTATCAAGCTATGGGGGTATCGAAGGTGCGCGATAACTCTGCGCAAATGTTACATATCTCGTGCCCAGGGTTCAATGCCGACAGTGTTCTTGTTGACCAGTTTGGAAGGGCGACCTACGACAGCATCACGATCATCTCTGGAATGTGTCTTTTCTCTGAGAAGATCTTGAGAAGCTCTATTATGGACAAAGGATCTCTGGATATATCCAAACTCTATTACCCTAGGCCCACGTTATATGAAATGGAGGTCATTGCTCGTTCAGCGTCGGTGATTGCTGACATAGCCGCGCAGATGTTGGCGCGCGATGCAGTCTCCAAGAAAGTCTCTTTTCAAATCGTCCTAGATGTACCGAGCTGGCATTATTACCAAATCGTGCACGACAGCTTTGTGGCTGGGCAGTGTTCCTCGGCTGAGGCCCTAGACTGGTTGCAGGCACTCGAGTTGCGCTGTGAGCAGATGGCGGTCGTTTTCGGAAATGCTGTACGCCACGAGATAGACGAAAGGGGTGTGGGCTCTGGCAGTTATGAAATACTCGTGGCACCAGGAACGGCTAGTGTGGGAAGTACGATTCAATCTTCGCTCATGCACAACACGGTACCGGACATTAACGAATGCCTCGCATCTGTGTGCCAAATGGAAGGTGAATCATGGGCCGCATTCTACTCGCTGGTCCCCGAAAAAGAAAAGCCACAGACCTTCAAATCTCTGGGGTTTCTGTTTTATGTTTATGAAGCCATCCGACCGGCATTGCGACATTTACGGACAACTTCTGACACTAGACGATCAGGCTCCACTGCCCGGCCGTTAATTATCAGTGTTGACGACCGGGCTGAACGCAAAATTTATTCCAAAAGTCAGGACCTTATTAAGAAAATACGGAAAGCCTCAAATGTAGCTTCAAGTCCTACTCTGATAGAAGTTTACGTCGCTCGTCGTGTATTCTTCGATGGAAATGCAGACGGAGGCAGTTTGTACTGGAACGACCCAAGCCCCGATTATCTTGGGCCGAGATCTTTCAAGGATAGCGCTAGGCTATATGGCCAACCAGAACTTCGGGTCTGGCAAATTATCAGAGCTTTATATGGGAATGAGTGTGCGCTGAATCTGGAGAGATGGTTCTTAGAAGTGGGCCTGTTTCCGCGGCATTTAGAATTATAGTTCAATGTATAAGTCCCAGTCTGATGACCGTATTGGTCTAAAAATGTGCTTGACAAAATCCCATGAACAAAGCAAGTAGAAATGAGAGAAATCATAAATTCTATGCTGGTTTAGCAACACCGCATTATCTCTTGAGATACTGGAACATCTGGCCAAAATTAGGCTTATTCTAAGGAGGCTTCGTCGTTGTCAGCGTCGCCCTTTTCCTGGTGCTTGTTCTCTAGACTCTTCTGTAAGTGGGAGTCGGTAAGCTCCCAAAGTTTCAATAATTTCCCTTCTTCGTCAAATTTATATCGCATCACATAGTCCATCTCGTAGTTCCTATCCCCGACAAAAGTACCACGCTCTGTACACCAGATGATCGCCGATCTATCCCGAGTGTCCTCCCAGTAGGATTGAATTGTGACTTTCCACTCTGGATGATCTTGGTTAAGTCAGGAAACGTTCTTGGGTCATGTTACAACTCACCGACATAGTTCTGACCAACAAATCCCGATTTGAGATCTTCATACCACTCTTCCCGTGTCTGTGGGGGCCAGTTCATTGACTGAGGCAAGAGGTATTTTATGAAATGAGCAGAAAATCCCGACGGGTTTAGGAATGCTTCCATATTGTTCGCATTCAGAGCATCTGCCTGTCGTCAGATAGTTCTTCAAATATCTGGTTGTAATCTTACCAATGCCGCGCTCGACAAAGGCCTTGTACTTGTATGAATGAGTAGACATATTGCATAGATAACTTGGACCGGCGAGAATTAGTTTGATGGATCGTTGGAGTTGACCTTGCTGAACAAAAAAAAATAAGAAGACTGGTGTTTGAAAATAAATGCGGGGTGGAAACCAGGCAGATACGGCGGGGTTTTATGTCCGCACAAGTTGTCCCACATCTTGAGCTAAAAGTTCTCGCTGTCTCAAGCCAATCAGATCCTGTTCAGGTACCAGATTGAGTAGCTCAGAGGCTAAAAGTAACAAGAAAAAAAAACAGGTTACCCAATTTACAAATACTCCCTTCCCTTTTCCATTAAAGAATTGCGTTGGCGGGGAATGCTTTGCATAGTAAGAAACAAATACAAATCAACATCGAGAATTCTATTCACTCCACACTTTCTCTAAATTATCAAGCTGTGGATCAACACCAACAGGTTTGATCTGAAATACACTATCTGGGCGTGACCTTAATGCTTGATAGTCCCCCATAGACAGATAAGTCTTCTTCTTTTGCCAGTCTAGGATGGCATTATGGTTAACACACTGCACCTTGTTCCGCACGTCGACAAACGGCCGCTGCGCTCCGTCGATGAACTCCCAAGTGTTGACCACGACATTTGGCCTGCATCGGAGATCTTGCAAAATAACGTCGAGGCAATGCAGACAATGGGCCTTGTGCTGCCATGGCATGTTCATTGTATTGCTTCCAGGGCCCAAGTCTGGTTCAAAGTAGTAAGGAAAAAAGATGTAAGCACGCAATCTCCAAAGACAGTGTAGAAGATGCTGTACATCTAGGGACGCGACGTATTCGTCATCTCCGTGACCCCACTCCGGAGGGACTTTGGCAGCCTCGCGTGGATTACGTCCCATCTTCTTCAGTTGCTCAGCTTTGAATGTGATCAAGCTCAAGGCTGTGACTCTTTCCCATTCCGCATCACCTTCTGGGTTACCAGGTAGCTGACGGAATATAGAGTCAAGATCCCACATTGTACCATTGATTTCATCATCATGGAAATCGAATTTCCATTCGTCGAGCCAGGGAGCTTAGCGTTTGTTTGTCAGTCACGAGTCTGACCTTAAGGATCTGGAGAGACGTACAGTACGGGTTGTTTCTTCGTAAAGACATATTCCACGTGAAAGGCCAGCCGTCAGTGACCCAGACGACCGTTCCCATCATGACAATAAAAAGAAGCAAACTGTTGGCGAAGAGCGAATACCTCAAACTCCTCTTGAGGCTGTTACTTCGATTGAACCTGCTTGCGATATGGTCCTGCAGAGCATTAGCATTCTTAAGCCTACAATTTGGGCCACGACTACCTACATCTTCCATAAATGTCTCTTCGTCCTGCGACATGAGTCGCTCCCCTTCACTCGACATGCTACGGCTAGCTTTGGTCGTGGGATCAATCAGATCGTTCATTACTACCTCGTCATTGGCTGCCATTTTCCAGATGAAAGCACTAAAGGGGAGCACAACAGAGGAAGGCGAGAATGGGGAAGGGGGCTGGCCTTCAGAGTGTGTAGCGAGAAGTATGCAAGTACACGGAGCAGGAACCAAAATGCGTGCACCTTTTGACACAACCGGAATACAACAGTCATACTCCGAGAATAAAGAGGGAAAAGAGGGCAGGGCCCAGTATCAACTAGAGCACGGAATTAGAAGATACACGAAGCTTGCTTACATGCGTGCATGTGGACTCCATAGAGACACATTCTCGATGCTGCAGTGAAGTCTCTGGTTGTAGCGCTTCTTACATCTCCAGGGACCCGCCGAATCAGGGTTCTTTCGAACCAAAAGCCAGGGGTTGTTGGGCACAAAGCACCATATTCTCGGATAACGCGGGGAACAAAATGTCATTAGGATTCATTGTAGTGCAGCCATGCGACGTAGGAAGGGCAGATAGTACTTTGGAACTCGTATGCCTCTCCAATCAAGCATCCCGATGCGCTGATCGTTGACTCCACAAGTACGGACGTTTGGTTGATGGTTGTTATTGGCTAAATACTAGTGTGGGATCTTGAGTTGTCATTGGTTAGTCGATGTTGAAAAGGCACCATGAGCACATTGACCGGGCCAGAGACCCGACAGATGCCAGGGAATAGCTATGAAGTAGCTCTACGGAGTACAGTACATTTCCTTCTTCTTGAGTTTGGCGCTTGTTGCCCCCTTGCAGCACGCCTGTTCCACCACGTTCGGCTGGTGGCTAACGTGGGACCTCCTGCATATCTTGGCAAAGCCCCACAAGCGGCACGGCATCCATGCGGGCTGACATGAGAGAATCAAGTATTATTTAAGTATCAGTAATACGTTATATATGTATATCAGTTATCATGCATCGCCGCTTTAAAGCAACACTGTTTAAATCAAAAGTATCAAGCGCAGGTCCAAGAGTTACATCAACTGCACAACGAGATTGGTTTAATGAGCTGCTCGACCTTGCCAAGCTGAATCGATTTCGTTGTCTCTACCAGTAAATCATCTTATTCTACGCGTCTAACATGCTTCTCTCTGGTACGCTGCAAGCTTTGCCTGGTCGGTCACAGACATCCAGCCACATGATTACCACCGGTATAGTAGCCACAGCTCTACTAGGTGATGCTTTTGCCTATGGCGGCATGGTCACGGTCCTACCGTCGATGCTTACGCATGCGGGGGCTTTGAAAAAAGACCTGCAACCATTGTCATCACTGGTTATCTTGACCCATGCAGCGACGTCGATGGCCGGATTCCCGGCTGCTGGCCTCATCTGCGACAGATTGAGCACAAGAAAAAAATCACTGTTCATCGGACTTCTTGTTTACACGATTGTTTGCACTCCTTTTCCTCAAGCTCTTATATCCTAGTATGGTTGAAGCTGACATATACATATCGGACAGGCCACCGTCGGTTTCTATCAAACAACGTCCATTCCTGGCCTGCTGGTAGCAAAGGGGATCCAGGGCGCCTCTTCATCACTCATATGGGTTGCCGGAATGGCTTTGTGTTTTGATATTAGCGAGCCGCACAAGATTGGCACTATAATGGGAATTGTGAGTTCCGCACATACTTCTTTTGAGAAGAAGCATTATTGTTGGCAGCTGACACAACTCTGACACTATCAGGTTATAAGCGCCAACGATGTCGGTATGTTGCTAGCACCGCCGTTCGGTGGCCTAATCCATGCAAATATGGGACAGGCTGGCCTCTGCGTGGTGACTCTCTTGGTGCTCGTCATTGCACTCGCCATGGTACTAGTTATTCCAGAAGAAAAAGGCTTCGAGGGTTCGGTCACCTCATCAAATTTGGTTCAGAATGATACTGAATCCAATCATCTCCATTTATTCCCCACGGAGTCACCCAACAATCAAGCATCAGGTCTAAATGATCATCAAGGCACCAACTGTTTAGCTGTGGCACACTCGCCGATAGACATGACATTTGTGCTTCGGGGTCCTAGGAGCTGGCTAACAACTCGAGTTCCAATTCTTCTTTGTCTGAGGAATTCATCCCTTGTGGTGGCTGTAGTTGTTTGCACTGTGCAAGCCGCCTTGCTTGGTACATCTGACGCTGCGGTCCCACTTGAAACACACCGGCTCTTCGGTTTCGACTCAACAAAAGCAGGTGTCGTGTTTCTCCTGCTCGGGTTGGCAAGGCTGCTCACAGGGCTGATAGGTGGCCGACTAGTGGACCGCCATGGGCCAAAGGTTGTCGGGGTTATGGGCTATTCGTTCCTAGTTCTGCCGCTTTTATTGTTCGACTCAGTTAGACCTGAGCCGTTAGCACCGCAGGCTAGTTTCTATTGCGTGTTGCAAGTAATGGTAGGAGGAGCCATGGGTATAGTGAGCACCGTGAGCTTTGTCGAGGCCGGAAGAATTGTGGAAAGATATCATGAAGCCAATCCTACTCTTTTTGGAGCGAAAGGAGCTTCTGCCTCATTATATGGTCTCACACTGATGACATATAGCTTTGGTATGACACTGGGATCTCTACTGGCTGGTGACTTTCTGCTCCTTGTTGGATATGGTAACATGATGAGCGTCCTTGCTGGGTTTTCGTGTATAGGAGCAATTTTGTGTCGCGTTTTTCTCCTAGACGAGAACACCAAACGAAGCTATTCACACACGAGACAAAGAAGAGAGCAGGATAACGACGGATTATGACTTACAGCATTTACGTTTTCTTCTAGTACATCGTGAAATCATAATATACTCAGCTTCTCTGTTTGGAAGAGTATTTCTGCTCTAATGGCTATGAATGACACGATTGATTGATATCGCTCGCAGTGACAACTACAAAAGCTCTTCGCCAATTTTCGTTTCCTTTTTTAGCCCATAGTGGAAGAGTCAGTGTTTCCAACATTGACAACGTCTTGGTCTTCGACTTCAACTCGCAGCAATCTGACGTATCACCAAAATAACTGCGTTCCGTGTATATGAGTTCATAACAAAGCTATCTTTATTTGGCCGCTAGACTTTTGCCATTTACAGCATGATATAGTTCAATACTCTAATGCTAGCCGCTTCTGGAGCCACTGAGCCGAAGTCATTCTCTCGTCCCAATCTCCGACCATGGTAGGCTTCCACTTTCCAGACTCCTCGCAGCCCGGAAAACTTTCTATCATAGCTTCCGGATCTGCAAGCCCAAAATAGATGATAGAATATCTATCAACCACGGATTTATTCGGCTCGAAGCTCTTCTGTATCATGACCTCCTTAGGAGCCGCAACCTGGTGCAGGGCGCTCTTCCACCGACCATTCGTTTGCCTTTCGAGCATGTCGCCGACATTACAGACGACTGTTCCTCGTTTTGGGACAACGGGCTTGAAATCATTACCATCATGTACCTCCAGGCCACCCACCATATCTTGAAAGAGCAGAGTAAGGCTACCAAAGTCGGTGTGAGCATTCAAGCGCCTCTGCATATTGTTTGTCAGCGGCGCAATCGGCATAGAGGGATAGAACGCCCAGCTGATGTGACAGACATCCTTGGACTGGAGCTGGCAGAGCAGAGTGTCATCTTCCAGCTGAAGAACCTGCCCAAGGATGTGTAGAAGTGATCGCTCAAGGCGGGTGCACTCGTCCCACCACTGTTCTACAAAACTGTTGAACCCGGGGAGGTCATCGTCTGGTAGGGTACGGTTGGGTGGGCTGAAACTATTAGGGTGCGGGTTCCCCATCTCGAGAGTCTCCTTGCACTCTGGAGAGGTGACACGCAATTGTTTCACCTGATCTGCGTCGAAGACTAGCTGACTGACGTGTCCAAGCCCGTCCTGGGCCCAGCCGCGGTGATCTTCAATGGCTCCACTAGCAGGGTGCGCCACTTTCTCCTTGATCTCGACTGGGAGATCAAAAAATCGCTTCGACTTGAGAGTCTGTTAGTTGAGGCGCATATGCGGATCGGCATACTCACCCATCTGAAGGCTTCGTCCACAAGATCCTGGGAGATGCTGTGATCTGAGAGATAGAAGAACCCATACGTCCTTAAACTCTTATCCAACTTTTCAAACTCATCCTTCCGCTTGCCACGGCTACTATCCAGCAGCTTTGCATAGTTGATGATTGGCATATCGGCTGGGACGTCGCTAGATTTATCGAAAGCCTTATGGTGATGGTCACCTAAGGAACCCATGATGGCCGGTGGTGGTCAATATTTTCAGAATTCTGATGGAAAAATTAGAGTTCTGAGGCGTATAGTTACGAGTCAATGCGCTAGGTAGAACGCAAATTGTGACCAAAAATTGTAGTTGTCTGATGCATCATCACAGAGTGGTAGGTATGGCCGTAAGCAGCACAAGGAGAAATGCATGCAACTTGATAAATGCAAATATGCTTGCGAAGACTTTATGCAATTGTTAGTGTAAAGGTAAGCTAATGCATCCAGGTGGCTACGGATCAGCCCGAGCGGGGCAAATTGCTTATTTGAGCTTGGCTATAAAAAAGTCCCCTGCAGGAAACGGCATTGCAATTTGCAGACGCTAGACATGCATGCCAAGCCTGCATTTTCACCACAGGGGTGCAAAGTGGCTTTGATATAAGTTGAACACAGCCTATAGCATAGAGGACTTGAACTTCCTTCTGCGCGCGCCGTATACGGTGAACTGAATCCTTGCCTTACGTTAGCGCCACTTCATGAGTTATGGAGTTGCCAGTTCCGGTATGCATAATGCCGATACGATGATCAGAATATGACTGGATCATATTCCTGCTACGTTGCCTCCTATGGCTGCCAATGGACAAGGTAGCTTCTTGTCAGAGGTGTTCGATGTACTTCGGAGGGTACACAGAGATGTCGCTACGTTGAAGAGCACTTTCAAGATATGTGGAAATCTATTCTGTCCGGCTGACCGTCCAAGATGCGGCAGGGGTGCATGCAGTGTGATGCGTATAACGATGATAAATCGAGTTGAACAACTACACGAAGAAGACTTTGACTTCCAAATCGCACTCCACTCGTCTATAGTTTGGAACCAACAGCACGGGCATGGGAATGCCGATCCCCAGCCCCCCCTCCCAGCTCCACCCAGGCAGCATGTCGCCAGTGCGATTTGGATCCCCCCGGAATTAGCCACCATGAGAAATGGTCAGGTCGACTGCCTACCTTGACCAGGCCTTGATCGATGCTCGAGAAACCTTCACTCAGTCTCCTTCGAATCTGACAAAACGAGGTGTTGCTTTGGTGAGACACCCATCACCAACAAACGCCTGTCTTAGCAATATCTTGATGAACACAACCTCTCACAATGTCTCTTCAATCATCAACTAAGTACTCAACGATCCACGAAGACGACCCAGACCTGTCACCTATAGAAAACACACATTCGCCACCTACTGAGAAGAGAAGATCGAGGGCATTCTACGTGACGACTGGATTTCTAGCACTAGCCATCTGGGCTATCTCATTGTATGGAGCTACCAAGGCATCCAATGCCTTGCTCCAACACAATCTACACATTGAACATACGGAATTCTGTGACTTGAGACTCAGGTCTCAAGCCAAGTCGCTCACAGATGCCTTCAAGCAGGTGGAAGTGAATACACTGCACGAGGCGAATCGTTACCAGCCTTCCTACACGCCACTGACATGCGGGTCATCGAGCTCCGAGGCTGAATCCCTCGGTTGTGTTTTTGATCCCCTCATGGCATCATGGCTACACAAAGACTGCCCTAAGGATGGTTCCGCGGAATTCGCCGAACTTGTGCGGACGGAAAATCTTACGTATTGGTACGATGAAGGCGGAAAACCGACCGACAAGCTCATCGACCCAGAGCATTTCAAACATTTAGATGGAGTCATGTACTGGGGAACCAAGTTCGAGCATCTGACGCATTGCGCGTTTACGCTGAAGCGTATCATCCATGCCCAGCATAGGGGTGATAGGCTGGATGTGGTTGCTGGTAACTTCAGCCATACGAACCATTGTGTCAACTTCTTGATAGAAGGTCTCAAAAGCCACCCGTCCGAACTTCAGGAACTGTACAGAACAGACCTTCCAGTTCAATTTCTGCAGTGCTGAATCTATCTAGCGGTTATCCTGCCGTACGTCGTTTTCGATTGTCAAGATTTGGTGGGAGGTGGCGTTAGTAAAAACAATTGAGAATTTATTGTACATAACCGCATATAGTCATGTACGTGTCCATTCGTTTCATCACTGTAGGGCCTTTAGAGGAATATTCTGAATACAGCCAAGGAAAGACGTCCCGCCCAGTCCAGTGGCTAAATGAGACAATGGCTCCAGGTAACGGCTTCACTCCTTGGAAAGTAGCAAACTTTCACCGTCCAATGCACATCCCCTAAACCCCCCCCCCCTCCCGATAGCAGAGCGCACAGGGCCAATTCACAAGAGGAATACGTGATCGGCTATATCATTGGATGCAAAAACCTGGGCCAGACTTAGTAGTCTCCACCGACCATTTATGCTTGTGGAGATAATACGACGCTAGATCTTCGTTTCGGTTTTTCTCTTTGTTTCTTTTTCTTTTCCCTTCCCCTTTTTCTACCTTCTAGTTCTACTCCTCTATTCAACTCTCGAGACGCACTGAACTCCCGCATAATCAATCTCACAATCTCCACTACCTTCGGAAGTCCAGGCATGGCTCCACATGCAATTACCAATTTGACGGAGCTGGAGTATTCCACTACACCAGCCCAGAGTGACGACAAAGAACGTCAACCGTTATCCCCCGTTGAAGAAGAGGACAGCATGAGTGAATATGGCGATCTTCCGATCAGCTCGATGGAGTTGAATTATCTCGACCACCCGGCGACATGGCGACTCTGGCTTCAGGAAACCTGGGCTCAGAACAAGGGGGTGCTACTAGTGTTTCTGAGCATGTTCTTCGCTGCCAGCATGGATCTGGCCGTACGCATGCTAGAGACCGACAGAATGCATCCAATTCACGCCATGCCGATCCTCTTTCTTCGCCATGTCATGACGGCGGTATGCATTGTAGCCTACGGTTACTTGATGCGATCCGTGCCCGACCACCCGTTCGGCACGCATCAACTTCGAGGCATCTTAATCATTCGTGGAACTGCCGGCTTTATCGCAGTTTCCGGGATTTATTTCAGTCTCTTGTACTTGCCATTGGCCGAAGCCACTGTGCTCACGTTCTTGGCACCCATCGTCACCTGCTACGCCATCAATAACATCTTTCGGGATGAGGATTTCTCATTAATGCAGCAGCTAGCATGTGTTATCAGCTTCCTGGGCGTTGTGCTGGTTGCCATGAACTCCTCGGATGAGGATATATGGCGTCACCGAGCAGATGCTCAGTATGACAGAGCTGGAGTGCTGAAAGTTCATAAAGTCGAAACCCGGCCCATCTTAAACCATGCTCGGATGCTGGGTATCATCGCTGCCTTATTGGGCGTGGTGGGCCAAGCGGGCGGTATGGTGACCATTCGGATGATCGGGCCTCGAGTACACCCGCTAATCAGCATGAATTATTCCTCTCTAGCATCCATTGTGTTCTGCGGGCTTGGCCTGCTTCTATTACCCGGCGTTCCCTTCACCTTGCCCGCCACGCCACTGCAATGGATACTGCTGTTTGTTGTCACGGGATGTGGTTTTCTATTCCAGCTCCTCCTCACCGAAGGTCTTTCATACGGCGCGGGATTGAAAGGTACGGGAGGGACTGGATACTCTTACCCACCAGATCCAGACGAGAACAAGCCGAATGGTCCGCCAAAAAAGGTCGGTGTCAACCGTGCAGTGGGCATGATGTATACACAACTCTTGTTTGCCTTGGTGTATGATTGGTCTGTTTTCTATCATGCACCTTCGTTGTATAGCTGGGCAGGTATTGTGCTTATTGTCACTGGCGCCATTTGGGTTATAATATGTTCATCATAATAACAATACTACATAGAGTCCTCGATCGTGTATGGCGGGAATGACAGCAATCTGATAAAGCGTTATATTCGGCATCAGGAGAGAATGATGATAGCTAGACTTTGCAGATGACCTCAATTCATTTACAAAAACGGGTCAGTATTAAAACTCGGTGGTACACTACGGCCTTACAGATTAAGACTGGTTTCATACCGGAACTTTTAACCACTGGGGACTCGCGATACAATAAGGTCCGAGAACCATGGCTTGACATAGTTGTTACGTACTGGGAATGAGTGCGTACTTTCCATAAGCGGTAGGCACTGCCCGAGTAAGTGTACGCGGACTGACCTCCTCCACTCTACTCATACTGTCCAGCAATAACGTGCAGTCAAAATGTGTAGGCAGAATGCAAGCGAGCGGCTTCATTATGTCCAGCCATTGGGAAACACTACTCCGCCTTCATTTCACCATTAGCATTAACTTGCATGTAACTTGTATGTGGGGCTTCGGGGGGCTTTGTAAGGGTTGCCAGAAAGTCATCCGAGAGATTAAGACTGTGTTGGACAGGTGGGCTCCTGCATAGCACCCTGAGGTGTATACCTCTGGAAGGGCACAATGACAGCCCCAGCCCGGAGGTAGACAATCCTGCCCAATATTACGAGTGCATCTTACACGGAAGTCGCATTATCAGTGCATGGATATATGCTAGCTTGAAATTGACCGGCGCGAGGAACTTGGGAACGGTGTACAATTAAAAGTTAGCAGCATGAACACTATAACCAGCATTACAATCCTTCGTGGTGAAATCAAGCCTTTCGTGGGGCTCTGTTTGTTCTTGTCATCCAAGCTAGGCTATAATAGTAATAATGTAGTTCGGTTGCTAGGTCTGACAACCAGGGGACGGCGAGAAGTGGAACAGCCGAACAGGTACTGGACAAGGCCCCCCGAATACCGCAGTACATTCAATCTGGCTGGGTACTTCCGGAGTAGCCTGGTAGTTTACCGTGGATTGAAGGATCTTTCTTAGCAATCCGATCCCCACGCCGCGTAACAAGCCAATCGCCGCTCGCGACCAAAATCTTTGTTGACGACGCGGGCCCAACGTCCCCCACTGTACAGTTGGTCCTATAGAGATCTTACAGTGTGAAAACTTTATTCCCACAGTCTCCAAGTATGTGAGTACGTAGACGAAGCTGTCGATCTTGACCTTCATGACCTAGACACACGAATCGATTGGTAGGCCAACGGTCATGGGAATAGAGGGCAATCAAATGGACTCTGCCAGCGACAAATTACGGTTATTTGAGACCAAACTGCAATAATTGCATTTCTGGCACACCTCCATATCGGTGAATGCACTCCAATCATAGTCAGGCATGGTTATATAAGCGAAGATTGAGATTCACTGATGGGATTCTTTGTGATAAGGCTCAAGATTTGGTTTCTGCTTAACTTGTCTCCATCAGATATTAGAGCTACAGTATTATCTTAACTCCCTTGTAACAGATCAAAGGACCGATGGCACAACCTCCTATTCTCAGGCCTGATCTTGATACTATAGTCTCCTTGGCCGAGACCATCAGCAAGTGCGCCAGGCAGCTTGAGTCGTCGGGGGCGTCTGTTGGTATGCCCCCCTCACCGCCAGCGTCGCCAAAGACCCAGCAGAACATTCAAGGCACTGAACGGACAGAACTACGGGAAGCGTGCGATAAGCTGCTGTATCTTGCTGCCGGACCGTATGAACATCTTATGGCCACAGCACAGTCTCACCGGGTCGAGGCAGCACTTCAATTCGCCGCCCATTTTGATTTGGCATCCTATGTACCATCAGACGGTTCCAGTATTGCATTTTCAGAGTTAGCTGCAGCCACAGGGCTCCCCACCCTCCAGATCTCACGAATATTTCGGATCTTGGTGGTATATCACATCTTCTGTGAGCCGCGGCTTGGTTTTGTGGCTCATAACGCCTGCTCCAGGCTACTTCTAGAGCAGCATATCCATGCCACAGTAAGCTATTATACTGATGAATCGTTCCGCGCGGCATCCTGTCTGTCTGAAACGACTAGAAAGTGGCCAGGTACGCAGGAGAGGAATGAAACGGCTCTGAACTTGGCGTACAACACAACGTTGCCCAAGTTCGAATTTTTCAACGCAGAGCCTTGGCGAGCTGCGAGATTTCGCATGGCCATGGCAGGTATGACTCAGGGCGAGTCGTTCAGCCTGCAACACCTCCTTCAGGGCTTCGATTGGGCCAGTCTTCCAGAAGGAAGCATGGTGGCCGACATTGGCGGGGGCGGAGGGCACGTTTCGGTTGCCCTTGCCGAAGCGCATACAAATCTCAACTTCATCGTGCAGGATCTCAAGACCGCTTTTGATGGCAACAGTATCCCTGAATCGCTGTCTGGCCGTATCAGCTTCCGGGAGCACAATTTCTTCACTACTCAGCCGTCTTCTGCAGACGTGTTTTTGTTCAGATGGATCCTGCACGACTATCCAGATAAATTTGCCCGCAAGATTTTGCAAAATACGGTGGCCGCCATGAAGCCCGGTTCGAGGATTGTCGTGATGGAAGGGGTCATGCAACCTCCTGGAAGTCAAAGTCACATATGTGAAAGAAAATCAAGGTATGTGAGGGTGATAAATAATCAACAGCTGGCTTACCATTTTACCGCAGGCTGTTAGACGTGGCTATGATGACATTACTTAATTCAAGTGAGCGGGATCTTGACGCTTGGAAATCGTTGTTCTATGAAGCAGACCCAAGTTTGAAACTAGTCAAGGTTACAACGCCGGCGGCCAGCGCGTTGTCTGTAATGGAACTACAATTAGATGTATAGGGTTACGCTTATTCCGAATTGATTGAGTATGGCATAATTCCGAAGATACCATTACCTTTTACGCTCGTAGTCCCAACTTCAGAGAAATACAGACATTGGGGTCTTGAATTGCACGTCCAGCAGAACAATTGGATTTGAGACAAGTTTGACTTTTATCCAGGAGTTTTATTATACTTACATTCGCCTCAAATATCTACGTTACCTCAATCTTCTTAAAATGAACGAAAATTGGATTCGCATCAAATTCGACGACTCCCTCCATCAGGGGGAGGGTTGTACCGGAATGAACCATACTCATCTGGAATTGTTAGAACTCATTCCTGATCGGCAAGTACCAAGAACTCACATTAAAGCCCAGTAAAAGTAATGGTATAACCTTTTTGATCTCCAGCTCAGCGATGTAGCGACCCAGACAAACCCTGTTCCCAGAACCCCACGATAGAAATCCTCGATCCATAGCCTGACGCGATGCGCCATCAGCCTTGATCCAGCGATCTGGGCGGAACTGGTCAGGTGAATGCCCAAAGTATCGCTGATCCATATGAACAAGTTTCCCAAGGCATCCTACCACAGTTCCGGGCGGAAGAAAGATTCCGGAAAGTACGCAGCCCTCCTCAGGTACAATACGTTCCAGGGGAACGGACAGAGGTGGGTGTAGTCTGAGTGCCTCCTTGATGACTGCATCTAGATATGGTAGATTGCTGACCTCAGAATAGCGGGGTGGTGAGGATAATCTTGCTCCTTGGAGCTCTTGGAGCAGACGATTTAGCGACTCAGGATTCCTGAGCAGAAAATACAAGATTGTTGTCATGGTGCCCGCTGTCGTGTCGGCTCCGGCGGAGATAGTCGAGTTGACCAAACTAGACACGGTTTCTGGTCTGATAATGTCCAAGTGTCTCCTGCTTGCATCTATGTATTTCTGTAGCAAATCATTTTTCGATGGGGAGTTCTTTGGAGACGATAGACGGGCTTCAAGTCTTGCGTTCCCCATAGGAATCCACTTTGAAGGTCGAACGAAACATCTGGTCCAAATCCGACTGTGAAAGATGGCATGCTCGAGGCGTGGAACGGGCTGCCAGGTGAACCAGTGCTTTACTCTTTTGTTTCCCACCTTAGCCAGTCCTAGGACATCATCGCCATGCTTTAGATGTCCAGGGCTTTCGCTGAATGCGATCTTGAACAGAAAGTCAAGCTGGAAAGATTGCAACATGTCGTATAGATTGAAGGAAGGGAGTTTCTGGATTCTTTCAATCAATGCGTCCGCTGTCAAGTCTAGAGCTGGTTCATAGTCAAGCACGTTTCGCGCTAGGAAAGCCCCGCCGACTGCCCTCTTGATTGCCCTGTTCTGTTGTTCATCTTGCATGTCGATGATACTGCCAATGGACGCCCCGTCAACACATACTCTCATCGGGCCGTAGGTATCGGCCTACAGTTCAATTAGCACACCATGATGCATGCATCTAGGCTAAACCCACTTTCTTGAACTCTCCGCGACTCGTGTATACTAGTCTCAAAAGACCCGGATCACTTATGCTCACGGTATTGGGCCCTGTCCTTACGACTGGGCCATACTTGTCGTGCAATTCTGAAAGCGTAGGGAACACGCGACCGCGCCAATGAACGCTAAATCGCCAGAAATCTGTAATGGAGGCCAACAGCGGACCGGGTACATTTCTCAACCTCCAGAAACGCCATACCAGGACTGCAGCACTTATGAAACAACAAACTGTTAAGTGAACGAACATGGCGGCGTCCAGTAGTCTACGCTGAGAGGCAAAGCGGAAGTTGCCCAAGATTATGGATAATTAAGAACGGAAACGCCAGAAAGGCATAACTGTGTGAAGGCTTGCGGTTCGGCAGAAATGACGTGGGGAGAGCTCAAGTCTACCAAACCTGCTAAAGAAGATTCTCATTTCCGTCTCCCAAATCGAATGGCTCTATACCACTTCTCCGAACCCTCGACATCCGTCTTTTGCATACATGCATGGCCCTGATGGTTTCGCGAACAAGCGCTACCCACGTGCACTGTGTACAAAACGAAACCCTTGTCCCCGTGCTTACCCCTACCGGATTCGCCATAGTGGATCATACAAACGTCATAACGTCCCACAATACGTTCCCAAGTATCCAAGTACCTAGATACAATGAGACATCTGCATACCATATGCAGGCTCCACAACACCCTCGAACATCCAAGGCGCATGATGATATACCCTACCATGCCATGAAGGATTATACGCGGTTGTCCCGAGATGCGCACCGCCTAACTAGCGACATCATCATAGTCCAAGCTTGGAAAGATAGTCTCCGCTCACGGCTATCTTCGCTTAGCATAGAGACTTTATCCTGTCACATAAGCATCAATATCCCACGATCATTGTTGAGAAGTATCCAGTGAGGTCTGTCTTTTATCCAGCTCTTTTTCTTTCGCCGCATGTGGGACAACCTGTCCGGGTACTGATCATGGAGGAAACCAATAGCTCTCCCACAATGCCAAAGTATGAGGAGCAAGAGTCTGATGGGGCAAGAGAGATGTTACTCTCAACTTCTGAGCCTGATTATGACATGGAACTTTCCCGCACATCCGGCGAGCTGTATAGAGCTAGGCGAAATTTGCACATGACTGCGGTTGTCGCAGGAGTAGGATGGATCTCACTCGCCTGTCTTCTTTCCTACATACTTATATATCCCAATGCCTCCTGCAACTGGGTTTTACCCACACCAGTCTACTGTAAGTCCAACTTGACTTCAGGCCTCGACTCTAGAATTGACCTTGCATTGTAATAAGCACCCGCGAACGAGATCCTTGAATATGAACTGGTTACCTTTAGCTCAGGCTTTAAAGATGACAGAATGAAGTATATGGCCGACGGAAATCCATCTCAGCAACTTGACGATAATTGGAATGACCTATACCAAAGTAAGTTGAGTCCAACTAAGCGCTTAATTCTATTTTTTAACATGTGTCTCAGAGGTTGTGGATGTCACCCCAGAGATGGTCAGTCACGGCTTCCACGACGGCATCACACCAAATGAAGGTGACGATCAGCCAGAATGGTGGTCTGTTTATGTGTTCCACCAGCTACACTGTGTCGTTAGTAGACTACCACATTCTCTTTCTACTTTTGTCTAACATATTTAGAACTTGCTGCGTATGAGTCTATATCCAGAGTATTATGACCCATCGAAAGATCCTCTTCTACATGTTCCTCATCTCGAGCACTGCATAGAGACGTTGCGCAGGTCCATCATGTGTAACAGCGATGTAACGCCATTCTCATTTCGCTATGTGAACGGCGTGGCGGAGACACGTGAGTGGGACCGCGCACCGCATGTTTGCAGAAATTTTGAGAAGATCCGGGTATGGGCAAAAGATCTGCCTGGCGTTGAGATTCCAAGTGTAACATGATTTACTATGGAAATTTAAGACTGCGAACAAGCAAGTCAAGAAGACTTTTCCTGAGTGCCGCTCATTAGAGTAGAAGTATCCCTGTACCTTATGAAATCACAAAGTCTGCTGGTCGTCAGTACACAATTACTTGTAACGAGAGGTCATCTACGAAGAAAAGAAATGCAAAGAAATACATATATATTTTCGCTGCAACCAGCAACGCCAACATGTTCCGTGTTGCAGCGGAATATCTCGCATCTTTTGTCAGCATATCACTCTGTATTATACTGGTTTATTCTTATTCGCCACGGTTCTAGCTTATGTCTTTATCAAAATGCTAGTTTACATGGACAGCTGCCGTGACTATGTGTACCGTGCCACCTGTACTGAAACGTAACAAGAGACCGATACTTGTAAAGGTCACACATTTTAGTCTTCATATTTCTCGCGACTTTAAAAGCGCAGTTTCAAAGTATATGAATATGTGGTAGTCTTATAGCGTCAGAAGGGAAGTGTGACGTCAGGTATAATAAGAAGTCCAATGTGAGGTTCAATTCATAGAGAGGCCGAATCTTGTCCCTCATCAAGGAAGGGGGACAAGATGGGGTTATATAGCGAACACTGTACGGTGTCTCGCCGGACCTCTTGTAACCCTAATGTATCAATGCATCAAGGCATCGCTGTGACATATAGCCTGCCTGTCACTCTTCCGTCATTGCCTGACCTGGAATTTCTTTTACCCCTGAATTGACCGTTAGTATAAACACTATTGGAGAAAGATTGACCAAAACTCACAACTGTCCATATCCTCTTTTGCAGTCTGTTCGACAGTACAAGAATTCATTTGGTCTATCGTTTGGGTCTTCATTGACTTGCAGTTGACATAGCAAGGCTCGTTCATGATCTTCTGCAGAGAGTCATCCTTCCATCCGAAAACATAGTCGCCATGCGTGCCGTATCCAGTGCTAAAATTTCGAGTTTCAGCCTAAGAGACGGATTTCAATGGTAAAGAGTCATGTCACAACTTACGTGTCTCCAAAGCTCCACATGAACGGCTGTGTCCCGTCGGTCGGCCAGTCGGCCTTGTTGTTGAACGGCGCGGTGTCAAAGATAACCTCGAACATGAGTTGAGGAATTTTTACAGGATGAGAAGTTGGGCAGGGTCCTTGCGACTCAAATGTACCGTTTGCTGGGTACGATACATGATCCATATGATTCGGTGAATCCAGATTTACGCCATCCCAGCAACTGTAAGTCCACATGTTATCTTGAGTGTCTCTATAGTCAGCGTCCAAAGATACCTACGTTGGGAAACGGACGTTGACCATGATTCCAGCTGGGCAGGGTTTGTTCGGCAAGTACTTTGTTTCTGGGTATCTGGTACTCATGTCTTGCAAGCAGGTGTAGGTGAGTTGCCGGTATGGCTTCGCCTCCTCTAAAGTCCTAGCGTTGAGGTCTCCAACGAACATTCGAAAGCCCTGAAACTTTTAGTAAGTAAATTTTAACCAGTATGAAAGAAGTCTTACAGGCTTGAACGCAGTAACCTGAGTCTTCTGCTCGTAGTCGGCCAACTGGTTTTGCATATAGTAAACAGTCATACCACCCTTCTGCCCCTCGAATCCGGCATTTCCTTTCTGATTCACCCGCTTGTAGGTCCCATTCTGCGCTTTGAAGTATAGTACGGCGGTCCAGTAGTTGGAGAAGTCATCTGCCGCTTGACAAGTGGTGCAGGTGGACATCTTAGGGATGTCATGGTTTGAGGGGTGCATCGTCGCATTTAGAGAATTCTGCAAGTGTTACAAAAAGTCATGGGGCCGTTTATCATGAACAGTTGACTTACTCCTCCGATTATTTGGTGTACATGGGGCGAAGGCACTTGGCCGGGCGTCACTAGTGGATCGAGACGTTGAACAACTAGCTGTGAACATCCCATTCGTATCAGGGCATGCGTAGGTGCCGCAAGGGCGACCACGGGGAGAACACGCCAATACATCGTGCTATTGTTGCTCAATAGTTATTATGTTGAAGATAGAGGTCCTGTTTCTAACAAGAGAAAGGTTTGCGCAAACCCTTGAGAACGAGCTCCCAGCTTGTGGCGGCTAGTTAGGGGACATACTTATAATACCGTACCGGAATATTGGTAAAGGCCGAATCATAACAGCCTATCTAAGCCCTGTGGCCCAATCGTCGGAACCAAGAAGCAAGAATTTGGCGAGGGGTAAAATATTGGGCTATGGTCGTCGTCATGGCTGGCTGAAGTGGAGCCTTATGTCGAGTGCGAGGGCTTTGGAAATGGTCGTGCGGGAGTATCCATAGGTTGCATGATAAGTAGCCGTAAGTGCCGGTCGTGAACCGTTATTGGTTTAATCTAATTGATTGGCTAGGTCGAAGGGTAATAAGAGCTTGGTGTGGGGTTAATAATTTGGTCATTGTGTGCTGTAGAAAATTGACCAATCAGAAAGCCATTCGAGCTCAAAATCCATTCCCTTTACCTTATGATTGGCAGGTAACAACTTGAGAGCCAAGGATTCGCTTCAAGGCTATTGTCAGGTGAACTGTCGAATTGTCATAGTAAATTCTCGCCCTTCCAGCATCTTCCATATAGGCTATGCCTTAACAAGAGCCAGCCATGTGATAGTATGGCACATGCGGGTTTGACTATTATGGCCTTCATATCGAATTAACGTGTCTCTTCGAAATGATGATACGCACACTTACTAGTATGAACATGCACATTGGGAAGATTGTACCAGTTTCGCCAATAATTTGTATCTATTTTTGAGATCCATGATCAGGCCAACAATAGTCGTCGCCCAGTTTGGGAACTTTTTGGCTAACTGTTGTTCGCTGAATAATTTTTTCATTATTATGGTCTCCTCTTAGCGTGGTCTGCTGATGGTCGACACAATCCGACTAAAGTCTTTAATTTCCGTAGCAATACCCAGATCAGTATTGATCTTATACGCCAAGTCATAAATGTATTTTTTGTCTGCTAGTTGCCACGTACATCGTCCTTATAATAAGCAGTGAGCTGTGTGGAGCTCGTCATACAACTGCAAGTATTCGCGGACCTAGTGCGCTATCAAGGGGGTCCTATATCCTATCACGGCAGCCGCCTCGTGGATTGCTGAGAATCAATGCATGCCTCTTCAGGTATTGGTTGATGCACTCATTTAGTAGCCTTCATCAGGCTGTCAATGCCACCTGAATTCAAGGGGATACTGTCCACTTCATCGTACGCATCTCAGAGCTGGGATATCAATATCCGACTGTTCCTTTCGGATGACATACGTAGAAATTGTTGATATCGATAGATCATAGCACGATTAATCGCCCGATGAGGCTATCACTGGAGTGTACGGTAACTGGAGTCACCTGGTTTTGCAGTAGCCGACACGGGAGGATATCAGGAAGAACAAATGCAGGCCCCTATTTAGAACCAGGTTATTAAGCGTTTGACAACACAAATGCTAAGATATGAGAGATTGGTATCAATTTCGAAAATTGCGGATAAAATTACGCTACAGGAACAAGAATCATGCAGGCCGCGAAGGCATAACCGCTTGAGTCTCCTCGTTGTCGTTCTTCTTCCTCGCATATCTTCGTCGGCCGCCCCCCATATTCATAGCCAATTCCATTGACTGTCAATGAGACGATAAAGGGAGTGTGCCAGATATGACTATAGTGATGAAGGAGAGATATGCCAGATAATCACTTGTGCAGCGAAGCACTCGCCGCTCAGAGCTTGCCAGTCCCGCGATCTCTGGCGCATCAACTGCCATGGTCCAAATGGCCCATGATTCCGAAATATTCAATCTTTAAAGTCTAGAGATCATTTGTTTAGGGAATATAACACATACAGCCACGAAAGCGCCTGCCATGGCACGACCTTGCCCGTATCTTGCGGACGCATATATGGCAAAAATGAGTGCTGCTACAGCAATGGCGACAGATGTCAGACCAAGACTCAGCTGGACGATGGCCCATTGCGCAGAGAGTCTGGAGCGTGCCATGGAGAAACTTAGGAGGAAGCCCGGAGCGCTATTGTCTGGGAGGCTGCATTAGTGATTGAGATCGAGTTGCCTTTGCGTGGGTTGTAGATTCGCTCCATATGAAGTAACGAAACAACATGCTATGTTGACATCGACTGACACGTGTTGAATCCATTGGCTACAAATAACCGAGATTTCTCCTTGGCTTCGAGATAGCCGGCCAACGATTGTACTGCGCCGCGTTGGGAAATGAGTCCTCAAGCTATACAATATCATAATATTGAGGCTAAGATCGGCGACAGCGGTTTGGAGCAAGCTTCTCGTGGGGCTGTTTTCGATGACGTAGGGTATTTTGTCGGCTCAATCCTGCTGGTATCAGAGACTTATATCGTGAATGCGGAAATTGTCTCGTGCCAGCTTCCTGGCTGCCGGGTAGTATACATCACATATTACATAGAGGTATCTGAGTACTAAGACGTGTCACTACCCCGAGAGATTTAGCATTTCTCCATGTCCGGTAGTGCTTTAATGAATAGCATCCAAGCCGAAGATATACTTGGGAAAATTGAAATCCAAAGTCTGGCTGCGGTACCGAAGCTCTCTTGTATTGAGGGACTTTGGAACGTATCATTGAACCAATAAGATTCCAATCACCTTTTTTTTTTTTTTGAAATGTTCATTGTGGTGTCTCTTTTGACTTAGTAAGGTTTATCAGAATGTAGGAGCACGAAGTGATGATATCTTCGAGGAACAGTATAGGAAAGCGTTGAGAGGACACCGCGGACTCTAGGGAATTTTTTTTTCAATAGCACAGATGGAGGCTGGGTCAGAGGGCCGGTTCTTTACAGAGAAATATAAAAAGCAGTCATGGTATTACGGCATTCACTGCTATTTAAGGGCTGATCTACTTGCACGTTGGGACAGGTTTCGAAACCAATGCATCCGAGAGCGCGCGAAGGCTTTCCGGCTATCTGGAGACCAACTAGAACACCTTCGAGACAGAACCTGGAGGACGTGCTTTGCCTGGAAGACAAAGGCGCGATCCTGAAGAAAGCTCATAACCAAAAAGAACGTTTCTCTCTATCCATCACTCTCTAGATACTCAACCAGGTCGTATACTAGGCATCTATAGCATCTAATAAAAGAAATCACTACTTAGAATGTTTGGATTGCGGATGGTTCAGTCCGGCCAAGGCCTGGAACAACCAATGTATACAGCGAAGCTTCCAATGATAACGCGAAACCAGTTTTCAATATTGTAATGGCGCCTGTAAGATATGCGAAGAATAGACCAAAGACGATGGAAGATGCAACATCGGTGCCCTGGAATTTCAAAACCTCACATCATAGTTGGAGCCGGGAGAATACATTTCAATAGACTTGCGTCAGAGGTAGCTTACCTAGTTGTCGCACAATGTCTGCTCGTACTCATTTCGGTATAAATAACAAGTTCTGCATCAGTGGATGGACAAGACCCAAAGCCTTGACGACGAATCCTCTTGCATTGCTGCTAGGATTATATTCCACCAATGACTAACATCCAGCTGCCATTGATTCCAGGTAAGAAGATGTTATGACCCAGAAAAAAGAAGTCTCCTGAATGATAGAGACCTAGACGAAATTTTTGCGATAGTGGACCGCCCAGAGGACGAGCCACTGCCTAAAATTAAATATGGCCACGCCGATGGTGTAACAACTGCTGTGGTCGAGATTGGTCTGTCTGTGGGTACATTGAATTCTACGACCGTCGTATTGAATAGAGAAAGCGCACCTTGCGACGACCACCCGGTTATTATTGCTTGTGCTGAAGAGAAAATCGGCAAATTCCATAAGTAACACGTATGAACTTTGAAGAGCATCAACCAGGTATTAATAACCCAAGGAGCGCTTGCTAGGAACAGCATCCAACATACTGTCGAGTGGCCCACGCTGGGATGGTCGGAGTTGGGTATATTGCACCATTTCCACACTCCATGCATGCCAAAGGATAAGCAGGTTCGGCGGGAGTATAAAGTACGTCTTCTGAGTACGGGCTGTAATTTCCATGAAGCCTCCAACTATAGTGACTCGATACCACTCATCGTTGGTTGGTTCTTCAAAACATACACCATTCCCTGACAAGAACAAGATGGTAACATCTCCATCAACTCGGAACATCTGTTCATCAGCAATAAAGCTTGAGAAGCTAGCGCTAGCGATTAACTCGCCTGTGACCTCAGCTCATAGCAGGCTGTCACAGGATGTTAATACATCTGAATTTCCTGTCGTAAGATACTCTGGCATTTTGGTCAACGCGACAATGACACGTCATATCAGCGATTGTGAACTAACCTCAGCTTATAGTAACCTCGGGTGGTATGGCTGGTTCAGGTGGCTTGGTGTTGCTTTGCGTTTTATTTTCTACATAGCCGTATCTGCTACGTGTGGATTCCAAAAGGACAATGCTCCTTTCACCTATATGATTGGCCCTTGCGTTCTGGCGACCGACAAACCTTATTATACGTATTCCGGGAGGTGGTACCCCTCTCATAAGCTGTGTCCCATTAGACAAAGCACGTTGATATCGTTGGTAGTGACGATAAAGACTGCTTTGGCAGTCGTGAACGTTCTGGGGCTTCACTGTCCTGGAGCACCACATTAATTTAATAAGCAATAGCCCTGGTCACACTTGGACCTCTGAGGTACTGTTGTAAAATGTCCTGAATTTCTTACGTATGATTAATCCTGATAGTTAGCAAGGTAGAGACGATCAATTTGTTGCATCCAAGGAGTTCGTTCCTATTTGCTGAATAACAGTGCTGTGCGAAATCTATGGCGTTTTGGACTTGCTCAGATACTGTCGAGTAAAATTCATTTGACGGGCGGTAACCACTGCCATCATAAGGGCAAGCAATCATCCCACAGTGTGGGATTTAGCACAGCACGACACCCCCGGCGGCGGTAGACAATTTCGATGAGTATCCGCCAACCACGGTCAATTCGACCGAGAAACAACTACCAAACATGAGAATCAAGAGGAATCTATTCAGCCGGCCTTTATGCCAACCACGCCGCGCCTAAGAGAGTGCCAAGCACATTCAGAGCCCAGAGTCGGCAGATGGTTCGTTGTGCATAATAACCTGATGCCAGTGATGCATTGTAGCCGGGGAGCTGACGTTGAGAAGGATCGATGGAAGATGAGCGAACATGTTTCCCACAGCCATAAGCCGCAAAAGGCATGAAGAAAGCAGTGAACGCAATTAACAAGTTCCTCTGGTCTCGAGTGGTGGTCAAGGTTGCACCCATGACCTCTCCTTTGGACCAATGCGTTTAAATGCTTGCACACATCTTCTCAATCCATGCTGCTCTTGAAGTGATGGGAACATTGGCCTTACAGCAGAGTGTAGGATTTGGTAAGACTCATTACCCAGGTACAGACCGTAGTCTTGCATTCTATGACGGCTCGAATGATAGGTGGATGGTCCTAATTGTAATAGAACTATGTTAGCTAAGGATGTGATGAATATTCCTTTCTCCGAAACCCACGGGATACAGGAGTTTCTTCTTGTTTACAATAGGCGTCTGCAGATATCTACTTGGTCAAGAAGCCAGTAAACATTTTCTTTTCGCCGAGGCTTCGGATAAGCTCAAGGGGCTGTGCATTTGGAAAGCATGACTCAGGAGCATTCCTTTTGATGCAGCAGTTCCTGACTTGGTGGGAACTTCTGAGACCTCATTCGACTTGGCAAGCCACACTTTACGCTTCCGTGGCTGCATGGCGGGTATGGCCGTCAGATCTACACGAATTTGTGGATGTCCGCATGCGGTCATCATTCTGCAATTACTTCGCCACATTAGAAAGGGAAAGAAAACACTAAAAGTTTCTGTGCTTCTCGAAACACAGTGCACATCGCATCCATTGACGCCTTGGTTACTCTACAGCTCATGCTGCTCGCTTTCCTCGCAACGCCCTTCCGCGCAGATGACACACGTAGGTACAACCATCAATCAGAGATGTAGAGGTTGGCGGTTGTAAGATAATCGGTCAATCAGAAGTCTAGGATAATCACGCAACATAACAGGATGTAAACTCATCAGTGGCTCCTGGTCACATGCCCCGTCTCACCCTTGAAAATGTTCCTGAAGATGTGATACCATTTTTTAGATTCGGCATTATTCGCGTTGTCATTGGGGTAAACTCCTCCTGGAGCGGTCGTACGGTATGAGAGGCTTGGCATACCAAGCTGAGTCTCTAGGCAGTGGGGCAATCTTGTCAGCGGCGGCAAGCTAGCAAATTATACCAAATTGCCTTGATCACTGTAAGCACTAGGACCGCAGATCCGTTCAAGCTCCCCACTCTACTCAAGTATCAAGCAGTCAGCAGTCTAGCAGTCCACCTCGGCAGTGCCGCCCTGGCTAATTGGTCTTGATTTTAGTGGCTCAATGGAGATTGTCTCCACCTATGGGTGCATGCACTATTTTCATTACCTCAAACTCGAAGACGAAGTCCAGATATGTCGACTTGGGTGCGAAATTTGGCCAGCGTTCGGGTTAGAGTTAATTACGGCGGCTTGGGAGGAGGCAGCAGCCTCTCAAACCATAAGTATTTCATTCGTTTCAATTACAATGATGCTTCTTTGGCAGTGGCAAGGGTAATGGTGTTGGTGATGGTTTTGGTGAGGTTACAACGCAACTAGCGTGGCGACCAGGGGGTGGTCTGCAAGAGAGGTTGACTAGTGAACACAGTGGCGCAGTCCACGGGGAGGAGAGATGTGAAAGGCTGCGAAACGACAGTTTCCATGTCTCACATGCCCTTATGCAAGGCTCCGAACTCTCGATTATTACACCCTGTGTTACGGTCAGCAAATCATGAAAATCTCTACTGTCTTTCACCTCGGTGCTTCCCTTTCATTTCTGTTCTTTTGAGTTTCACTTCTGCTTAATGAGCTACTATCCAGCCTCAGGACACAATGTCAAACTTGGGCGCTCTCACTACCGCTCATTCGGCGACTGGTTCGAACTGCGATGCCATTTTTATCACTGTGAAGGATATTTTGGTATACGGAACCACCGATGCTGCCCTATCGGCTTGCATGCCGACAAACTTCGTTCCCTTGGACGCCAATTACTATTCGCCCGGTATATGTCCTCAAGGGTACACTTATGCCTGCACTGCCGGGGTGGGAAATGGAGGCACAGCAGCCACGTGCTGCCCAACGTACGTATTGTCCAAAGCGAAGTTAACATTGGTGAAGAGATATGGATGCTGACGGTGGGGTTGAATCAATAGCGGTTATGAATGTCGCAAAGGACGAGCCTCAACGGATCCCAATGCTTGTAGCTCCAAAATGCTTTCTGACAGCTCTTTCTCTGTTAGCAAGTATGTTCCTACAGGGTCTGGGATTATGTCGACTACGACGACCAAGTTTTACCCTGCCGGAAACACGATATATGCAAAAGGCGTAATTGTCCGCCGAGGGAGTAGCGATCCTAGTTGGGCCGGTGACGGCTCCCCTTCTTCCACCTCTTCCACTCTCCCTACCTCGTCCACATTGACCATACCTTCGACCACAAACGCTCAGAGTAGCAGTCTTTCAACATCGACTGACACGGTCACAGCCTCTGGTCTTAGCTCTGGGGCCAAGGTGGGTATCGGGGTCGGAGTGAGCTTAGGCGCATTGGTCATAATTGGCATGATTGTGGCTGCACTTTGTGTCAGTAAGCGGAAAAGGAGAGCTGCAGAAAGGGATATTAGGGGGAGCCCCATCAATGGGAAGGCAGAATTCCCGCCTCATCCAGTCCAAGGAATGTATGATGATGCAAGCCATTTTCAGCAACAGAGCGTACCGCCAGTGGAGCTAGACGGACAGAAAGAGCATTCCGAACTCAATGCACAACATTCGCCAGTGGAACTTATGCGCCATTGAAGAGATTCAGGATATATATGGAAAAATTTTCGTTATGACTTCTTGATGCGTTTCACATGGCAAGGTCGGTGGCGTTTTGTCCCATAGCATCCTCACCATGATGTAATTCTAATGCCCAAAATCGTTGGCCACGCGTTTCTTCGAGAGTCCACATGGCTCAGAATCTAAGAGGCAGGAGTTGCAGACTTGTGGTTTTATAGTATTTCAAGTTTGTACCGACCAACATCAGTGCATTTTATTCCTGTAACTTCTCGTTCTTCTGCTCGCTTTTGTTTCCGTTCGCCACTGTTATGGGCGTAGCTACGAACCGGTCGGCTATAAGTACCAAATTAGGTTTATTTACTTTATGAAGAGAGAAGGAAAAGGGATCGCTCCTTTCTCGTGAGCGGGTAATCCTTGGAGATTGCAGTGCCGGTATCACCGAACAAAAAAGGAGTTCTATCGATCTTCAGATGAAGAGTACACGATAGAAATATGTAGTTTTTCCGCTGCGATATCATATCATCAGAACGTCGGGGCACTCAAAGCATTGCCACGGCACTTAATATATCTCATGTATGCGATGGAGATCCTGAATGATCATAAGACTCAGTGGCGAATCTGATAATTGGCAGAAATACGAGTGTCACTGTTTCCAAATCATGGGCAATAATCTACATCTCCCACGTTTCCTACCCACCGAAAATGACCTATATCAACCATTCGCCTCATATTGTAAGGATTGAGTAACGTTCGGGCTGCATCGGCAAGCCATGCTAGGTGTGTTTCGCTTGACAACCTGCTTCGGCAATAGAGTTGCTCAAGATTGGCGCGAGTCATGCGAACATCTGGGGCCACGTCCGTTGAGGTTCCAAGAGGCTCGAGAACAGTGAGTAATTTGCGGTACTCTTCCCGGCCCCCGTAGTCGCAGCATCCAATACTTGCGAACTCTTCCACCCCAACAATATTCTCATGAACCTTGTGATGCGATGCCATTAGCATCCAATTGCAGAAGCCAAGCGTAACAAGTGCGGTAAGCATTCCTGTCTCCACCATCCGGGCAACAGAAGAAATGCATTCTCGCATTTGGCCGCCCAGATACTCACACATATTTTGTGACATTCCTCTTAACACTGGATTCTCTCTCTGTTTCCGTGCTGCATCGCTTCGGATGTCTATGAGATCATTGAGCAAAACACTAGTTCGGCAAAGGTCTCGATATTGCTGCGCATCGATCTTCTGCGCCGAAACGAGGGAGGCAACGATGATGGGGGGTGCTATACCAATGTCTATCATTCGGTGGGACTCCAATCTCGACATCCTACTGCCAAAAACTGTGTCCGGCAATGATGGTCTTGCATGATCTCTGTAATATGAGAGAACGCGAAATTGGACAGTACATGCAACCAAAACGTCGAGATGCCAGTCTTCGAGATAGCCAGCGATGTGGCAGAGCTCCAGGAAGGCGAATGCTGCAGCACCTGTCCTTTGTAGAATTTCCAATGTATGTTGGTCTGCCGCTTCGGCATAATCCCCAATCAAGATATCGTTTGCAGCATCAGAGACTGCTCTAGATATGCCTTCATCGCAGACGGAGATTCCGCAGGCAATCGAGAAGAAGTGTTTGGCGTCTGAACACAGTTTAACCCCCTCAAACGTCGGGAATTCATACATGTAGACTGCATTGGGTGAGTCAACTTGCGTACACCTCCTACGATCAGGGGCCGTGACTTTGTTGATGGACTTGGAGTAGCATGTCTTGGCTGGTGGTCGCATGCTTGTATTAATCAAAGTCAATTCTTGCACCGCCTCGCGCAGAGTTTCCGTCGTGAAGATGCCATGCCCATCCCATTCTTGAGACCTTTCCATGACCTTTTCTGCGCTTTGCCACATTCTGTCAATAGCCCGGCATCCTCCCGCAGAGTATGCCCTAGCATCCACCGAGCTGATGTTGCTCTCAGTTGGGGACAGGCCTTTGCAAGCGCAATCTACTCTGGGATCAAAGTTGCTAAGTAGCACATTGTTGTCATCGCACGATGGAGGAGCTGCATTTCCGATGGACATGGTCCGAAACTTGGCATCATTCTGAATTTTGGCAGCAGTGTCATGTAGAAGCTGCATATCAGCGTCGCCTTGTATGACCTTTGCTGCTATCTCCCCCAACACTATGTCCTGGGTCGAGGTTGCCAATTTTTCGGATCCCAACCATGCATTGACCCATTCAAGGTAAGCAGGAAGGCAAATGGCGGGTCCTGGCCGCGAGCTTCTACCCGTGAATTTTGAAGACATTCCTAAATAGGGGCAGAAGTGAATATGAAAAAGACGAGTAAAAGGTCGGGATTCGTGCTGAAATCAGCTAGAAGGGGTGAGATTGAGAGCGGTAAATTCACCATATACCAGTTCAAAAACAAGCCCGGTGGCATTCTGATACTCCATTCTTTTGCACAGGACATATACTTATCCACTCCGAGCCGTCCTATGATGTACAGGCTGGCATAGGTTATGGAGTTACGTGGTCATGACGTTTCCTTGCATCTACTAGTGAGCGAGGTCTCAAAAGCAATCCGCTTCCGGTCGAGACGGCACTAAGAGAGGGTGACTTTGAACCAGTTGTGTTCAGTCAAGCGCCCGATGTGAGAATTACGACGATAGCTGGCTATGGAGGTCAACAGCGTTGTTCGGTGAGATGCAACGTGCGTTAGTGCTTTGGAGCATGTAGCACGATATGTAATCTTGCTTCAGTTTCGTTATATTATTGCAACTATTGCTATACCGACTAAATGGAGCGTCTTGGGAGAGTTTGCCGGTGAGAGATCCCGGCAATCTGGTAGTGGAGATTATTGTCTCAGACAGAACCAAATACAGATAAAGCCATTGACTTAGCTCGCATCACATGCACGAGACCCACAGTGAAGTGGGATCCAATAAGCAGATGAGGCATCCTGTGCAATAACTACTGCAAGTATTGGTTGAAATGGGAGACCTAATGTGAAATGCGAATCCCGTCGCTTCCTAAGCTTGAACAGATAAAGGTCGTCAAAATCGTATAGAAACCGTGCCAACTAGAATTTTCAAGCTAACTGCAGCTATGACCATATCACAGCCCGAACAGAGATAGCTCATTCGACACATTCGACTAATTATATTGGTATATTGTTGATTAGTCTGCGTCGGGGATCCATGGCTCACCCAGCTGTAAAGGGGTAGGTCTGAACGTCTGGACATAGCTGATACCGTGGTGCTCCCAATGATAATCTTGCAACGCCGTCCAAAGAGGGAAGATATGACGTCGACTACCCTGACTCAAGTATTAAGGTTTTGATATCCCATCCTAGTCGTTGATGCAGTTCCCCGCGCCTGAAACCGGACTTACGGAGAGAGTGCGGGGGACTTCACTGTATCACACGGTCAAACACAGTATATGGACCAGACTTCCGATTCTCAACAAAGTCTTCAATCAAGGCCTCTCTGCATGTAAGAAGCAGCCCAAATCATTTAAATATTGCCGAACGTGATCATGAGAGCCTTGCGATTTCATGGAAAGAAGGACATCCGTCTCGAACAGGTGGAAGAGCCTCAAGTCCGACCTGGATGGGTGAAAGTAAGGACTAGAGATCTGGTCTGAGACACGGATGCCTAATCTTGCGTTAGGTCAAACCAGCTTTTGTCGGAATATGCGGGACTGACCTCCATGAATACCTCGATGGAAACAATCTTATCCCGAAGCCAGGTCATCCCCACTCTATCACCAAGGAGACGTCGCCCGTGACTCTTGGGCACGAATTCAGTGGGGTCGTCGAGGAAGTAGGACAAGGCATCATTGACCTTGAAGTAGGGCGAAGGGTGTGTGTGCAGCCCACTATATACTGCGGGAAGTGTCACGCTTGTCAAAGCGACCTGCACAATTCCTGCCCGCAGTACGGATTCATTGGCCTTAGCGGTAAGCCACAGCCGAGGGCAACACTCAATACATACTTACGACGTATTGGCTGACAAAACGAAGGCTGGGGTGGTGGCCTGGCAGAATACATAGTTGTTCCCAGGCAAGCAGTGTGGGAACTACCATCGAACGTGTCTCTAGAATATGGAGGTACTTTGTCCCATATTCCCCTGCACATTATACTTAACGCTGAAAACTCTACCAGCCCTTGTCGAGCCGTTGGCAGTCGGTTTCCATGCCGTAGATATCGCTCCGATAGCGCATCCTATTAAGTCAAGCACGTCTATGCTCGTGCTCGGTGGAGGACCTATTGGGCTGTCTGTGATCCAGGCCATTCACGGCCAGGCTGCCTCGAGTGAATCGCCACCCGTCATCATTGTATCCGAGCCAACAGCAGCACGACAGCAATTTGCGCGCGAGTTTGGTGCGCATCATGTCATCAACCCATTAACTACCGATCTAGTCACGAAGATAATGGAGCTCACCGATGACAGGGGCGTTGATGTGGTCTTTGACGCAGCAGGGGTCCAAGTCGGGTTAGACGGTGCCGTCAGGTCTCTGTGTGCGGGCGGCACTGTTGTCAACATCGCGGTTTGGCCTAAGAGAGCCACGTTGGACATGAATGAGATTACTTTCAGGCAGAGATCGTATATGGGGAGCGCAACATACAGCAATCGTGATTTTGGAAGGGTACTGGAGGCAATCGAGAGCGGGAAGATCAAGCCAGGTGCAATGATCACCAGCATGATCGCGCTGGAGGAAATTGAGGACAAGGGTTTCCGGGCCCTCATCGAAGAGAAAGATACACAAGTCAAGATTCTGGTAGATATGGGAAGGAGTCTACGAAAGGATAGCGCTGTGGCGGTGTAAGAGGTGTCTGCACTAAATTGAATCTGACTAAGTAAACGATTTATAGCTAGTATTAACCAAACGCCTGCAACTGTTTCGCGTGATACTGGGTTATGATGTCAAGAAGTCGATCATAGATACACACTGCACGTATAAAGGGAGGTTTAGTCACACGAGGGCAGTATTAGTGATTGCGTATGATGGCTTGATTGAGTTATGCTGATACCCCTCACAGAGCGAGATACGAAAGGGAAGATGCAATGAGCCCACTAACGGCCTGAATGTGCTGATTTGTGGAAGAAAAGAAAAAGGAAGAATGAGATGATTTCTCTCGCAACCGCGTCATCCGTGAAGACCACTCGCCTTGATGACAAGGCCTCCTTCCCTCCCGCTACATCCCTAATCATTATTCATGCTGGTAGGTCCCCCCCTATTGCCTTAGATCTTCTTGCATGGCTGCCAAGAGACGTGGAGCTGCTGGGTGAAGGCGACGGTAGCATCGTCGTCGGAGATCTGGCCAGAGGCGCTGGAGTTGCTGCTGGTGAGCGAGATACGGTTATTGATGTTCAAGATACCGCTTTGGCCGCAAGGGGACCAGATGACGGAAGCAGTGGGGATCTGGTCTTGCTTCGTGTAGACTTGGCCGTTGGCCCAAGTACCGCCCCCAGAGAGAGAGGTCTGCGTGGTAGTCTACTGGCTGTCAGCTGATGCCCGTAGTCTATACTCAAAAGGTGCCTTGAACTCACAGTAGCTGCGGCGTCCTGAGAGAAGAAATAGGTGGAGTAGAATGTGCCAGTGACACCCTTGTCGAGCTGAGCAAATCCGTGGTAGGTCGACTCAACCACAGCGAACTGGAAGCCACCGGGGTATTTCAGGTTCAGGTGCAGCTGGCAGTTCTTAGTCTTATCTGCCGCAGTAAAACCAGGCCCAATGTAGGTTTGGAAGCCGTCGAAACCAAAAGTGAGGACCTGCAGATGTGTAAGACGATGGTCTTCCAGTAAGGTGACTCGGATGAAAGGAAATTGGTATTTCGTAATCATTTGATAGGAAAAACCGATTTACTCACAGTTCGGTCAGGCGAAATATCCGTAGTGACAGTTCCCTGAGGGCAGCCGTTTCCAGAGGAGGAGGCACTGGTGATCTGAATCTCGTTGGGGGAGGGCGTATCGCCGTTCTGTCCAGAAATTCCCAGAGGAGTGGCGGCGGCCAATACAGGGGCGAGGATTGCAGCGAAGGCACGCATTTTGAGAGTTTAGAGTTGTGAGCGTAGATGCACAGCTGTGGAATGTTTGGCTGTTCAAGCTTCCTTGGGTTTTGGGACTGGTGGGAGTGGTGGTTGATCCTGAGCTGCTGAAAGGGCAAAGATCGACTCTATCGTGACGTGCCCCGTATTTATACCTATAGCCAACCCATGGGCTGCGCAGTATCCTGGTCGCATCTCCTCATGTCCCCCAACCCATCGGTGAGTGAACGGACGATGTTTGTTTGCATCGAACCAAAAGTCCACCCGGTATCGTGAACGATCCCGCGTCCGTTATTCGTTCCGCAATATCAACATTAGATTGCGCAGCGTCGATTCGTAGCCCTGGATCTCTCTCAGGTGCCCCAGAAGAGGCCAGCCGAGTTCGCCTCTGAATTTGCGGGTGAATTATGGGGTGAGACTTTAGATGAAAACATATTAAACCAGGATACACTAGCTTTTATACCATCGCTGGCCAGACTTTTTCGATAGTCTTTTTATAGAACAGCCTGGGGCAACCCAGGGTCTGGAACTAGGATCAGCCAGTGCATTGCAGTTCCGTCCCTGCCAGTGACCAAGGTTCTGGGATAGCCCGTGAGAAAGAAGCTGTCCCGAGCATGGAGCTATGACTCTAGAGTATCTCCAATGCTACATGGCCAGCACAGGAGCTACCAGTACGAGTAATTACCTCGGAATCGTGCCGGAGTCCAGATCTAATGAGCACGTCTGGTTCTATTTTTGTCCAGGTCCGCGCATAATTATAGATTAAGCTTAAATAATAACTCAGCAGCTAGGATTCAGCTGACTGCAGCCGGCGCTTGCGGGCCGCCAAGACCCGGGAAGTCGTGAAGTTCTTCATACGTTTGTAGATGTTGGTATTAGAAACACTTGAGTGGTGTTTTTTTCTGGGGGTCGTGCCCATCCAGGTTGGCGACTAGCACGCCTCTTCAAATTTGCAAGAACTGCTCTAATGTTCATAATACCTGATTTCTCACCAATGTTTAGAAACGCGCCAGGAGGTAGAATGGTTCAAACTGAGGAGAATGGCGGTGCTTGATTTCGAGTTGTTGACCTCTCGTTCCGGCCGATAGTCCAATGGCGCATACTTTGCCATTTAGCCTCATTGCCGGCAATCAGGAGTCGGCCACCAAAGTTGGACGTCAAGCCCCACCCTTGCGGGCAATTCCGCACAGCAGTCGTGTGAGAATGCGATACGGAACTGAAAATTGAGGCTTGAGGCTTACAATATCTTCCCGCCCTTGCTGAATACGAGCTAACAGGGCTGATCAAACGCATGAGGTCGCGACGACGTCCGGGCTGGGGTAACCGACGTCAGCCAAACCTATGACTGGCCTGCGGTATATTGACCTCGGAGAGCACGATTTTGGCAATCTTGGCGGCGAGGACGAAATTCTTCGACTTGGTAGTAAGGTGTTATGATGTTCGTGGCCCGTAGACTTTGGATGTCCAGGTTGCCTGTGATGGAGCTGAACCACCAGTCTGGATCCCTTAGTGGCACTTCTAAATTTAAACCCAGGCGCGCATTATACAGGAGAATGATACCCTGTGAGGATTCATGGGCCAGTATATGTACCGCGGCTTGCAGATTGAATGCCCCAAGGTAACATCGACGGCCCCGCATTATGTTGCCCCGCGACAAGATGCCAAAGCCCGAGAGGGCCGAGTTGGAAGTCAACAAGGGATGATGAGGAGGTCAAATCAACGGTTCACGCGTTTTCAATATGCTATACGATTCTTGTTCTGTGTGTCATGTCGTCTCTTGCGAAAGCTGGCAGGCTTTTCCTAAGCCATCTCTACGTAAACTCCAGACAGGCTACGATGAAAGTAAAGTAAAAACAATGGCACTAGATAAAATAGAGTCTACTCATTCCCATAAATGTGAAACGCCCAAAGCTGCGCCGCCGTAACAACTTAAGCATTGAGCAGACCTTCCAAGTTGATGCTCTTGGGGCGCTCAATGGGAAGACCAAGTGCGCGATCCCAGATGAGCTGAGCCAGAGGACCCAATCCTCTGCTCACGCCGAAGGTCGCGGTGTAGTACAAGGTCTCGTGGAAGCCATAGTGATGGAACAAGACACCAGAGCTGGAATCAACGTTGGGGTAAGGGTTCTTGGTCTTGCCATGCTTCTTCAGCACTTCTGGGGCGATCTCGCTGTTCATCTTGACCAACCGAAACACGGGATCCTGTGCAATCTCGGGACGGGCGGCGGCATAGTCCATAAGAGCCTCAAATCGAGGGTCGGGCTTTCGGAGAACAGCATGACCGTAGCCTGGAACAACCCGGCCAGAGTTGAGAGTCGACCAAAGGTAGTCGTGGACTTCCTTCTCGCCGTAGTTATCTGGGATAGCCTCCTTCATCTGGATGATCCAACGGAGGACTTCCTGGGCGGCGAGTCCGTGCAGCGGCCCAGCAAGGCCCTGAAGACCTGCGCTATAACTCAGGAAGGGATCGCTGAGAGCGCTGCCTACTAGGTGTGTAGCATGGGCAGAAACATTGCCACCTTCGTGGTCGCCGTGAAGAGCCAGGTACAATCTCAAAAGGTCTTGGAAGTTTTCGTTCTCTTTGCCACCTTTGCCCAGCATAGCAGCGAAGTTGTAGGACCAGTCCTGGTCGATGTCAACATCAGCCGGGAGAGCACCGCCGCCACGGTAGGAGTTCTGGTAGATCTTGGCCGCAATAGTTGGAAGCTTCGCCAAAAGACTTATGCAGTCATCGAAAGTTGGCTCCCAGTAATCCGCCTTGTTCATGCCCCCCTCGTAGGCCTTTGCGAACTTGGAGGTGTAGTTCAAAGCGCTAACAGCAATGGCGAACTGGGTCATGGGATGCAGGTCCTTGGGAAAGTTGTCAAGCATCTTGTTGACAAAGTCGGGCAGGGATGCTTGTTCAGCGAGCTCTCTGGAGAATTGGCGGACCTGGGTGACAGAGGGGACTTTTCCGGTCAGCAACAGCCAGAACATGGCCTCGGGCAACATCTCGGTGCCGGTCTTGCCCTTGGGGAGTTCCTTTTGGCAATCCTTGATTGTGCGCCCATGGAACCGGATACCCTCGTTGGCGTCGAGAACAGACCCTTCCCAGACCATGGCCTTGAGTCCTCTAGTACGCCCAGTTAGCCGTAAGCCAATCGCATTCGATGCGGAGCTGGCAGTATCACAAACCTCATGCCACCAATGGTGTTCTCGATCTTGACCTCGCCGATGACCTTGGAGCCATTTGCCTTGACCTTCTTGAACAGCTCGCGCTTTGCGGGAATGACCTCTTTCAGAGTCTCCTTCAAGTCGGGTTCCGAGGAGGCGGAGTAGCATCGAGCTGCGGACAACGAGACGGCTTGGGCGGCCCGGGGCTTGAGGGAGCGGTATTAGTATACATTAATCACTTGTATAGACCCAGAATGCGATATGAGGTAGACAAAAAGTGGACTCACCCTCAGGGCCCCGAATGCCTTTGTCGTCGCTCTCAATTGAAGAACCATGATCAATCCACGATACTGTGTACTGTGAAAGAAAGACCTCGGCTATCGTTGCGTGCTACAATACGCTCACTGACTTGGGCTGCGTGTCAAGAAGACGATAGTCCTTAGCCCTCTTGGTCACTTGGAGCCGACTAGAGAAACGGAACGCAACACGGGAATCACGGCCCAGAAAAGTGTATTATGAGGGATCACACGAGGAATGGGCGAGCCAGAGATGGCCGACAAATTCCCAACCGCCTTTTGAAGCTCGGCGTCAGGACAGCCCGGAAAGCGACATGTGGGGGAGGGGAGCTTGACGCTCGGTGGGCCGCCATCCCCCGCATCAACCGAGGGAAACCGGCGCGGTCTGGCGTCGGGGTTTGGGGGGGATATTCTGTCTCAGTGGAGCCCCCCAGGCCCCCTATGCTGCCCATGGCCCCATAGCCGGGGGGAGGATCCCCTCGTTCCCCATCGCTCACCGCAATTGTCCAATAGCCAGCAGCCTGCCTCTCTCCCAGACCGAGCCCCCAGTCAGGCCAGTCCAATCGGCAATCTGTTGCCGCATAGCCAAGGTCCAAGCCGAGCTGGCCCAGTCGTCCGCTCAGAGGTGGCGGCGGTGGTGCGTAGTTAACCGTCAGAAGCTCGGGCGACTGGCCGTCTAGAAGAAGATCGCACCGCGCGGACTGCGTCAACCCTGAGATATCCGACCTCCGAGATACGGCCGCTTCTTGCTAAGAACCGTCCCTCGCTTGTGATGTGGTGGTCGATTTGAACCCTTGTCTTTCTTCTGCCACCCTCAATTTCGAAGCGTATACTGAGATTCCACGGCGGGTGCCTCGACCACGATGCTTCGCCGAGCCTTAACCCGGGTTCCCCGAAGGGCAGCTCTCACAACTCGCGGAACACCGACTGCCATTGCCATCGCCCGACCACTGTCGACCACAATCTGCAGAATGTCTCTGCCACCCGTCCAGCCTCCGGTCTCGACCGCTCTGCCCTCCGACGCGTTCCAGCTTCTCCCCGAGACGGAAAAGGCCGGCACCGCGGAGGACGCCCTCTACGAGCAGCAGATCAAGGAAGTCGAAGCATGGTGGGCCAGTCCCCGGTACGAGGGCATCAAGCGGCCTTACACGGCTGCCGATGTCGTCTCGAAACGCGGCTCGCAGCTTCAGACCTACCCGAGCTCGCTCTCGGCCAGGAAGCTGTTCAACCTCATTAAAGAAAAGGAGTCCAAGGGCGAGCCCATCCACACGATGGGCGCCATAGACCCGGTTCAGATGACGCAGCAAGCGCCGCACCAGGAAGTGCTGTACTTGTCCGGCTGGGCCTGCTCCTCCGTTCTCACGACGACAAATGAAGTCTCGCCCGACTTCGGCGATTACCCTTACAACACTGTCCCCAACCAGGTGCAGCGCATGGCCAAGGCACAGTCGATGCATGACCGGAAGCAGTGGGATCTGCGCAGGAAGCTATCAGCCGAGGAACGCGCGAAGACGCCGTACGTGGACTACTTCAGACCCATTATTGCAGATGGCGACACAGGCCACGGCGGACTCAGCGCAGTGCTCAAGCTCGCGAAACTCTTCGCAGAAAATGGTGCCGCTGCCGTACACTTTGAGGACCAGCTTCACGGTGGCAAGAAGTGCGGACATCTTGCAGGCAAAGTTCTCGTACCTACAGGGGAGCACATCAACAGGCTCCTGGCCGCTCGCTTCCAATGGGATGTGATGGGCTCCGAGAACCTGGTAATTGCTCGCACCGATTCCGAAAGCGGCAAGCTGCTTTCGAGCGCCATCGACGTGCGAGATCACGAGTTCATCCTAGGCATTGCCGAGGAGGGTATTGCACCGCTGGCAGAGACCTTGCAGGCCATGGAGGCATCGGGCGCATCGGGACCAGAGATCGATGCGTTCGAAGCTAGCTGGGTCAAGAAGACACGCCTGGTAACCTTTGACGAAGCTGCAGTGGAGCAGATGAAGGCTCAGGGCGTGTCCCAGGACAAGATCGACGCCTACACAAAGGCGGTCGAGTCCGACAGCAACCTGGGCATCTCCAAGCGCCGCGAACTCGCCAACCAACACGTTGAAAAGCCCATTTACTTTGACTGGGATATTCCGCGCACCCGCGAGGGCTTCTACCACTTCCGCGCAGGCATGCAGGCGGCCACTAAGCGCGCGCTCGCCTTTGGCCCCTACGCGGACCTGCTCTGGGTCGAGACGGGCGACCCGAACGTCGAAGTCGCGGCTAAGCTCGGCTGCGCCGTCCGGTCCGTCTTCCCGGGCAAGGGCCTGGTGTACAACCTCTCGCCATCCTTCAACTGGATGTCGCACGGGTTCACCGACGAGACGCTGAAGTCGTTCATCTGGGACATTGCCAAGGAGGGCTTCGTGCTGCAGCTCATCTCCCTGGCCGGCCTACACAGCACCGCAACTATCTCCAACGAGCTCGCCAAGGAGTACAAGAAGGATGGCATGCTGGCGTATGTGAATCTGGTGCAGAGGCGGGAGAAGGAACTGGGCTGCGACGTCCTGACGCACCAGAAATGGAGCGGCGCCAGCTACATTGATGGGATCCTGGGAGCCATCCAGAGCGGCAGCAGTGGCAGCAAGAGCATGGGCGAGGGCAACACGGAGGGCCAGTTCCACTGAAGATCGGAGTAGAGCGTGACGATGGAAGGCGACCTGTAGCATTGAATGGCGTTAGGGGATTGTGAGACTTAAAACTTTTTTGTGGTCAATGACAGTGTAGTGCGAGAGTTTGTCGTTGGTAAATGATGATAAATTTCTGCACAAAGCACAGTCTGAATGATATCTAGGCCATGAAACTGACATCGCATGCTATGCCGCGTAGTGAAAACCCACAAACCGTTACACTGAACATCATGCGCGACGCAAACCAGCCCAGACTCCATTCTCCCGGATAAGTATGCATGGCCTTTTGACCAGACCCGATCACCCTGACCGCCGTCCCATCCGTGTCATTCCTGCGTGTTTCTAGATCACTCCGATATCATATGCAATCACAGCTCCGTCTTGGAGGCGTTGTTGACGGGGGCGGCCGTGGGCTGGCCCTCGGGGGTGACGTAGGCCTTGGTCATGCCGCCGTCGACCACCATCTCGTGTCCGTTGACGAAGCTCGCCTCGTCGCTGGCCAGGAACAGCACGGCGTTGGCCTGCTCGATGGCCTCGCCGAAGCGGCCGGTGGGGAAGTGGATCTCGCGGCGCAGGCGCTTGGGGGCGTCGTCGCCGAGCCAGTCTTGCAGGAGCGGGGTGTTGAGGGGTGCCGGGCACAGGCTGTTGAAGCGGAAGCCCTCACGCGCGTGGACGATGGCCAGCTCGCGCGTCATGGCCAGCACGGCGCCCTTGGACGCCGTGTAGGCGAGCTGCGGCGTGGCCGAGCCGACCAGGGCCACGACCGAGGCCGTGTTGATGATGCTGCCCTTGGTCTTGTTGTGCTTGCGCAGCGACAGCACGGCGTGCTTGGAGCCGTACCAGACGCCCTTGACGTTGATGTCCATGGTCAGGTCCCAGATCTTCTCGGGCGTGCCGACGGCGTCGTCGTCCTGCGCGTGCATGATTCCGGCGTTGTTGAAGATGACATCCAGGCCGCCCCACGCGTCCAGCGATTCGACGGCGGCCTGCACCTGGGCTTCCTTGGAGACGTCGCAAACCTGAGGGGAACCGATCAGCGGTATGCGCTACGGGGGATGTCGCAGCGACGGGGTTCGCAGACGTACCAGTGTCTCTACGCGGCCGGCATGAGGGACGAGCTGTGTGACCTTCGCCTTTGCCTTCTGTAGGGCAGGCTCTGAGATATCGGTCATCAGGATGTTTGCGCCCTCCCTCGCAAACAAGATCGAGGTCTCAAGACCGATGCCGCTGGGAATAGTTAGCCATCACGGGCCGCACATCGCTGCTGCTGAATCCAACGGCGTGTGCGACTGCGCAGACGCAAGCCCCGTCTGTCGGGCCACGCAGACGCCGCGCCGGTGGCGTGAGGGAACAAAGATTGGCGGTGGTCTTACCCAGCAGCTCCGGTGATGATGGCGTTCTTGCCAGAAAGACGGCCCTTGGCGACGTCCACGATAGATCCCATCTTGACGGTTCGGTGGTTGGGGTTGTGAGTTGTAGTCAGGGGAATAGGAAAGCAAGAGAGAGAAGATCTAGAGAGACAATGCGAGGTACCACAGAGGACGTTTACCAGGTGAAGGAGAGAAGCAGGACAGGAGGCCAAACACACGACGTAGGGATGGGCGGTTTTACAATTAATCTTCCAATGTCGGTGAACCACGGTCTAGCAGCTGATACCTACCTGGACGAATCGAATGAGTCAAGAGGAAACGAAATACACCCGTGGGAGATAACGGTCAGGCCGGCAGCCCCCCGCCAGGCTGGACCCCTTCACGAGTCCGGTGCCCTAGCCATCCAGCCATCAAGCATCTGAGCGTGTGGCATGCTGGCATGTATTCCGTCGGCGAGCAGATCTCTGGGTGTTGGGCCCCGTGGAACCAGGAGGGGTCCTTTCCGAGAACGGCGGCGAGATGACATTGCGTTGGCGCAGATAGTCGTCTCTGCCATCTCTTATCGGCCAGTCAGCGGGGAGGACCCCAGCTCGATCGCCCGTTCCGGCCATCCACATTCGACGCTGGTTGCTGGTTCGCCCGCATGCACGCAGCAAGGTTTCACGGTCTATCCCCGCGGTCGCCTCTCGATAAGAGCCGCCTTGATAGCGAAGATGTGCCATTTCCAGACAAGCCAGAGAGTGGTACGGCAAGATGGGCACCTACTAAGTTACGGCGGACGCTTCACAGGGGACTCGTGGTGACGCCCTCTCTTGCTATTTCTACACACTCAATGCATCGTCTCACTTGCAACCTACTTGGTACTTTTGAATGTCGTTCCTCTCAGCTGCCCGCTTGCCCACCGGTGTTACGCCCTCCCGCCTCCCCATGTGGTGGTTCGTGCAACTAGCTCGCCAAGGGGGGAGCCCACGAGGTTTCGACTTGTAATTGAATGGTAATAGAAACACCCACTTACAAACCACATGTGTACCTTTTCGGCATCTCGCCATCCAATGCTTATCTGGCAGCATCGGTGATTGGCGAGGAGAGACCTTCCCCCATCGTGGAAACGGATTCCACGGGCTACCGGTCGGTATCAGCTGTAACTATCGTGATCTTCAGGCGGACCCCGCGGCCATCGAGTCATGGTGGCAGAAAACGGGGTTTCGGGTCGGCGGGCCTCCCGAGAGCGACGTTTGACAGCCAGCGGGCGCCGCCACTTGGATGGCAATGACTTGAAGGAAAATACTTCCGCATGGAGATGTAGTCAGCAGCCCTCCTTTCAAACATTTCTACAATGTATGCTGACTCGTGCGGAAGACACCAGTCGGATCTTGGCACGTTCAATGCTGCGTCTGACAAGACCCGTGGACCGAATGCGCGTGTGGATCTGAGCGGCCGCCTTCCGCCCATGGTGTGGTTCACTAACTAGGGGGCCTACGTCACGCATCCCTTGCTCTGCGTTGCGCGGCCTACCATCTATACTCGTAGCCTCAACGTGGAAGAATTGACTCTTGACGACGCATGCGCTGCAATGGCTATCTAGATGATAACCATTCATGCCTAGCGAATTGAACGCAACTTTGTATGTCGCTCGGAACGATGCAAGCCTGAGCCACAAGCGGTGCCTGTTACTGCCATGGGAAATGACGTATGACTGCATTTGGGAGGGACGGTTCGGAGGTCCCCTACTAGAAATAAAAAGGGTCTCTCCTAGACCCTCAGAGCCTCTCATAACTTCCATAGTCAAGAGTGCCTACTGACTATAGCATACGATGAGATTTCTGGAGCAACACAGGTTGTTCGTTGACCCTGTCAAAACTGGCGTCCAATCGTAGCCAGGTGTCCTTTGTATACCAGCCAGCCCTCGACTACTAGCGCCCTGGTGGCTTTCGTGCTAATGACAAGGCCAGGTTACGTACCTAGCTTATCGCAAGCCGGGCATGGATTCTGACGGCCCCCGAGTCCAGTCAATGGTTCCGGGTTATCGTGATCAAGCCCACGCAAGCTCGGATACACCTCCTCTGCCAGCCACTAGTTACGCAAGGTCGTGGTATCTCGTTGCAACGTCCAGCGCTCACTCACAACAACTGCACCTTTCAATCCTTGACACCCGACTTCGTCGCTCTTTTTTCGTTTGCGATCACAGCTCGTGACAATCGACGGTCGACAGTAGCCCATCACTTACTCACTGCTTGGCCAGGCCGTTAAAAACGCTACGTCATCGTTCCCTCGCACGATATCGCACTCCCTTCAACCAAACACCCACGAGATCGTCTGGGCCCGGCTATACCATCCGACATCGTGGAGCTCGCACGAGTTGCCTATATATACCAGAGACGTCGCGGGCTTTCTGCCTCGTCCCTCCTGCGATAGAGCCATTGTCGGCCCACCATGGCCCCCGACAAAGTCACCGTTGAGACTCTGCCAGAGCTCCTCAAGAATGACACCAAGGTTAAACTGGCCGGTGTCGATGCCGATGGAGTGCTCCGAGGAAAACTGATCTCCAAGAACAAGTTCCTCTCCGTTGCCAAGTCGGGCTTCGGTTTCTGCTCTGTCATCTTCGGCTGGGATATGCATGACCAGACCTACTTTGAAGAGCTCAAGGTCAGCAACAAGGAGAACGGCTACCACGACATTATTGCCATTCCCGACCTAAGCACCTTCCGGCGCATTCCCTGGGAGGACGACGTGCCCTTCTTTCTGGTCAGCTTTTTCGACCCCGACACCGAGGAGCCCATCTGTGCGTGCCCACGAGGCCTGCTGCAGACACAGCTGGATAAGCTCAGGAAGCAGGGCTTTGATGCCATGGCCGGCGCAGAGTTCGAGTTCTATCAGTTCAAGACTCCCCCGACCACCGCTGGCGAGTCGAACCCCTCGGCAGCTGCGTTCCTGCGCGACAATCCGCCGCACGCTCTGCCTGCCTTGACGGAAGGCATGTTTGGCTACAGTCTCACCCGTCCCATCCACAACAAGGACTACTACTATGACATCTTCGACTCGTGTGCCAAATTCCAATGCGACATCGAGGGCTGGCATACGGAGAGCGGGCCGGGTGTCTTCGAGGCGGCGCTAGAGTTTGGGCAGATTAGCGGTATGGCCGATCGAGCTGCTCTGTTCAAGTACGCTGTCAAGTCCATTGGCACAAAGTACGGCATCACGCCGTGCTTCATGGCGAAGCCTCGACACGGTCTGCCCGGTAACAGCGGGCATGCCCATGTCTCCGTCGTCGACAAGGACAAGAAGAACCTGCTCTGCCGCGAGACCAAGGATGAGAATGCCCCGTGGTCCGACATTGCCTACCTGAGTGATCTGGGTCGCCATTTCCTGGCTGGCCTAATCGAAGGTCTGCCTTACATTATGCCCATGCTTGCCCCCACGATCAACAGCTACAAGCGACTTGTCGAGAACTTCTGGGCACCTGTCACTGTTTCGTGGGGTCTGGAGCACCGCGCTGCCTCCATTCGGTTGATTTCGCCGCCGACCTGCAAGCCTGGTGCAACGAGATTCGAGGTCCGCGTGCCAGGCGCCGACACGAACTCCCACTATGTGATGGCAGCCATCCTCGCGTTGGGCTGGCGCGGCGTGGAGAAGAAGCTGGAGATCAAGCTTCCGCCTCTGGGCAAGGGCCAGGATGTCGGCGGCGGCGCAGACCAGGGCGCTCGACTGGCCAAGAACCTGAAGGATGCAACGGACCTGTTCATGGCCAAGGACAGCATTGCGCGTGAGGTGTTTGGTGATGAGTTCGTTGATCACTTCGGTGGCACCAGGCGCCACGAGATCCGCCTGTGGGACGAGGCTGTCACCGACTGGGAGCTCAAAAGATATATCGAGACTGTCTAGATGGCGTGCGTACGTACGTTGCTGCCGATGGGCGAAATGCTATTAGGGCGCGGAGCATTTACTGATATCCACTTGTCACTCAGATTTATTACTGCGTTATGCTAATGCGATGTGATGCGGCGATCACATGCTATAGCTCGTGCTATAGACGCGAATATACACACAGATACGAACGTCCTTGACGAAATCCATGAACTAGTCATTTCTTCTTATGAGCCATCTGGGACGACCACATATCTTACTGGCCTGAGCGGAGCAACGTTGTCTCCTCATTATGACTCTCTCTCGTCGTGAAACTGCATCGATCAAGGAACCTCTCGTGGAGACAACAGATCAGGGCCGTGTAGCAACGTTCACTTGTGTATCATGGATCAACTTGAAGCCTACGAACAATGCCATATTTGGATTAGTTGAACACACGGTCATCCTGTATTCTCTCCATCGATTTCTGCGGACCCCACATGTCAAGAACCACATTCCTTCGTGATGATGACTTTGCCCAGCACGCAGTGGATTGCAAAGGCTTGCATCGCATACCAGCTCCACACGCCATCGCCACAGAATACGAAGTGGCATGCAGATCTCTCTTGACATACCAAACCTGAGAAAGAGGCGGTATATATATTTTCCAGAGGCGAAAAGTGTGTGCCGTCTTGTCTGCACTCAACTCGGTTCCAGTCCCGACAAATAGAGTTGGTAAATAGCTGCCAAGTAGGTCATATTTGATGTTTTACATTATATAATCTTGTCTGGCCGTGAATGGCGAAGCCACCCAATCTCGGGCTTCTCACGAATTCGGGTGTTGCGGCTGGTGGGTTCTCTCATACCAAGCTGCTGGGCGCGTTTTATGCGCCGGCAAGACCCCGCCATTAAGATTAAGATTAAGAAATGCTGCCATCCCCCATCAGGACGGCGGACAAGAGACCGGTTGATTGGGATCTGTGACGAGAGGCGAGCTACGGGCGCTCGTTGGCGGGTTTGGCGGAGTCGCTAGACCGCAGAGGGCTTGGTTTCGAGGGCCGTTTCCCAGGGGTTGGTTACAGATTCCCCATCGCCCCCATCATTCCCAAGAGCCCCTGTCCCGTCCAAGCCGTCAAATCCAGGTTGCAAAGCAGGGTCTCTGGTGGCCTCCGACGAATCGCAGGCCCGGGAATCCAGGCCCAATGCAGGAACGGGACGCCGAGGCGCCAGGGGGGGAGATGCTACCCAGACTTGCCTATCATCCCTTTTTTGGGCCTCACCTGAAGGAGGCCAATTCCGCAGGAAAAGACAAAGTCGATAAGACTCCGAAAGTCTTTCAACGGCGCCGTTGAACCGTCGCTTTCTTTGTTCATACACAATCGAAGATCGCAGTCTCTCATTTCCACAACTCTTGAAGTCGTCAGATCAGCCGCCAGAGGTGTAATCGCACAACCAAGATCGATCACTATCTCTGGACCGAGCAGTATCCAAGCTCTCGTGGCGAGCTCATCTGAAACCGCCTTCAACTGCACCTCCCCCAAATCGACACTGCCGAACGCTCCCCCTGCAGACAGACACGCCTTGCGCCCCCAACCCCCGAACAAAGTTGACGCCATTTCGCTATCGATTCTATTCTCTATAGTCAGGCTGCGGGCTTTCGTACCGCGTCCTACACTTTCATCGTCCATCCTCAATCGATTAATGCGCTCAAGCTAGCCTTCGAGCTTCACTGAGAAGACCATGCTTTGGACAACATAACGCTCATTTACGACTTGATACCATACGCACTCGGAAGCTCTGCAATAGAGCCTGTGTTCAACTCTGCCCTGATTGATTCGGGCCCACACGATCCTTTTCCATATCAGTTCGCGAACCAACTACGCGATCTTTCTTCTACAGTTCCTATAGCGAAGCAGTCTCGCCGACTGCTCTATAATCAAGCCATGACGCGATCAACCTCGTGGCTCTCGGCCTCTGCGCTGCTGGTTTCTCTTCTCTCCTCGCCCGCCACCGCGCAGCTTCACACCGACTGCAACCCGACGTTGAAGGACTGCCCTGCAGACCCTGCGTTCGGCACTGCACACACATTCAACTTCAACGCGACACCGGCAACCGGCCTCTTCAAGACGTCGGCAGGCACCGTCGACTACTCGGCCGCGAACGGAGCCAAATTCACCATTCCAAAGCAGGGATACTCGCCCACGCTTGCGACCCAATTTTACATCTTCTGGGGCCGCGCCGAAGTCATCCTCAAGGCCGCCAACGGCACCGGCATCATCAGCTCGATCGTGCTGGGAAGCGACGACCTTGACGAGATCGACTGGGAGTTCAAGGGTGGCGACACGGCCAACGCCTACACAAATTACTACGGCAAGGGTGTTACCGAAAACAACGGCGATAACGGCTTGACCGTCCCCGTCACTGGAAACGTCCAGACCGAGTGGCACAACTACACCAATGTCTGGACCAAGGACAAGCTAGAGTGGTGGTTGGACGGCAAACTCGTCCGTACGCTGACCCCCGCCGAGTCTGCCAGCCACAACCAGACCTTTCCTCAGACTCCCATGAAGCTGAGTATGGGCATCTGGGCCGGTGGCGACAGCAGCCAGAGCAAGGGCACCATTGACTGGGCTGGCGGCGCCACGAACTACGACACCGCTCCCTTCACCATGTACGTGCAGAGCGCCCGAGTCGAGGACTACTCAAAGGGCAAGGAGTACGTCTACGGCGACCGGTCTGGAAAGTGGGAAAGCATCAAGATCGTAGAGTAAGTTCCAATCCCTAATCCAATGGCCCCACCGAATACCATCTCCTGGGTCGGAAGCAGAACGAGTTTGAGAAAAGAAACCAGCGGCGACTGACATATGACGCCACAGACCGACAGCCAACTCGACCGCCATCGACAACCTCAACAAGCCGGCCGAGGAGGAGGACAAGTCCATCAGCGAGAAGTGGGACGAGCTGTCGTCTGGGGCCAAGGGCGGCGTGTACGCGGGCGGCGTCGGCGTCGTGGCCATCGCCTTCCTGGCGCTGCTGTTCTACTACCTGCGGCAGCGCAAGCGCGGCAAGGCCGAGGCGGCGCTGGCGGCCAAGAACCAGGAGTACGAGCGCCTCGAGCTGGACCGCTTCAAGAAGGAGGGCCGCGACCCGGACGCCCTGGCCTACGAGGGCGCCGAGTACGACGCCGCCACCATGCGCAAGGACGGCATGGTCTCGACCGCCGCCTACACCGTGCCCTCGGCCGACCACGACGACCACTACGCCCGCAGCAACTCGCTGCAGGGCGCCCCGCAGGCCGGCGCCTGGGATCCCACGTCGCCGGCCCCCGGCGCCCCGGCCCCCCTGCGCAACAACAGCTTCGGACCTGCCTCGCCAGTCTCACCTGCCCGCAACTTTTCGTCACCCGTCCACAGCGTGCACAACGGCGGCTATTCCGGCGTCGATACCAGGATGGCCAGCCCGGGGCCGAGCCCGTACAACTCGCCGCAGAGCCCTGCTGGTGGCGGGTACGGCAATGGCGGCACTGGATACGGCGGTGCCAACAATGGCTACTGGAACGGCAATGGCAACGGCAACGGGTACAGGTGATGAGGCTGTACCGTCCTTTGCCGGACGGTGTAAGACGTTCTGTTCCCCATGCGCTGCATAATTGCCACGTCTCTGGGGGTTTTCTCTCTTTTCCTTGTATTTTTTCACGAAATTATCTGAGCCCGGTTTCCCTTCTATCGCACACAGTTGGATTTGGGAATTTTGAGGTGTAAATAGTGCGGCTCTTGTTTAGAAAGGAGTGTATGTCGGGAAGTCAAGCTACGGATTGGTGTCTTAGAGCGATGAGTATGTAGCTGGCATAGCGCTTGAGCGGAAACCCTGAATGAAATACGGATACCCAATGGCTTTTACTTTTCACTCGTTTGTCCGGTTGTCCGGTCACATCATGAACCACGTGTCGATGTCTCAAACTCAAGTGCGGTCGCAACCGACATCGGTGGTGGGCAGCAGGCAGGAAAAGGAAATATTCAATCACGAGGCCTTTCATGCCGGCCCATGCTTACTAGGGAGGTCAAGTTGCACAGCATTCATGTTCACACGTGTCTTACGTGAAGGCGACATCACATCTTGCCCGAAAATGGCTCTCAGTTGGATTCTATGGAGAATCTATGGTCATGAATCGTTGCAGAAGTCCCTCGTGTGTTCATACTAAAGCATATTCGCTGGCTTTTGACTCCTGAACCGGCTAAGCATCGCAGTACAAAGGAAACGATCCCCCAGGTCAAAGTTTGAGAAGGGGCGATCTGATCGGGTGGGCTTTGCTTACAGCGACTCGATCTTCTTGAGGCACTCCGGGAACTCCTTCCAGTCGTACATGATGACGGCAGCGTTGCACTGCTCCTTCAAGACCTTGGCCATCTGCTCCATCTTCTCCTTGCCCTCCTCGATGCCGTAGACGCCGACATAGCCGATCAGGGGGATGCCGGCACGCATGGCGGCAGTGGCGCCGCTCTTGCTGTCCTCGACGGTGACGCAGTCCTTGTTGGCGACGCCCAGCTTCTCGCAGGCAAAGTTGTAGATGGCGGGGTCGGGCTTGCTGGAGGGCTTGTCCATGGAGGTGGCGGCGCTGTAGACGTGCTCGTCCTTGAAGTAGTGGTCGATGCCGGTCTTCTTGATGCTGGCGACGACGCGGGGCTTGGCCGAGGTGCTGACGACGGACATGGGGTAGCCCTGCTGCTTCACCCACTCGAGCATCTCGGGGACGCCGGGGCAGGGCTGGCACTTCTCACTCAGCTTGGCAGTGACAGCGCCGAGCTCACGGTCGACGTAGGTGTCAACCTCGTCGGGGGTCATGGTGAAGTCGTGCTTCTTCTGCAGGCCGACCAGCATGCCGCGGAAGTTGTGGCCGACAAAGTCCTCGAGGAGCTGGTCGACCGTGTAGCGATCAGACTTGCCCCATTTCTCGAGGACCTCGTTGGTCAGGTCGGTGCAGGCCTCGAAGGCCAGACGCTCCGACAGACACAGGGTGTTGTCGCAGTCCAAGAGAACGTACTTGACCTGCAGCGGGGGGACTCTGTGTCAGCAATGCTCAAGTTAAGTGAGTTCGGGGCAATTCATGAACGCATGAGCTTGGGAAGGACGTACACGAGGCATTTTGAGTGACGTAATGACAGTCGGTCGTGAGAGAGCTATCTGGTGGGTTTGTTGTGGGTGGGTGGGTGAGTGAGCGAGGGGATCTCTAGAAAAGGTGAGACCGACGTGAAGAAAAGTGAATCACGCAAAATCTAGGAAGATGCAATGTGTTCAGAAACAGAAGGAGGCAGTGTGAAACTGGCAATGGATGAGGTTGCAGGAAGAGGAGGAGGAGGAGGCTTTTGTGATTGTTTTATTCCTTCCGGACTGCAGTGAGGCGCGGACTTCCCATTCACCTACCTGCATCAATGCACCCGACAGCTGCTGCCCCTCCAAATCCATTCACTTCGGCGCGCGGGCGGCACTCTGCAAGTGGGCTGAGCTAAAGGCGGGGTAGTGAGACGTTCTCGCCCGTTACGACCGCCCGGGGCCAATCGCCAGCCCCCAACGGGCCATGCTGACAGGGGGAACCAGCGGATTGCACGTCGTAAAACGGTCGTCGCCAACAGCAACAAACAAGACTATGCGAGCCTCTGCGAGTGCTTTTTGGCACAAGCCATGTATAAATTCAAGACTAGACTCCAGCTCGTGGACACAATGGTCACTAGCCAGTACGGACGGGGGCTAATCAACTGGTGGTTTTCGCTAGCTAGGTCCACCTGGCGACATAGCTGGTAGGTAACTTGACGCAACTTAACGCAGGGATGAACCAAAGTGCCTGGCAGTCCCGACCTAACGTAGATCCCCGGCACAGCGGCCGATGATGTGCATAGGAGGGGCCCGTTTACTCCGTAGAACCATGGGGAATTACCTCCATCCATGTTATCACAACAGCCGTATCGTGGACCAGCATTCCCGTAGGCAATGCCTCATGTGTACTGCTTAAACGACATTTGATCTTGCTCTTTTCTTATCGGCCAAAAACCCACACCAAGACATCTTGTATGCTTGTTTCCATGGGGGAGGTGAGAGACGTTCTCACCAATTGTGGCCAAACTCCCATCCGGTGACCGGGCTTTGAATGTCGCAGCAAGATTTCTGTGAGGCTCCCTAAGTGCTTTTTGGAGCACTATTGGGCGCAGACCCCACCGAACAACTCCACGAGATGTGTTGTGCGGAAATCTGCCAGTTCAATGCAGATCAGATTGTTGGTGAAATGCGGATTAACCTTTCTTTGTTTGCCTAACCACGATTCTTTGATCCAGACAACAGGCCTGACAAGTTGCCCCCGCCATCCGAGATGGCTAAAAGCGTTTTGCAGGTCCAAACCCACTCGGCCGCATCTGCATCTGGTCGCAGCATAATGGATCATGATATCAGCCCACACGAACAGCCCAACCCTCGCCCGGTTCACGAACACGCGGAAAACGATACTACAATAAGCAGGAGCTTCACTTTAAGGTCTTTGATCTCGGGGCTCGTTATTGGTACATTGATCAATCTATCTAACACATACTATGGGCTTCGCGTAGGCGCGGGGAGTCAGATGTCTATGGTGTCTGGACTCATTGGTTTCATAGGTTTCAGGCTGGCATCGAGGTATACGACAAATAATTTCTCACTGGAAGAGAATGCTCTGGTAGTTAGCGTTGCCACAGCTACTGGTTGCATGCCAATCACTGTTGGATTCGTTGGCATTATCCCAGCACTAGAGTTTCTTGTCCTGCCCTCAGAAAACGGACCAGTGGAAATGAACGTCGGCCGACTGATGCTCTGGTCGGGAAGCCTAGGCTTCTTTGGGATCGCATTTGCGTATTGCTTCAGATCACACTTCATTGAACGCGAGCATTTGCCTTGGCCTGGGCCTCGAGCAACTGCACAAATGATCAGAAGTCTGCATGACAACTCTGCACAAGACAGTCGAAGTCCTCGCATAATCTCAGAAACGCAGCCTCTTGTTGGCCACCATGGAACTAGTCCTGATGGACACAGCGATGCTGAACAGGAAGAGCGCGATCCGTTGCTTTCCAGCCGGAAAGCCGTCGAATGGCGGCCGGGCATGCAGAAGCTCTGTCAAGGTGCTATTCTATCCGGAGGCATTGTAAGTAACCCCGCCTGGTAGATAACTTGCCATCAGCTCTAATCTGGTGCAGTCAATTCTTGCGTACTTTATACCAGTGCTTCATGAACTACCGCTATTCGGTTCTGAAGCGGCACATACATGGTTATGGACGCTAGATATTTCCCCCGGTTCTTTGGCCAAGGCGTGATCATCGGACCTTCTATCGCCATGCACATGCTGTTGGGTACCATTGTAGGCTGGGGCATTCTCTCACCACTTGCCAAACGCAAGGGCTGGGCACCTGGCGAAGTCGATGATTGGTCTAACGGTTCACGAGGCTGGATCATATGGATCAGTCTAGCCTCGCTTTTCGCCGACGTAATAGTTAAACTTATATGGTTCACTGGTCGGCCGCTTTTGAACATTTACGAAACGAGATCACTTTTCCAAAGAGGTGCCGATAACCAAAATTCAAGAGCTACAGCAGAACTCTCCGGATCAAAGAACGCAAGTAATAATGGGTATCCATATCGCTTGCCCTCGCGTGCATTAGCGATTGGCCTTGTCATATGTATCATAGGAAGTGTGGCTTTAATACAGATCATCTTTGGGGAGTTCATATCGTGGTTTTACACACTTCTTGCAATAATGCTCTCCCTTCCGATGGTGGTAGTGAGCATTCGATCGATAGCCGAAACTGATTATAACCCGGCGACAGCTCTCGGTAACATATCTCTCCTATGTCCAATTTTTGTTAGCTGCTAACATGCATCCAAGCTTCCCAGGCAATTTTCGCTGCAATTACATCCCACTTCAACCCCAATGCTGTCATCATTAATCTGATATCAGCAGCGGTGGCCCAAGCTGGGGCCGTTCAATCAGGAGATCTTGCGTATGATCTCAAAGTCGGCAACCTCCTTGGAGCACATCCGGTAGCACAACTATATGGGCAAATAATTGGTTCAGTTTACGGTGCACTTATCTCGTGTGGGGTTTATAAGCTCTATGCATCTCAGTACCCGATTCCTGGTCCTCTTTTCAAGATTCCATCCTCGTATCTCGTCCTCAGTACCGCAAGGCTAGTCCTTGGTCGAGGCCTGCCGGAGGGAGTTGCGCCTTTTGTACTTGGCAGCGCCATCCTGTCCACAATAGCTACAATAATCAAAATGAGGTTTGCTCACAAATGGTGGCAACATCTAGTTCCCAGTGGTGTTTCCTTCGCAATAGGTCAGTGCCATCTTCTATGTCCAATGGGCGCCTGCTAAAATATATGTAGGAATCTATCTTCTACCCTCGTTTACTATTACTCGAGTCATAGGTGCTGTCTTCTGTTGGTTCTTGACCCGTCCAACTAGATCTAGCAATCAAGGGATGACTGTTTTGGCAAGTGGGCTAGTGTTGGGGGAGGCCATGGCGAGTCTCACTGGCATTGCGCTTACGGCCCTGCATGTTCCTAGGATTGGCAATCTTTGATAGGAATTTAGTTCACGGCACAAAATTTGCGTCGCAGCACTGACCGTCATGTGTATAAGAAGCAAGATTATGTTGCAACTCGGCAATCCGTTCATTCGTTACCCATTGTGAGGGCTTGAAATCTACGTACCTGAAAGCTGCATTGCCAAAGCATTGCCTCCTGGTCAATCCACCGATTCCGCTATGACGTCAACCACAGAGGCGAATAGTAAACTACAACAACATGCTTTCTCCAAAATCACCGCAGGACTTGTTGGAATATCATACATGAATTACTATGAAGCAACACAAATCATTCGTGCGTGAATGAGCCTTGGATGGCACTCACTTAAACCACATTTGTATCACATTGCCTTGGGTCGACGACTTACACAGCCCTGCCGTACCATCTCACCAAATCCCAAGCATGCCTCCCATACCACAGAAGATGAAGGCCATCCAGGTGACTTCGTATAACAAACCCTACGTCCTCAACACAGTCCCGATCCCCTCGGACCTCGGACCGCACGACCTACTGGTCAAGGTGGCCGTGGCCTCGTACTGCCACACGGACGGCATGGTGTCCTCGGGCGTCTTTGGCACCAAGCTGCCGGTAACGGCGTCGCACGAGGGCTCCGGCACCATCATCCGGACCGGTTCCGAGGCGGGGGACTTCAAGCCAGGCGATCGCGTCATGTGCGGCCTGCCACTCCACCCGTGCGGTGCCTGCGCCGACTGCCTGGGCCCCGACGAGGGCCACCGCCAGTATTGCGCTCACCTCGAGGGCCACGTCGGCGTACACGTCGACGGCTGCCTGGCGGAGTACGTGCGGGTGGACGCCCGGAGCACGACGCCATTGCCGGATGAGGTCAGCTTCCTGTCGGCGGCACCGCTGGCGTGCGCCGGCCGCACCGTATGGCGGAGCGTGCTGCAGGCGGACCTCAAGGCCGGCCAGTGGCTTGCCATCGTCGGGTCCGGCGGCGGGCTGGGCCACTTGGGGATCCAGTTCGCCAAGCGGGCGAAGGGCCTGAACGTCGTGGGCATCGACGCCCGGGACGAGGGGCTGCGGCTGTCCGCGGAGAGCGGCGCCGACGTTGTGGTGGACGCACGCAAGGGCAAGGCTGAGGTCGTGGCCGCGGTGCAGCGTGTCACGGGGGGTCAGGGGGCGGACGCGACCATCGTGCTGTCGGACGCCGACGACGCGGCAGCGGTCGGCTGCGCCGTGACCAAGATGCACGGCACGCTGGTGCAGGTCGCGCAGCCGGACGAGGTCAAGATTCCATTTCAGGAGCTGGTCTTCCGTGACATCCGGGTTAAGGGCAGCCTCCTGTGCTCGCCCGAGGAGTCCAAGTCGATGCTGCAGGCCGTGGCGGAGCACGGCATCACCGTCACGACGAATCCGTTCCAGGGGCTGGACAAGATGAACGACTTGACTGATTTGATTCACAGTGGGAGGGTCGCAGGTAAGGCGGTGGTTGTGGTCGATCCGGAGCAGATCGACGCGGAGAAGAAAATAGGGGCCAAATACTAGGTAGTCTAGGGGCACTCGGGTCAGTTCATTGGAGAATATAGGGTAAGTTTGGGGTAAACAATCTATAGTAGAAGGGCTTTGCTTGTATTTGTATGTACTAGCATCTGTAGACATTTTTCAAACGTTGTCAACGTAGCCATACATCGCCTGTAGTATGGGCACATACCCGAACACATTTCGTCTATTGGTCATAAAATTTTACTTCGTTGATCATGCCTCGAACACCAAGACAACAGAGTCGTCGCCTGCTGTCACTATCCTCTCCCCCGAACCCCCTTGCACGAAGCCAAGTACACCACCACCCTCGCCGTCTCCTCTGTGTCCTCTCCACTGGTTCACCAGACCCGAGGCACTTGTTGCACTGACGTTCGAACTGGCCGTTGCACCTCTAACGTCCCATCTGCGGACTACACCGTCCATACCGCAGCTGGTCAGCACCCAGCCGTCGCCCGAACCCCGTAGGAATTCGACCTTGACGACGCTAAACTCCTCGTGGGCCTCCTTGATGTGTCGTCGCACCGCAAATCGTCGGGCAGTGTCGTAGATGGCGATGCTGCCGTCCACGCTACCAGCGGCCAGTAGAGTCTGAGTAGGCGAGAAGGCTAAGCTCTCGACTCCGTCACCCATCGTGTGCAGACTTGCCAAGATGGTGCCGCCCTGGCTGCCCGAAGCTTCGCCGCCCTTCGCCTTGGCCTTGTTCTGCTTGCTGGATTGCGGCTTGGCCTGCGATGAAGCCTCACTCGCGATGCGCGGCAAGCTGATGATCTTGACAGCACCTCCAGCGCCTCCTACGGCAACGAAGGAGGACCTTGGGTCGATTGCGACAGAGTAGAGACCGCCCTCGACCTCGAAACGCTGATCCTCGCCGGTCAGAGAAACGACGGTCTGCCCGTTGTCGTTCGTCAAACTCTTTGCCGCTGCCTCGCCCCAGACATCCCAAACGTGTAGCGAGCTATCTTCAGACACCGTTGCCAAGAAGTAGCCATCGGGGGACCAGGCGCCAGCCGTGCAGGAAGCAGTGTGCATAAAGTAACTCTGCACAATCTGCAGCGGGTTGCCCGAGTCGGACGCATCGATGGTGTACACCCAGACTGAGCCGTCAGAAGCACCAAGCGCAATGGTGTTGGGGTATTGGGGCGACGGGCAGGGTGCCAGCCAGTTGATCTCGGGAACCTCCTGGGCCTCGGCCACAAAGGTGAAGGTGGGCTTGTTCCGCCCGTCAAAGGTGAGTTGGTACGCCCTGAGGCGTCCGTCCATGCCAGCCGACGTCAGGTATTGGCCGCGGGGCAGCGTAAAGGCGAGCGCATTGATGGAGTCCGTGTGGCCCTCGATGGCGAAGAGCGGCGTCAGTTCTGTGCTCTGGGGTTGGGGGGCGTTCGGGTCTGCCTGGTAGCTGGGGGGAAGCACTGGCCTGCCGGAGATAGCGCTCGTATCGAAGACGTATCCCTTGCCTGGGGCGTCTTCAGTGTCGCCTTCCGAGCCACCGGTCGCGATGAGGGAGGGCTGTGTCGGGTGTTGCGCGATGGCGAAGACCGAGTCCTTGTGCAGATCAAAGTATGCTATGCTGTCGTTCTGGAGCACGATCTCCATCTCATCGCCTTCGTCGTCCGAGTCCATCGCAATGTCTCCCTCGGCATCCTCGACCTCCTCGAGCGCATCCTCAGCGTCGAGGAGCTCGGGCGAGTCGTCGATCTCGTCGTTGTCGTTGTGAGGGGCAGACATGGCGAGAGATTTCCGAGCTGCGCAAGTTGGATGTATGGGGTTTCCTGTTCTCGGGGGTCTAGCTGGACTCTGTCACTTCCTCCTTGAGGTCCTGGCCTTATATTTGGGGCAAGGGGACTGTCGCGCGCAGTGCAGATAGACGGTCATAGAAGCCAGAGCTGACGAGGTCCTGCTTGATAATCATGGCGACTTTTTTTTATTTCTATGGTGGGGCAAATCTTGGCCCAGCAAACTACCCCGCCATTATGCATGCATAACCCTGGGGCTTGTGCTTTGGTCTGCATAACGGATCTCGCCCAAGTTGAGCGCCTCCAGGCCGTCTCTCGAGTCTGTCTTCGATATACTCCTTCCATGTGCTCGCAGATCTGCCAGGCCTCAGTCACTCCACCATGGTTATATGCTTCTCGACTTTGCACAGCGCGAGCATCTGATCCACTGCATCTGCCTCAGGCTCGTCAGACCAATTGAATCTGCCAAACCTTTCAAATCTCGCATCATCCTTCCTCGTAGTAGCCTTCGCACTCTCCTAGAGAACAAGAATCGTGCTCTCGCCAGAATCCATGTAGCACCAGAAGAGAAACAGCTCTTACTGGACTACTTCGGCATCATGATGCGTCATGACTTGATCCATCTCAACTTCAAGATCAGGCTTATATCCAGTCTCGCAGTGTCTGATTGTGTACCTCAGTGGGGCATCTGAATTACTCAACTCAAGAAGCAGCTTGGCCAGGTGCCCCACGGCTCTTCTGTTGCACTTAAGAAGTCGGTCAGCATCGTGACCAGACTCGTCCCATCAGCATATTTTGCAGTCTACTTCGAGGATTTCAGCGTCGATTGTTGAGCAATTGGAGTGGAAGTTCATCCTGTTCGTGTACCAGACAGTACCGTATACAGAGAGCTACGACCAACTGGGCCCCAGATACATCTCCCTGCCCTCCTTTCCAGCTGTTTCGCAATTCCAGCCAGAGCCACTCCTCGACCTCGCCTGCCAATCAGTATTGAGAGATGTTCACTGTCGTCTTATACTTGATTTAGTGCGTTTTGAGCCCATGCTTTTGGCATCAGTGAGGGTTGACTTAGCCAGTTTTGAAATTATTGAGCAATCCTGACCAGGGAGCTGGGAAGAAAAGAGGCACGACTCTCTTCAAGTTTATTTATGGCAAGAACATGTCACGGTGTAATGGGTGGGAAATTATTGAACGGAGGTTTGAACGTGTTTCATAGAGCCAAGTCCCGGTATGTAATCAAACAACCCGTGCCCAGTGGGTGCATCAGTCCAAGTCGTTCTCTTTGCAATCAGGTGGGCCTCCTTTATGTTGATTTAATGTGATGAGGATGAACCATTTGTTCCGTTACTTCTGATGCCTACTGCTTCGCGAGACAGCAGCAGATATAGAACCCATCCTCCTGGATGGTGTTGCAGTCGCAGCGGTAGCCACTAGGGCATGGGCCGCCAATCTGAGGGTAGCAACCGTTGTCGTTGGCGGCCGTCGGTCCGCAGTACTTGGAGCGCTCCCACAAAAGGGCCGGAAAGGGCAAGGCTGCCATGGCGGTTGATGCCATAGCGATAATAGTTACGTGTGGAAGTTGCATCTTGTTGAGGGCCTGCGGCACGAACTTGTGTAAACGGTTTGGAACAATGTGAAATGGGTACTGGCAGCAGCTTGGTCTGGTTGTGTAGTGAAGAGCCAAGAGTGATTTATACACAGTAGTGCGGATAGGAAAGTCATCGCCGACGTGGGATCATCTCGTATTCGCGCAGGCAATGACATTCCAAGGCTCATTGAGAGTGTATCAGCTCAGCATGACAAAGTATGGTTCCATTAAACCCTGCTGCTACCATCGTCGGTGCAGTAGACTTCAACCCCGATATTTCGAGTCAGGAGGTTGGTCAAACTGGCATGCAACAGTGATGGTAATTAAAAGCAGGAAGTAACCCCCTGCCGCGGCATGATTGTGGAGAATCAATGCTTGTTTCGACCTGCGTAGATCTCTGATATGACGATATTAGGAAGTTACCGAGGTGCGCCGTAACATTTTGCTTCTCCGGTGTTGCAGTCGGCTCAAATCCCTGCACTGACAATGGACCCTTTCGAATATACCCGCCGACCTACTACAACCTTACGCATTCGACTGCGAGAGTATTTATCCGTTTGCGGTCTATCGATATCTGGTACTGGTAGTGGTCCAGTAAGCAGCGTTGAAACTCTTTCTGTCTGCGGAGCAACAACGCGTGATTAAACAGCCGGTGCTGCTGCAACCGTAACGTACGACCTTTAGCATCTTAAGAGAGGAGCGAGGCAATAATAATAAGGCAATCCGTTTTTCATACCACCTTCCTTGGTATAATTCATTGGGAATGTGTTTGTGGCCCATCTAATATTTTTCGACTTTGTGATTAAACTTGCAGATAATTAAATCCAGCGAATACTTTCGACATATGTTCGGCACAACGATAGTACGATAAAGTCAATGGAATGTATGTGATTATTATGAAGAGAACAACGGGCAGAGTATAGAGTGTCCTGTGGTCATATCGTAACGCAGCCGGTAGTTAAGAAAAGTCAACTATACGTTGTTTCAAGACCATGTCCAGTATAGCCAAGGGTTGTGGCGGCGGGCAGGGCGATGTTAACAACAGAAAGTCCCCATTCACTCACTCACCGTCGCATCAAATGCGCAGAGGAATGATCAAGCCTTGACTCGAGCAGTAGAACGCTTTGTCAGTGTGTACATTGACGCTGCGTACGTGATTGGTCACCTGTAGGCTCACCCACCGTCGAGTAGGTCTGTTCCATCACCCTCTATAGAACAAACATCGGGGCGAGAAACGCAATATGACGGATAATCTCATGAATTATAGAATTGCGATATGATTTTAGCTGATTTCAAGTGCGAATGCCTTCGGCTTCCTTCTTTATAGCATTGCCCGTGCTACGCGCCTCTCGTTCCGAATGCAAGGTGCCTTTACACCGCTTGACCATCCTGGCCATATTGCTCAAACGTCTCGTCACTGACGAAGTTATACATCGAAGCGTAGGCGCCTATTATCACTTGAACTATGCATTCATCAGCCAGCTTCCATTCGTTGTGCCACTAATTGTACACAGCCAGCAGCGCGTCCTCTGCCCCTTTCATCTCTCAGCCAATTACCAGCACTAAACACCACCCGCTAGTGCTAGCCATAAGTTCCTACCTTTGTACCAAGCAGTCCGTAGATACAAGTGGATTCCGTTGCTTGACCTGCATCTCAAGTGTCGTGTATAAACATCCTATAGCTTTAGAGCTTTCAAAAGGCGAAGCACAGATCAGCACGGTGATATTTGCTTGTCAACCACATCATCCTCCATTTAGACCTAAGTTGCTGAGCTTGTCTGACAATGAGCTGTTTGCATCTGCGGTCCACTATCACGGTTGCAGGCCGGGGTCCATTCTCTGATGTTTCCTTCTGGAAATATTCTGCTCTTCCGATATTCAACGTTGGTTGGCAGTCAACGGAATATCATGAAGACCATCCAGAGGACAACTGAACGCACAACGTGAATAACGGACGAAATCCCAAGACGTACTCCACATTGAACGACTTCACTTATTGACCATCCATCGTCATACCTACATGTTATGTGGGTCACGGCGCCTGCACTGGACTGGCCGCGTCAACTTAAGGGACATTCAGGTGTTTACAGAAGGAGCACATTGGTGTTTCTGCCAGACAGCTTGTCTTCTTTCGCTGCGTGGTCGGATGGTTCGTCAGTCTTGATCCACCACGACCAGCAAGTGTCGCATCCAAGGTTTGTACGACGCTACGGACATTTCCTGTATCTTGGTCCGACCTGGATTCGCAGGATGTAGATGTCACACGGAAAATGCGACGCTCCACATCTGCACAGATGACCAGATACTAAACCGTTCGAAGGGAGCCGAGAACTTGAAAGAACGCATTTGCCTCTACGCTGCCGATCACTACCGACGTCCGCGGAGCGTGGAGTTTACCGCGGGCAACCTCGCTTCCCCGCGGTCCATGCACCTAAATCCTTTCTGGCAAAACCCAAACCGTGCATCTAACCTCCATATGCAGCCAGCACCATAAGACAGCGGTACACTAATCCACGAGCTTTGGGTGGTCAGAAACAATTATACATGAGAGCGAGGGCAGCCTATTTACTTCTCTTGCTGGCAATCACTGAGTGAGCCTGCAATCCCTTAAAAATCATTCGCCCCCACAATGCCACGACAGCGAGTTGTGGTTGTAGGGTATGTGTCTGTATGCTCAAACTGCGCCTGGACAAGGTGTTAACGCGTCTGGTGTGTAGAGCTGGTATAGCCGGTCTTACCACCGCATTTTTATTGTCGAAAGACCGGCAGTATGATATCACAGTTGCCGCCAAACATATGCCTGGAGATTATGATATTGAATATTCATCGCCTTGGGCCGGCGCAAATTATATGCCGTGAGTCCTTGAACAATACTTCCAATTGAGGCCTTCGGAGGAGCTACTGACTTGACGACAGGGTGTCCGTGGTTGACACAGATGCGGCGGGTTGGGAGCGCGATACCTGGTATTTCCTGAACGAACTTACACAACAACACCCTGAGGCTGGAATTCACTTTCAAAGTGTGTACACTGTAGTTTTCTAGTCTACTTCTAACCGTCCACACAGAGACCTACATCCACAATCGTTTGAAAGATGTGGGGAGTGTCACTGCAAACTGGTTTTCCGGGCTTTTATCCCCTGATCCTTGGTGGAAAACACTGTTCCGCGATGTAGGTCCTCCTTCAACCTGTTATCTCCCCAATGTGGGCTGAAGTCTATGGCAGTATAGGCAAATTCCCAAAGATGAATTAGCTCCAGGTGTCGACAATGCCCATTCATTCACGTCGGTTTGTATAAACACCGCCTTATATTTACCTTGGCTGGTATCCCAATGCTTGGCAAACGGCGTCATTTTCAAACGTGCCCATTTTCTGCACATTACGGATGCTGCCAGTTCCGACATCCATCATAGTGGCTACGCTGCCAATACTGTCATCAACTGCACCGGCCTGGGTGCCCGTAAGCTAGGCGGAGTATTAGATGGACAGCTGTACCCAGCTAGAGGCCAGATTGTCGTCGTAAGAAACGCTTGTCACGAGATGTTTTCCGTTTCTGGTACCGATGATGGGCCAGACGAGGCCACCTATGTCATGGCGCGGGCAGCGGGAGGCGGAACCATTCTAGGTGGATGTTACCAAAAGGACAATTGGGAATCACAACCTGATCCCAGCATGGCTTTAAGGATCATGAAGAGATGTGTGAAGGCTTGCCCACAGCTCACTAATGGGCGAGGCATTGAGTTTCTTGATGTTGTTCGACATGCTGTGGGGCTGAGGCCGGTTCGAGAAGGAGGTGCCCGTGTGGATAAAGAAAACATCGATGGTATTTGGGTGGTCCACAACTATGGCCATGGCGGAGCTGGCTACCAGTGTTCTTACGGCTGTGCTAAGGCAGCTGTGAAGCTAGTCCATTCCGTCCGTCACCAGGAGAGGTCACACCTTTAAAAAAACATAAACTAGGTACATATACATAGACTATCACAGGATGCGTTGTTTGCGTAACAAATGTATAATTGTGCTTCCTGATCCTTCGAATTCTTGCGGAAATATTGCGCAATCGGATTTATGCTGTCCTTCAGCTATTGATCCAGCATGCTAAATAACACGTCCGAACAATGATGCTACTGTTATGCTTATTTGATTTCTTCGTCGGCCCATAAGTGCACCGAACATGTGAATCCTAGTCGTCTCGATATTGAAAAGGTACCGCCAATATCTTCGATAATTTGCTACGTACCTAATTCGCTACGAACACCGGAATAGAGGCAGAGATTCAAACTACCCGATTCCAGAATCATGACTATGCCATACGTCAATATACTATCAAGCATACTATCAAAAGTTAAACATGAGAACGTTTTCTGCCACAAGCTACAATTAATGAGCTAGATGTCCTAAAACCAAGACTCTTTATAAAGTTTAATGGCTAGCGAGGAGAAATCATGTGATTACCAATCATTTGTATCCTCCATGTACCTCAGCTTCGCTAAGGACAACACCATTATCTTTGGCCTCTTTAAGCCTTTTCAAAGCGGCCACTAAATCATCAGCACCTTCAACTGACGTCTGGTGATGGAAAACAAGCCTTCCGTTGGGAAATACCGCCACCCGCTGCTCTGCGCAATAATCCACAAACGCAGCAGCAGGAATGCCCACCGCGGCTAAGTCTAGTACGATCATATTGGTCTGGACTGGCAACGCAAACTGATACCCCAGACTTTCAAGCTTTTGAGCCGTGGCTTTCGTCAAGCTGTGGACATTGGCCAGACGTGGCAAGGCGTAGTCAAGGGCCACATGCGCAGCTGCTGCCATCATGCCTGGTTGTCTGGTGCCGCCTCCAAGCATTTTTCGATACCATTTAGCACGATTGATGAATTGTTTGCTTCCGAGAATGACACTGCCAATCGGTGCCCCAATGCCTTTAGCGAGACAGATGGACATGCTATCAAAGCAAGCGGCGTAGGCTTTGATGTCAACGCCTTCGCCAACAACGCCATCAAACAAACGAGCTGCATCTAAATGCATTGCAATAGGCTTTTGGTCGTTAGGGGTTGGAAAAGATCTCACAAACTTGGAGATAGCTTGTGCTTCTTTCAATGGCAAAATGGTACCACTCAAAGTGTTTTCTAGCGAGACAACACGTGTAGGAGGAAAGTGGACTGCAAATAGGTAATGGTCAGCCGTAATCTATGCTCCTGGTCGCGGAGAAGACTCACTGTTGCCATCTGCGATCATGTTGGCCTTTACATCATCAAGAGTGAGATGGACCCCGTTCTTGGGTTTCACCATGGTTACACAAGCCTGAGATATAACTGGTAGAGCTCCCGACTCCCAACAATGGACGTGTGCTCGATGGTCGAGAAGGACTGTGTGCGGTGGTTGAGTGAGATGTGTTCGAAGACAAATTTGATTGCCCTGAGTGCCCGAAACGGCCCACAGGGCTGCCTCCATCCCGGTCAACTCAATCAACCTTGCTTCTAGGGCCTTGACAGATGGGTCTCCTTCAGTGTCGTATATATCATCATTCACAGAGGCAACGAGCACGGCCTATACATAATTTATGTCAGCGGTCGTTCCAGACTCTCTAGTTCTGTAGAGTACACAATGACTGTGGTCATCACACCTGCATCATTTCCTCAGTGGGCACGGTGACGACGTCAGACCGAAAATCTCGTGCTGCCTTGTCGGTGGCAGTCTGCCATTGCGCCTTGATGCTTTGTGGGAATATGATCTTGTCATGCTCAATAGTTGAAGAAGACATCTCAAGTGGTCCAAGTTATGATGAAGTCTAGCCGATGCAAGAGTTGGGGAATTTCAGGTGACTTCCGTTGTTGAACCCTGACCCTTAGTTTCGTGTCGACGCTTCTTATAGATTCAGCGCTTCCAAGAGCCTTAGTCGTGTCAGCGATGTTAGCGAATTCCGGATTAGCGGATTAGATTTAGTACCGCGAAATATGGATGCTTGTCGATCATGTCGACCCCAGGCTCCGACTTGCCGAGCTTGCGGGGTTAGCTCTTACCAATCTTCACTAGAAGGCAGGGATCACGACTCAGTGCTGGAAGCCTCGTGGCAGAAACAGTTTCCCGCGGAAAGTTGTCATTCTCCCTTCGTCGCTTGGTGACTCGGCAATTTTGACCAACAGTAGTGTTCAAGTGCCATCCTCACTTTTCTGATGGAATTAGGTAGCGCCTTGATGCCAGAAAACTTGCCATTGAAGTCTAGCGTTTCATTAGTCACATCATCTGAAGCACCAGGGTTTTTCTTTGAAAAGGATACCGTTGTATGAGATCCCGTAGGATCTCGTTATCATGGGAAGTCTTGGCAGTAATGTGCTCCAATTTGATTCGTGCCCCTTCTTGCTCGTTAGCATTGCAGTCTGGCTTATCTGGTTGGAGTGGATGTGCCAAGATTTCTGGTCCTACCTCACCCTGCGTTCTTTCTCTGGGCCCTCAGATGACGGCATTGAGCGCATCTTCGGGCAGCAGGTTCAGGAGCTGAAGGACTAACGTTCTACATGGTATACGATCTATTTCCCCTTAGGATGAACGATTACCAGATCTACTTCACTCAAGATGCATGAACGTCTTCCAGTAACTTCGTATGATTCCATTGACCACGTGCCTGCGATGAAGTTCTTACATGCCATTCCTCCTACTCATACCAAGGGATGCACCGCTCATTGAGGTTAGATCTGACGTGTTTAGACTCGGCCTTACCTATGGGCAAGCAGCCGTAGTAGGATGCAATAGCATCACCGTGGCTGATCTCATTCCCCCATGGTGGCAGTGTTGGTGTCTCGCGTACATAATACAACCCATGCTGAGGATGTCGACCCTATCTGCAAGCTTTCTGCGGGTGAACTTAGAGATTGGCGTGGCTCCGCTTGGTCAGAGTGTTGTCATGAGGCTGGCTGGGTTATGTTGGCCACAAATGAGAATGGGTACCCGTCTGCCTGTCTAAGCTTCAAACACCTCTAACTAGCCACGCACGTTGCCTATTTAATTTATTTTCCTCCAGAGGGATCTGCTGATACTTACGCTGTCAGGAACATAGACGGACGGTATCATCATATTTATTGTAACACGAGGACTGAACTGTCAAGTACATGCTATAGTACATGTACACACCTGGATCAGATAAGATAAGAGTTATCGACTGCATATTGTGCAGCCGGAGTACAGTACCATGTATGGGTAGAGTGAGTGCACGGGCCAGAATTTGGAAATGTTGGTAGATTTCTAGTCTGTCCATCAGCGAAGGTAAAAAACATTTGAAAGCTATACACATATTTTTATGGGCCCAGGTAGATACAACATCATTCAGCTCAATGGTAGTTTTTAGTCTTAGTTTGAGAAGTTTTACTTAACTATCAACTTTCGACCTGATACCCCATGCGCGATGAAGGGCAGACAATAGAACTATATACGTCGGATGCCCAATGTTTCGATTTGTCTCACGTTTTGACGAGCTGCAAGTAGTCCACTGTACGCCGGTGTTCATCATGAACCAAAGGATAGCGACACAGCATGAATCCAGAAATGCATAATACCACAGCTCTTAGCTTTGACACTCAGCGCTTCGATTAGCTCATGAGGATTATCCAAATCTACATACTAAACGTGCTTGCACCAAGTGCGAGGCTTCATGTTCCCACGGATCAAATCCCGTCTCAGTACCATATTAACGAGTCCAGTTCTACTTAGAATCGACATCTGAGCAATCCTGACCTTCAACTCAAAGCCACTGGAGCGCACTCCGTAGTCTTCTTGCAATCGCGTTTGCAAGTTTCTACAAACCGGTGTGATACGTGACCGACCAAGGGTGATACCGTTAGCGTAAACTCTCGCATCAATGCAGAACTGCCCCCCTGCTACCCTGACTCCAGTCGGATTTCGTTATCAACCACCAACGAGCTCATATCTAAGCAATCTAAATAACGCAGTTCTCTGGGTTGCCCGCGGGGTTCAATCAAGATTCAAGATAGCTAAGTGAAAAGCAATTGTCAGAGCAATTATAAGATGTCCTTCACACGTCGCATCAAATTCATTCGATTTCACCAAAGACCTGTTCATAAGTCATCTCTGAGCATTTTCCCGCTACAAATTTCAGACCAAGTCAATTCAATATGCCCACGTTAGACGGAGAAAAGGACGCAACCCAAAGCCAGATCTTCGGCTCGCCTCATCTTGCACACACCACTTCTCGAGGTGTAGGCGATTGTGAGACTGCTGAGGTAGTCAGCGTCCTTCAAACTGAGACCAAGAGAAACATCGAATCTCGTCATGCTCAAATGCTTGCACTTGGTGGAACCATTGGAACCGCCCTCTTTGTCGGCACCGGCCAGGCTCTTGCCGTCTCAGGCCCGGCGAACCTCTTCTTAGCATATAGTATTATATGCTTCTTTGTCTATGGCATCGTCCTGGGCGTTGCTGAAGTTGCTGCGTATCTGCCTCTCCCAGGTTCTTCCATGTCGTTTCACGCTACACGATACGTGTCCCAAAGTCTTGGCTTCGCGATGGGGTGGCTGTACTGGTATTCATTCGGTATTTTGATAGCGTACGAAATCACAGCAGCAGCTCTCGTCATTCAATACTGGAACAACCCTGTGCCCATAGTCGTATGGATCACAATCATGATGGTGGTCATTGTTCTGTTAAACACAGCACCAGTACGAATCTACGCGGAGACGGAGTTTTGGTTTGCCTCAATCAAAGTCATCATGATCATCGGACTACTCATTTTAGCCGTAGTCCTTTGTCTTGGCGGCGGTCCCAATGGCGACCGAATTGGGTTTTCATACTGGAACGAACCACGCCCGATGAACGATTATCTCGTCGATGGAGCGAAGGGCAGATTTTGTGCCTTTATATACGCTCTAGTCTTTTCCTCCTTCGCCTTCAGCTTTGGGCCAGAATTAGTAGCTGTGACCGGCGGGGAGATGAGAAAACCTAGGACGAATATGCCTATCGCTGCGAAGAATTTTGCGTGGAGATTGCTGGCCTTCTATGCCCTTGGCTCTCTAGCCATCAGCGTTATTTGCCGCAGCGATGCTGAAGGTTTGACGGACGGTGGTTACGGCGCCTCAGCATCGCCTTGGGTCATCGCTATCAAAGAGGCTGGCATCCCGATACTCGACTCAATCATCAATGCCGGCATTATCGTATCAGCTTGGTCATCGGGAAACTCTTTCCTGTACATGTCAAGTCGGTCGCTCTATTCGTTGGCCAAGACGGGAAACGCTCCAGCTGTTTTTGCACGGTGCAACCGCTGGGGAGTTCCAATATATGCTGTGCTGGTAAGCGCCCTGTTCGCGCCACTCGCATACCTTAATGTCGGAAATTCAACCAGTGAAGTTTTTAACTGGTTTGTTAACTTGACGAATACTGCCGGCTTCAATTCATGGATCTGCTGTTGTATCATTCTTATCAGATTTCGCAAGGCCTGTGTCGCTCAGGGTGTGGAAAATCTTCCCTACACGTCACCGTTTCAGCCATACGTGGCATGGACCTGCATGGTATTCTTCACTATGCTGCTTTGTTTGAACGGATTCAGCGTGTTTTTCCCTAATCAGTGGTCGGCAACCTCTTTTCTCACAGCTTATATTGGTGCTCCTATTTTCTTGGTGATATATTTTGGCCACCGGATATTCCACTGGAACGATGCCTGGGTCATTGATCCTCTACAGGTCGACTTATATACAGACTTGGACGCTTTCAAAGAAAATGAGACTGATGTCGAACTTGTGCAAGGGAAAAAAGGCTTTCATTACAGAATCGTCAGACTTGTCAGACATTTGTGGGAATAAGGGTTCAGTACTCGGGTAGCCGGTCCTTGATTTAGCCCAGTTAGCTAAAAGCCGGAAGCATTTCTTGATTCATGAAAATAGTCTCTAAACCTTTGTTTTACACTCCATTGTTGATGCGATTCTCGGGGGGTGTGATGTGATATGTGATGCATTAAAGATGGAGAATCAGCTACCCGTGGCACTCACCACAGTGTATCAGTACTACCAAGAGCTAGCTCATCTCTTATCTATGTGCCAGCTGGCGCACCTACACTTTGCAAAAGCGAGTTCACTATTGTACTGTTCAACATATATTAATCTTGGTTCGTAAATGATTGTGTTACATTAAGTTGTCCGACTTCGTTACTCTTTTCCGTTGCTTCTTGGCTCTGCAAATGGCGCTCAAGTGATCACCCAGGTAGTCTGCTAAAAATCTTTCACGGTGTTTGAACCGCTCAAGTCCCTCCTTGGAAAGAAAATCTGAAGCTGCTTGGATGGCAGTACTCTGCTGAGAGACCGTCAACTCTAGTAGCTGATCCCTCTGAAATCGGCTTCGAATGTCTCCGGTGGCGGGAACAAGCGACTTGGCCAAGCTCGGTTCGTTGACCAACTTGACACAGAATGCCTCAAAAAGCCCATGATCAACAAGGAAATCCAGGATGTCGTTCAACTTCTGAGGCTGAGGAACAAGTAGTGGCAGTACTGCTGTAGGAGACTCGTTCAGAGTCCGTCTTATACCCGTGGCCCTATTAAATTCGTCCACCAGCTCAGAGGTAGTGATTTCGAGTTTCATGTCTATATGTGGCCGATCATAGCCGACCCGCTTCCGATACCATATGTTAGATAGGAAAGAGAATATGATGACTGGAATGAGAATAACGTAGCCCCACCAAAAGGTAGGGGTCAACATGGAACCAACTCCACCCAAGATAGCTGCCGATCCATTGACGATAGAGTAGAGTTGAACGTCAAAACAACGTCTCCGAATCATTTGAAGGCAGGGAGAGCCTTGCAGTTCCTTGTTTGCCGCGGTTCTGTGAGCTTGGTTGACTCGCCAAACTTCAACCTGCCAGACCGCGTTGATCAAGCCAAACAAGGCGATAGGGGCATTTCCGAGGTATCCTGAGAGGATGTTGCTTGCAAGCCAGACCTCGGGGTTGGCGCCGCCGATAGCCATGAATGTACCGATGGATATCAGGACGGCACCAACACCCATCAGAATGTCCATCGCCCAGCGGTTGATGGTCTCCATCCGAAGCTCACGCCACGTAATCGTTTCGGTAATGGCGAGCTGACCTGACGGCTGTCCTGCCGCAAAGCACCGGGTCTTTTCTGCTTTAATGCCCTTATGCTGGAAGCGGAGAAAACAGACGTTATGCCACGCCTTCACTGCATCCGCAAAAGCAAAAATGCAGATCATGCCAGCTAGTGTTCCGCCGAAAGCCATGAGGATCGCGGCAAACAATGGAACAGGCACATCATTCCACACATTGGCGGCAAAGTCCCCAGCATTCGCAAGCTCAAGAAGGCCGACGCCCCAGCTGAGGTTGTGCTCAAGACGGAACCCACTTGCATTAGCCCAGCCACGCCGTCCCTTAACGAGAATAACCTGGTCGGACCCGGGGAAGCGCGAAGCAGCTGCACCTCTTATACTGCCAATCTGTTGCAAGGATTTTTTCTCTGTAGCGTGTGGCAGTGCTCGATCGGAAGGAGTTGGTTTCTCGATAGGTTGTTCTTCTGACATGTTGATTGGTGCGGAAAGCCTCTGCAGACGGCTTGATCGGCATCGAGGGGGCAGGCGAAGGTGTTATAAAGAGCCGACGTCGTATGCGACGTAACAGCCCTGGGAGCGTGCTACAGGAACAAACTCTGTCAAAGTTAAGAAGAACGTTACGCGGTCAAAGAATTAAGAGGAACGTTGCAGGCCAACCTTACAACACGTGACCGGCATTCAGGTCCGAATGATTAGACTTACATCTTTGGTCAGGCCCATAAAAAACGGCGCTATCCGGCTCATACGGCACGAAGGGGCAAGGGAGACATCACGTTCAGATTCCGCAGGACTTTCTAGGTATGCAACAGAAGGGATACTCTGGTCAGATCATGAATAAGCCCATTGTTCGTTGACATTAAGTAGTATTGAAGTTATCGCTTCAGCGGCTTGGCACGTTTTGATCTGCACGGGTATAGCAGCTGGCTAACGTGCATGCCAAGCAACCACGGACAAGAAGCGGCTTTTTGGTGGTTGTCGCTGACTCAGGCACACTGATATGACACCGTTGGAGAAACTTCAATTGTCCAAACCTTCAGTCATGAATAGAATTTAGCCCTTCCCAAATGCTGCTTTTTTTTAATTGCAGGCTAGGTAGAAATACGTTAGAGCTAAGTTGAAAATAGCCTTGCTTGGTCCAGATGCAATAGAGTTCTTACACTCGAGTCTTTGACTGCTGCTAACCAATACGGTTAGATACAGCGTAGCCGCAGCTTTCGCTGTCCTCCATTGTTCCATTGCCATAGACGACTAGCATCAAAGTGTGGTGTGCTGGTTCGCCAACATAAAAATGTCCGACGCGCTCACGCAAGTTCCTGCCCAGCAAGAGAGGTTCCTTCCGATTCCCCCAATGCCACAGTTACACGAGGGAAGTTGGATGTCATGCGAATATTCTACCATTGTTTACATATCCGAAAATGGAGCGTGGAGATGTTAGAAGAGTCCGACGCGCAACAGTATTCCTTCAATGGACTTGACCTGGTCGTGAAAGCTAGTGGCGCGAACTTGGATGTCATCGCATGTCTTCTTATCAATGGCAACAGGAGTAATGAAGACAGTTGACTGATAATACAAAGAATCTTCGAGTTTTGCAGCAAACTCAATCATGGCGTGAGCCAGTAATGTCGAATGGTGCAGAGCTGCGACCATTTGCAACAGAACGGACAATGTCGGGGAGGGCCTATATGTCCCAATTCTGACAGAAGGAAGGCGAACAGACGCGTCAGATGCCGCTGCTGGAGTGGCTGGCTCCTCGGCGCATTTCTTGATGTGAAGAAAAATGCTTTCATAGATATCCGCAAGGCGATGCCAGCAGGATATGACAAGAAACATAGAAGCCGTGTCGATGGTGGTTGCCTCTGGGGCTGTCAAATAGAACGTCCCTGGTAGCTGAAGCGTTTGGGTGACATCCAACATGACCTTGGTGAGTTGGAAGGTATGGTCCAGATGGAACAGCTCTTTATCTTGTGGGGGGTCCAGCGGGGCAAGAGCATGCAATGGAATAGTATTAAAATGTTGTAAGAGATCCAAATTCAGTTTTGTCAACGTTTGGACAACTTTTATATGTGCTTCAGACTGATTAGCCTCTGTGCGGTATAGCGCATGACTAGCAACCAAATTGTCGGAGCTAGAATCCTGGTGGAACAGATTGGTTATAAAGGATGAACAATCTATGGCTGGCAATGTTGTCATGGATGCCATTGTCAATGATTCGGAAACCGCTGTCGCCTGCTCAGATGGACTCTTCGTAAACTTAGATGCCCTACGAGCACACTTGTTGGAGGCAACAAGAGTTGCGTCATGGTCCATATCGGAAGCTGTCCTCAGTCCAGCGGCGGCGACAGTTGCGGGACGCATACCCCGTACCGACGTACCAAATATACATGGAACTTTGGCCTTGATACAACGGGCACACCGCTGCTCTTGATCAATTCGGCCGGGACAGGCGAGCTTGTGAGCATGGCAGCGGGTGCATGCGCGGCGAAATGGGAGCGGACCACGTGTTGGCATGTTGATGAGTACAGGGGCGGAACCGATGGTCAGCACACCAAGCCTTCAAAGAGACAAGAAGAGAAAATGAACTCATTGGAATAATATTGAAAGGGGCATCTATCTAGCTAGGTGTCTAATTGCTAAGAAGTATTGGTTGTACAGATGATGCAAGGGCACGTGAGAGAAAGTGGAGAGGCTGAGGCATCTCCGCTTGGGGGCTGCCCGCCTTGCATGATCAACTTATCCGAGTTGAAGTTCACCGAACGTCAGAACATCAGGACAATCAAGACATGTCCGAACTATGCCTGTCTCTCTCGAAATGGCTTGGGGCGCGTGCGGCTATCATCAACGCGAACCCACCCCAAGCAAGCACCCCGTTCTTGCCGATCTGCCCGCCGTATCACTTGTACACCCATTACTCATTACCCCAATTGCTAAATTTCCATCATGAATGACAAGGTAGACACTCGCTCGCTGTCGCCGACAGCTGCTATAGCTGGTGGTAGGTGAGGTAGTATAAACACCCCATCCACGGGGCACCACTACATAGTTGGCATCGCACCTCGTAAGGATCGCATCAGGTGGCGTCTCACAACCCGAGGGTCATTCTCATTCACCAATACGTAAGCTTTATAACTTGAAGGCACAATTCATCGGATTGCGAAATCAGTGGGCCATGGCTATCAACAATGTGGTGGTCTCTGCATTGATTGTACGCCGAGAATCTTATGCCATCTGCCAAGATAATAATACAATGACTCTGAGTGGTCTCTGTTTTCCACTATGTTCTGGCTACGCTTGATGACGCTGGGGAACCGTAGTCAAGCCCCCAAACGACTCAGGTTTGGTCATTGATTGGTAACCTCTAGTCCTTGTTTGCTTGTGCTACATGCTTTTAACAATTAACCAATAATGTCTCCAGTCGGAACGTCTGAGATGGGATCTCAATTTGCAGCAATTCCGAAGCTTTGGACTGCCTGCAGGCTGCGCCGATCGACGCCACCAACAAATCCGATGTATGGGCCCATGTTGCTGCACCCGATGCTACATGACCGATGGAATTGTGTAGCATCCTCCATTGGACATTTGGGCCAGCTTCAAGACGTCTCTATCTTTTAAATACGCAGCTTATCCTCTTAATATCTTTCCCACCGTGCTTCTCGACGCTTCATGCCTTTCCCTTAGCACTCCATCCTAAAATCTTTCGTGCGCCACACTCCCCGTCCATTATGCCCAAATTAGAGCGTGTGCTGCGTCTTGCTGGCACTTACCGTCGCAGTGAGAACCTTTCAGAAAAGCAATTCTACGAATATATCTCTGGTCGTCACGGGGTCGAGTGTGCCAAGATCCACGCGAAATATGGCGTTCTTAAGTATCAAATGGTCAGCCCCCACCCGGCGTGGTAATACCTTCAAGTGTCGTTTCTGACTAATTAGGCTTTCAACACGGCTAGTATGCGAGCTTTAGCAGATAGCATGAGGATTCCCTACCGAATGGACGACCACGACGTGGAAATAGAGTACTACTTCAAGGACGCTGCTGCGCTGGTTGCTCTGTCCGCCGACAAGGACTTTCAAGCATTGCACATCGAGTGTCTACCCTACGTTCAAATCAATAAGTCGACGGCCACCATGGCATGGATCGAGGTGTACGTCGATAACGGCGAGCTTGTGAACATCAGTTCAGAAGGGAAAAGCCTCCAGCCCTCATTTGAGGAGCAGTCTAGCGTTGAAACAGCCCTACCTGTTGCCAACTATCACGATGATGCAGGGAATGTTTAGGGGCCAGCTTCAACTACTCTTCTTTTCTTAAATATCCTCTTAACGCTGATTTGGATGCGGTACAATTGGTCAAACACTGGGGGTGATGTATACTGCGTTATGGGACCAAAGTTGCACAGGCACCGTCTAGGTGCAATGCGGATTGTGGCTTAGGAATTATGAATGCACTACACTTCCTTGCTATTGAATGATGACACGTTTACATCTTCTCCATTAAGTCGCAGATTGATGCCCGTGAGTTCAGCGTTGAGCCCGTGATTCATCTCCACATGTACTGGTACCCATGAACGCCCCTTTGAGGACAATGCGCAATAGTGAGGAGTGGGTCGACACGAGCAGCTTCGACCACGTTTTTTAAGTAAAAGCATAGGCTGCACTGCGAAGAGCTCGGTTTGAAGAAACGGAGTAGGATTCGGTGATTACAGGGTTTCAAACACTCGTTGATGAGGTTTTACTTGAGGGTCCAGAAGATAAGGTAACACGGCTACATTGCGAATTGCAAACGAAACTGGACTTGCTTCAAAGTTCTTAAGGAAGTCTTGTGCCACCTTCTTGTCACAGAGAGAGTAATGAGACTAGATTATGCTTGGCCAGCAAGTCAGCTTTGTACTCGCACTGGATTTTCTCTATAACTTCGCAAGCAAGGAAATATAAATGTCGGCTATCGAATAGTAACAGAGGTTAGCCTGCATGCCATCAATTTGCTCATCAATCTTCTTTGAATCCAATTCACGTCAGACTCTCAGCCTCTCTAGTCTTCGGAATCAGACTCATCTTCTGCCTCTGACTCATCGGCCTTCTCTGCAGCTGCCTTCTCTCCAGCTGCCTTCTCTCCTGCTGCGGCCTCTCCTGCTGCCTTCTCTCCTGCTGCGGCCTCTCCTCCAGCAGCTTCCCCTTCGCCTGCCTTCACTGCGGTGGTGGGAACGAAAACTGCCCATTCACCGTTCATGTCAGCGAGCTTCAGGGCAATTTCGTTCTCCTCGGCTTCGAATTCGAGCTCGCCCAGATTTTCAGTCACAAACTGGTTTGTGGCTGCGTCCAGCTTTCCAACCACCGATTTCGTCACGTCAACGGCGTTGCTAGACCCTTCTGCGAAGATGTAGTCGATTTGGTGTTTGTCGTCCCCCACTGGGGGCGTCGCCGTTGTAACAGTGAAAGTGAGAGGGTCGATATACATCAAGCCGGCGGGAGGTGGGACTGTAGCCATCTTAGGTGCTATGGTGATGCTGTTGGCTGCTGTGCCGTTGTATTCAACTTCGAACGCTCCGGCTGCCTGTTGTGGATAAGTTAGCCCTGTATTCTCCTGTCCCTATCTTACCGTCTCCCAAACTTTGTATCGAACGTTTATTTGGCGTGTTCCATATGCTTATTTTCTTTCCTTAAATTCAGACAAAAAGGAAGTTATGTTGACTTACATTCGCTGGCAGTTTCATCTTCGTAAACAAATTTCCACCCTGGACGGGATTGGGCGAACCGAACACGCCGACAACCCTCACTACTCCCTCCTTGAACTCCTCTGAAACGGCCAGTACATCTGTAGCTGCCAACGCTGTTTGATTTGTCGCTGCTGCTGCGTCACCCACGCGGGCGGACTGCTTGCCCCTTGGCACCTTCGAACGAAAGCTGGGAAAGGGCTCTCTGCGCTGCACGACTGAAGTGACAACTGTGCCAGCCGGTAAAGAGAAAGCCGGCAGTACCTCCAAGGCAATGATTGGAAACAAAGAGAAACGCATTTTATTGCGAATGGTACGGCGCTTGATCTTCGTCGACAAATGCGGACCGGGTATAGGTCTTGGTATTATAAGGGCTAAGAAAATGATCGGCTCAGCCGAGTTGAAGAATGTAATAATGAGTCAGATGAGAATGAAGTAAAGCAACAGACGAACAGGATGGTGAAGAACTTCTGCATGGAGATCGGCAAAGTCGTCCCTTTTAACTCTTGGAGGTTTCACTGTCTGAACGTTGCCTGTATACGGGGTTCAGGCAAATCGCCCAGGGTGCCTGACCCGCCATGGTCCTCTGCACGACACTCAGGTTCTTTTCCTACCCCAGATTCTAAGAAAATGGCTAAGCATTTGCCTTGGAGTCCTCCCAGTAGTGTCAGGTTACTCGAAAGCCTGGTTCTCAAACAGGCGCAGTCCGCCTTCTTGGTAGGGTGTACTCCATCTAAGACACCGCCTAAGCATATTTGAACCTTTCAAACAGCCAAGATCAACCCCGGCGTCTATATTAGTTCACCTACGCGTGTTCTTGCCCAGTGGGTGTTCAGACGGCTGCGCGGAGTAGGACATGTTGATGGCATCACCTACCTATTCTCGGATGCGGCGGTGCCGTGCCAGCCGTGGCAGGAGGCTGCCCAGGACTTGGCTGGTGTGGGCAGGCGTGGCTCGGCTTGGCATTACTCCCCACGCAGCCAACCAGGTAACAAGGCACGTGCGATGAAACAAGCTCCTGCGGACAGACATACGAGTCCCGCACAGACGGATCCCGTGTCATTTGAATTGCCCTTGAGAAAAGCATACAAATCACCGGAGGTAAAAGGGGGATTGCGGCTTTCGACGTACTACTTTTCCTAGGATGGTAGCGCTGGCTTTTCAACGGTTATGTCTCGTTCGTGTCTCACCTATGGGTTCGCCGGGACGTTCGCACCCTTGCAAGGTGTTCTAATGCCTAGGTTCCCTCGGTGCAGAGGTCATATAACATAATAAAGAGATCGAAAGGTATTATTATATTTTTAGGTCAACCCATGAATGAGTTAGTCAACGGTGTTTCGTGAATGATAGAATACGAATGGTTTGAATGGTATGTAGCCACAGCGGTCACGGTATGTATGCATCGTTCGAACTACATCCAGCGTCTTTGGGTAACCTTTCTTCATTAGCCTCATTGAGCCCTTGGCGCCTCGTACAGATCATCAATATACCGCGTTGGTGTTGTTGACAGCCACAGCCCGTGGTTATGAGCCTTGCTTTTACTATTATTTTCCTGCGATTCCCAGTTGTTGCTCCATGTTACGATTATCTTTTGGTTTTCAGCTGGCGCTTAATTAATCTCTACAACCCACAGAGCTCTGAGACTTTGAGAGTGCGGCAGCTAATCGTACTGCCATGACCGAGAATCTAGATTGCCTCAGCCTTTGGTGCTTTCGCTGCACCTTTATTTACATTGAAAGGGTTGTTTTGCTATGGAGCCAAATGACGTGAAGACATTCTCTAGAGCCCACACCAGAAAGCCAGCCTACGATACCCTGGTCTCCATTGAATTAGATGCCTGACTGTCCAGCGAACACGCAGGCATATCGGCTCCGACCCTCCTGTAGCCAAGAAATCGAAGTTGCTGGCTTACAGCTCGAATTGCATATCTCTGTGGTCACCGACACAGCGTTGTCTTTCATGAGAGTCGTCGAACGATGATGGAGCGGAAGGGGGCCGCACTCGGTTTTCTTGGCGTATGCCGTACCAAAGGCTGGTAAAAGATAATAATAATAATAAAGGTTTACTAGATTTATCGCTGGAGATATCATGGCGTTTAATAGCAACCATATACGAGTGCCTCTGAGCTGACCTTATAGTTACTGCGGAATGCCTACACAGTTTGAGTTCGATGTGGAATATATAAGACAATAAAGGAAACGGTTGAGGACGAATATTATTCACGTTTTCAGTCATTCTTAGCCATGCCGTTGGAGCTCTCTCTTATCTTCAGTCCCCCGGACAACTCCAATAACAACATCTTGCCACAATGCTTGCCACACGAACGCCGCCAAGAGAGGCAGGTAAATGAGGTCACCATATCCTTGGGAATTGATAATAGCGGCTGTAATGCTTATAGCTATCGAGTATAGGGCAGTTGTAGCAGTGCATACCTTAAGAGAGCTCTGTAAAAAGTTGAAAGTGCTTTGAAGTGAACAGGTAGAGATATCCGGGGGAGGGTTGGTGGTGCTGCATATTTGACCCGCGCGATCCACGTTTTCGGAAGAGTGGCGTATGGTCAGTTCGATATCACTAAGGTTCGACCGGCCAACCTCCCCAGTAGCTTGCCGAACACTCTCTTGGTTCGCTTGAAGGTTGTTATGCCCATCTTCAAGCAAATGTGGTGAATTTCCTCTGGAGATTAGTGGGGCTTCAGGAGGTCCTTTATATTCTTAACATCAGTCAGTTACAATCTGTGACACGAGGCCAATGGCGGCTCGACTTACCGGTGGCAGCATCAGTAATTGCAAAAATGGAAAGAGCCATCAGGAATATCGGCATCAGTTGTCCGAAGCTAGCCTCGACACGTACTGCTCTACCATCTGGCCATCCGGTATAGATCACCCAAAGTTCTGTCAACCCGTAGCTCGAAAGAAATAACATGAATAATACATTTGAGAGAAACGAACGAGCGATCGCGCGTGGGAAATATTGTCCGATACCCGCCAGCAGGAGATGGACCCTCTTCAAGCTACCACGGGTCGTCAATCTGGGGTTCGATGTCACCATTCGCCGGTACCATTGCAAGAAACCTTCTGAAGAGCTGCGATTCTTGTTGTCTCGAATCTGCTGTAGCAGTATGATGTCCGCATCCGTGGGTTGTTTCCAATACTGTCTTCGAGAACATATGTCCCTGACTGTAGGTGTGCGGAAAACATCATGGGCTATGCTTTGGTACGCAAATCTGTATAGGTAGAGGACATATGTGATTTCAAAAATGATGTCGCTAACAGATCCCGGGCCGTCCTGGTTGAGATTGCTTCTGGCGCAGAACACGGTAATGTCATACGTGTTGAATGCTCCCCAAATAGTAAGGACTCGAGCTGGGAGGAGGAGAGAGAGAAGCAGGGCTATAAATAAGACACGCAACTTCAGGGGCCTGTGATCCTCCCAGACGTGTTTGAGTACGGAAAGTGATGATAGGTGGATCACGCTGGAAACAGTTGCAAGCGAAATGGCTACTTGAACGGAGTAGACAGATCGGATTTCCCCCGTACCACTAGCATTTGCAAAAATGATCCAAAATGAAATCAACAGGGCCGATCCAGTTACGAGATGCTGGTCGCTAAGACTCGTAAGGAGTGTGCCTAGGGCTTTCAATTTCCTTGTGCGCGAGGACTGGTCGGTCCATGTCTTCAGCTTTGAGATCGGAAGGCTAGACAGTGCCAATTCATCGATATCGTTGTATACAGTGGGAGGGAGTGTGCGCGACAAGTATGAAAAGATGGTGACTGCTATCGTGACGATGAACGACGTGGTAAATGATATGACTACCTGGGCAAGGTCAAATTGGGATCGACTGGTGGTACTCTAGCCCTTACTCACCAAGAGACCTGTGACATCAGGATCGTCTAACTCTTCAAGGTCAGCGCAATCGAATTCACTCATGGTGGTTGATCGATAAGTCGTGACCTGCCAATATGTGTGACAAATTTCAATATAACCAGAGTTGGGATTGCTACCGTAAGGATTAGGACCGCGACTTGTCTTATATACTGGCGAGAAATACGCAAGGCTGTGGTGGCGCACGGTCATGATGTATTTAGAAGATGTGTCGCGGCTACGGTTGGGCAGAAATGACTGAGACACCCCTTAATTGGTGCACAAGTTCGCCTCAACTGACTAAATTACCAATTGAGAGGTGCCATGCAGGAGCCTCATTTATGCGGGCTGACAGCTGAAAAAGAAATAGAAGAGTGAGCATCACGTAGGTCACCAGCCTGGGCAGCCAGCCGATTAAGAAGATAAATTGCGCATACTATCCCGAGGCACCTCATTGTCTCGTCCTAGTTTGTGGGATATCATCGTAAAAGGAAACTGAGTTGAAAGAATTTATGGTGGATAGGGGGGGGGGGGGGGGGGGGGGTCCTCTGTAATAACTCACAAACTTCGGGAAAGGCAACGAGCTTGCATCCTGCTCGTCCGGCATCATTGATGAAATTGATGGTTTTCTGTACTCCTGCCTCTAGATCGAACCAAGCAGGCTCAGAGGTGACCTGCAAATCATTACATAAGAATTATGAGGTAATACACGTCCGAAAGAACTTACAGCTGCCGCTTTATATTGTGTGATGGGCATTTTGCTGGGCTGAGTTGCGATTTCTGGCTGCGTGGTCTTTTTGTCCTAAGATTAGCTGAAGCCTGTTGCTGAATTCTCTGTCTTGAGGCATGAAGATCGGGCCCGAGGTCGCTCTTTATGTATCAAGGTCGTTCACGTATAAGCGAATCTCGGCAGCTCATGAACAATATTCCGGCAATGGGGGATTCTTGGGGTACACATGATGCGTTCAATATACTATGCTGACGTCTTTCAACCTAAGTGACTTCATAAAGTCATATCCCGATATTTCGGCAAGTTTGTATGATAGTTTGGCTTTCCGGAGTTGAGGAACATGTGTCGTTGATCAAACCCACTTGCTGTATCTGCATCAACCCCCGACTGCAATGTTTGGGTTCGGCGTCAGCAAGTCGTCAGACTTGAACGCCGAACAACAACGAGATTCAACCGAGCTGCATTGTTTCCTTGGCTGTACAACATGACCCTGCACGGTTTTGGCTGACATGAATCTTCCCGCCAGACGTGAGTGGTCCCACTACTCCGTTCTTCTGTTGCGCAATCAACGAATGAGGCACATACGCAAATTGGCGCGAATAATCGCTCAGCATCTACGCTGTTATGCAATCCGGATCTAAAGTTGCCGAAGTCTCCGTATTTCTCACCTCTATACAGCTCACAGCTGTAGATCAAATCCCGGGTGGCATGATTACTCAAGCCCGCGCTTTGTGGTCCGAGACTCCGTACGCAACCGCCGGGGATTGTACAGCAAATCCCGAAGCATACCAATTGAGCCAACGCCGGCAACAGCCTGGACGCTGCTTGGTGTGTCGCGCAATCATTGTCGCCCGTCAGACCTTTGAGTCATAATGCAAGGCATTGAAATGCAATTGACTGTTGTTTATACAGTATTCCACACGTATCCTGACGTGTGCGTATTCGGATCGAAGCCAATGAGTAGGTGGTATAGATAGTGCGGTTTCTTATGATCACAACATGATATATCTAATGGGTTTTCTGGTGAGACCAAAGGCGTTATTCCGGGTGCAAGAGCTTCAACTTACATTGACTCTCCAGAATCTTGCAAAAGCTGCCTCCAACTGAGTTTGGAACCTTCCGTCCATTGGCGTTGCCACAGGATTTTGAGGACTCGTATAGCTCCTTCGCATGGCTATTTGTGAGATTTGTCAGCCTTGATTCGACTAGATTTCGGGGTATCTCATCGATCCTACATGGAAAACCACCTCTGAAACCTTCTCTAATGCCTGAAGTACTGCTTTCTCCCGATCTTGGTCGCGGAAGAGATGAACGCCCGCCATGAACAATGGCCACGGTAGCCCGGCGAGACAGTAGCTTTCACTCATAAGAGAGCATGCAGCAAGGATGGTATCTATGTGATGAGTCACAACAGCCGGTGAGAGGAAGACATGGTTATGAGAGTCTGAGTCGCACTCAAGATCTAATATAGGGCTGGTGATGTCAATAAGGGAGAGAATGCAAGCGGATCTTCCGGCGTTGTCTTCGAGAATCAACTGGTCCCTTGGAGACTTCCGCAACTTTGCCAGCTGGTCTTCCTCGAAAATTCGAGCTCTCCAATGATGTCCAATATCCTTCAATAGGTTGCGAGACTGGGCCAGAAGGAGCTCTCGCGAGTCAGGCAGGCTGCACTGCTTCACATCAGACGAGAGTTTCGATAAGCCTGCTACTATCCTTAATCTTTGGTTGAATCGTTCAATTGTGGTGCCTGTCGTATCCCAGCACGGCCAGGATTCGATCGGTGTGTTCGATGTGACCGTCCCCTGCTTTTCGTCCATGTAGTCGACAGGGAGCAGTGTTTCGCGTCCTAGGAAAAAGCTCGATCCGATGTCAATGAGAGAAAACACACGAGCGAAGACAGGATCTTTCTTTGGGCCGCCACGGAGGACAAGAAGATCACGGGCTCCTTTGATATGGCTGAGCCATGCAGAAGAATTTGCGCTTGAGATCTTGTTCATTCAATATAGGAATATTCCAAAGAGCAACAGTGGACCTGGCTTACCTCGCAGAAGCAGAGCAACATGACAGATAGCAAGGTGGCAACCGAAGTTGCAGTTTCCGGTGACGCGAGTGCACCGTTCAGCTTGTTCACCGCCCGACCGTAGAAATTAAAATACTTCTCATTATGGCCTGGGTGCCTCCTGCGAAGGTCACCGGCTGATAAGGCGCTGACGGCAAGCTGTAGATGCTCGCAGCCGGCGAAATGACGATATATCTCGCGCGAGAAGGGATTATCAGTCTTGTCGTCAGCGAAGAAGAGAGCCTTGGAACAGAAAGTGACAAAATGATGTAGATATATAGAGCCACCGGCGGAGGGGGATGGAGCCGCGGGCTTGGAATTAGTAAGGGCGATGACTTTGTCGCGGACAGCACGTCCTGAGACGAGCTTACTCTGACCCTCTGCGGGACGAGCTACCTCCTTGACGCTGAACGCGTAGCCCTTTCCCACACATTTAACCTGGAGACGCGCACATCGGGAGCAGGTGGGTCTGATTTCATCGCACTTGGTGTGAGTCTCGCGACATGTAAGACATCCTGACTTGTAAGCACTCAAAGCAAGAGCCTGAACTTAGATCAGCGTTGACGCGAACCTTCTTTGGACCGTTTGACCTTCGGCCGTACTTGATATCGGCGTCGCATGGCGAGCCGGGTATACACAACGCATGAATCGTTCCCGATCGGCGTGGCATGAGCTTCTACGCTCCGGATGCTCCAAAGAACGATGAGGTTCGGGAGCGGGATGTGGAGTAGAGTTGAGGGTCGACGGTGAGCCGCTAGCGGGACGGATCGCTGGCTTCCCGGCAATCATGAAGAGGGCTGGTTCCCGAACAAGGGTCCCTGTCACGGTGCATTGGATACTGTTCTGGCCCCGCTGAAGAAATCCACATTTGAAGTGGAGGTAATGGAGCCTCAGAGGCGTGCGAAACGTGGCGACAGGGGCTGAGGGCGCGTCTGCTTGCCATTTCATGGGCGGTAATTTCTTCCGTACACACAGTACAGATGATGCTACGACATTACTTGCATAGAAGGTGATATCGGGCAAGGACGGGAAATTGAAGGTGATATGACTGTACGAGGTGCGCAAGGCACAAAGCGAGTTCCATCATCAAACACACCTAGGTGGCTATACACGCAAAGTCCAAAAGAGTCGCCCATGAAACCCTGTCACCCGCCCAAAGATACCGTGCAAACAATCACGGCGCATCATTAACAACGCCATCGCTTTGCTCCCCCTTTGCCTTCAAGTAACCGACGCAATCATTGCGACCCTTGACTTCGTCCACGAGTACAACCAGGAACGCGGACAGGGCGATTAGTAGGGCGATGAAGCCAAAGGGAACCCACGCATTCTGCGTTCGATCGATGAGAGCGCTGGAGATGATAGGGCCGATCCAAGAACCGCCTTTCGAAACAACGCCTAGCAGGGAGAAAAAGTGATTCTCCTCGCCGCGAGGCACCAGTTCTCCCATGAAGGCTTGGGCATACGACCATTGAATGCCAACGGCGGCTCCACAGAGGGCCGAGTACGTCCAAAACTCCCACATGTTGTGGTAGCCAACTGTCGTCGTCCAGATGCCAGCCGTGCCCCAGATGGCGAGCAAGAGACACCCCGAGTTCGCAATATGAAGCATTGTCTTCGTTCGTAAGCAGAGTTTCGCTTGTATCCAAACAGCGAGGTATGGAAAGACGGTCCAAGAGACACCTTGAATGATCAAGAAATAGGTGTTATCAGTAGCAGAGAACAAGACGACGCTGGACTGTGCGATGGTGACCTGGGTCATGAATGTGTTTATGGCGTCACTCAGCAAGAAGGAAACCAGAACGTAGAAGAATGTCTGAGGCAATCGAGCAGCCAAAGTGCACGTGGTCTTCCAGTAGTTCTTCATGCCCACAACGACGAGGTTCGCCCCTCGAGGCACCGGCTTCCCAGGCCGTTTTTTCTGGAGAAAGAACCATGGGACAGAGAAAACCAACGCAAGGCCAGCACAGACTGCGGCGCACGCAGAGTATCCAAGGTTGTTGTTCTCTATTGAGGCTTCTGCGTCGATCCCTTTCAAGATCGCCAAGCAGAGACAGCAGCTCACAACAACCCCGAAGTTATTCCACGCCCAACTTCGGTTCAATGTCTTGCTCCGCTCCGTCTCTATCTTGGAATGATACTCCGCATTCGATATGAGGCCGTTATTCTTGTTATCGAGCGCTTCGACCGCGGCTGGTTGGTCAGCAGCTATCTTAGGGAACAACGCAATAAAGAATGTGAAAGATATTGCCCAAAAGATATTGCTGAATATGTATAGGGCCATGGCGGCGCCCCACGTGTCGGGTGTCTTCACGCCCAGGTAGCCAAGCTGAAAAGCGCTGTAGACCAACGTCGAAACTCGAAGTATCCAAGGTGACCATTCGCCATAATCTGCCGTGGCTCCGAGAAAGATGAAGAATATCGCCTGCCCGAGGAAGGTAAGTCCAGATGCGATATTCACCACCGATGCATATGCCTTCGAGCCTCCTGCCCATGGAACGTGGCATTGTCCCTCTCCGCAGGGCTGACTGCCGAGAGGCAGTACATCAGGATCGAAACCGGCTTGAAAGATGAGGTTCTGAAAGAGTAATGTTGAATAGTTGTAGGGGCCAACGCCGTTATTGGCAAAGAAATATGCATAGTAGGCATATTTCTCAAGCTTAAGGCGCCGATGCTGGTCTGAGCTGTTAGAAACAGCTGCGCCATCGTGATCAGGTTGCGCACCAGCAAGTGGCTTCTCTGAATAGTTCGTCGGAGGCTTGCTGTCGCTCATTTTCACCTTAGATCATGGTCGGAACCTACCAAAAGAGGGAAGGTATAGCACATTGTATTCTTTTCAAGAAGAAGAGGGTTACTACATGTGCAGCACGCGCGACTTCCCTTAGATGATACGATCACAAGGACCCTTGATGGCGGCAGTTGGTTCTGCAAAAAGACAGCCGGGTTTCTCATTAATCCGAAGCCCACCGCTGACCTCGGGACTCGCGAGAGCCGATGATTCAACTTATCGTTTCTTATCTAAGAGATGGTAGAGGATAATTGGTTCGCTGGGCCAGGGGTATATCGCCAGAAACAGAATAGCGCTAAGCCCCAGAAGCAATGCTGTTCTGATTCGCTCAGCTGCAAGACACGCCAATCTCTGTGCACTGTGTAGCGGGAGAAGAAAAGAGGGATCCCTTCATTGGTGGCGAGAGATTGCAGTTGGTGATAGAAGGTAACCTCACTCGATTTTCTACATCAGTGTTAAGCATTACCACGGTATTAATCCCTGGGTTGCTCAGCATGCAAGAATTGGGTATTGACCACGTCATTGGGGTGGACGTAGGTGGAACTAACACTGATACCGTTCTTATGAGGGGACGGGATATATTGGCTTGGCACAAATCACCAACGACACCAGATGTCAGCAGCGGAGTTTCATCTGCCATTGAAGCAGTACTTCGCGAGGCTGGTGTCGGCCGGAGTGAAGTGGCATTGGTCAAAATTGGGACTACACAGTTTCTAAATGCATTTCTTGAAAGAGACAGCCGGAAGATGGACAAGGTCGCAGTCATTCGTCTTTGCGGACCTTATACGCAAAGCGTGGCCCCTTTCTGTTGGTATTCTCGTGCCGATAGAGACCAACTTGTGCTGATAAGCAACCAGTAGGAATTCCCGAGCCTCTTCGGCGGGCGATTGAGGGACATTACGCATACATCGAAGGGGGCACTCATGGTGAGTTGCCACCCTGATGAGAGGCGTCTATTCTCTAACATCGTGCAGTTGACGGCAGGGACATATTTCCCTGGTCTCGGGAACAACTCAAAGAAGAAGCCAAAATCATAAAAAGCAAAGCAATCACCTCGATTGTGCTAATTGGCGTTCACTCACCATCATTCCCAAGGCAAGAAAACGAGGCGGCAGCTTTTCTGTCTGAACAGTTAGGTGTCGGTTTCGACATCTCCTGCTCCCACCACTTGGGAAATGCCGGGTTCTTAGAGCGTGAGAACACCGCTATTCTCAACGCAAGTATACGCCGTTTCGCGAGACGAGTTATCGAAAATCTTACTGGGGCTCTGCGACAGGTGCTACCCGCGGCTCAGGTTTTCATGACCCTTAACGATGGCACGATCAGCCCGTCATGGTACGCAGCGCACTACCCTCTCAAATGTTTTTCTTCAGGACCTACGAACAGCGCACGAGGGGCTGCGTTTATTTCTACTGAGATGTTGGACGAAAGCGACGAGTCGGACCTGCTGGTCATCGACGTGGGGGGCACCACAACAGATGTCTGCAGCTTATTGCCAAATGGTTACCCCAAACATTCGGCTGCCTGCATCAAAATAGCCGGAGTGAAGACAAATCTCTCGATGCCTCAGATCCACAGCATTGCCCTGGGAGGCGGGAGCATCATTCGGCCCAACACTGAAAGCCTGGCTGTCGGCCCGGACTCCGTGGGTGCTGATGAGCTTACCCTGTCTTTGAATGCTGGTGGATCCCAGTTCACCGCGGCCGACCTTATCAAGCTTGCGCCCGAGACTCTGGACAAGGTGGGGTTGTCTGTGGAAACGATAAATCAGGCGAAGGGCAAAGTCAAATCCATGATTGAAGCTGCAGTTGAGACTGCGAAGACGAAGCCCGTGGACGCCAGAATCGTTCTGGTCGGTGGTGGCAGCTATATCTTACCAGATACAAACACGCTGGAAGGAGCTAGGGTCGTGGTCAGACCTGAATTCTTCCAAGTAGCCAATGCCATCGGAGCGGCCATTGCCAAAGTTAGTGGTAGTGTTGACCGCGTTGTCGTCCCTGGGCCGCAACAGTCCGCGGAAAGCGCAATCGAAGACGCAAAGCGTGAAGCCATCGAAACATGCTACTTAGCCGGCGGTCTACGCGAATCCGCTGAAATTGTTGACTTGGAGATCATACCAGAGACTTATTCCTTCAACGGAGCGTTCCGATTGGTTATCCGCGCTGTATCAGACGTGGATGGTACTCGTAAGGGTGTTGTGACTAGCGTCAAGGCACCAATGAGTGAGAACATGTTCGATACAGTACCAGATCTAGTTGAAGATACCGGATTCAATTACGAAGCGATGGGGGAGGATCAAACTTCAACTTCTGAGGACATCACAGCATACGTACCACACATTGAAAATGACACCTGGACATTAACAGAAACGGATGTTGAGTTGCTCGTGGATGGAACAGGTGTCCTGGGAGTAGGTTGTATGGGCGAAGCTACTAACTATCTGCTTGCCTTGAAAGAGGCCATCCGACGCGGCCGGAAGGTACAGGTTATACCGTTGAGAGGTATCAAGGAAGACGACGTCATTTGCCCGACTTGTTGGATTGTACGCGCGGCTGTTCAGTGAACGTGGGGCCAAATGCTAACAACGCACAACAGGGGTCGCCGACCGCATTTTTCGAGCGAATACCCGGGAACGAAGAGTAAATCCTGTTTCCACCCAATGAGGATCAAAACACTGATGTATGCGGCTCAGAATGCAAGAAGCCATCTATGCAAACCTAACTCAGGTGGGAAAAGTTGACTTCACCCATACAATACCAACCGAGATAGGGGGGCCAAACGCCCTTGAAGCTTTGTTGGTTGCAGCGAACCTAGGTAAGGTTGCGGTAGATGCAGACCTCATGGGCCGAGCATTTCCCAGAGCGTATATGACCATCCCTGCCGTCCATGGCAAGAGAATCACACCTGCAGCTTTGGCAGACGGCAATGGCGCAGTTCTTGTGAGTATCCGGAGATATTAGAAATACGGTATACTGACATCTTTAGCTGCTGCAAAAAGCCAAAGACGATCATCAAGCAGAAGACATACTCCGGTCTGCCGCTGGCCAATTTGGGGGTATAGCGTCTCTGGCGATGCGCCCTTTCGAGAGCAGCGAAACCTATCTGTTCGCTCAGAACAGCTATTCGCTGGCATGGTCCATCGGGCGAAGTATGAGACTTGCCCGACAGCAGAAAGCGGATGTAGCATCAGCAATTGTGGCATCCGTCTCAGGGAAGGTCCTATTCCGGGGCAAGGTGAATTTAGTGTCTCGGCAGGTTCAGAACAACTTTACAAGGGGATCATGCACGATATTGCCTGATGATCTTGGCTTTACGTCAAGCGAAACTTGGCTAGAACTGATTTTTGAGAACGAAATTCTTGCAGCGACTCTCAGGTCCAAAGGCTCTCGGGAGTGTCTTGCTGCAACACCAGACTTGATGGCGGTCAGTTCAACACTGTACACTCCCTTCGCCGCGGAGAGTAAGACACGCTAACAATGTGCAGATAATTGATTCCACCGGCGGGCAGGCTATAGGAATTACTGAGCTCAAATACGGCCTCAGGGTCTCCATCATCGCTCTCCGAGCTCCAGAAATCTGGCACACCGCCGAAGGTTTAGCTCGCGCTGGCCCTGCGGCATTGGGGTAAGTAGGATCTTTCACGGTCTTTCTTTTATTGCTAACGTCCGTAAGTCTCTCCGAAGATTACATTTCGTCTTTGAGACCAAGCGCGGCTCCTCGTTCCTTGTTCGATGAGTACTGAGCCATGAACGTTGTAGAGGTCGCTGAGCAACATGACGTATTGTACTTATCGTGGCTGGACAAATTATGTCGCCTAAAACAACGCCTCGAAGAATCAACCAGCGACATACTTACCCCATGGCAGTCCACCTACTGTATATATCTGCATACAATTGATATAGCTAAGCAGAAAATAGCATGTCAAAGTAGGTATACATACCAGGCGTTCGATGTCATGCAATGGTGTTAATTTCACCCTTTTTCTTGTTTTCTTTTTCAAATCGAAAATTACGGCTGCACACTTGCAACCCGTTATCGGAATATCGAATACCTCTTGGGCCAATCACGAGAACACGGACTTGATGGAGCCTTAAGACGTTGAGAATAAGGGTTGAAGATAGTTTGGCTTTCGGTCACTACCTCGGCTCGATAGTATGACGAGCGCCTTGGTTGAGATATGCGGCTCGTTATGAGCTGGAGCTGCAGGGGCGTCGGGGTGCTGATTGGCCACTTCAAAACTTGAGGACTATGATCAGCGACTCTTGGACCTAATACCCGAGAGACTCCTCCCCGGCCCGCCGACATGAGGACTTTCAACGGATTGGAATTGTAGTACCTGTGTGGGTCACCGGTGCTCGCATCAAATCATATTACGGCTCATTATCGAGATTACCATGGCGCATAGATAACAATGCTACTTTATCACCCTAGTTCCAACTCGTAAGATTGAAGACCCGTGGTTCCAACGGCTCGGGTTGTGAACTGGCCAATAACAAATGACGGCTGTCAAGGTTTAATCCCTGGGCTGAGCCGCCCTGGTGCTGTAAAGGGCCATGCTTTGTCTCGTTTATGCACACTGAAAACCACCTGGAACCAACTTCAAGCGCAATACAACGTGGTGAATTCGGATATTCGAATTCCCTAGTCAGGCGTGTGCCTTGATTTCATGGATGAGATCCTGCGTATATCTTACAATCCGCTGTGATCAGCCGCCCTAGGTGTCCAAACAAGTGCCCAAAATTCCTCCACGTTGTCTTTCGCAAATGGTCTTGCAGTCATGTCGGACCTCGTCGTATCTCTACGGATCTTATCACACATATTAATCGTTCACTTATTCCTTCAGTTTACTGTAGCGCAGATTTGCTATTACCCCAACGGAAACCTTGCGGAAGGAGATGTACCCTGTCAAGATGGCGGTGCAAGTGCTTGTTGCGGGCCGAATGCCATCTGCCTCACGAACGGACTGTGTCTAAGCATGCAGCAGCCATACGTCATAGCAAGAGGAAGCTGTACAGACAGCACCTGGGAGTCATCAAATTGCCCTGGCAGGTGTAAAAACGGTAATGGATAGAATATTGCGCTAGTTCTGATGGCCTTCCAGCTAAAACTGTCATAGTCTCCCCTGGCGGAGGGTGCTCGATCGTTCTCTACAACAGTACCAGTGATTCTAACCAATACTGTTGCAATTCGATAGTGGTTCAACCAGGGAACGGGCTTCCAGTATGATCGTCAGGGGAACCATTCCTCGTGCCTGACGGGGATATCATTCTTGGAAAGCGTATACTGGCAAATCTCACTGCTGCTTCGAATCCAAGTTCCACGATGAGAACCACAGGAGCTGCCATGAATACAGCTTTGGATCCGGCAACGAGAACAGCCACGAATTCTCCGGCTACGGGCACAGCCGCTATTGATATGACAATGAGCTCGAGGCCACGTGATATCGCTTCGGGGGCCGGAATCGGCGTGCCCCTTGGGTTACTGCTCGTTGCTGCTGTTTCGTGGGCACTGTGGGAACGCCGCAAGACTAAAACCTTCGAACACGGAATCAATCCTTCCACCATAGGTAGTAGGATTGCTGCTTCGAATGACCTCAAGATGAATCACTACAGGCACCCGAAAGAGATGGACGGCAAGTTACCTCGCCATGAGCTACTGTAAAGCTGCGACATCCTTCTCGACTGTACAACACTATTGGCATTAAGTCACAGCAAATAATTTCACATATATTGCATTAGACCTGTAGGCTTGTTGGAATTTGTTGGTTTCAATTCAACCATTGTATACTTGAGTAGATACGTCGGTGGCTACGCTCACTTCCAACTAAACTAACAGATGCTGGTAAATATTTGCTGACAATGCGTAGAAGGACTATTTGTTAGCACAAGCTGGGAAGTACTGTTGAAGAAAACTTCCACTGTATTTCACTATGTGTATCAGATACACAGTATGCGGGAGATATTGTAAAGACCGAGTCTTGCCTCTGCAGATATAAGAGGACAGTGAGGTGAAGATGTCTGGGATCCCCTCGAAACCCAACCGTAACAGTGGCCTATGCTGACAATTCGGTGCCAGGTGGTCTTAATTCGCTGCGCGGAGTCTTCTTGAGACCTGTGACTGTGACTGTGTGTTCCGTACTCAAGTCACTCTTCTTGACGAAAAGGCCTGCTACGATTCCCAAAAATGCCACAGCGGTATAGAGGATCCACATGTTCCTCATAGACCAGCAAAACGCCTCCTTCACCGCGGTCTTCCAGGCGTCATTTTCTATAGTTCTTACTGTGAGAACATTCGCCATTGCGCTATCTCCAGCAAAATTGGCGAGGAGTTTGGCAGAGAGGCCGGCGGAGCGGAGGTAGTCAACACGTTGGTTCATAGAACTCTGAAAAAGACTGCCGCCAACCACGACAGAAAGCGTGATTCCAACATTTCTGATAAAGCTGAGCGTAGCTGTGGCAGTTGCAACATTCTCTTGCTTGACATGGCTCTGGATAGCAATGATTGGCGTCTCAAAGAGCAGGCCTGAGCCTACGCCGCCGATAAGTTGATATCCAACAATCTGAGCTGTACTCGCTTGCGTGGTGAACGAAACGAAAAGTCCATATCCGACACAAAGGCAGATTGAACCTGCCCATAGGAGCTCCCGGAAGCTACCGGTACGATGGATGATCACGCCACACAGGATTCCCGAAAGTGCAGTCATGACAATAAAGGGGAGAAGAAGGAGTCCGGATTGAAGGGGCGTAGCCTCGAATACGGACTGTAGAAATAATGGCATGTAGTACTCGCCACTGATAAAGACCTGCAATAGTTAACCCGCTGCTCTGGCGCGACACAAGTATCAACTCACAAAGCCGTGAAAGAATGCTAACAGAAGCACTGCGTTGTTCGTCATCTTGGTGAAAATATGCATCGGAATGAGCGGATGCTCTGCAATCTTCACTTCGCTGTACACAAATGCAAAGACCAGAACGCCGCCAACAACCAATAAAGCGATGACTTTAGCAGAATTCCAAGGGAATAGATCACCGCCAAAGTCTAAGCCGAGCAGTAGCATGACGCTGCATCCAAGAAACGTCATTATGCCAAGCCAATCTATAGCTTTGACGCCATCGACAAACGAAGTGTATTCGTGCTCGATATCTAGAAACAGGAAGATTATGGCACCTGCCAGGCCCGAGATGGGAAGGTTAATCCAGAAGCACCAGCGCCACGAGGCCAATGACGAGAATGCGCCGCCTAGGACCGGACCGATGCCCCCGGCCAAGGCCCAAACGCCCTCTGTAAGACCGAGAAGTAGACTTCTTTGTCTGTCTCACCATGTCAGTAGCTGCTAGGTGAGCCCCTCACTAAAGTGCCTCGTGGGACAACGGAGTACTGGTTAATCACCTTAAGCTGAAAAGATCGCTGATGCAAACATGTACCAGCACGATGAGCCCGCCGCTTGCCGCCCCCTGGAAAGCTCTACCAACAATGAGCATTTCGATCGTCTTTGCGGTTGCGCACACTACCGAGGATAGCGCAAACCAGGCCAGCAGCACAATAAGAATGACTTTCCTACCCCAGATATCGGAGAGCTTCACCCAGATTGCGCTAGTCGTAACGTTTGCCAGCAGGAAGGAAGCTCCAATCCAGGTGTACCCGACTGCAGAAGCGAGCTCCTCGCTGATCGTTGGCGCGGCCGTTGCAATGATGGTAACGTCAAGGGCAGCGGCGAACAGGGACAACTGTTGCTCAACGGTGATTAGCAAGACTTCGACACGGCCTAGTGCATGAATCCCATTTGGATCATGGATCAGAATAGCTTCCGTTTTCAACGTACAAACAGTGCAACAATGACAATATACTGGCGAATGGTAGTGGCCACGCCTCTCCGCCTCTCTATCACTTGAAGCACATCGACCTGTGCAGCCGACAACGGAACATCAGGGCCCGCCGTCTGCGACACTTTGGATGCAGGAGGGAGTGGAGGCGTATGGCTTGCCATCTCAATATCTGTTGAGGGTCTAAGATCCATACCGCTCATGTCTATTTACCTAGGTATGTGAAAGCGTGGAAGAGAGTGGGGGATTGAATTCTGGCGCAAACGCCTGCCTTTCAATTTGACTGTGGGGCAACGGTCCTCATCGTGCCAGTGCGGCGCAGCCGCGACTTCATTCCAAATGACTCATTTGAAGCCTGCACCTTTGGCCAACCGGCTTCTCTGCGGCCGAGACCGATGGAACATCTCCGTGTAAGGTCTTGGTGCCGGAAGGCCCCGAATTTTGTCATCATTAGAGTGTACACGCGTAGGGTTGAAAATAGGCATCAGAGGGTTAAATACGTCGAGATGGACAGAGAAACGTCCCAAGCGCGCTATCGTCTCGTCGGTCGCCACTTACGGATTAAAAATTTAAAAAAGAGAGGAGAATAAGAAGAAGAAGAAGAAGACGGTCGTGAAGGATATATATAATAAGGATTATCACCTTAAGCTTTACATTGACTTTATTCAGATCATTGCGTCTACCTTATGTACAGGAGAGCAGATTGAGTCGGAGTGTCAAGTCATTGAACCAGGTTCGTTATAAGGAGATCCATGCTGGTGTTACGCGCTGGCTAGTGCAGGTGGTCGCTGTAGTGGGGGACGAGGGGTGGTCCACCCCACCTGTAAATAGCAAACGCCATAACCAGTTGTGGAGAGAGCTCTTCTTCCCTCTCTCTTTTAGATTTGATTTTTTGCAATACTACAAAAATTGTAGCACAGTCTCGATCCCACCTGTGGTTCCGTAACAACTGGGATCAGTCAGTCGAACCGTGCTGTTTAGAAACGCTCAATGCTTCGCTTTAGCGTCAGCTAGTTGGCACAATGCTTGAACATCAATGGTGATCTTTCGCACACACAAAGAGGTTACGTGCACGCTGTAGAGACGCCACGAGACACCACGCGTCTTTATTCATATATGGAGTACGTTCGGGTCCTCCTTCTGGACCTGTTGATATACCATCCTGTACCTGTCGCCGATCCTTGCCGCACCCCTTGCGTGCTGCCACGAGCTTCCAAGAGTTTCTACTGATCAAAGCTTTCATCCATAAGCTCGGATACTAGCGAGTCGTCCTCGCATCCGCTGTATACCCAGTTGAATAGGCTAAGGTTCTGCTCAAAGGCAATTCGGATGCCATCCTCCACGATGGTTGAATAGTCGATCGGTGTGCGAGTGGGATACTGATCCATATCACGATCGCTGAGGTGAGAGTCAGCGAGTGCGCACGGAGAGAGATTGTCAGGGAAGTTTGCCTACATGATTCTCTTCATCTCACGACGAACTGCAACGAGGACTGTCTGCTTGTCCTTCTCGCTCAAGCAAGACCAGGCATTTCTCTCAAGCTTCTGGATGGAGATCTCTAACGCCTTTTCTACCTTAAGGTAGAGTCTCATGGGCCTGCGGGCAGGATTGAGATCAGTAGCAGGCATTGTGACACCAGGCGATGGGTCTCTTGATGTTTTCTTGTTGTTGTCGTTGTGATGGTGGTGGTGGTGGTAGTGAGAGGAGTCTGAGATCAAGTGAATGCTGTGTGCGGTATCAAGAACATTGGGTGCAGGTCCAGAACCAAGATGGTCGAGTTTGTTGCTGTCGAAGTCGAGATGGATCAGGTACTGACTATTAAATATTATTTGATCAGATTGATGGTGCATTGCATTGTCGACATGGCCCGAAGAACAATCAAATAGAACAATGGAGATTTTTTCGTGGTGGCTCCAGAATTCACATTGTCGTCAATGTGAATATTGGTCGAACGCGTCGCTATTTTCAACATTGTTAGTGCGTATTGCAGGAGGTAACAGTCCATTCACTTGAATCAACAGAAAAATGTGCTGTAGAAATTGGACTTAATTCCGTCATAGTAAGCTTAGGGAATAACTCGTGCCTCATTGACCAAACAAATTTCTACTCTCACCAGACCATTAATCAACAGATCCTGGTCTCGAATAGGCATTGCACGGTACTATTCCCCTAAAATTAAACTGAGTTGAACCGCGAGTTGCGGTTTCTACGACCTCAATCGCTGTTCTCTTCTAACGCAGGCTGTGGCTGCTATGCTCTTCTCGGCCAATATGTTGACCTGGACCTCGCTTAGGCTTGCAGAGTTATGGAGGAAGTCAAACAAGAAATTGAAGTCATCTAGCCACTGAGATCTATGATCAGTGCTATCAGTTGGGACATGTATGATCACGTCTCCAAGCGCATTGGTAATCTCAAATAGCTTTTTGAGAATCCCAGAGCCGTGTCTCTCGATGTTTTTCCTCCCCAAGATGACGACGACTTGCCGGAGCTGCTGAGACAAACGTGCTGGGAACTGTAATGACATGGCAGCCGATCTGGTTCTTATGGACTGCGAAGTGAGCGGAAAACTCGAGATGGCTAGTTGCCACAAGACCATGAGTAGCCACTGTCGTGTAACGATTATGTCAGCTTTCTGGAGGGTGCTGAGGCAGTCCGGCTCTACTGGTTCTTCACCCAGCACTTGAAAAGATGATGTTCCAGACGCGTCCTGGAGATTGTGATATCGCGTATCCTGATACATCTCGAGATCCATGTGGCTCAAATCATCCAGGTGGTGCATTTTAGTCTCAATCCACTCTGCTGTGACCCCCCGAGGTGGCGCGCTGCCGATGCTTCTCCAGTATCGTATAAAGTCATCGTCTACGACGCAGAACAGCCGGACAAGATAACGCCATCCAGTCTGCACATTCTGCGGTATTGATGGATCTTCTGTCGGTAACGAGACTTCTGGGGGCAGTGGCGCAAGAGCTGCAGGATAGTAGGCAACAATGGTCAAGAAGCGTTCGTGAATAAAGGCCTCCCAGTACATTCGGATCCTCCTCGAACGCTCTTCTGGGGGAAGGCGAGAAGTACTTGTGAGTGTCTGCCCAGGTGCAGCCTGATTCGGCGGGTCCTCGGCCACCAAGCGATCGACGCCCAGCAGCTGGATCATCGCAATGGCTTCTCTCAGGATCATGAAGGCTTCGGAGAACTTATCAACAGCCATTAAGCAAATCTCAATGAAGATTGCCGTCATGATGAGTCGCGCCGTCAGGTGTGGGTGGATGCTTGATTCTATGATGCTCATAGACCGTGTCACGAGAGTATCACGTGCTGATAAAGCAAGTCCCAATAGTTGATGAATGCGTAATGACTCTGCCTGATCAGCCTGCCAGTTGGGTGTTGTCAAATTGAGAGTCACTGCGGCATATGCATGAACGAGAGCGTTATCGACAAGGTTCTCGGGCTGGTCCATCCTCTCAATTGACTCGGCCATTTCAAGAGGACTAATGATGGGATTCACAACGTATACATGGAGAGTATAGTCGCTTAATAGCCCCTTGAAAAACTCTTTCGAAAACATGGCCGCAGCCTGTATCTTTGACGAAGTCTCCTTGGTCTGTCCGCCAAGTGTTATGCGTTCACCGTGCCCTAGTATCCGACTTGATGTTGCGTTGTTGCTGCTCCGCGCTGTTGTTGCGGTTGCCGTGGGAGACGATATGTCCCTCAGAGCAGATATCACCGAGCCCCTGGCAACACCATTACGCGAGCTACTCCGGGCGTCAGTCGAGTAGACACATCGTAGATTGAGATGGCTGCATTGTTGGCAACATTCAGGGTTGCCATTGCACTTCACCCTACGACGACGGCAAGCATCACACGCGCGCCGCACGCGTCGGATGGCTCGATCTCGGATGCTCTGCCGTGGGTCAGCCATTGAGATCGCAAGAGAGCAGATGTTAGTGAAGGTTGTGTAGAGAATTGCTCTGTGCTAACCACGGAAAGTCCTTCAGCACGTTGGAACCAGGGCTACCGTAGGTTCCGCGCTACACTAGTAGCCACGCTAAACCTGCGAATCTACTACGGCAACTTGGACCTTCGATGCCCCTTAGCCCTCACTTGCTCACCCTAGTAACCCCACGTCCGCAGTGCCCCAAGACAGTTGCAATCTATAGCAGAGCGACTGTGTGACTGCATTTGATTACGTTCACCACACAGAGAAACTGCACAATGCCCTTGCCTGTTTGAATCAGATATCGGCACATGCATGTATATAATGTAACAATAGTTCATTAAGTTATGTAGTATGTACGAGTTATTCGCCAAGGTACCTAGGTAATGCTGGAGTGCGCTTAGACGCTAAACCGTCGACTCCACTTTCTCCACATGTACCATGATCATCTCCTTTTTCTCTAAGTTCTCTGGCTTCAGCTCGTCAATCGTAGCAGATGAAAAATGCCTGGCGGGCACCTTATTCTCAAAAAGCACATCAATCTCGGCGTAAGTTCTTCCTTTCGGCTCCGGCAATCTGAAGAAAGTCCAGATCAGGCATAGAGCGCATGTCCCAGCCCAGAAGAACCCGCTCTTGGCGCCCCAGTTCCAGGCGGTAGGGTTCAACATCGGAGGTGTAATGATAGTGGCCACAATGCTAATCAAGTTGTATGTGTTGCGGGCGAGGACAACCGACTTGGTTCGTAGTCGCGTGGATGGCAGCTCGGCCACGAGCGTGTAGCAGACGGGTCCAACGGTACAGTCGTAGATGAAGGTATAAACAAGAAGCAGCGATCCAATGGCCCACTGAGCAGAGACATTGGACCTACCTGCTAGGGAGGTGAATCCAATTGCGAACAAGGCGACAATCATACACACTTGCCCCCAGAGGTAGATCTTGCGACGACCAGCGCGGCTCATCAGGAACCAAGAGCAGATAGTACCAACGCCGCCAAGACAAAACTGGGCGATGGTCATGGTGAAAGCATTGCTAACATCCAATCCTGCTTGTTGGTAAAAGTAACTCGAGTAACCCATCAGAGGTGACCCGGATAGTACTTGAACTACCCAACACACACACACTATTTCAGTGCGCCGAAGGTCGATGCCCTTGAAGCAGTCCATATAGGACGTGCCAGCAGAAATGGCCTTATTATGCTCGTCGGTGTAAATCATCATGGATACTGTTTCCTCGATATTGAAAGATGAGTCCGACTCGCTAGTGAGCTGAGCAAGAGATCGTTTGGCATCCTCAATCCGGCCTTGTCGCACAAGCCACCACGGAGACTCGGGGACGAATAGACAGCCGATAAATAGCGGGATCGGCCAGAACCTGTGCAGGAAGATTGTCAGTGACTGCGAATTGCTTTTGACGGAGCATTGTGTCTTAGATTGCGTCAGGGTTGGGCACGTAGGCCCTGAATATTCACGGCAATGAAATTGTGAGACGAGCATGAATAATGTCTGGAGCTTGCTTACCATTGAACCGCTACGGGAATCCGGTATCCCCAGCTATCCGTTCGGTCTACGAGAGCTCGTAGTACACCAGATGCGATGATTTGGCCGATGACCCAACAGAGGTTCACGTACGTGGTGAGGTAGGCACGCAATTGCGTTGGCACGACCTCGGACGCATAGGTACAGGCAAGAGTTTGGAAACAGCCGAACGGAATGCCTAGCAAAAACTGACCGCACAGAAACATGACGATGTTGTGCGAAAAGAACGGTATGAAGATGAACCCGGTGATCAACGTGAGTCCTCCCATCATCGTCACGCGATAACCAAATCGGTCCGCGATGAAGCCATTGAGAAAGAGACCAACAATCTGGCCTACGAGTGAACCCATGGACAAAGCCGTTTGCCAAGTAGCCGACAACTCATATGTTCCGTCAGGCTGCAAAGATCCGAACTTTTCCTTGAAGGCAGGGAATGCCAGAAGTCCATTGAGGAGGATGAGATCGAAGCCTTCCATGATAATGGCGGTTGAGAGCATGACCGACCAGGCAACGCCCTTACGGTACACCTTCAGGGATTCGAAAAAGCCCATCTCATGCTCAACTTGCGTGGCCTTGGCAGCTTGCTGAATGTTCATGACGGCCGTGGCCCTTCCACGGGGAGTCTCTTCGGTAGACTCGCCATGACTGGCCTCGATGGTAGTTGCCATTGTGGTCACCTGGGCACCGTAACAGCTGATTTTGAACGACTGCGACACTTGGAATGGAAGACTGAGTGTTTGATTTGATAATTTTCTGATGATGATGCATGTTCAAAAATGGGAAGATAGGCACCTTAATATAGTTATAGGTTTCCGAGGTATTCAGGGACAAGCCAAGCAAGCCACAGGAACTTATTGAACGAGTTTTCCTCCAAGAGGCCATGCCCATGTACGTAGCTGAGATCTCGGACCGAGTTGGATCCAATCAAAAGTACTGGCCCTGAACCCGCGAATGTACCTAGTTGCGCGAGTTTCCGGGGTAGACAAGACCTGGGGCCAAGTGCCGACCCCAGACTCACCCCCAGACCAAACCCCAGAACCAGACCATAGACCAAACAGTTTTGGCGCCATGTCCAAGCCCGCCAGGTGGCATTGATTTCGCCGAGTTCGCTTGGCCCCTACCAAAATTGCGAGCAAATCAGCGAAACTTGGAGATGCCTCCTGAGGAAAGCCATGCACCGACAGATGATCAAGAAGTAAACCATGAACGAATTTGGTCACAATCAGGCTGGACGCAGTAAAGTGAGTGTACATCTAGCAACCAGTAGTCACTTAGTCGACAATCATAATAGATAGAGCCCGCCCAAATGTCTTTGAAAGCACCCGCTTTTTAAGCCAGAAAACCAGGGAGCAGACTACAAAATTATGTATGAGCGGCGTGGCGGCACTTGGGGCGGAGTTGCGCGTCTAGGCGAACAGAATCGGTCCGAGCCCACGAGCTACCGCGATCTAGTTTAGTGACATTCAGCTGCTCTTGGGGTCTCCGTGTGGGGTATGGCTCCACCTCAAGGGCCCCTCTACTTGGAAGACGTCGGACCGATCTTCAGCGAATAGGAGCAAGGCACTTTTGAAGCGATCATGGAGATCGTCTAGTGCATCTCGGACCGAGTACTCACGAATGAGAGCAGAGCTTGTATGGGGCATCTGATCATCGGCAGGTTTCCTCGCATTAACTCTCGCTGGTGGCTGTCCCTGTTATAAAGTTGTACGCGCATCAATTTCACCCTCGACTGCTTCTCTACTACAATCTTTCACATTGACTACCGTCAAAGGATATATCTCACTTGCATTTTATCTTGAATTTTTTTATTTCTTTTTTGGTCATTCTTAGCAATAAGTTGCTCTACCGTTTTGGCGACCTTGAAACCATTGTCCTCAACATGGCATGCACTGCACAGCCGGCCACTTCAGTGGCTGCTGGGAATACACAGGGGAAATGGTGGAAAGACGGTGTCGTTTACCAGGTTTATCCCGCTAGCTTCATGGATTCTAACGGCGACGGCCTGGGAGACATCCGCGGCATCACTTCCAAGCTCGATTACATCAAATCAATCGGTGCCACTACTATTTGGGTCTGTCCACATTATGACAGTCCGCAATTTGATCTGGGCTACGACATCTCAGACTATGAATCCGTCTTTCCACCGTACGGGACGTTACAAGACATGGATGATCTTATCAGCGGATGCCACTCTCGCGGATTGAAAATCATCGTTGATCTAGTCATCAATCATACCTCGTACCTGCACAAGTGGTTCCAAGAATCGCGATCGTCAAAATCAAACCCAAAGAGAGATTGGTATATTTGGCGGCCAGCCAAGTACGACGCAAACGGAAGGCGGATACCCCCAAACAACTGGCGATCCAACTTCAGCACGAATGCCTGGACCTGGGACGAGGCTACGCAGGAATACTACCTGCACCTTTTCTGTCCAGAGCAGCCGGACCTGAACTGGGAGAATCCAGAAACACGCAAGGCCATTTATGCGTCCGCCATCGAGTTCTGGTTGAAAAAGGGGGTTGACGGCTTTCGTGTCGACACGGTAAATATGTATAGTAAGCCAAAGGATCTTCCTGATGCACCTATCATCAACCCGAAAGCAGAGCACCAGGGCGCTGCTAGCTTGTACTGCAACGGACCGAGAATGCACGAGTTCTTGTCCGAGATGCACGATGTGATGGCACCGTACGATACCATGACAGTTGGGGAGTGTCCCAACACTCCTGACCGCTCGAAAGTCTTGAAGTACGTGTCAGCTGCGGAGAAACAGCTGGATATGGTATTCCTGTTTGATGTTGTGGATGTGGGACAGGGCACGGAGACCAAATACGACACTACTCCTCGTAATTGGACACTTCCAGTTCTCAAGAAGGCAGTCAACAACAGCCAAAGCCTGATTATTGGTACAGATGCGTGGACAACCTCTTTCATGGAGAACCACGATCAGGCGCGATCTATCAGTCGTTTTGCGTCAGACGCTCCTGAGCACCGTGTCCATTCGGGAAGGATGCTTGCGATGCTCAATGCGACATTGTCAGGTACTCTCTTCATATATCAAGGTCAAGAGATTGGTATGATCAATATGCCGGAGGATTGGCCGATTGAAGAATACAAAGACGTGGAGTCGGGCAACTTCTACAAGTATGTCGCTCGGGCCACGAACAGTGACCCAGTAGCCCTTGCGAAGGCAAAGGCAGCAATACAGCACCTGTCGCGAGACCACGCACGATACCCGATGTGCTGGGACTCGACACCTCAAGGGGGCTTCTCAACGAATCCCAAAACGTGGATGCGTGTGCATGACTTGACAGACGAGATCAATGTCGCGCAACAGGAAGCCGATGAAGGGAGTGTGTTGAATTTCTGGCGACGTATGTTGAAAGTTCGCCAGGACTACTCAAAGTTGTTGGTTCATGGTTATTACGAGGTTCTTGATGAAAAGAATGAGCACACCTATTCGTATTGGAAGACCAGTAAGGATAGCCGGGCTTTGGTGGTACTCAACTTCACCCACAGGGCGCAAGATTTAGAGCTGCCGAAAGTGGAAACAGGCGGCCGGCTAAATCTAGCCATTTCAACGTATGAGCATTCTACTGGTGCTTTCGATTCATTGAGACCATACGAAGGGCGACTTTATATTTTAGAATGCGAGACGTAGACCGTTCTCGTCTAGCCGCATACATTAGATAGCAATGTTTGTACCAAGTGGACGATTCGTGAATATGCCTCCGTGTCACTTTCGGGTTGATTATATTGTGTGTTTATGCAATCATGACATCCATAGGCTCCTTAATGAGCACCGCGTAGGCGGTGGGAATAAGCCGGACGAAATAGCCATTCATGTGGTGTTTCACTCCCTCTAAGTCGTCACAATCCTATCCTTGATTCCAGTGGACGAATCATTCTTCTTGAGATTTAGCAGAAAGTTTCATCGAAAAAAAAGCTGACCAGGTCTTTAACGCTCGCCAAAATACCATATACTATGCGTGCAACCAGAACTGATGCCACTGCCAGATCGGGTATCTGAATTGAACCGATATTGTTACATTGTGGGTAGGTCAGCAGTTATGACCTTCGCCCGCTGATCTCTTACACAGTAAGAATGGAAAAGTGAGTTCTTCGTTGCTAAGAATCCACCACCTAGTCCACAGCATGATGAATCTTCCATGAAGCCTAGGCGGCGACGCCAGCGCCACGCCGCAGGAGTCACAGAAGGAATGGGTAATCTACGACGTTAAACGATAACGGGAAGAGTCAATTGAGCAATTGATACGCCACGGAGTGGTTGACGGCATCTGTGCCAGAGGGCCTTATTACACAAGTTGGGCCTACAAGCCCTCTCTCCTCAGCCCGTCAAACGGGCAAGGAGATTCGGTATCTTATTTTTTTTACTATTCGATACACTCAGGTTGTATCAGCCACGAGCATATCGTTCTGAGAAAACTATAATAATTTAGGCCACGGTAGCGCGCGAGACGAAGCACTGGAAAATCGGTTCATGTATAGGTAAACAAGGCACTCCTCCTCTCTTAAAGCTTCCTTGGAATGCCATCTAGGATTATGGTGACAGCATAATCAATCACGACGTGTGAGATCCATCCAAAATGCATAACGCATATCTATGAAACATCGTGCCACGTTTCATGCAATCAAGATAGTGGAGACTGATCATTCGACTAATATGGGAGGTTCGCGAGCCGAATTCTCACCGGATTGCTCCACTAGCTTCGGCCGTTCGCTGCACATCGCCAACCAGGCATCTCGGAGGCTTTCAGCGGAGACATTTCAAAGTAGGGCTGATAAATGACTGCGCACCATATGCTTACGATCTATAACTGCAATAGTCGCACTGGCCAAACTGAGATGAGGCCCTGCCGAACGACTTAGACTTTGGAGTCCCTTGCCAATCTTGAGTGGTAAAAGCGAGCTGACTTCTAATGAACTTGCGAATTCCTTGTAAGAGCAAAGTCAATAATCAAGTAAATAAGTCTCCGATTCATGTTCCATAGATTTGAGGAAATCTGTCCTAGTGCTCTCGCCGGGGAGTTTTCGGAGAAATTTAAATCGCAGGCCAAGTATAAATTGACATCGTCGTGTTTCTCGGTGAACAAGTCCTTAATCAACGGTATGCACATACTTAAAGGGCACCTATGCGAACGAACATCATGACTAGTCAATTTCAACATACCCTCTGGCTCTGGCTTGAGGGCATGTTCCCACGTCGAATCTCGTACTACCTCCTAATGAAGGGGTTGGTCGCTTCACCGTCAGACCTCCTTCATGGCAAGACAGGAGATCCGAGTCTGCGGCTAAGCTTGATCAACTTTGATACAGCTAAAGGTTTTACTTACCTGGATGCCGAAGACCCAGCGCCGAAGGGCGCAAGCACCCCTTGTCTCCGTATCATAGATCCAAGCACCGGCGATGCACGCTTTATCCATGAGAGCTCTGCAATTATCACGTATCTCGAAACCGTCTATGGAGGCCACGGTCCTGCACTCGCACCGGAAGATGCAGTGAGCGTCGCAATCATGAATGACCTAATCGCAGGGATCAATCTCGCGGTTACCGATGGCGCATATTATATAAAGCATGCTGTACCGCAGTCTACGGCCTGGTCGCTTCTCAAGAATGAGGAGCGTAGTCACGCCGCTGCTCTCAATGCTTACGCCTTCGCAGTTAAGAACCTGCTCAAGGTCCAATTGTGGGCAAATCCGACATTGAGTGGAGCAGGGTGGCTTACTCCTGGGATTCACAGGGCGGGTCTAGTAGATGCTACTTTGGCCGGTGGTTGCAGGTACCTTGATTTAACGTACGGTTGGGATATGCTTGAGAACGAGGAACTCTCTGAGTTGAAAGAATGGTATAAGAGATTCAAGGTGTTACCATGGTGGAGTGAGCTAGAGGATCGGGAAGATGTGCATCCTTCGGAAATGCGGTATGGTAGCAGTTGCCGGGAGGTCTGATCCAATAAGAACTCCGCGAGGTGATATTACGTGGCCCAAGGTTTGACCAATGTATTCATTGACTACCAGTCTGTCGGCTCCCAAGTTGTGGCGTGTACCCAGGAGCATACTGACGGCGACAGCCAAGCAGTTTGTGGAGTTCCATTTGTTGACGATCACCGAAGATTACGCAGTCGCTGATCCGTTGCTAGCTAACTATTAAGAGGTGTATTTGATATGTGACACTTCTGGTCAGCCATATCTCAACACGAGATCTTTGATGTCCCCCAACATTCTGATTGAGTTCAGCGTCAGGACTGTCTCTCAAATTTCAAGTAACTTACTGTTTTCTAATACAGTCAGGCATACACTGGCCAAACTCATCTGTGCAAATTGTGTGAGATATAGCCGATCCTTGTAGTTCCATCAACGATCCAACGTACACTCGTGGTGCGCGTAGAAGCAGCATGCATCGAATACTAGACAATTGCCTGTGTTTCTGTCGACGCCAGAATTTGCGTACCAAAGGTCGCCGTGAACCAAGCAAGGCTTCACGTTCTGACGGTCGCTTTTTATGGGGCTTAGGAGGCGAGGTATCACTTTTTCATATAGTCTCGGGAGCACAATTTCAAATGCAGGGTCTGGGCCTTTTGCCATCTGCTCTAGCTCGAGTGCCAGCTTCAGACTTGTAGCAAAGAACCTCTCCCAGCTGTCTTCCCATTGTGTGGCTCGCGGCAGATTGCCATTGTATGTCGTCAAGTGGAAGCCGAACTTTCCAGTAGGCGACCTGCTGCTGTGATGTAGAGCCACTAAACGGGCTGCGAATTCGCTCGGTTCTGGCATCTTGTTTACCATCTCGCGATATTCGCAGAGGAGGAAATGTGTGTCGGGAACAGATTCAAGAGTGCCCCAGGCGATTAGTCTTGGCACAAAGTCCTGCTGTAGGCAGTGGATAGCTTTGGTCGACTCGTACTCGCTGCGCACCATGCTCCGACCCTCGTCTCCCTGGATCGCTTTGATGAAGAATGACTGTGCGGTTCCATCTTCCAGCGCTACTTGGATGCGGCCGGTGTCCGCCCAAAAGCTCTCACCACGACGCTCAATGGAGATGACACGACAGTTTCGGGGCAGAGCTGGTCGCGGGTAAGTGGCCCATCCAATATTGCAAGAGGTCCCGAGCGTGTCTGAAAGTACAGACCATTGTGGACTTGGGGATCAACCACTGTATCCTTCCTCCCAAAGAGCAAGGCGTTGGGCCGTTTGTGGTTCATCCTCAACTTGTGCGGACCAACAGTGATAATCTGCCAGACGACCGGGTTGCTGAAGCTCTTCCGCCAAACACGGTTCTGTACACGACCATGGAGCCGTGCAACGAGCGGTTCAGCGGAAACCGGACTTGTGTGGATAGTGTCATAGCCTTGAGGCATAAGATTAAGGCTGTCTATATTGGAATTCACGAGCTCATACCTTCGTCCAGAACAATGCGGGCCAAAAAGTGCTCGAAGCCGCTCGAGTGCAATTCACCCAGGTCGAAGGCCTAGATGCACAGTTCATGGAAGTTTCAATGGCACGCCATTGATAACTTCGCTGTTACGGATAACGTGCAGGGTTTGAGCCTCGGTTTCCGGGCCCTAACTTAAGCTTGGTTTGGGCGTAAGCAGTTTAGTCAGGGTCGTTTGGCCTGTAGGTAGGTCAGAAGAACCGCAGCGCGTCCAATTTGAGTTCTGAAGGCCGTTGAAACGTCTCTATGGTGTCCAATTGAAGCCGATGTTATACCACGGCGTTGACTGTCCTAATAGGTTCAGATTCTCTCGATCGTAGCTCTCACCAGATCAAGTCCCTGACTATCGAGCCAACGTTGGCAGCGGCGGCAGTTGGGACGGTCCAAACGGACTACGTTTTTCAGATCTGCCAGCCTATTGCAACATCTTTCAATAAAGCGTATAGCACGGCATAGAGGCTTTGACAGCAGGTGTAACGCAGTCTTACGCTGTCTACCTATCTGCCATGACAAGGGGGGCGAACTCAAAACACGAAGCTGGCTGTCTGTCACGGGAGCCAGCCACAGGAACCCCACACCACTGACTAGCTCCCGCCACGGGAACACTCTGACAAGTTGTCCTTCAGAATGCCACGCCGGAGGAACCCATCCTCAGCACAAGCAATCGAGAGCGCGTCGTTGGCAAAGTTGGCTGTTCGAGGGCCGTGTCCATTCTCTCATTTGCCTGCTTCATTTTCGATGCGCCATCACCTCGCTGGCCCGAGGTAGCCATGCCGCGCCAACTAGCCGCCTCGTGGGGCCACGTACTCTCGCTCCTTGCTCTCCAGTTCCTCGTCGTCGCAGTCACTGCCTACGGCGCTCTTTCAGACGACGTCCTCCGAAACATCACCGTCAACGAGGCCGACTTCGACATACACAACGGAGGCCTTCTCGCGCCACTCCTCATTCCCCGAGTTCCCGGCACGCCTGGCCAGGCCAAGGCGCAGGAACACCTGGCCAGTTTCTTCAGGACTCAACTGCCGAAGTGGAACATAACATGGCAAAACTCGACGGCGACGACGCCCGCGACCGGGACGAAGCAAGTTCCCTTTGCGAACCTGATAGCGAGGAAAGAGCCTCCGTGGACCAAGCCGGGCCAGGCGAACTACCTCACATTGGTGGCGCACTACGATAGTAAGATGAAGCCAGATGGGTTCATTGGGGCAACCGACAGCGCCGTGCCTTGCGCCATTCTGTTGCATGTGGCGAGGTTCATCGACGAGTATATGACGCGGATGCACGACGAGATGATTGCGCTCGGCGAGCTTGGAGGAACTGTCCCCATGGACATGGGCGTACAGATCCTCTTGCTGGATGGCGAGGAGGCTTTCGTCGCATGGACGGCTACGGATTCACTCTATGGAGCCAGGTCGCTCGCCGCCGAATGGGAAACGTCCATGAACCCAGCCATGTCTATCTACAAGACCCCGCTGGAGCAGATTAGCATGTTCGTGCTCCTCGACCTCTTGGGAACTGCCGGCCCGACCGTCCCGTCATACTTTCAAACGACACACTGGGCTTACCAGGGCATGGCGAGCGTTGAGAAGAGAATGCGCAACCTTGGACTCCTGGAGAGCACCCCGGCCCAGTCATTCCTTCCCGAAGCCGACAAGAGTCCCAATCTGTTTGGTTCCGCCGGAGTCCAAGACGACCATATTCCCTTCATTACACGTGGGGTCCCGACGCTCCACCTCATACCCTCACCGTTTCCCGTCGGCATATGGCATACCATGAACGATGATGGCGCACACCTGGACCCTGCGACTGTGCGAGATTGGGCGAAGATTGTGACGGCCTTTACCATGGAGTGGTTGGATATGATGGAATTATTCCCAGAACAATAAATCTGTATTTATAGTGTGACTTGAGCGACTGAGCGAGAATATTGAATTATTCCTATACTATCACGTTTCAGCCCCCCTACTGTCCGCAGTGACTCACTGTGGCCACTCTCTGTTCCTGTCAGGTTCCACTGACGTTGATTGAGCACGCAGCAATTGCCTTCTATTCTCACAACATTTAGCTTGCAGTCCCGCAAATGATTCATCATCTTCGAGGCAGCGGCGGACGCCATGAAGTTACTGGCTTGTGGAGCTCCAGCTCCGTCTTAAACTGCCATTCCTGCCAAGCCATCGTTTCATCGGCTCCCAAATCAAAGGGCAAGACGACCAGATATCTCAACAAAATCATAAACGACTCATACGTCCCCAGGCTACGCCGGCCGTTCTTGGCGGTTGAAGTGATTAATTGCCCAGATCCTCCATGTTCCACGAAGCAGCTGTTGCCACATCGATCGTGGCATGCAAGAACCCTCTGTATGAACCTCTTTTGATATGACACTTTGCATTTGTAGTGGATTCGTGATGGAGCTGAACGATAGTAGCCTCAGCCATGCAATAAGGTCAAAATGCCAACGAGGAATCGCACGTCTGGCGGGTACTCTTCTGAAGGTTGGCCCATGGTACTTGAATATCTTGGCCCGGCCATACGGTACCGAACCCACACATGACCCCTGTAATGGCGGTTATCTATGTAAGACTCCCCCGCACAAGACAACAGTTGCGTGGATTTCCGCAGCCTGCGGCTTCTCTGCTCTAAATTCTCGCTCTTAACTGATTGAAGGAGTCATCTCCGCTGTCTAGATGGCGAACAACCAGGATCCCAGCAATGTCGACGACAGCGACGTCAAGGAGGAGGAAATCGGAAGTCCGCCTGACCCAACCGGTACCTACCAAATACCGTCGGGGGCTACGGATCTGTGTTCTGAGGCCGTAAATTATTTCTCCCAGTTTCCGTCTGACCAGTTTGGGCCGGAACATAGCTTCAACCCTCACGTTAGTCGGCCAACCTATGTCAACCAACCTTCCTCCGCGTTACCTCTCTCGTCCTACAAGGCAGAAGATCGTGCGCATGAGTCAAGCCAACCCGACGTGGCTCAGTGGAGTACTCAGGGTTTTAACCCGTTCGTATCTGGGTTCGTCGATGAGGAGCTGAACCGTAACATCGCAGGCGGATCCGTCTTTGAGCAAGGTTCCATCCTTGGGGAGTCAGGGAGAACATATCATAGTTACAAAGGTGACATCAGTGGATATCTGCTCCCAAACGACCCTGCAGAACAGGATCGTCTTGACCTTCAACATGCCATGATGACCTACCTCTGGGACGGACGACTTACATTGGCCCCCTTGCCTCGTGCCCCGCGGCTTGTACTCGATTTATGCTCTGGAACTGGCATCTGGCCCCTGGAGTTCGGGAGAGCAAATCCAACGTCGTTTGTTGTAGGAGTTGACCTCAGCAAGATCCAGCCAGTTCCCGACGTGCCTAATTGCCTCTTCGAGAGAATGGACTGTGAGGATGACTGGATGTGGAGTCACCGCTTTGACTACATCCACATTCGCATGATAGCTGCTGCTATCCGTGATCCACAACGGCTGATCCGGCAGGCCTTTCAGTATCTTAATCCAGGTGGATGGATCGAGATGGGAGACGCGTATGCGGACCTTCTGTCAGAAGATGGGCCCGATCGTGACGATAGAGTCGAAGGATCGTATCTCAAGCGCTATTATGACGCGTGTGCCGCTGGTGCCGCTGTATATGGTGTGGATACTCATAAAGCCCAACATTACAAGCCGTGGCTAGAAGAGGCCGGGTGTAGGTCTCTTTGATCATGTTCTGCCCTCACTGCGATCCTCGGCCCCAGAGGGTGTTGTTGTTGATGTTGCTGTTGTTGTAACTAACGACCTGCTAGTCACTGAAGTAAAAGAAGAAAAGTTCAAGGCACCCTGTGGTCCATGGCCGAAAGACCCTAAGGCGAAGAAGGTGGGCCAATGGATGCAAGCCAACTATCTTTCGGGGCTGCGTGGAGTTGGATACAAAATGATGAGGAATGCCGGCATGTCTCCAAGTGAGATAGACGAGTTCATTACATCGGCGAGGGACGAGCTCACACGGAGCCGAATCCGTGGTTATACACCCTGGTAGCACACCTTCCAAAGATATTTGTAGACGATCTTACTGACCGAAATCCAGGTACGCCGTTTATGGTAGGAAACCGTTTGACTCAGAGGTGGCCACAGTAAGTCAACGTGATACGGGAGACAGTCAAAAGTCGACCAGCTAGTTTACTTCTCTTCGTAATAGATCGGCAGCTTGATATCGTCGTTTTATGGTGTGACGTGATAGGCTATGCCGTAGGCTCTTTACAGGTTTCGCGCAGAAACAGACATTTGAGCGGAAAGCCAATGCGAGTCCCATATTGCAGTGAGAGCGTGAAAGGTGCCACTCTGGTTCATGCCCGCCCTTCGTCAGCGTCTATTGGGCAGAAGGTTTACTTCACATCAATTGGGTGACTTGCTTAGCATGAATAAGTCCCTCACACAGTACTTCGAGTTTTTAAATCTTGCTGGGAAGCTGTTCCTCTTCATACTATCAGCGCCTACTATTCTGTTAGTACTTGACGAACCACGGTCACCGACCACCGGAGACAGAAGTAGTTTTCTTCACTTCAGCAATAGGGTTTCCGCTGCCGATCTTTGGTTAGCACCAATCATCAATCAGAACGCAGCTTGCTTTTGAGGAAGGCACGGTAACGTCTTTTCAAGCTGCACCAAGCTGCACCTCCGAGCTCCCTTGTCCCATCTACATTGCCGACGGCGTCGCTGCTATGCTGGTCACATCCACTACAAGATTCTGTCAGCCCAGGACGTAGTCTAAGAGAACCAATCTTGTTTTGTGGCCCACCAAGGCCGAATGCGTTTCAGCTGGAACTCATTGAGAAATTCTGGGATTGCGATCCCTTGCATGCCATCCCGTGTGGTGTGGTCGTCGTGCCACGTCTTTTCTTCTCTTTTCAGCACCCTTAGTTTGCCTCATCCCAACTCAATACTTCCTACAACTCACCCCTAGGCTAGTTGCTTGACTTCCAACCTGCAACCTTCCATCATCAGCCTTTCAACTCCATTGCATATTGTTGCACTCAGGATGGCCACTTCGGATGACGCAGCCCACACTGGAAGAAGCAATTCAACCAATGGCTCCTCAACACCTTTCAGCCATCCCGGTTTTAAAGACTCCCATCACCTGTTGAATGACGAAGCGCGTGACTTCCTTTTGGCAAGGTCACATTACTGCCGGATCACAGACTCGCTATGGCAGGTGGCTAGGAAAAACTTAACGGCTCTGGGTCGAACCGCCCTGGCTTATCAGGCTGATGTGAATTCGCCTGAGTACTGTCAGAACATTGCCTCTGACTGCGATATTGGGCCCAGGACTCCATCTAAGGAAGTGATAGTTCACATCCTACGATACTATGCCGATGCCCGAGAGGACTTTCTTGAGAGCTCAGCAGGCCGCTGCCGTGAAAAGCCAACAGCCCTCACCGTCATCTTTGACGCGATGCTCCGGTTGAGGAAAACTTATACCGCCTGCATCGGCCTTGGCGTCATTACGCGTGCATGCCTTCGACAAGACTGGAGAGATCTGTTGCAATCTCACTTGGCCGCTGATTTCCTGGAGTATCCTGCCGCTAATGATGAGATCATTGAATCTTGTGAGTTTTACCCGGAAATTCACTGCAGTTACCGTAGTACCTAAGTTAGCTCTGATGCTAATACGTTCGTTGCCCCTCTCCAGTTTATGGCACACATCCTCGGGGTCGTTTCACCGCTCTCATTTCTCTGCTGCAGGAAGGCATTCTGTCTGAGAGCAGCAGTGAAACCTCTACCCCGGAATTAAATCACTCGGAGCCTCTCATAGCCCCGCAGCGCCAGTCTGGACAAGAGACTATCACATCTGGAAAGTCAAAGCCAAGCAGGGAATACCATCCAAACAACCTGGGGCCGTTGAGAAAGCGCCATCGACTGGATTGCCCGGATTATAGCTGGATCAAGAGATCAAGGTCACCTGAAGTACAAAACGACCTCCTTGATGCCGCCAATGGGGCTGTGCCTACTGGATACCCACCACAGGGGACAGACGCTGAAACCACCCATTCTGGAGATACTCCTATACCAGAGTCTTGCAATACGAACGTTTGCAAGGTAAGGTCTCACCAAAACCAGTCTCTTTGTGGAGGAATGGTAAACCCGGCCGCCAATCACGATGCCAACGCTTTGCCCATTAATGCTTCGACTGATTCAAACCCTCCGACTCTCAAACGACCCTTGGGCGATCCCTCATTCAATTCGGGCATGAGGGAAACTTCCGCGAAAGAGCTGAGGGACTTCGGCGTGAAGATGGATCATACTGCTGAGAGCGAACCGCCCTCTTCCCATGCTGGTGGAGCTGGCATGTTTCATAATGCTCAGCTTGGGGAGATTGAGGATCTTCGAGCAGCATTACACTCGGCCAATCTGCAGATTGCCGAAAAGGATGCCACCATTGACAGGCTCAAAGGCTGTGACGAGGACTTGACTGAATTCTTCGAGAGGCAGGAAGCCGTTATCCGCGCAAGAGAGAGTTCTCTAGCAGTGAAAGACAAAGCCCTCAAAGCGGTCAAAGCTAAGCGTAATAAATTACGCAGAAGGTTAACAGCAAAGCTTTCTGCTAAAGAGTCTGAACTGGTAGAGAGAAATGGGAGGATCGAACAGCTGAAACGCGCGGAAGACTACAACATGAGAAGAATTGAGACCCAAGATACCCTGATCACGACCCAAACCACGGCGCTCGAAACTCTGCAAGTTACGAACGATGATTCAATCAAGGAGTCAAAGCAAAGACTCCAAGAGAAGGATTGTTGTATCCGAGCAAAGGACAAAGTTATCAAGGACCTTGAGAACACTATCCAGCAGACGAAAGCCTTGGTGCAGGATAGGAATGCGTCAATAAGGGCTTGTCACGACGCCCTGGAGGAAAAGACAGCTCAAGCCCAGAAGCTGGAGCGTAAGAACAGACGTCTCAAGGAGAGACTCAAGAAAAAGAAAGGCAAACCGGGCAATGAAGCTAGTCTCAAGAGCCCCAAGGAACAATCGGAAGCGCTCCGTCAGGATTCTTGCTAAAGGAGGCCGACAACGATTACTCACACGATGTGCATGGCATATGAACCCTTTGGCTTTGCGTTAGTTTTGTATTGCGTTATGATCATTATCGGGTAAAAGATCCCCAATCGAACAGGGAATGCCAGACTGTTTGATATGGGCAAAGCCCCTTTCTCTCCTTGGCATCATCCTTGAGAAGGGCGCCATTTCAGGGACGTTCATATCTGCGTTTCATGCTGCTACCCATAGAAATAGACGCAATGGCTTATTAACTATTAATCCTCCAAGAGCTCTCGGAGTGGTGAGTTGTCAAGGCCTCTTTCGGGGTGAACCACCTTGCACTTCCTGAATGTGGTAGGCCGGACCCGAACCCATTGATAGGGAGTACGAGTATGTCACCGTATAATGTAGGCTCTTTCATCCCAGACAGATCACTGATGCTCTGCAGCTCGGGGGCTTGCACTTGGATCCCTTCAAACACAGTCTCCGTCCAAGCCACTGGGCCTGTGGCCTTGAGAACCTCGTCGTCCTTCGAGTTGATTTCCCCTAAACTTGTGTTGTACTTCTCTGACAGCTCATGCAAGCCTCGGATGCAGCGCTCCGTCATGTTCACGAAGACTGAGTGCTCAGGGGCTGCCGCTATCGTCCATTGTGCAAACTGCACGGGGTAAGTGTAATCCTTCCCAATATCGCCGCCGAGAGAGTCGTATTCGATTCCAACCACCAGCCTGGCTACCGTCTCGTAGTCCGTCGGAACCCACTCGTCAATGGGCTTTTCCGGCCGTGTGTCAAGGTCGCTATATACTCCACCCTCTGCGTATAGCACCATGTACCGCAAAAAGTCTGACTTCAAACCGGGATTTCGGAGTTCATTGAAAGTCTCTAGATAATCTTGCCGGCGTGGAAATCTGGATTGCAGGAATGCTACAGCACCCTCGGTTCCAAAGAGGGTATAAGTGTAGCCTGGGTTCATCTGCATCCAAGCTGAAGGCTCTGCAAAGGCGACCGGCTTGCTCTTGAGTTTCTTCGGCATTGGAAGCAGAATCTGCCATATCTTCTGGGATACCAACGAGTTATGCCGTGCGACTTGTTCCTGATAGGATATCGAATAGAGTCGTGACGGATGGAAAACGGTGGTGAACTGAAAGAGGTAGCCAAGCAGAAGCAGGACTATGACCAGCCATATCACCAACGCTCTCCTTCGTGCATAAGCCCAGCTCTTTGTGTCGGACCATTTTCGTGCGTACCAATCCTTGTACGCATACCACCGACCGTCTTCCTCCATGCGCATCCGGGTCCAGTCCATGTTGGAAGTAGCCGCGAAGCTGCTGGGTCCCTCGGAGGCTAGATTTCCCAACTCTATAGTGTCCGCATCCTGCCTGTGAATGGTCTGATGCCTAGACCCTGGCATGAGCTACGGCACTTGGTCTGTTTATTGCAATAGGTGATACTGCGCGCAAGCGAGATTGTAGGCACTGGTGGTGATGGTCCGACGTTCACAGTTCGTAGATGGGGTGCGACGGCACGTTTAATGTCGGTGTTGATCAGTATTCTGCGGATTCACGACGCTCGGTGAGGACAATGGTACAGTACAGACGCTGTCAAGTCTTCAACAACCGTGGCCTAGTGGCTGGTAGAAGAGAGAGCAACGTCAGAAGGATCAGCATTCTTCGGAAACGGCGCGTGTTTAGGCAACCGTGTATTGTTTGGAAGCAGATCTTGTGCAACCCTTTGGCTTGGGTAGTCTGACATTCCGGCTGACAGTGCCTCCGTATTTGCTTTCTCCATATGGTGCTTCGCCCTTCACGGATCCAAGGTAGCGGGCCCTGAAGCCAGCGAATCCTTAGATCCCCTGCGGAAGTGGCAAGAGCCCATTGGCAGAAGCTGAGGTGAGCCAAGCATCGTGTATGCTTCAACTTGCGGCACGGTATCCTCGGCCTGCTTACGGGGCGGGGCGTACAGGCTTCAACAACGAATCAGGCGGGGTTCGAATGACTTTGTGCAAGGACGACATCAAAAGGATAACGCGATGACCTCAAGGGCGGTATCAGGAAGTGCCATCCGCTTACGATCCCGCCAAATCGATCACTCCCATGCTCCGACCGTCATCGGCCGTGGTTCGTGGGGAGGGTGTTGTCGGACAGTAGCCAGGTGGACAATTTTCTTGCGTGGCACAAGTTAGTGTGACGAGTTTATTCTCAAACCCCTACATGACAGGATAGAGGGTTGGGACTACAGATGTCTAGCTCACTTACTATGTACGGCCTGGGAGAACAAAAATGAGGTCGAAATTTGAGAAACTGAAGGCCCTGCCATTGTCGTTGGTTTCTACCAGTATGCAGGCATACTTTTGGCTGTCGCTGCAATTGGATTCGTGGTGCGCGATTGCGCAGTCCCACACAGCACACCCGTCGCTACACTGTAGCATCGTAAGACGGACTACACCACCAACCCTCAGGTCTGCGAAGGGTAACAGCTGGCCCAGAATGACCGTTCATGACTGAAATCCACGCCGCGAGCAAGAATAGCGATAATGGCAAACTGAGCGAAATGAAATGCCCCGTGGCGTCCACTGGTCAGATTGGTAGGTTTCTGGCGCCGCCAGAGATACATATGATCATTCCGACAACTCGGATCCCCCTACTGCTGGAACTACGCCTAATTCCTGCACTGATTAGATAAAACCCCCAGACACGCACTAACCGAAGTCGCCCAATGAAGCGCCGGGCCGTCATTCTGCACGAGCAAGCCCTAATTTCCAGAGACCGGCTCGAGATGCTCCTTGTATTCTAGCCAGGTACCGTTTATGCTTAACGAAGACGCGTGGGGATACCGATGATCGGGCGGTTCCAGGCCGCTGGCGCCTATAGTGCCAGCTCAGACCCGCTGGGTCGACCAAGTGGCGGGCTGAGGCGCTTCTGTCAAAGGTCTAGTGGCTCTAAACTAGCCCCAAGTGCGCCAATTCAATCTCCTCCTTACAACTCAATTGGAGGGCGGTCGAGTAAGGGACCCGTTGGCGCCGACTAACCGTCCCATGGTTCCAAATGTGGCACGCCTATAGCGCAGCTGCATCATCTAAATGTCTTCTTTTCGCTGCCGGACGAACGCCTCGGCTTTCAGCTTCTGGGAGCGACGCGATGTCTGGTTCTAGCCTCTTTTCCCGCCAGATGGCGCCGTTGCGATATAAACATATCTGTCGGCCTCCCGACTCTGGGTAAGCTTCTGATCCTTTGGGCTTAACGACTCTCTGGACTCCTCGTTAGGTTTGGTCTTCACTCGTTCCTGGCGTGTTAGACGTCGTCCGTTCTTTTGACAGCTATTGCTGTAGTCATTCGTTTAATCAATAATTCATAATCTTACCTACCTCGCCATGGCTCCATCGCTGCTGTCGGCCGTCACCGGCGCAGCCATCTTCGCTGCAGGTGCTATGGCCGCAGACCAGAGCTACCAAATCACTGAGAATTGGGGCGCAAACAACTTTTTTAACAACTTCGACTTCTTCGAGGCGGGTTACCTATCCGCATTGTCTTTATACCACGTTATGTGCTGACATTTGCGGCAGAGCGAGTTGACATCTCGGCCGGAACGGTACGACATTGATCCAACAGGCGGGTTCGTCAACTACGTCAACGAGACTTACGCCAGAGACCACGAGCTTTTCGGAATGAAGGACGGAAAGCCATTCATTGGTGTCGAGCATAAGCTCCCGGTTTCCAACTCAGGTCCGTTTGGACGCGCTAGTGTCAGACTGGAGAGCAAGAAGTCCTTTGGCAAGGGGCTGTTTGTCTTCGATATGGCCTATTTGCCCAAGCCAGTTGACGGCTCTTGGCCTGCGATGTGAGACCTGGCGCGTAACGCACTCCCAGCTTGAAGTTGACCTGTTTGTAGCTGGATGTACGGTGACTGGGAGGATAAGGGTTGGCAAACCTGGCCCAACCATGGCGATATCGATATCTACGAGAACTGGAACCAGCTCACTTACAACCGCCAAACCCTCCATACCAGATCTGGATGCACGGTCTGGAACAACCCCGAGATGTCAGCCACCTCGGTCTCTGGCGACTGTGACGTAAGTATAAGGCAGAGGGTCATCGTCTTCCTAACTTCGTTTTATTACACGGTGGAGCGTTACAGAAAATCGGCTTTTCCCACTCGCAATTAGCTTTCAGAATCATAGCTAACATTCTATGCTTTAGTCGGACTATTCCGGATGGAAGTTTGGCGTTCAGCAATGGCAGTATCAAGGCTGCAGCGCCAATGACTACAGCAACAAAGCCTTCGGTGACCCCAACGGCGGTGTCTGTATGTAATAAGGCTCATTATCCAGTGCGTAGAAACGACTAACCCACTTGCAGATGTTGTCGAGTACAACAGTGATCACATCAAGATGTGGACATTCCGACCCGGAAATGTTCCCTCTGATATCACCTCAGGAAACCCGGACCCATCCAAGTGGCCAGGCTTGCCGACCTTTAGCACCAAGGGAGGCGACGGTAGCTGCGATATTGACTCTCACTATGGGAACCAGAAGATCGTGTTGAACCTCGACTTCTGTGGTGTCGCCGGCAATGACGGCTATTGGCCATCCACCGAGACATACCGGACCAAGGACGGCATCTCGTGCTGGGATTACGTTGCTGCCAACCCGTCCGACTTCGCCGACGTTTACTTCAAATTCAACTCAGTCAAAATTTACACCCTTCAAGACGTGACGTCCTCTACCTCGTCGTCTGTTTCGAGTACCTCGACTTCAAGCTCAGCGTCTAGTGCCTCGACATCCAGTGTTGTTACGACCAGCTCCGCCACTGTTTCAGCAACCGGCACATCCAGCTCTGCATCCACCGAGAGTGCGAGCTCGACTTCATCCGAGTCCTCAAGTGGCTCCGTCACGGAGAGCTCTACCTCATCAGTTGCTCAGACTGGTACCTCTTCTGAGAGCTCGAGCTCAACTGACTCCGCATCTGCCTCTAGCAGCTCCAGCGCAACAGTCTCTACCTCAAGCTCAAACGCAAGCGTGACAGGATCAAGCTCGTCTAGTGCATCTGCCAGTGGTTCTATCACCGGCTCTGTAACTGTTACGGCTAGCACATCTGCATCAGCCTCCACCTCTACTTCTGTCTCCAGCAGTGCGGACGAGGAATACTGCGAAGCGGATGATGAGACCTCAAGCTCCATCGCCATGACCTCTACAGCAAGCGTCTCTGCGACTTCCGCATCATCAACCGCGGCAGCTAGCGGCTCTGTGACTCAGTCAGCATCCATTTCATCTGAGTCCGCCAAGTCGTACACCACGTCGACAGTTTACACCACCTCTGTATATACCGTAACGTCTTGCAAGCCTGAGGTAACTGATTGCCCGTCCAGGCTCAACAAGGTCACGACTGAGGTTATTGCTGTGTCAACGACTGTATGCCCTGTGACTGAGACCTCTAAGCCGCCAAAGCCAACTATTACGAGCATCCCCGAAGGCTACACAACTTCGACTCAATACATTACCAAAGTCTACACTATAACCTCGTGCCCGCCAAGTGTCATTAACTGCCCTATTGGCGCAGTGACTAGCGAGGTCAAGACCACGGTGACAATTTGCCCGGTCACGGAAGCTAGTGCCGTACCTACAACGAAGGCCAGCCTTGGCTCTGGCTCTGGCTCTGGCTCTGGCTCTGGCTCCGGCTCCGGCTCACCCGCTGTCAACACTACTCCCTACTACGGAAAGGCCAATTCGACGTCTCCTTACGCGGCAAACACTGGCGCAACTACTGTAGTTGCCACAACTGCCGTTGTCTATCCTGTCAAGCCGTCTGCCGCCAACAGCTACTCGGCTACCACCCTGGCAACTTCGTCTCCTGTCGTGGGCACTGCCGTCTCAGTCACTCCCAGCGCCCCGGTCATGGTCAACGGTGCAGAGGCGTCGAAGACAGGTGTGTTTCGGTTGCTTACTGCTGTCGGTGCTGGTGTCTGTGCCATGCTTCTGATATAAGATGATGAGACAGTTTTTCGGGTTTGGGGTAATCATCATGTATACAATCCGTTATCATAGATCCAGAAAAGACAGTAGGTCCACACCTTGACAGCAATAAATACTAGTAATTTTTGTATTACGATTTGGAGACATGATGCATCCGCTGGCAGCTCATCCTTTCCGGGCTCTAAATGCACGAAGTGGAAGAACTCCGCAGTTGAAACCGAAGTGGGGCTCTTGGGAAGTAAGCATCTCTTCAACTTGTCCGATTTGAAGAGAATCGTAAATAGTAATTGGACTGTCAGAAGTCAACGGTATAAGCGCGGCATCACTCTATGCAGTGTGCTTTATTGTCCTCATACGCACACGCAAAACTCTCCAAACCTGAAGTTCTTCTTGACGAGGTAACAAGGCCAGCTCTGGGCATCGACTTGAGATACTGGACACAATGACGACATCCACCCCACCACAACCGCAGGTGACTGTCATCGAGTTGACGCCAGAAGAGCTGTCAACAAAGAAGATTGGATCGCACAATCTGCAAGCTGGGATTGAAGCTCTCCATCGTGATGGACTGGTTGTTTTGAAAAACGCTGTTGATCCAGAGCATCTCGATAAGCTGAATATCCGCATGGTACCAGAAGCCAGGGAGCTATACGCGCGGTCTAGCACTCATCGCAACTTTGGAGACAACACCGGAAACAGCCAGCAAGAACCTGTACTCGAAGATGGATACATTTTTGATGATGTGCTTGCGAATCCTTGGGCAACCGACGTGATCCAGTGCATGTTCGGGCCAAACCCGACCTTACGCTTCTACAGCGCGAACACCGCTTTCAAGGCTACAGGCCGCCAACCGCCTCACATTGATATCGACTTCGACTTCCCCAAGATCCCTTTTGGGTTCTGTGTGAACATCAATTTGATTGACACGTCATCGGAGAATGGGGCGACTGAGGTTTGGCTGGGATCGCATCTTGACACCGACAAAAACGTCCTCGACATGTCACTACCTCACGTGCAGATCCGTGCAGACCTTCAGGAAGCGCGGCGGAGGATAAGCCCGCCGATACAGCCAAGCCTCCCCAAAGGATCACTGATCATCCGTGACTTTAGGCTCTGGCATGCGGGTATGCCTAACAAAACGGATGAGCCAAGGGTAATGCTGGTCTCGGTCCAGTTTCCACACTGGTACCGGAGCAGCTTGAAGATGAAGCTCCCAGCGTCTGTTAAGGACTTGATCAATTGGGGTGATATTGTAGGTGGCATTCCCATATTATCCACCAGCATTCAAAGAAATTTGACTGAGAAGACTAACGATTCAGGTTCCATGTGCGGATTGGATGGGCAAGGACTATAACTACTTGAAAGGTGCTCATGACCATGATTTCGCTCTAGAAGTGTAGTTAGATCGCTCATCTGTGTCAGTGAATGACTCCAATGTGTGTTGTTTGACTCAGTTTTGATTGGATCTTGATGACGCATAGTGTCTATGCCGCTCTCATTCAAAGATTTGACAAATTCAACGCCGTGCACCCTGCCCCCTGATAATCAGGTTATATTAGAGTTTAACAACAATACCGAGTATACCAAGTCTGCAAGGCCAGTGATCTGCCAGATTTGGTCTTACAATAGGCCTATTCTGGATTATAAATCTCAATTATGTGTTAGTATATGTTTTCCCCCCGTGTGTGTCCTATATCTAGTTAAAATAAATCTTGACCCTGCCTCTTATTAGCTATTTGTAAGACCTTTGAGGATTCATAGCATCGCTGAAGACTCTGTAATGTAATTTTTCTATGTTGCATCCTCCTTTTCTCCTACCTTTTCCAGGCTGTTTCGAATCCAAGTCTGCATCTCGTTGTGCACTTCATCCGCATCGCTCAATCTGCCTTGATTTCGCAAGTTGGTCACCAAGGCTTCCATGGCTGATAAGTAAGTTACGTCGTCATCATTGTCCTCTTGTACTCTCTTCTTGGCGATGCCCATTGCCATTCGAACGTAACTTTCTGCTTCCAAATGTTTGTCTTGTTTCCCCAACGCCTTGGCGGACAGCCAATAAAAATTATACGCGTGATCAGGGTGCTTATCAAGTTCGCACCGCCGGGCTGAGTCCGAAAATACCTGTCCTGTCACTTCCAAAACCTGTGCCGGTTCTTCGGCCCTCAAGAGAGCACTCGAGAGGTTCATCAAAATATCCAAATGTCGATCATCAAAGACATCCTTACCCACACCTGCCTCCACCTTTGCATACAACCGGCGAAGCACATGGGCTCGAGATTGCCAGTCTTGCTCGCGATTAAATAGGTACCACATCTCGAGCTGGAGTGTCTCAAAATGCCATGGACCCAAATGCTGCCGGAATTCTTCGACGACAATTTGTGTCAACAAAACTCGGTGATCTCTATCTAAGGGAAATCCAGAGGAGAGGATCCTGGAGATTATAGTAGTACTATGCGGCTGCCCCGGAGCCTGGGCCAGCGCGGCAATGTGGCGCCGCAACTGGCTTTCGAGATAGGTCTGGCCGGAGTCTTGTAGCCGCCGAACAAGGTCCAAGATGTGGTTGATTAGAATGGGGTCCTCGGAAGCTAGTACCAAGGGCAGGCGTGCGAAGGCTACTCGCATGATTTTGATGCCTTCGACAAGTTCGGCCGGATTGGTCGGTTTAACCGTGAGCTTGTTTAAGGCGATGCGGAATCGCGTATGTAAATCCTGCAGCTGGTCCCGGATCTGTGGAAGGTTTGGCTTGACCTCCACGACGCCTGATGATGGCGATACCTGCGTCCATGTCGAGGAAGAGCCGAAAGAGACGTCATAGTATAGCTTGACAGAGTGGAATGCGCTCTCATCCCGAATGAAAGGCGAAGAAACACGAGTGTATAGTTGAGGTAGCAATTCGGCACCATTTGCAGCTGGCGGATGCGGCGACTTGGCTCTGGCGGTGGACGCCATGGGAGTCGCGATATCGGTTGCTTGGGGCCTTATAACCAGAGCACCCCTACTCGAGTGATGCAAGTCATCGTCCCTTTCAAGGCGTGCAATCTTCCTGGCGTTGAGAGCATTGACATACTTGACCACGCCCCAGCGCTTGAATCGATGCTTATACATCTTCATGGTGGCGTGGAAGCCATATTCGCGTTCCATGATTTCCATCACCTCTTTAAGCGGTCGATTCTCTGAGCTGTAAAGACGAGTGATGACGCCACGCTTCTCCTCCCAGTCAGTCGGGCCAGCCCATTGGAGTCTCTTTGGTGTGATATTTGAGGCCATCTTGATTGATATGATTCATTTGGCAATCCGAGCGAGATTATTGTGCACAAAAAAATCTCCAGATAAGCAGTTCAGCTACACCCACTGATCGTGATGCTCGTCAGGGCTGAAGTGGGGCACGGTAGGGGCCAGGGTGAACAAGGGGGGGCATGATTGCCTCTTCATTGGCTGTCCACAGGTCCTGCGTTTCGAAAGCCACCCATGCAAAGTGTCTAGCCTCTTCAGGCTGCAGCTAGCTAGGTAAATTATGAAATCTATCTCTTATTACTCCGCTCCAAGCCCCGTACGCGCCTGAGTATTATAGGGAAGCAGAGACTAGCATTGTGATGATCTATGGAAGTATACTCTGAATGAACTAAGATACTTAGCGGCATATCAATTGTGTATGACCACACATACCTATACCCATGATTGTCTGCTCGTTGGCAAACATGCTATATGAAATTGATGTGCTGGGCTTGTCAACGCCGGTGCTTGCCCGCTGTGCAACTTTCACAACTCGAAGATGTCTCTGACTATGTGATAAGCAAACCTTTTCACAATGCAGATAACTATACATGTCGGCAAGAGCTCTCGCAAAGGCTCTAGCTTAATGGCCAGGGAGAGCATATTTAAGTAGTCTATGAAAGCCCGCAAAGGAAACTTGAAGAGGGCCAGACTCCAGTATCACGAATGACCGCACACGAGCAGATGCCAGGGAATGGAGACCAGATTTTTTCAGATTTGGGAAGAGCTCTTTGGGGAAAGCCACCGTTCACGGCAATTGCCACATTAGCATCTTTGCACGTGGACGATAAGTGGTCCGGTTCAGGACATTCATTGTATCAGATCCCGTATCACCACCGACTACCGCGGCCCTATCAAGCGCATACTTATATCTAATACTATTTGAGGAGACACTCCAGGTATATTGCTTATGTACATAGGATATTTATCACAACGCATATTTCTGTATATTAGACCAGGGCGGTGTTTCAGCCACACCACCCTAACTAATGTCAAAACCGAGAACAGAGCTGGAGCTTGTCTATCAAGATATTAGCAGCAAGTCGTCGAACATCGGTCTCTGGGCTCGGCGTGGCGGTGGCTTTCCCAAGGCGGAGTAAGATGCGGAAGTTACTCCCAACCTCGGTATAGTCACTACATTTCTTGGCGGGGAACTACTGCGATCTCGAGCGTGCTCCGTTGCCGGATCCACGGCCGAAAAGCTGAATGCAAGAACCCCGTGACCCGCGGCTTTGGCCGACTAAGGAAAAGATTCTGCGTTACCCCATTACCCCACGTTTTAACAACCCCGGCAGATAAACCCAGCCAATACAGTCACGATTGGCTAATTGCGGCGTAAGCAGACTCGCCCAATCACAGAGCATTGAAATACGGCCATGCCTGCGACTCTACTGGATCAAGTCCCCAGGTCTAGACAGGCGACTTCAAAGTCACCTTGTCTTCCTTCCTGACTAATTCCTTGTTTCCCTCTCTGCAGTGCACTACAAGGATCACCAGACGCAACTACACACCTTCAACATGCTATTCCAGGAGCTTATACAGGGCTCCAGGGCTAACGACATCCTAAGGCACCTTCAGGGATTGCCTCCCAAGCATGTGGCTCTCTTGGTGCTTGGGATCGGGCTCGCTGCATTGGCAGCCGATTATGCTCGCATGCTCTGGCTACGGTCGAAGATGGTAAGTTGTATCAGATACAAGAACATGCAGCCTTGGACTGACACCTCTTCGCAGCCACCAGGGCCATTGCCGTGGCCGATAGTAGGAAACACATTTATGCTTCCTGAGAATAAGCCATGGATATGGTTCGAAGAACTCTCCAAGAGATATCAAGCACCTCTAGTCACTGTATGGATAGGCAGGTGAGTGAACAAGCATCCTGTGGTCAAGGGATCGTCCTGATCCACGTCAGAAACCCGACCGTATGGATCAATGACGCTTGGGCGGCATCGGAACTGTTTGACAAACGTGCTGGCATCTACTCCTCTCGCCCAAGAATGGTAGTCTTTGCAGAGCTAGGAGCAGGGCAGAACAACCTCGTCAACATGTACACCATGACGCCCGAACAACGAGATCGATGGCGTGTCCACAGGAAGCTCATGCACCATGGCGTTGGTATACAGTCTGTCAGGAAATATCGAGACTTCCAGAATAATGAGAGCAGGCTGGTGGCGTACGATTTCCTCACTTCTCCTGAGGACTATGTCAAGCATTTTGAGCGCTATGCGACAAGCGTGGTATCCATCATTGCTTTTGGCAGAAGAGTGGAGAGTTCGGACGATCCTATCATCACAGAGGTCATCGCGGGCATGCATCTCGCAGCAGATCTGAACGTCCCAGGGAAGCGGTTCCCAATGCTGATGGAGAGCTTCCCTACGCTTGCCAGCTTTCCTAACGCCATAGCACCCTGGAAGCATGGTTTGGGGGCGAAACGCGGCTTCACTTTCTTTTTCGCTCTTGCTGATGAGGCAAATAAGAAGGAGGGACAAGATGGCGCTTACGTGAAACATCTTTTCGCAGAACGGGAGAAGTACAATCTCGCAGTGGAAGAGATTTCAGCTCTTACAGGCAACTTGTTCGGTGCAGGATCGGACACCAGCAGTAGCACATTGATTACTTTCATTCTCGCATGTTGTGCGTTCCCTGAGACCCTCAAGCCAGCATGGGAAGAGCTGGATCGAGTTGTTGGGCCCGATCGAAGTCCGACTTGGGAAGATGAGGAAAAACTACCATACGTCAAAGCCTTTGTCAAAGAGGTTCTCCGATGGCGGTCGGTTGCGATTATTGGTGGCCAGCCGCATGCACCCACTCAAGATGACCATTACAAGAACTGGCTGATACCAAAGGGGACATGGATACAGGGAAACGTCTGGGCCATCCACAGGAACGAACGCGAATTCCCCGACCCTGATCGGTTCAACCCCCAGAGATATCTCCCAGGTCATCCAGATAGTCGGCCTTTCCCGGGAGAGCGAGGCTACATGACGTTCGGATGGGGTCGAAGAGTGTGCTCAGGACAAGCCTTAGCTGAACAAGGCACCTGGATCACCATTGCAAGAATACTCTGGGGCTTCAACATTGAGAAACAGCGACGCGAGGATGGATCCTTTGTACCTGTTGACATCTTCAACTACACGTAAGTGATGTTCTCCTCATGTATTCAATGTTTGTTCAACTCACATTGCACAGAAATGGTTTAAACATGCGTCCACAACCTTTCGAGTGTAGTATTACTCCTAGATCGGCTACAATTGGAGAGACAATCAAAAGGGAGGGCCAACAAGCCCTGCGGGACCTAGAGCAGTACAAGGGAGAGACCAAGTACAGGATGTCAACTTTTTATCAGAGGAATGATTTGGCCATGGATCTGTATGGAGACAAGAAATGAGTTGTACCGGGTTTCAAGATACCGATCGCGGTTGCTACTTCCTGATTATCAAAGAAAGCTACAGGGCATCACTTGGCCAAATAGATATGGGGCGCGTAGAATCATACTTAAAAGTTGAATTGCCATACATGTTCATACTTGGAATAACTATATCGCATCCTAGCTAAAGGAACGTGAAATATTAAGGCAGTTTTAGCGACGGTAACTGTCAGTCCGTTTTGAAACCCTTCATATTGCGCAAGTCCCTCATCCCGACTTACGCCGCAATTCCGCAGCTTTGGGATTGACATTGTCTGTCGCGCCTGTAGCTTTCTCTGGACGGCCGAGTACGTAGTAGAAAGCGCCTCCAATAGCTAAAGCACTAGCTATGATCTTATAGTTCCTGTATCTTCGTTAGAGCACTACAAGCAGTGTTATACGGGCTCTCATACGTTGGTGTCATGTTTGAGCCACCCATACCCGAGCCACCTCCGTGTGGCGTCTCTGTTTGAATGCTTCTCGAGCCTCGTAGAGAAAGAGGTTGCGGCATGGCCGAGCGGCGACACGAGGCACGCAAGGCGTTTCTGAGAGGAAGCTGTTTCATCAAAGGCATTATCACATTTAGTATGTTATGCCTAAGACACAAGATCTGTGTGCATACAGTACGAGCTGTTGAATGTAGGCGTTGGCGGTCTCTGCAATAAATGAATAAACTGTCCTCGGATGGTGGCAATTGATGTGTCAGCACTCACAGGAGTGCCCATTCCTATGCGAACGTCTAAATTGATTGGTAGTCTTCTTGTCGGTGCATCGCTGTTTTGACGTTACGATGACGCAACCCTAACCTACCATCCAGGACCGTTGGTAATAGGCCTCGGGACATGCCGGCAGGCGTCACCAGTATCGCCAAATATAGCTAGACGGGGTACTAGAAAATTGTATACGGATCGTCAAAGTGTCTCTCATTGAATACTGGCGAATGCTCAATATGACCATACCCGGCTTCCACCACGAGCATCCAACGATCCAACCCGGTTCATTCGAGCATACCAAAGCCGCAAGCCGATGGCTACGGCAGCGACGAAGAAACTGCACCCGGCGCATACATAATTCCCCGTTGGGTATCCTGAAGCAGCCTCGTTTGACTTCCAGATCCACTGTGCAATGATTTGGCCAATACCTGCGCACGAGTTGTGCAGCGCGATCGCAAATGGGATCCTGTAGGGGCACCACCATAGTCAGAACCTGATTTGTATCTGTAACAAGCCTCATGGATCAAAAGTACCAATTTGCGGGGCAAGCATTCTATGTACCACCTTGGAGAGACTTACGTCAACAGAGACGGTGTATTGCAAGTGACCCAATTAGTCATCGCGGGTGCGCAAGGGAATGCTCCAGCTGCAGCCAAGCACAGACAACCATATCGTTGTACATACGCATCTGGTGGCAGAGACCCAGCAGTTACCCACCCGATGCCGCCTGCGACGGATAGTCCAGCAATATGCCATCCCCGGGCATCGAAGTGATCGGCCGAATAGGACATGACAATAGCCACCACGAAACCAACGACCCAGGGTGGGACCGTCATGAGTTGCGCCTGGATCGAGGCGTATCCCAGACCTGTGACAATCGTCGGTGAGTAGAAGGTGAACGAGCCTTGCAGAACGACGTTCGCAATCTAAACCGCGGGTTAAATTGTCAGTGGGTACCTTCATCTCGCCAACATGTTTGTAAGCAACTCACATAGGCGAAGTAGTGTGCCAGCATTCGTGGTTCGAAGAATGTCCTCAATATCTCGGTGCGTGTAGCATGGTCCCTATTGTACCCGCCTCCTCTTTCCTTGAGCCGGTCCACTGCTAAGCGTTTGGCGTCCTCATTAAGAAACTTTGCTCTGGATGGGTAGTCTGGGAGAATCAGTGCAGTCGGTATTACGCTGAGTATTGTGATGATTCCCTCGATGATGAAAAGCCATCGGAATCCTTGCAATCCGCCTGCTCCGTTTATGTGCCCGATTCCAAAGGCTATAGCTCCGCCGAAGGCCCCAGCGAGGTTACAGAATGCGATTACTAGGGCAATCCGGACTGCTCTCTCATCGTGTCTATACCAGATGGTAATGAAATACACGATACCCGGGAAAAATCCTGCTTCAAACTATGCACTCGTCATTAGCTACTCGCTTCCCAACTGGAGGACTGACCTACCAATCCGATTAGAAGTCTCAGCGCCAGGACTGTGCCGTAGTTGCGGACGCCAGCTGTTGAATTATTAGCCATTTCTGTATAGTTCCCTGTGTTGTGCTACTTAAACGAGCTTGTTGATGACTCAGACTCAACCCCAGACTCCAGACTCACCAAATCCCACAGTCAGAGCACCCCAACATCCTAAGAGAAATGCTAGCCACAGCGATGGTCGAATATAATGCTTCATCACCCAATTGGAGGGAACTTCGAAAACGGCGTAGGCTACTGAGAATAGTGATACAGTGATGGCATAACCCGTTGCCGTCATCCCGGTCCGGTGAAGCAAATCATCGCCAGTTTCTGCGTTCAGAACGCGTGCGTTACCGATGTTTCCACGATCGAGAAAGTTCAGAAGATAAAGCCAGCAGCATAGAGGTAGAATCCGAATGTCAAGCCGACGGTTCAGCTCCTTGTTGAGCTTCTCATCGTACACGTCTGAAGTGATAGTATCGGGTACCGCGCCAATTCGTCCAGGAGCCTAGTCGTCGATTGGTTCATTAGCAAAGACCAGCGCAGTCGCAGAACAGGCATCCTGACCTCCTCGTCCCCTTCTATGTGTTTCACGTCCTCCTTCTCCATGTTGAGGTTCTGTAACGTCATTAGGGGGGAACACGATGTTGCTGTGTGATGAACAAGCTGTTGGCGGATCGGCTCTTGGTTAGCGCTTGTGTATATATAGATAGTCCACACAGCTGTCGGTGAAGTCTCCGAGTAAGGATCGAGAGTTGTCGAATGACCCTGCCAAGCATCGCAAAGGCCAATAGACGATCTGCACAATGATGGTATCCCCGCACTATCTCCCTGTTTCCCCATTGACGTCCCCATATCAGTGCTAGCTGCGGGCCATATATTCCGATGGATGGGCAATGCGGGGAATCAGACTTTCGCCGAGGAGATATATACGGGTCACGACTTACCCAAAGAAACACGCATATATAATGGAGCATTTGAGGGGGTGGGTTTTCTGCAGAGTCTAGAATCATTCACAACTGCTTTGTCTAGTCTCTGATTTGTATGCAGTCACCTTCACTTACCAACGCGATTGATATGTTGAAGTCTTTCTCAGCAAAGCTCTATTCGCCATGACCCGCGGGCCTCTTTTGCCGATGCGCTTTGGATAGAGATCGCAGATAGTGAGAATATGACAGCATTCACAAGCTTGGGCTTTCAGGCCGACGAGTCGCCTGTTCGATACTGTTGTCTCTTCCTTCAATGCTCTGGTAAATCTCGTGCAACTGCGCTGGTGGGACATTCTCAAGGCGATAGAACGTAGACATCGAGCCTACAGAAAGCCCCAATTAACTCAAAGAGACATGTGTATTAATGAATTATCAGAATCCTCTGGATCCTGTGAAATTTCGTACTTATCGGCAAGCTACACGAAGACGGGCTGATGCTATTTCCCAACAGGCGTACTTAAATGACGTTCCCCTTAGTTTGCTTAAAGTTCTTAACGTTGATGTTCCTCCAGCAGAAAGCAGCAGCCCAAGGGATAACCAGGACAGCCGTGGCTGCAATGAGCATCAGCTTCTGTGTCTCACCATAAGCCCGTACAATGGCAGTGCGTGTGGGTGTGCCGATTGGGTAGCCTAGCTGCGTGTTTATGTCGCCATATATGGTGGTGAGATTACCTTGTTCTTCTGCAGGTAAGTACGCTGCTAACTTGCTGGGGAAGATGCCGGTCCAAATGGCTGTGGCAACTGTCGAACCGATCGCACCACCAACGCTGGAGAACATCCCCTCGATCGCAAGAACGACTGCCACGTACTGATGAGAAGTTGCAGCGAGAGCGGCGATCTGTTCCGTAATGACTATGCCACCACCAGCCAGCGCAATGAATATTTGGCACATAACGATGTACCCAATATTGACATTCGGCTCTCGAAAGTTGATCATGAGTCCAGCACCGAGGATAGTCAGGGGAATCGCGAAATAAGTCGCAATCCACTTGAAACGACCGGTGACACGAATAGCCCATCCCACAGCGAATGACCACAGACAGGAGCCCACGCTGTATATGTTGAGCATATACGTAGCATCGACGACGCTCAAGCCATTCACCACAAGCAGAAAGTTGTAAAAGTAGGAATCCCACAGATAGAAGCTGACAAACACGCTCCCAGCCACGATGAAAGCACCTAAGCACGTTCGATCCCGGAGAAGTTCGAAGGGGATGAAGTTTACACGGGCGAACCACTTCTCCCAAACACCAAACCCAATGATCAGCAGGCCCCCAAAGACAATGAAGCAAATGATGATAGGCTGACGCCAGCCATTTGTCTGGTATGAGTAGATATTGAATGACAGGAGAAACAACGCTAGACCAGCGACCAGGATGAGAACGCCGATGATGTCGAACTCAAGCACATAGTGGACGAATGATTGCCACCTAGTGCGGCCGCTAGCAGCCCTGACAGGCAAGACTCCCTGTCTCTTCGCTTTCCGATAGTTGATGACGAGAAGAACCCACAGCGACAGACTGACGAAGGGCACAATGATCGAAAATGCTCCAAAACTCCATTTGAAACCGGGACCTCCGAGAAAGGCGGATGCAACCCGGCCATTGATAAATGCGGTAATGATATATGGGGAGGTGACGTACGCGAACATCAGTCCACGGTTTCTGAGATGGGTCGTGTCCGAAACGAACACACCGATCACGTAGACCAAGCCATTGTAGCCGACCCAATAAAACACCTGAGCTGCGGCGTACGTCTCGACGTTCTGGCAGGCGGCCATCATGACGAGGCCTATCGTCATGAAGATTACCATGAGAAGATATCCCTGAGGTCGCCCCCAGAGATCAATGATCTTGGCCAAAGGCAGCTTGAACAAGCCGCCAATGATGCTTGACATCACTGTGGATGCTGCAGTTAACGGAAGGGCAGAAAAACTGCTGGTCACATAAGAGGCCAAAGCCACGGTTGTTCCCTCTTGCATAGAGTTGACAAAGTAGATGATCCATATACTGCGAATCAAATGTCAATGATTGTGCTACGATAGGTGACTTTGGTGATGGCTTACAGCACATAAGCCAGAACCAGGTGCGACCGCGACCAGACCTTGGCCATAGCCTCAACATCCTTGACACCCTCCTGAGCATCGCTCGAGATGGTATCGTTATCGGAAGATATACCGTCCATTTCCAACTGTTCCTGCTTCTTCTCGTCGGCGGCAAGGGCCGGCTCAGGATCCGCAGGCGCCGGAGCGGCCTCAATTTCTGGCACCTCGGCTGGCGCTGTTTTCGAGAAGAATCTCACCATCTTGACTGTCGGGAAGTGGCCAGTAGCGCAGGAACGTATCAAACAGCAAGGTTCTCTACTCGGGGAAAAAGCTGCTCTAGTGGGCTTTATCTGAAGCACCTTTGAAAAGTGCCAGAAGTGCAAAAGATCGATGAGCACTGCGTTGGTCAGCCTCGCTCATTAAGGTTTGAGGCTGCGGGTGGATCTACCCTCGGGTGTGCGAATCGACGGGTGGCGAGACGGAATATCAGATAGATCTCAGCAAGGGTCTGCCAATATGATCCAATCAGATGCCATTGGCCTCGCAGTGCGTGGACAGGACACTGGGGAAGGGGTAGAATGACAATCGTGGAAGTCCAAGATCGACAACTGGGCGGGGCTATAGCGCCGCCCACATCCAGAGCATAGCGAAAAATGCCGTAGATTGGTCGTTGGCCTGCGACGGACCAAGACGGACAAAAACGCGATCGGATATTGTGGGGGTTTGAGGGCCGAGAGGAAGATCCTTCTGTTAGCGGACCCGAGTTCGCCGCGCCAAACGAGTGCGAGCAACTGATTACCGGCCACCGGCTAGAATCGAGCGTACACGCTGTTTACAATGTAGTTATTGAGTCTTTATACAGGTACCTTGGTGCCCAGATGAGCCTGGCGAAGATTGATGGATCGCGCTAGTTGATCAGATTTGCTCGACAAGATCACACGGAAGAAGGCTGTAAGCAGTGGTCACCTTGCACTAACGTTAGAGCCAAGAAGCTTGGACGATTTGCTTCTGAGGGGGACATGGAGTATATTGACTCGTTTGCAGTTTCTGGCAACTTGGAGCCGTAAGTATTAAGCTTGTATCACATATATTCGCATGGTCGCCTTGTTGATTGGAAATTTTACTCTTTTGTATATAAAAATGCAGTCTGATGTCTTCTAGGATCTAGCCTCTATGGCATTTCCAGATTGCGCGTGCGGGGCACAGGTACTTGAAACGGCCACCCTGATGGACGCCTCAAGTTCCACGGGGCATTGACCATCTACGAAACCACCTTGAAGGTCTCGCTGACGGGCAGCTTCTGCGGTGCGTCAGGGTGGGGCTGAGCCTCGTCACCGAAGTTCAGGTGGGCCTTGAGCTTCCACTCCTCTGGCACGTCCAAGAACTTCTTGAGCGCAGCCTCAACCGGCGGGATGGCGTTCATGTGCTGCAAGTTGGCACCGAGACCCTCAAGTTCCAAAGCAGTCCAAACGAGAAGTTGGTGCATACCAGAGGCATGGTCTGCCCACTCTGGGAACATGGCAGCAGAAGCCTTGTGGGTATCCTGAGCCTGCTTGATGGTCTTTCCATCTTCCCAGAAGACGACCTAAAGAGTATTGTCAGTTCAGGCACAGTCTCGACGTGTAACGTCAATACTCACAGATCCGTATGCGTTCTTGAAGCCCTGGAAGCGGGGCTCCATAGCGTTCCAGACAGCCTCACCGGCACCCTTCAGGATCGGCTCGGACTCCTTGATGACAATGTCCCAGAACTGCTTGTGCTTGTCGCCAAGGACCAGAGTGATACGTGCGGATTGGGTGTTGTATGATGAGGGGGCGAACGAGAGGACGTCCTTGACGACCTCCTCGATGCGGCTGTCGGATACAGAGGAAGAGCCCTTAAGAGCGTAGACCGTGCGGCGGTACTTGGCAGCCGCCAGGAACTGGTCCGTGGTGATGTGCGAGGCCATGGTAACGTATGCTAACAAATGTTCTAGAAGATGAGAACTTGGAAAAATTCAGGTCCGGATATGTCTAAGGGGGAATCTTGATGATGCGGGTGGCTTGAGTGGGTTGAGATGATCGGAAACATCGCTGACCGCATGATAATTGTGAGGGCTCTTATATGTGAAGCCAAACAGGTAGCCAAGAGCACTAGCGATGGCTGTTAGTCAGCCCTTCGTTGGGTAGCGCTGCGCGATTCCTTGGGAACTCCCTTCCAAGCCCTCGTCCGCTGTAAGCTGATCCTCAGACAGGTTGACGCCAATGGCAGGCCAGCATGGCGAAGACCCCGGCTTTCCCGCGCGGTTACTCTAGGGTGCAAGCCAATTCCACACCTATTTCTCAGCATATGTAAGCCGTTCCAGTTGGCTGGCTGGTTTGCTAAGCTTTACAAAGCGACGCTAGCCTGACTCCATTTGCCTGACTTGTCGGAAAGCCAGCCGCAAACACGGGGTTCTTCACAGAGCATCGAGGGAACGACACCCATCGCCCACAACTGCCGCGCAGGGGGCTCCCCTTGCTTGACTGCATGATACTGGACATCATCAGTCGTGATACAGCTCTATCATCAACCCAGTTACATATTCATACGCTGGCCAGATATGCGGGCTTTTGGCTTTTCCCGAGGGTCGTGTCCCTAAGAGGCCCCGCTACTTATCGAAGCGGGGTTCATGGCTGACCCGCCCTTGAGAATTGGTAGAATTCACGTAAGCGGTGGGACAGCAGAATGGGCGGGCATCAGATTGGTTGTAACTTGTGCGGCGAGCGGGGTCCTTGCCTGGACATACCTTGACATAGTCATTGGCAAATTGGAGTGAAACACTGCAATGCCTTCTCTTCACTGAGTACATGCAGGTGTTTGAGCGACACAGTCACAAGAAATGTCACTACAATCACTGGCTTCAGAGGCGCAACTCCCTTGACAAGCACGAAGAGGGCGAAATGTCCTTCCTCATGAGTCTTCATCGACACTATCGAAGAAGACAAGCAAACAATGTCATGCCTCTTCAAGGCCCTAAGTCCATAGCGAGAGCCTTTTCATCCGCGTATATCAAGGGCACTCACTCTACGGTTGCCCCCGTCTCCAATTTCTCTGATTGACTCGTACAATGCACTGATAGGCCTCGTACTTCTGCAACCGATCCTATCCACCGCTCTGCACCAAGAGCCTCTCTTACTACGCCCAGACCTTCTTGGACGTCTTGTCGGATTCCGACTGAAGTTGCTGAAAAGCTTTGTAGACATTAGTCAGTGATTTGCCGTCCTTTCGAAGCCAACTGGGTACGGAGCGGGCCCCATCATACGCCTCCTCGACTTGCAGCCCTTGTCCTATCCAGTCCGTAGACGAGTCTTCAGCTAGACCATCACTGGGAGAACTCTCATCCTCCCACGAGTCAACAACAGCCTTCTGCTTCCCCTTTCCTCCAGCAGTTCTGGCTGTCTTCGGGATACTGAAAGAGGCAATAGCATCAGCCAATCCTCCCACTCCAACGCTGCCGTTCCTGGGCTGTGCTC